CTCTCTCTCTCTCTCTCTCTCTCTCTCTCTCTCTCTCTCTCTCTCTCTCTCTCTGTCTCTCTCTCTCTGTCTCTCTCTCTCTGTCTCTCTCTCTCTGTCTCTCTCTCTCTCTGTCTCTCTCTCTCTGTCTCTCTCTCTCTGTCTCTCTCTCTCTGTCTCTCTCTCTCTGTCTCTCTCTCTCTCTGTCTCTCTCTCTGTCTCTCTCTCTCTCTCTGCGATGGCAGTCTCATTCTCATCTTCATGGCCGTCCTCGTCCTCGTCCTCGCTCTCACTACTTGAATTATCGCTGAGCTGTTCAGGGCGGTACACGTGTATCTTTTCGACAAGTCTTTCTGCTGCCAACACGCTACGAGATATGCTGACCAGATGGAGCGGCCTCCATGTTCTGACATCTAAAGATTACAGACATTGTCGTTGCGGCTCGACTGGCAGCCTGAACCACTTCATTGGAGAATGTTTTCACAAGACGTTTGTAGTTGACAAGAAAGGATGCAGATTGTGGTAGACATTTTTACAGTCGAACTCGGCCGTTTGGTAGGATGCAAGCCACATCGATCAAGCACAGTACATGGAGTGGTTAAGCAGCAAATATCCACAAATTCAGTGATGTGAAGACAACATTTGATATAACGTAGCGCCGGAGACGGATATGCCATGGTCGTCGCAAAGTGAAGAATTCTAGTCAGGCATATGTTTCGTCGCGAGAAGCATGCCAAAAGCAATTCAGAAAACAAAAGTGATGTATGTTCATGGTATATCGCACTCCATCTATACACGAGTTGCCGCCTCATCTCCGGCAAGGGTATCAATCCCGCTTGTAAACACCGGTCAGCCAAGCCGCCCTCAGCACAGCCAATCCCATGGCCATGCCCAAGCTGTCCCAAATGACATTCAGCTTGCTCCCGAGTACCTCCTTCCATCCAATAGCCACCTCAACCATGGGTATGTTACCGCTCTCCGCAAGCATCAGCATCTCGACGTCGAAGATCCAGCCTTCGCTGTGCATGTATGGGACGATGTAGGGGAGCGCGGGGCGTGAGAAGAGCTTGAAACCGCACTGCGTGTCTGCGATGGCTGCTGTGGCGGGAGGCGTCATGAGGCGGAGGAGCAGGTGGAAGGAGTGCATGAGGAAGTTGCGGAGTTTAGAGCGCTGAGTGACGTTAGCTTGAACCACGACAGACAAACAGAATGAACATACCTTTACGACAGCCTCACTGCCTACCAAATGTGCACGGCTTCCGATGGCCACTCCGCGCCCTCTGTCGTCCTCGACTTTCTGACACCCTTCAACGAGCTTGCCCAAGTCGCTGAACCTCGATGCACCATCGGCGTCTGCGAAGACGACGTACTGGCCTCTTACATGCCTCATTCCATGCGTGACCGCACCGCCTTTCCCGCGGTTTGCTTCTAGTTCCACAATGCGGATGCTGCCCTCGGGAATGCGCTGCTCGTGCTTCAGATGATCCTTCCACGGCCCAGACACGGACTTCCTGTGGTTGCTGAGCTGGTGCTCACGCGCAAACTGCAGGGCCTTGTCCACTGTCTTGTCCGTCGACCCGTCGCTCACAAGAATAATCTCCCAGCCTTTCCCAGCATACTCCTGCTGTAAGTAATCCACCGCCTCCTCCAGCATGCCCGTCAACCGCTCCTCTTCGTTGTAGGCCGGCACCACGACGCTCATGAACAGCTCCGGCTGCTCGATCGCAATCTTGGCTAGTGTTTCTCTCCGCTTGCCACCTGTCCGCCTCTTGCTGACTTCTTTCTCTGCAGTCCACTTGTCGATCCAGCACGGCAGCTCCTTGGGGTCGCTGCGGTCCCCGTTGGGCAAGACGGTGATGTACTGCTTTTCCGAGCGGCGGGGTTCGCGAGGGACGGGGGCGAACAAGACCAATGCCATGTAACACTACATTCTCTGGTTAGCACATTGGAAACCGATCCCAACGCGGTGAGTCGTAGACGTACCCAGAACAATAGAGCCCCGCCCAAGCCTACCAACGCTACGATCATCATCCACGTCGGCGGCATTTGCACTGCGTGCGCGGGCAATTTGGAGGGAAAGCCGTAGCCATAAGGCTGCTCATCGAGGCCCATTGTGTATGTAGTGTATTATGGCCTAATTGAGGCCGAGCGGAGCGCGTGTTATATGCGGGGGTTTATGGAAATGGACATTGAATCGCGCAGGCAGCGATTGGGGAAAATTGAACACGAACAGAAGCTGGAGAAAGAGGAGGACAAGGGGAGCAGCAAGGGCAAAAAACAAAAGGAGAGAGCGTGTCGTGCAATAATCCAGTTGCGACGCGACTGTCTCGTCGAAGATGCAACGTAGGCTGCTTACGTCGGCGGCCCGCGGCTGGCGGCTCAAGTCGGCCCGTGCCCTTGAACCTCCGCACCACCATGACAACGAAACGACGAACCATCACGGCAAATCCCATCAGTGCTATCGCAAGCGACGTCTGAAATCGCTTTTACTCATGCAAAGGGGTCTTTCGCGTACGATACATCTGCGATCGCTCAAGACAAGGACAATTTTGTTCGGAGAGCAATGACGTGGTCATGTCCCGAGCATCTACAGTTCTCCAATTCTATACGAAACCATCCAAGTCCCAATGTATGCTACATTCATCGCCTACAAATCTCATTGTACTCGAATCCTTGATTCCCTGCGCCCCTTCGAGCGGCCATGCCTAGCCCACGCAGTCACGTCAACGAGATGATCATCTGAGCGGGATGCTGTGCTCATGTCTTCTGCAATATCCCAAGCTGCTAGTTTCGCGAATCTTGGGACAATCTTTGATGAGACAAGTGTGCTCTTCGCACAAGACTCCTGCCGGAACAGCCTCCTGACGACACCCCCTGGCGAGACACTCGTGATTCGTGCAATATGTTGATAATTTGGGCGTTACGACTGGATCGGAGCATAGATGTGAACGACAAGTGTCTTGACAACACCAGTCAGCTACAGTAAGATACACAGCGGGCGAGGCTTGGCTTACGATGTAGACAAACAATTCCCCCGTCTTTGATCCGTTGACGAGGACATTCACGAATCAAACAGCTGTGCTCGTGGCAGAACTCAGAGTCTCGCAGCACATTGTTGCCGCAACGATTCCTCGAGGCAATGGAAGCTTTGCAAGATTTTGGATTGCTGGAAAGACACATAGCGCCAGCACGAGACGGGACAATCGAAGGGAGACTGACGATGGAATCTCAATATCAGGAGCTCCCATTCAGCCATAAATGATCTCTGGAAGCTTACTACCCGATCTGACTCGCCTCCTGTAAACGTTATACAAAGACTCCTGTGGATCTAATTGGGTGACGACTTATTTTGGAGACGAGGTTAAGCGGATGCCCCACTTTCGAGGGTTACACAAAGCTGCACCCTCGAAAGCGTTATCAGAGACTTTGCAAATATAATCATTGGCTATATTCCCCGAATGCGATGTGAGCTCACGCTCAAAAACACAATCATTGGCAGTCATTGTCACGTCAAGCTCCTGGCCGACTTGAAGTCAGGGTGTATTCGACTCAAGTCTGAGGGCTATAGCGGGACAGTGTCCCTGAGATGGGAATTGCTTTTTCGCGAAGTAATTTCGCCCCCACCATGTCGGGTCAGTGGTACATTTGTGCGGCTTTAAAAATGGGGCGATTGGCCCGCTTGGAACCGAGCCCGTGGCATCTGTAGCGCTGATCGGTCGCCGCCAGTACCTGACGTAGTTCCCGTCGAGTCTTAGCGGGAGGGCCGATGCGCATTTTCCGTCAAGCACGATGCGGCCGCGAACATGGAAAACCGTCGAGGCGCTGGTTTAAGCGGGCCGATTGCCTCATTTTTCAGGTTGTGCAACGTGCAAGGACATGATCTTATCTTGGATTGGCGGCTCAGCTGCATCCTCCTTCGCAGCGACCGCCAAGACCAGGATCACAGCGCAGCAAGAGTCGATGATTGAATTGACAGACACCTAGTGCACATCAGCAGAACGTTTGAGTCCGCATGCTAGCAAGATTTAATGAGGCCATCATCCATCACGACGGAGCCTCTCCAGGGAAATTCCGTTGCTGTGCATTGAAATACCAAGTCTAGTGAAGCTTTCGCGATATGATTAATCTGAATGGCCTATAAACCTCGCCTTCATACGATACTGGTCTCGCGCCAGATGTTGCCGCGAACTTGGTGGCAACGAACCAACCACCGTTGACCCTAAGTCGCTCTTCTACACTCTGCATCTGAGAACTGCCAGTCCTGCGCATGCACACTTGTATGCAATGTTTGCTTTCTGTCATACTTTCAGCTTGATCGATCGCTGAGAGAAGAGAGCATTTCATTGCAATACTTTATGATTGGCGAAGAAGCAGCGTTAGCGTCAAACGTCTCATGCTTGTACGACTTCGAAAAATTGGGCGTTTGGTTTGCTTACAGCAAAGCCTGGGAACACGGACTTCAAGTCTAACTCTCCGCACCAATGGCCATCTTATTTGTACGCCTTGCATGGACGGGGAGCATGGCGCAGGGTGGCTCAGTCGGCAGAGAGTCCCACTATGTATGCCTTTTCTTCATATCGTCGCTGTCCAGCATGTTACGTGCATACCTGCCTACGAGTTTCGAGGAGTACGTGCAGAGAAGCACGCATCATCGTCTGCTCCTGTAAGGAAATGTTCGCCTGTCGCCCACTGGATAATCTCAACATTGTTACATGTGGAAATGCCGCCTAACGATACGTTTGATACAAGCAACTCAAGGCCACACTTCTCCAAAAGTTGAGATCAGTGAGATTGCTCGCGGGTCAATCATTGTTCGGCAGCCTGCAAGAGCTCGAAAATCCAGGGGATATTTCATTGAAGAAAACTGATGACATCCCGGGTGATGGCTGCCTTTCTAAGCCACCAGGCCTGCTGCAGATGTGTCGCACACGGAAGACGATGGTAGAAACAGCTTCGACATCATCATAGAAAGACGGCACAGTAGATCCCTTAACATTCATGGGTGCTGTAGAAGAACACAGGGACGATCGATCAGCGTCGTTTGGGGAATTTGGTCGCGAGTTTGATATGATTCGGGGTATAGGAACATCTTCGAACGTGCAAGCCAAGCAGCAGTGCATCAAATCAAGTAATTTCAGCAAGAGCGCTGATGGAAGAGACTTCGGTCTCTTCAACTTCAGCGAAGGAAAGGCTGAGCCGACCACGATTCCCTCGATTACGAGATGCCTGCTCCGTCATTGGTCGAAGTTTCAACGAACCCAATATGGCACCAAAAGTTCAAGCTCTCGCTACGAGCGCACCTGCAAATATACGCAATTGCAGAGTTTGGTTGATCTGGACTACTAAACATAACTGGACTCCTCTAAAATCTATCCCATAGGCGACTATCAGCATGGCAAAAGAGACTCTTTCGCTCACTGAAGAAGAAGGCAATTCTTACACCCAGCATCATATCGATCATCAATCCGCTTACAATGCGAGCGAACGATGTGCGAGAAGTTCTCCTGTTTTTCTAACAAAGCACGCGATTGTTCCTACTCTGCCTCACGAAACAAGGAGGGCCTGACGTCTTTGCGCACTTCTGTGAGGTCAGCATTGCCGCATGTGGTGGCGCAAATCATGCTGGGAGGAGTGTTTCGCATGGACGACAACACAACTGACGACTCAGTCAGGATCAAGAGGGTTGCAAAACGGCTCATCACAGCACATGACAAGAAAGCGGATTCCTAGTCGAAGACCTCGCCACGACGTACTGGGCGGCACGTGCGTCCCACGAGGTTGGCTTAATGTTCATGAAAGTGGACGCCTTACTCTGCGTTTGCTTAATCACTGACGCATTGGCGGGGAGGCCTCCGGCAGGGAACTACCAGTCCCGACATTTGAGAAACTGATTCGTAGAGGAAAGAAGGAAAAAGCGTTTGGACGGAGCGGATCATGGCCTGGAAGCGCTTATCGAGTGGGACGCAAAGCTCTCGAGCACGACCACAGAGGGAGCTGTACCTAAAGAAAGGGAAGAGCAAGCTCTTATGTGAGGCTGTTCCCCACGCAGATGTGCTTATATATTGGGACGCGCATCGATCGATATGCAACAGTGAAAAACCTTAACGAAGCGTTGTTTGTGCAAATAAATACGTACACACTCCCGTGCCGTAGCAAATGATTGATGTCGCCCTCGACGTCACGTAAACGCATCCGTGGTGAGGCCTGAGTGCGTAAGTGGTTCTTTGGTCAGAGTCTGAGCGATCAATTGGTCGAAATGGAAGAACTCAAGATCCCATTTCATCAAAAGACGGCCGTGCTATGCTCTACCACCTATGTATAGCATAGGCTCTATGTACAACGTCCGCCGACTTGAAGAGTAAGAGATATAAGCCACTCGGGCAGCCAAATTAATGCGGTTACAAAGTCGCAAGTGATCCAGCGTGAACGCCAATGGAGAACACCTAATGGTACATGATGATGCTATGAACGATCTTAGGGCGGGTGAAATGATGAAACGTATACTACGCGCTGGTCTCATCTTCGTGTCCGTTCATGGTGCCTCCGTGTCGGGAGGGCGAACCATCGGCTTCAAGTTCCAGGTGAACTAGTCGTGTCTTTAGTCACATGTTTGGTCAAATGGGAACGGGCGACTTACCATACGGTCTAACGAACCAGCTCAAGACGAATGCAGACCCGAATGTAGCCGTCAGGCACACGAACACTGTCTGCCTGAAGCTGCCCACTGTTGCGCTGTAGATACCGTTGAAGATGGTGGGCCCCAGCACTCTTGCGAATGCGTGGAGCAGACCCGTAGCACCCAGCAACTGCCCCACACGATCCGGAGGAACGTGCTTGGTGAGCGCAGATCCGATGGCTGGACTTCCGATGCCGCCTAGCGCGGCTACAGCACCAGACAATATGAACACATTGCCGTCCCTGGAAAGCGTGTATCCGAGGTACCCAAGCATGTCAAAGAAGACGGCTAGGCGAATGATGGACAAGTCGAAGACGTCTGACCCAGAATTGCGTTGGTTCCTGGTGCCATTTTTACCGCGTATCAGACGAGTTACAACGGGGAGTGCCACAAGCAGCGCAAATACCCGCGCACTGTTCACTATGCTAACAAACTTTCCAGACTCGAGCTCTTGCCAGCCAAATTGCCTGCGCGTGTAGACGACTACGACACCCATGGCACCCATGGCAATGCCGAACATGATCGTGTCTGTGGCTGCGAGCAGAATAAGGTTCCGTCGGAGAGCAGGACTCGTTCCGGGGCCAGTCGGCCATAGGATCTTAAGAGGCTCCAAAAGGTTGAATGATCGTAGCTGGTCGATCCAGTCGGGGGCGAGACCACCGTGTCGTTCTTTCTCGTCGCGGTGGCGGCGGCGCGCTGTTTCTTGCCGTTCCTTTGACAGCGACTCGGGGACAGCAAAGGTGAGGAAGAGAATGAAGAAGCCGTGACAGGCGAGCGCAATGTAGAAAATCAGAAGCACTGCTTCCGTTTTCCCGACGTACTTTTGGCGCCAATCAATAATGTAGCCGGAGAGAACAGGGCCTACTGCGATACCAGTGAACAGACAAGCGTGGAAGTAGCCAAAAGCAACGTTCCTCCTCTGCGGTGAGGTGCAATCCGCGGCGTACGAATGGGCGAGGGCCATGCCGACTATGAATGAGCCTGCTAATCCGTCTAGTGCGTATCCAACGAGTATCCAGTTCACGTGCACGGTGTCGGGGTACTTAGCAGCGAGAATGGTCAGGACCTCTCCCATGAGGGCGCCAAACGTGGTGCAGACTAACAGTCTCTTGCGGCCGTAACGGTCGGAGAGAGCGCCGAGCTTTGGGCTGGTGATAGCTGCCAGGATGCCAGAGCACAAATTGCCGTAAAGCAAGAACAGGGACGAGCGCGAAGAGACTGCGTCCGTCTGGCATCGGTCAAACCGCTGTCCTGGGTCCATGGGCCCACTGATCGGATCCGGGGACGAGGCGTAGTATTGGTCGCATACGAGGTCCATGATCAAGTTCAGCTTGGGTACGATGATAGCGCCGAATGCCATGGTGAAGAGCAGGAAAGGAGGCAGGAGCCAGTAAATCTGCCCGTTGTTAGGCTCACGGCATCCGAAATGTGACTTAGGCGCATACCGATGGTCTCTTCCACCAGGGAAGCCCTCTCAGTTCGGCATATCCAAACCACTCTGGTTCACTACCATCGCTCTGGCTATCTGCGCTTCCAGTCGAGCCGGTGCGACCAAGCAACGGTGTGTCTTCGCCGCCATCCACAGTGCGCGAGCGCCTGTCGACCTTGTTCGGGTGCTCGCGCACACGTTGTGCTTTGTTGGCTCTCGCAGCCTCTTGTCGCGCGCGCAACCGTGCTCGAAACTCTCGCGCTATCTCTTCCTCTTCCAAGAATGCCGCATCGTTTGACGAAGACATCTCGAACCTCTGGGGCGCACCAAGCGCGTAGTCGAAGCTGTATGGATAAGGTCGCGTGGCGGTCGTGGACGTCGTTTCGTTATGCTCGCGGGGTCATTGCCGATGTGTTCGCCTACGAAAAGTCAACTCAGGCGTCGCGAATCGCCCATGAAGCAGCTCGCGCCAGAAGCCTGCACTTGTAATCCAGATTCGGGCTCGGAGCTTCTGGAGTTGCTTACACTAATCCAGCCAAGCGTGACTGTTCGACGCGTCCCGCCGGGTGAGATGCACAGCTCCAGAGTTCAACAAAAGACGGCGCAGATTATGCACAGGAAGGATACGTCGTCCGTGGCATCTGGTCCGCCGTCTGCCACGTTGTGTGTCGTGAGGCGTTAGGAGGATTCGGTTCGAATATTTAATGACGTTGCGATGTTTCGTCCATAATTGGAGCGGCGCCGGACGCGAATAGATGCCGATAAGACTAATCCTAGTTCGGTTGCTCTCCCCCACGATTTCACCCCACAATGCCGCAGACAACTGCGTCGTATCGCATTTCGTTGACGATGGTTACCGCTGACCCGCATCAGTTGATCTTAAGTGTAATGGAAGTCCCAGAAGCAGTGGCAGAAGCATACCGCGCACAATGTCTGCCACAACGCAAAGTGGGGCAAGTTTACATGAGCATTCGAACATCTTCCTTGTTGCTCCGTCTGCATGTGCAGTGATCATGATGATGATTGAATATGATTGTTCTGCTTCTTTTAATCTTCGTCGGAGGTGAGGAGCTTTCCGACCAGCTCCTGCACCGATGGCATATTTGAATCAGGCGACCCCACTCCATTGCTAATGTATTCAAGCTCGACATCCGTGGAATGTATTTGTTGGTCGTTAGAAACCCGCGTGGGCGTGACATTCCCAAGCGTCCAAAAGAATGAGCCATCAAAAGTACTCTAATCGCCCAGCGAGCCCAACGCTCATGGCGTGATATTCCCGATACGGAACTATTCGCTCTTTGCAGTGGTTCTTTTCGGCTCTGTATTAACATATGTTGTTGTTAATTTGTTGGGAAGGGTCATCCTCTGCAGCTCCTCCACGACACTGGTTTCGCCCTTCGTGCAGCAGATTCTGTGTAATGGGTACAGCTCGTCGCCTACCTCACCCCAGCCACAATTATAAACGTTGGCTTTCCCATCTCTGACTGGAGGCCTTCCCCCACGTGGACGCCCATTTCCGATTTCTTACTATTTACCAGACCTCCATATGCTGATCGGTGCTCCAGAGTCATTCCATCAGGAAAGTGGGCACTTTGTGACAACATGCGGCCACTGAGTCGATGCAGCAAGCCCAGTATTCAACGAGCATTAAAAGATTTAACACGAGTCGGAAAGATTGGTCACAGAGAAAGTATGAGTCTGTTCATCATAGGAGATCCAGCGATCAAACTGGAAAAGGGGTTAGAAACGCAGCACGAGGAACACATGATATACTCACGGTAGCCAGTTCAAAGCCCAGATGCAAAACCCTTTCCGTCCGAAGCTTCACAGTGCTCGCAAGCTCTAGCGACCGGTCCTCTTCATCGTGTTCCCTCTTGAACCATTCTTCAGGGAAATACCATTGGCTCCAAATTTGACCACGAATCAAATAGTCTTCCGGGAGAGGGAGACTATCGGCTCGGTCTGCAGGAAATACAGGGCCGGGGAATATCCTCTCCGGTCGTTGTTCTGACTTGAGTAACGTATTAAGAAAGGAAACAAGCTCGGTCCAAGGAGCGTGGTCATTGAAGTGGGCAACGTATTTGATGGAAGCGAATGTCGAGATGAATGCGAGAAGGACGTGTACGTGAGGGAGAACGTTCTTATCACCAATGCGTCGGAGCACTAGCGTGAGCGTGGTCATCGTGAGCAGATAGGCGCGAGAGAAAATAAAATCGGACGAGAGGATCTCAATCTGGGCCGGAACTTCTGATTCCGACAGCGTTTGTGACGACTTGTCATCCTCCACGGGCGAGGGAGAGCGGCTACCTTCATCGGAATGCGATGATGAATTCGCAGACCGGGTTAACTGCCTATCGTGTAAAATGAGGATCTGGCGTAGTATAGAATCGTCACTCCCATAATTGAATAGACCTGCCAGGTTGGTGACAGCAATATACACTCCTTGCTCTTTCCATTTGGCAGTCACACGTCCGATGTGGTTGTCAAGCTGGCTTTGGAACGCGAAACGAGCGTCTTCGAAACGTTCCGCCGAGTGTTTTCCGAAAAGTATACCGTGCGCTTGAATGAAACTTGTGTCAATGGGCAGGTCGTGGGAATATGATTCCGCAGGACGACTGAGCATAGGATCCAAGAGGGTCAGGATAGATTCCCGCGCACTGGGAAACGGCTTGACGCATGTTAATGATCGAGCATAATAGTATAGCTGACGCAGGGCATTGGGACGCGCCAGAATCGCCAAGTGGTGATAGAGCCGACCGACGGAAGGATTTTTGTCAGCAGCTTTACTATACCATGATCGTGCAACTCCAGCCCACGTCTCACGGTCCCGGGGGTTTTCGTCTTCAATTGCCATGCGATAACGACCTAAATCGCCGAGACACTCAATCCAAGTATCTTCAAAAGCCGGTACAGTCTCGTACAAAAGTGCCATCATCTGGTACGCAAGATAAATGAAAGCGAGCATATAATCGATGCTCTCAGGAAGACGACGACGTAGTAACTCAAGGAAAGAGTGAATACCGTGCTTCCACATTCTCGCCGGCATCGAATACTTTGCCGCTAACCGGCGAAGTGCGGGAGAGGCAGAAGGATGCTGAGACGCGAGGAAGAAGTCGTGGTGCTCGTGCAGTAAAGTCCTGTGAAGAGCAATGAGTGCCTGCCAATGGTCGCTTGCGAGTCTTGACGTTGGGTCCGAGCCATCTTGCAAAGCCGCAGCCTGTGCCCGATCAACATGGATGCACTTGGTCTCCACCATGGTAAGACCGGCGTAGATCGACTTTACTTCCGAAGCAAGCTGCTCCTGAGATATCGGTCGTGAGTCTGGCTGTAAAAGGAGGCCGGGGTAACGAGAGTCATATCGCTGAAGCTCGATCAAGCCAGGTTGTGAGCGGTGAGGAGTAGACGAGATTGTTGGTCTATGCTGCGTGGTAGGAGAGCGGGTGGTGGACTGTGGTGTCCGAGATTGAGTTTGACTTCGATTGGCCTCGACGGACCATTCGCTGGCAACTTCAGGCGTTCGATACGGCGATTTGGCGCTTTTGGGATGCTGCTTGGGGTCATACAAGCGAGGATTGCTGGGCTTTGGGCGCGTCCTCTCCGGGACGGGGCGCCGGAGTTCTCTCGCATACTCTTCTTCATCATAAATCTCCGGGTGGACTGGTGCTTTGCCTCGCCTGACGTGAAGGTCCGAATCGGCCGGTCTCTTCCTTCCGGATGGAGATAGTCGGCCTCTGGCTTCCAGTGATAGGGCAGTGATATCGGGTGTGGATCCTCCTCCAGCGGTGGCGTCAGAAGACTGGTCGGTGAGGCCCTTCCTACATGCGGGAGTCAGAAACAAAGCCTGACAAGGAACGGCAGTGTCGTCAGATGATATAATCCACATGAACTTACATCCGTAGTGCTGCATCTTGCACCTGAGCACGGGCCGTTTCCGGATCCATGGTGTCCAGGAGAGAAGCATGTTCCACTTTGGCGTGGCTGTAAAGCTGGTCAACAGTCTGGAATATCCTTCCAGAATGCTCGCAATAAGGACATGATAGAGCATCTGCAGACGGGGCGTCAGCCGTTTTGGCCTGCGTCCGCAATGCGGTCACCCATCTGGAAGGTAAATCGACATTGCTGGTCATGGTGAGAGCCGCACACTTGGCGGCGGGAACAACCTTGGAAATTGAGACAACGTATTCGGCTGTAGTTGCGGGCCCCTCTGGGGAAAGGCTTGCAAATCATGTGACGGTCTGGAGCTCGCACTGAGTAAACAGGTGGCCCCCAAAGCGGCTTAGTGCCAGCTTCTACAGTGGACTTGCTAGCAGCTATTGGCTCGTTGGCTGCATGGGTTGATCGGAAGTGCACAAGTCGGGGGCCGTAACTGAAGTCGTGCGTGTGAGCGCGTAGATGCGGATGAGGGGTCGCTTTTCACGGTCTGCGCGCAGTGGCTAGCTCGCTGTGACGACAGGGGTGGCGAGGGAGCAAGCGAGAGGCTAGATTGATGTGCAGATGTGCGTGGGAGGCTGAAGAAGCGTTGCGGTGTGCCTTGAGGACGACGTGGAGGTTATTATGGAATTGAATCCAGTTGGGATGCGGCTCCGAGTGGTTCGCAATCAAGCGGATCAGGCAACAGCAGGCAAACGGAGGGGGCCCGTGCCCAGAGGCCGCCCACACCTGCGTTCATCCTGGAATGTGCATTGCATCTGCAGCCGTGGTTCCCTTGTCCGCCGCCATCAGGCATCGACGGGCGCGCACCATCAGAAGCTGACTTGCTGCGACTCGCCTTGTTCTTATACATCGGTCCACAGAGAGCCGCATCTCGTTAGCAACTTCACCGCCTCTCGCTTGCCAGCAATATCTGCATGACTGGAACTTCATTGAAGCAGTTGTGCTGGCGCCACCAAGGGCAAGATCTGCTTTTACCATTGCCTTGTTTTGCCGTCTGCGTGGGACGCAACCGTGCGGCAGTCTTCACAGGGTCCACGGTCCTCCCTTGGGACCTTGAGTCCTGGTTTCACCGGTGCCAACACAGACGACATTTGTGTTTGTGCTTGCTGACACTGAACACCCCATCTCGGGAGCATTTGTGAGCCGCACTGGCTCGCAGATCTAGGGCTGATATATCAGCCTTACGATTAAAACGCTCCGCCTTCGCTCCATTCCAGCTCGTGCTTTACCCTCACTTTGAAACGCCTACGCCTCTTTCCGCAATGAAACTGCTGTCCTCGCTGCCTGCTTTGTATCCACGCACCCGTCCTTGAGGATTGGTCTTGGTAGGCCCGAATTGGCAGGCTGCGCTTGTTCGTCGGGAAGCGCACAGCCGCAGCGATACGCGTGCTGCTCACAGGCACCAACCGTTTCAGATATCGTCTCCCGCAAGCACAGCTCCATCGAGAATCAGTCGTTGATATTGGATACTCAATCCAGACAGACACTAAAGAGAGGGAGGCCGCACTCCCACTCTCTCGTCGCCCCGCTCTACGCGCCGACCACTTGCGGCGGGGTATTCGAGTTTCTTCGATCCACTCGTTTCGAGGCAGTGCCACTGTTCAGAGGCTCAGCGACAGTCCCTTTGATCGCTTCGCAGACACTGGCAGCCTAATACGTCACAAGGCAAGCCGTGCGACACCTTCGATCCCGGACTTCACGGAAGTGATTCTCGCGGTTACGCAGGCAACAGATGACCACCCGGTCACTTGGGGCCTTCACGGATCGAACTCCACATGCCAACTCATTGTCGTTGGGGTGCAGAACTGTCGTGGCATGATCCTATACATTGTGTGGGAATCGTATACCACCTCCTTGCTGCCGGGGAAACGTGGCACACGAACGGCACGATATTGGCGCACTTAAAAGAACGCAAGCACGACGATAATCGACGTATGATACCCACCCAAGTGTCCTCCATTACCACAAGCTGGGGGCCAAAACCGGCCTGATCGATATGCTGGCTGGAAGTTCACCGTTGACATGCGGTGTTGTAATGCAGCATTGGTCTGCGGGCTTGTGGGAAGAGGGCAAAATTCCCAGCTTCGTGGTTCACCTCAGCCTTGCGCCGCAATCCGGTCAATGAGGCATACACACGGAGCTTCTCGACATCAAAGACTACTCCGTGGAATTGTAATGTCCGAATGCAGGCGGCAATGGCTTTTCCACGATTCCCTGTCACAAAGTAAGATGCGTCCTCTCGGTCCATTAGCGTTAGACTATGCCTTCGGGGCGATCCGGTGTCAATCTATCGCCAGCAGCTACCCACCAATATCCTGACTGCGCATTACCTCATTTGGAAAATTTGCGAAACCGACATGACAGAAAAGGCGACCAGCCTGAAGGTACGTCAGCACACGTATCTTAACGTACATATCCAATTGGTCAACAGCGGGTAGTATGTGTGGTATGTCAACCCTTCGATTTGGGCCAGTCTAGCCACACGGATAGTTTGTGATATGCAGTGTTCCGGTAAGTTCATTATGCGGGGTATCCGGGTCAGCAATTCTTCAGCATTACTTCCACTAGTCCTAATACCCAAAGAGCGCAACAATGTGGTCTCACTTATCACGAGCCTTTCCATCCATGGTAATGAAGACTTTATTATGGTTCGCGTTGAACACCTGAACCCGACTCATCGATACCGAGCCTTCTGGATATCGTCAACCATTTCCGTCGGGCTTGAACGGTGAATGTGATTTGTACTAGTCATTGCCCCGCCAACTTACGAGGGCAAAGTCTCATTGGTCGATCGGGAGGCTTCATGAGGGTGCTCCCGTTTGACTATGCAAGCCAACAATCTTCCGAACATCCCTCACAGTCTGATCCACGCTGGTTGGTGTGTACTACAGCCTAGACGTGGGTATTAGCACGAAACTCTCCGGCGAACGAGCGGCCTCTGCATGTCTCACTGTGCAATCCCGTTGATGTGCACCGCCTTGTTGTCCTTCATACACCTCGAATTTGCCTAATTCGCACTTCAACCTCGGTTCAAGACTTCACGTTCCTTTACCGGCTCAATTGTTGCCCTATATTACAGGGTGTTTGGGGGCCTAAAGTGCGGAGAGCCGTTCCTCCCAGTGCACGGAGCCATGAAGTGTGGGGTCTGTGAACGGTGAAAGGCAGACGGCTCATTTCACAGATTAGTGTGCTGCAGCATCTGCTACACGATACCCAAACGGCTGCAGCATGCATCGCTGGAATACGCACTAAGGGACTCTCTCGCTTCACCGTGGCTTCGACCCAGTTCTGAGGCCATGGTAGAACAACGTCGCTTAAGGTTGCCTTGTTGCCTCGCTAACTACGCCCCACCAGGTCTGGTCATGGTAGGACCATTTGTGAACCAATGCATCGAGTCAGTTTCCGATTCATCAGGTTCAAGCGCTCTTATGAGCAGGCGCGTTGTGCGCCTAGATGTGATCGATGGTCGGCCTGGCAGCTCTACCAAGTACAGAAAGCGGGGTTGTCAAACCTCGCAGCCAGCCACTGAGCAAGGCCGTCTATATCAATCATCACCCGAATTGGAATCCCCTGATTGCAAACATCACCGCAGCGAATTGCAACAGACACAGGCATTAATCAAACGGCCATGGTCGTTTGGAATGTGGTGTGCTCAAGCATGAGATCAATGTGACCACCAGAGACATCACGCTCCGCCAAACCGATCACGATAGCAATTCTAGGGCGCAAACGACACGGCTACGCGAACACGAAGCAAGGGCCTTCGGCGACAATCCGACGACTCTCAAACACGGTATGGCACGCGGCAGCACGCCAGTCTGCGGTGGAGATCGGATCGCAAGGGAGCAAGCTCGTGAGCGGGTGCACCATGCTGCGCCTGTGGCCTAGACGATCTGATTATGTAGCAGCAACACTAGCGCAGCAGGAGTCCAGTAGGAGTCTCGGTTCCGTAATCCGCGAACAGGTATCATCCTCCATGGCTTCAACGGGATGTTTGCCGGTCGGAAAGGATCAAGTTGGAAGGCCTGTATGACGCGGCCGCCCGCGATTGCAAAGTCCTGTAGCCTGGAGCGCATACTGAGACGCGGGACGGCCAGGGGCAGCGCACCAAAGGAGCAGGCATCAAAGTAGATAGATTGCCGTTCCAGGCAAGTATGTACTCGTAACGGCGTGGCTGTGGCAGCGGCCTGTCATGCAGCGGTGTAATGTCCGTCATGAGATCACCGAGTGCGAAATTCGTACGACCGCAGTCGGCGGCAGCTGAGTGATCGCGTTGCTTCGTACCTCGGACGCACGCAACGAGCAAACAGGGAAGTAGGAAGAAACAAAAAAAAAAGGCAAACAGAATCAGCGTGCGATGTGGGAATTGAAGTGGAAAAACCAAGTCAGATGCTGATCGCTTCGTTTGCGCTTCAGCCTCTCATCGTGCGCTGGTGACCTCGGCTGGCAAGACTTTTCGGTTTTCGCCTCCACCACAGCTGCGCTGGGTCATCCGACGCGTTTGCAAAGCACCAGTAAGCGCCCCCAAACACGTTGCCTCCGCGATCGGTCTTGGCCGGTGGACTGCGGTGAGCGAGAAGACGAAACTGGTCTGTGGGAGCTGAGGTGCTGAGTTGGCGGGTGTTCACCGTGCGGAAAGTGGGTTTGCCTTGCTGATGGCTTCGGGTGCCAACGAGGTTACGAATCGCATGTCGACTCGTGTTGTAGAGGAGAAGGGGTATCGTTGCGAGAGGTGTTGATTTAGACACTGTAGAGGCTTTTGTTCACCGGAAATCGTGGACCAATGGTCATGGGGTCGCCTCAGGGATGAGGAAAATGAAGCGACCTCAAATTGAAAACGATCTCAACAGTCCCTCATTAATATCATGGACCCTAGCAAAGATCTATTCAGAGTGAGCACCTCAATTGCCTCGGCCCAAGATGGGCCGGGTAGCGGATTGCCTGCTAGAAGAAGTGCTGATAGAGGCTCCGGCTTCCAAATGATTTGCATCTGGGGTCAAATGTTTCTTTATCAACTTCGGTGCTCCTTGTATCGTCGAGGAACTCATTTATAAGGGAGGCATAACCCCATTTTGCAAGAGCGCATAGAGCTCTCAGACCCACATCTTCGCTCTTTCAGAACAAACTATCAATAGCACTTTCTAAAGCTAGTGCACAAGAACGACTTCGCTGAACAAAATGTAATCGGCTAGAGATATGAAGAGATTAATCAGAGAGAAAGTCGTTCACAGCGCAACATAGAAGATGAACTGAATGAACAATTTGTGGTATTTTTCCGCGATGATTCCTCCGGCCCAAGGGCAGTAATGATCCATGCGAGACATGCAGCGATTCAACTCGCTGCAGTGATGAGCCTGGCTCAGGCATGGTTTGAGTTACCATGGGTGCCTATATGCATTTGTATATCTCCCATTCTAATCTATGGCCTACTTGTGTAAGACCGCCACTGCAGCGACTGCAATTATAGCGGCCACAGCCACATCCGTTGCGCACGAACTACAGCCACTCCACGCATTTAAACCAACAGTAAAGGAATCCAAACCCATTGCTATACATTCGTCAGCTGAATCAGGCAGAGAGGCGTTGACCTCAGACCTCGGAGGCAGGTGGGCACCTGGTACTGCAGCAACTGCGGAGACGGCCCACACAGCCCTTTCGTAAGATATGCAGTATCCGAGCGTGAAAACCTCGAAAAGAACGTGACTGGGTCTCTTTGCTTTTCCTCAGCCGTCCCGGGCCAACACATATGCAGCTCGGACTTTGGCGACAAGCGTCCCCACGTCTCAATATCCTAAAGGGCGTGCAGTCTTCTCCGTCCGAAAAATCCAAACTGCCCGTGAAAGACGTACGCAAAGTGACTACTATTCTTAGCAATTCAGGGGCATTGGCGACCTCGACAAATCCAGAAAGTGCTTTGGAAAAACCGTAGACGGCGAGGGACGTGAGCGAGTGCTCCGACACTCTGGCAGACTCTGTTCTTGCTGCTACAACATGCGCGCTTTTCCCGTTGCTCGAAGATCCTGCAAACGCAGCCTTGTGCAGATTCACGATATCTCAAGTCCAGACGAACGATAGCAGAAGTATCGTGCGCCGATCGCTAAGTCTACTTCTGTTGATTCGTTATGGTACTTGCAACCTTCCCCTGCACTGCCTTGCCCTGCACTGTGCCTTAGCACCCACTGCACACCTTCCCCCGCTCTCTTGTACAGACTCTCCCTGTTGAATCCTAAAGAGTCGCGAAAGTCACTTGAATAGCTAGCTGTGCAGTTAATCTCGGGCAACTGCCAGTGTCGCAGCTCTAGGAGTAAAAGACACAGCTTGACCGGGAACCGGAACACGTAACGATTTTGTTCCAGAGTCTCTGCAAGGCATAGCCGAAGTGCCGCAGCTGCAGAAATTCAACATCCCAGGGTGGAGGAGGACATCGTGCAGATGCTGACAAAAGGTTGCAGCGCTGATTGGGTCTATTGGCTGAGTATGAACTTTGACTTGCTGTTCTAGCTGATGCTCGCCTTGGCTGCTTGGAGCCAAATAGCATAGGCTGCCGGTTCTTCTTGTTGTCGCGAGGCACGTTGCGTACACGCCGCTGAGTACGGCTTGTCATCGGTGTTTTCGAAGCATCTGTAACGGGCTTTTCGGACCGTGGGTGTGAAGCACAAGACACATCATAGCTAGTCGAAGTCTTGCTGCATCTCATGACGCACGCAGGATCTGGCTGTAATAAACTATCCCCTGCCATATGTTGTTGCCCTTGCCATCACAAGTTAGGAGTTCCTAGGGTGCCGGCTTGGTGATAAATGGGGACTGAACCGATATTGCATTGCTTTGGTCGTCTACCCTCCAGCAGATGCTTCTGGCCTTTTCATGCAAATCTTGACCCATATGCAAACCTTCTATTCTTACTTCCTCCCCTTGCCCTTCTTCTTCCCCCCTTTGGCCGCACCGCCGCTCTGCTGCTGCACAGCTGCCTTCTCCTCAACCACACCACCTTGCGTAAAACCCTCCGCCTTCTTCTTTCCCTTCCTGCCCTTCGGTCGGTAGTAACTCCGATCCCGCATCGGCAACCATCGCTCCGCATCTATCTTCTTATTCGGATCGAAGTCCTGCGGCATACGCGCCTTCCGTATCCTCTTCGCCTTGGACGGTACCGATTTCGGCGCCGCGCGCTTGCGAGACTCAGACGGTTGGGAGGGTAGTGCGAGCGCGGGGACGCCCGCTCCTTCAAGGGCTGCGGCGTCGATGTCGGAGACGAGACGCGAGGCTTCGGGGAGGATGGAGCGCAGGTCCTCGGGGATGTTGGAGGAGTCGGTGACACTGTAGGCGGCTACTAGACCTGCGATGGCGGCTCGGTCCTCGTTGTCCTGCTTGTACAAGCCATTGAAGATCTCGCCGGCGGTCTTGGCGTTGTCCTGGTTGTGCGTGTCTAGGAGTGCTGTTGCTGCTGCCACCAAGAGGGCCTTGCTTGGTGCCTCGGTCTTCGACTTGTGGGGTTTCCGCCAGTATTCTGCTGCCTTTGATAGTTCTGTTCTTGCGGCTCCAGGGCGGCCTTGCTGTGCGTACAGGGAAACGAGGGTAGCTACTAGTCCAGGAGCGAAGCGTACATCGAGGTCGGAGGCGGAACCAGACTGAGAGAGGCGCGCGAAGAAAGATTCCAGGAGGTGCGTGGCGGCGGCATGGTTGCCGGTGAGAACGTAGAGGTGAGTGATGGTGAGTATGAGGCCGACATCGGTGGGGCGTTTCTCGAGGAGCGGGAGTATTTGTTTCAGGGCGGCCCTTTCGGTTTCCGCAGTGCGGGAGTGCGCTGCTGCATTCAAGACTGCGGCCATATTGACGGCCGGCGAGAGCGAGGGTGTTGCGGCTGCGGATATGACCTTTTCTGTGGATGAAGCTACCCCTGACGCTTTCTTTGAGAGGAGAGAGATGACATATTCATCTTGGCGGAGGAGGTTTGTCTGGAAGGAGAAGTACTGATCGGTCTTGGGCGGTGCGGGAGCAGAGTGGAATAGTCGATGCGAGAGGTAAGGGTTGGAGCTCTCCTTTGACGCAGCAATGGTGTTAACTTGGGCGATGTGGCGAGTGGACAGCTCCTTGATCCTGCCTCCTATTAGCGTGTGCCAGTCCAATACAGTTGCAGTCTTACTCGGTGAACGGAATCGTTTTTGCCACCTGCTCGGCCTCGTCGAACTTCCCCATCTGCGTGAGGATGTAGACCTGCTGCACCTTCATGGGCAACACTTCGGCCTTCTTCTCCTCATCACTCATGTCTTCCACCTCATTGCAACGATCTATCGCCCGCTTCAGACATATGTCTCCTTGCGCGAACTCGCCACGTGCTATGCTCGCGCATGCCGCGTTGTATGCCGTTTCGAAAACGTCTAGATCCTCGCGCGCCGGCTTCTTCTTTTGTGCGAGCTCTCCCTGGCCTGACCACTCCAGCTGCGCGTCTGTGGCTCCGGAATTGATGCGAATGTCGTATTCTTCATCTTCCGCTCCTCGGCTAGCCAGCTCCCGGTACACACGCGAGGCCTGCGCGAAATTCTCTGAGCGGTATGCCTGCCTCCATTAGCGTCACCCTCATGTCCAGCTCAGCCAAACCTCCAACTCACAGCCTGAGCCAGCACGTGCTTCATGCCGCGACCCGTATCATCGTTGCTTGCACCAGCGACCTCGACAGCTCTCGCCGCGTTCCCCGTCTTGTAGAGTGTGTACGCATACTCGAAGCGTGCCTTTCCCTGCAGCTCCTTCACCTCCTCAAACACCTTAAGCGCGTCCTCAAACCGATCCAGATGGAGGAGCGCGATCGCCCTCACATGGTGCGCCTGCGTGTCCGTCTTGGACTTTTTGATGGCAGCATTGGCGGCTTGTAGAGTTTCTTCGTGATCGTCAATGGTGGTCTGCGCGAGCAGGGCGGAGAGAGACTTTGTTGCGGCGGCCATTGTGTGTTCCCTGGACTATCTGGTATCCATCGGGCGGTTTGTGAGAGCTTGCAGGTGTTGCGGCAGCGAGGCGGGGTGGATGCCGGACTCGCGTGTCGTTGGCGGGGATCGAGTGGGTTGCCTCTAAGCGAAAAGTTCGGTGGTCTGTGCACAGGCGGGAGGCTTACAACCTCCAACGTGAAGGTGAACAGGCGATGTATATAGTAGCAGGTCTACTTCATAAATACTTGGAGTAGTCCGACAACCCCAGCATAATCCATGGGAGATTATACGTAGTAATGCGGCTCCAGCTTATATCTGGTCATCATGTTTCCAAGAGACTACATGTCCAGGATGTACGCGCACGCGTGAATAGTCTACATGCACTAACATTGATGTACAGAGGCTTTGCAGCCATCAGGCCGTCCCATGAGCCTTCATTGACAAGCGACTTTTCCGTTTCCGTATCAATCTCAGATCCCGTCCAAATGACAACCGTTGTAACCCAAGGTATAGAACGCCGACGCCGTCGCTTTGCAAAATCAATTGACATCCTCAAATTCGTCCTCGTCGCTCTCGTCGCCGCCGTCGCCCGTAGAGATGGCGGGTGTGGCTGCACTTGTGGGCGTAGGAGCGGCGGAAGATTCTAGCTTGACACGCTTTGAGTCTGGAGCCGTATCCACCATGGCGTCCTCGAACTCATCATCATCATCATCATCTTCCTCGTCATCGTCGTCCTCTGCCTCCTGCTTCGCGCGTTCGGCAGCAAGCTGGGCAAAGACATCGTCCAGATTGCCGGCTGGGTCGGGCTTGATGTTCACCATCTCCGCCTTAATTGAAGGCGTACCTGTGCCGTTCGTGGCGGTGATCGGGGTCGCGGCGCTGCTAGCTTGGCTCTTGTCGACAGTAGACTTGACGTGCCAGGAAGGAAGCTGGTTTTGCGCGGCAATCCTCTCCTGGCGCGCCTTCTCTTGGGCGTGTGCATCTTCGTTGTAGTCTGAGCTGGACTTGATAGTGACGTCGATCTTCTCGACGACCGTGTTAGTGCCCTTGACCGCGGCTGGTCGTACCGAGTTTTCCTGGACAACCTCGTGCTTCGCACCGGGATTGATTTCTTTGTCTCGGGGAAGCTCGACAGCTCCTTCGACGGCGTCCTTTCCTTCGATGTGTGGAATAGTAACGCCATCGACCCGCTGCATGAGATCAAGGATGGGCTTGAATTGCTTATTGAACTTGGCAGGCGTGTCATCGCTATCGAGGTCCGGTCCTTCGTCATCGCCAAGATAGATGAGTGGGCGGAGGCATTTCTTGCACAGGAAGCCGCTCTCGCGACCCATTGGGTCTATGCTGTCCAACACCTCGATCTGGGTGTACTGGGACTCGCAGCCTATGTTCCTGCAGACGTATTCAAATTTCTCGGTAGTTGGTTTTGCGTCCTTCTTTATGCGCGCATCGATCTTGTGGATCTTGAGCTTGACAGAGTCGATGGCTCGGCGGTAGTCTATGTAGTAGTAGTCGCGGGTGACAGCCTTGAGAGCACCTTCGCGTGTCTCTTGTCGCGAGAAGCTGGACAGGTTAGCTTTTTTGCTGTCGCCAGTTTCTCGAGGTGCACGTACATTGAGATGAGCCCGGCCTGGTTCAGCTTTCCAATGTACTTGTTCACCTGCTTTGTGCTTTTGCCCATGTCCAGCACGATGACCAGATCTGGCGTATTGAGCCTGGACTCGTCAGCTCAGTATCAATTTCGCTGAGGGTCGCGGGCGCCAACGTACGCGCCATGGAAGATCAGCGCGTCAACGATGACAATGTGCTCCGTGTCATAGAACATGCGCACCGCCGTCTTGACAAAGAGCTTGCCGAGCTCCAGCGGATCCATGGCGGCGGCAGGCGGCGTCAAGCCTCGGAAACACAGATGGTGGGTCTCTGGGAGCGCGACTCGGTGGCGGGGTTACGACGGCGAGGGCGGTTGAAGAAAGTAGAGCGGATGCGCTCGAGGCACCGGAGCGGACGCAATGTGAGAGACAATGGCAAGGCGGTGGGGCGGGCGGTGAGCCACCTGCCTGCCAAGACTTGCAGGTTCCAAAATTTAGTTAGGTGCGAAGCTCCCCACGTTGTCGCATCCCGGTGCTCGCATCTCTACCTATGCCCACTTGCTTGCCAATATGGAGCATGCTTCTGAGAAGCCCGACGCGCCAATGGCCTCTGAGAACAATCGTCGCAACGATTCGGGGGATCACGACAGAAAGCGCAAGCGCGACGACCGCGACGGCGGGCGTGGACGTGGGCGCGGGCGCGGCGGCAGGTCCCTACAGCACGGCAGCCATCAACATAAGAAAAGAAATATGGGGCGTAAGGAGCATCAGTGAGTGACCCGCGGGGCCGATATGCGCTTCTCTAACTAAGCAGCCGCGATCAACTAGACAGGCGCGAGCGCAACGCAGAAGAACAGGAGAAGAAAAAGCGGAAAGCAGAAAGTGGTGAGAATGAGGCTCCGGCGCTGCCATCGGCATTTCCCGCGGACGAGGTCGACGCTGAAGAACGACGTCCCAAGCGCAAGGTCGCCGTTATGATCGGGTACTCTGGCACCGGCTATAAGGGCATGCAGATCGACAACAAGCAGAAGACCATCGAGGGCGATTTGTTCAACGCCTTCGTCAAGGCGGGTGCGATATCCAAGGCGAACGCCGACGATCCGAAGAAGTCGTCGCTAGTGCGATGCGCGCGGACTGACAAGGGCGTGCATGCTGCAGGAAACGTCATTTCGCTCAAGTTGATCATCGAGGACGACGATATTGTTGAGAAAATCAATGACAATCTATCTGAGCAGATCAGAGTCTGGGGCATACAGAGGACGACCGGATCTTTCAGCTGCTACCAAGCTTGCGACTCGCGGTGGTACGAGTACTTGATTCCCACGCACACCTTCTTGCCTCCGCACCCATCTAGCCATCTCGGAAAGAAACTGGAAGAGATTGCGGCGAAAGAAGGCGATCTGGAAGAGTATCGGAAGCGCCAGGCTGAGGTCGCGCATTTTTGGCCCGAGGTAGAAGAGAAGCACATCAAGCCAATTCTGGAGACACTTGACGACTCGATACGGCCGCTTGTAGAAGAGGCCTTATACAGCGTCGATGCGGTTGACGCTCCAAGAGACGACGATCCCGCCATCGAAGCAGCCATCGAGACCGAGAAGGCAACTGAACCCACCACGGATGCAGAGATGACCGGCACAACAGACAAGCAAGCTGGGCAAGCGGAGAACACAGCTTCGAACGAGCCAACAAGTCAAGAAGTCAAGGATACACTCGACACCATCCAGAAACAACAGCCCGACCTCAACCTCAACTCCGAGACCGATGGCGCAATTCCCCTCCCCGAAACCGACGTCAACAAGCAAGCTCTCGAAGCCGCCGTCAAAGTCCTCAAGAAAGCCTACCTCGATGCAAAGAAAGCCTACCGCATCTCCCCCGAGCGCCAAAAGCGTGTCCAAGACGCACTGAACCAGTACGTTGGCACGCACAAGTTCCACAACTACACCGTCCAGAAGAAGTTCAACGACCGCTCTGCGCAGCGCTACATCAAGAGCTTCAAAGTCGAGGACAAGCCCATCATCATCAACGACACAGAGTGGCTGTCCCTCAAGGTGCATGGCCAGAGCTTCATGATGCACCAGATTCGCAAGATGGTCGGCATGGCAGCGCTGACGGTGCGCTGCGGGACTCATCCCAAGATCTTCCAGCTGAGCTTCGAGAACAACGTCGTGCGCATCCCGAAGGCGCCGGGCCTGGGCCTGCTGCTCGAACGCCCCGTGTTCGACTCGTACAACGAGAAGCAGGCCAAATCGGCGGGCAGGGAGAACATCGATTTCAAGAGATACGAAAAGCAGATTGAAGACTTCAAGGAGCGCGAGATCTACCAGCGCATCTTCAGGGAGGAGGCGCATGGGAACCAGTAAGTGATATCACTGTCTAATCGATGAGACATGCGTGCGGGGACTGACCGAGTGGCAGATTCAACTCCTTCTTCACGCATCTGGATAACTACCGCGATCCCATCTTCCTGTATCTCACGTCGGGCGGACTGGCAGCAACGAAGAAGCTGAACAACAAGTCCACGGTGCAAGACAAGTTCGAAGAGTCGGACGACGAGAATGCATCGGGAGGTGAGGGCTGAGTCTGGGGAGGAATATAGTAAATGTGCCCATGGATGCAGACTATGTACCCTCGAATATCAGAGCTTTACGATTGTGGAGATCATACACACCATCAGGTTGGGGAAAGGACGTATAACGTGTACACTGCAGTCGTGGGCTCGCTGCAAAATATAGCCCGTGACCGCGGACCCTCAATTATAAGCTACAAGGCTCCGCTTTCCGCTCCGCTCCGCCTTCACCACTCACATGCACAAGGCGTTGATGTAATTGTACAAAAGAAAGGGATAAGGGTATGTACAAGGTGCCGCCCGGATGCCGAACCATTCTCATCATTCCTACTCGCCCGCAGCGTTCAAATCCACGATGATGTTGATCCCCGCGACCAGGACCTCGGCGAAGATGAGGATGATGACGATCCACTCGAGGAGCTCGCCCTGCGCTTGTGAGTACCTTGTCTATCACATGCAAGAACGGGGTTGGGCAAGGGCAAACTCACATGCGTGACCGTCAATTGGTCCTTCAGCACGGCCAGCAGGTCGCCGATAACGTTCAGCCGCTCCGTCAACAGGCTCACCCGCTGGTCCATCTCCAGATAGCTTCTTACAGCCTGGTACACGGGATCCAGCTGGGGCTCTGCCCACATGAGCTCTGGCGCGTCTAGCACGCTGCCCTGCAAATGTATGCTTATCCTTAGGATGAACAGCTGCCCGATCTGCATGTTGATCTGCTTCTTGTTCAGATTGATTTTTCCGGAGCTCGCAATCTGCGCGGGGATGTCCTTTGTGTCGTCGATGGTGTTGTCAACGAGGTCCTCGAACAGCGACGTCTTCACGGACTGCGAGAGGCCGTGGGAGATGGCGAGCTTGATCATGTAGTTTTTCTTGTCGCGGAGCGATATGAAGTCGTTGTAGATGCGCGCCTGGTACTCGCGCGTGTAGTAGAAGTTGAACTCCTCGGTTTCGATTTCGTCTTTGCCGAGCTTGTCGACTTCGAATTTGGCGATCTCTTTGAGGAAGCGTTTCTCTTCTTGAGTCGTCATACCCCATGTTACTACTGTGCCATATTCGAAGAGGAATACTTCGGGGGTGTGCACCAATGTGTCGAAGTCTTGGGTGTCCATGGAGGGGTCGGAGTCTGCATGCATGGGCGCGGGTCGTTCTTGCTGTTCGGAGCCTTCGCCATGTCCTATTGATGGTGCATCGTTGTTATCTTGCAGGTCTATCAGAACTTCTCTCCTTCGTTCGTTTTCGGCATCGACCTGTGTAAGGTTAGCCTACGGTCCGCGTGCATATTCAATAAGCATCGCAATTGACATGGTGCTATATGTACAAAGGTACTGAATGGGGATGCCGAGCTTCGTATTCGATGCCACTTACCTCAATGGCGCTATCGGAGTATCTCCTTTGGCGCTCTGGTGGTTGCTCCTCGGCGCTTGTACTCGCAATCTTCTCTGGGCCTTTGGTCCCGTAGTTGTACGGTGAGTATATACACTCGTCGAAGCGCTTCGGCTGAGCGCCTCGTAAACGTGCCTTTCCTTTGAGGAAGCGCATCAGCTCGTCCATCTTGTAGGATGCGGCGGTGCAGTAGGCCGTCACTCTGGGCAGTCGCTCGCGGTCAGCCTTTCCCAGGCGGGCAGCATCTCTTCTCGCGGTGGGGTCTTTGATGCGTGTGTACTGCACGTAGACATCGCGGCCACTCTCTTCGTCTGCGTCCTCTTCGGCATGCTCTGGATCCGGCAGGAGCTTCAGCTTCTGGGCCGTCCTTGTTGTTCTCTGGGGGCCAATCTTGGGGGCTGGGTTCTGGTGCGGGAGCATGGCAGCGCCGGAACTGTTCCTTCTCCTCAGTCGGTTGTTGAGGGAGGCCATCATCGGCTTCCCACCCTGGGCGAGCGCATTTGAGGCGGGTTGAGGGCTCGACGGGGGTGCTGCGCGTGGCTGCTGCTTGGGGCTGCTGGACTGGACGGTGGGATTGAAGGTGACGGTCCTCTGCGGCTTGGGAGCGACAGGACGGGGCCCAGCCGAGCCGGCGATGGAGGAGATGAGCGGCGTGGTTTCGGTGGAGCTCGACGCCATGGTGTGTGCTTTCCACGGGGGTGTCGCAATATCGGGGCTTCCGAGCGGGCAGAGGGCGATTATAAGAACAGCATAGCCGGGGAAGCAGGCACGGGCAGCCCAGTCGCCGTGTGTGTGTTGCCGTCGTGGTGGGTGCGAAAGAAGCGTCGGCCAGAGCTGCCCTGCTGGGAATGCAGGCATGACGTTTCCAGGCTCTTTCCTAGCGGGCCCCGCACTGACCACCACGCCCGCCGGGTGGAGCCCCAACGGCCACCTCGCAGACGCATCTGAGCCTTCCGCTGGCATTGCACCTTGACGACTCCACCGCGACGTTATCTCCATTCGCACGACTCTGTGCCATGCGCATGTGCACTAGATGACGATTCCACGAACCACCCCCTACCCGCTCCCATGACGAGCATGCTGCGTCTCAATGATCCCTAGATATTGCAATAAGAACTCCAGCCTAGATGGAGGGAAAGCAGTTCGCGCAGGGTCCTTTCCATCTACCACAAGACTGCTGCTTTCCCAGTCCAGGGTCACGACTGGGTTCCCCGGCCCCGGCGTTGCGGCTGAACTGCTGATCCCAACATCTCAAGCGCAACCATCACAGTCCAGTATGCCTTCGGCCCAATGCGCGCCGATACTACCTTGAACTTGTTACATGCACTCTGCATCCTCTCTCCGCGCCGTCTCAGACTCAATGGGTCAATTGGCGATCCTGCTGTCAGGCAGCACATGTATGCCTAGTCTAAATTCTAGGCACTCTCGCGCGAAACGGCGCGGCAAGCACCCTACAAACATGCAGCTGCAGTACTTAAGCATACCATTGCAAAGATATTTCTTTCATTTCAAATCATTGTTATAGAACCCATCAATCCTCCAGCGGTTTGCCCAATCCGAGTGCGAATAGATTGGCCAATTGTACCCAGGATTTTCTTTTGGTACTGCACCATCCACATCACCATGTATGACCCATTCCTCCCCATGTTCACCAACCCGCATATGTGGGCATCGTCCCAAGTCGACTACGCCACGCGCCGACTCATTTTGTGAGCCTGATGATCAATCGTCGCCCAATTCACAACTCTAATATCCTCAAGTGTAACCTGGAAAATGGGAACCATCAAGGACACCGTCCGCAAGCTCGAGCGCGAAATGACCGGCCTCCGCCTCAAAATCCATGAAAAAGAAATCGCCCTGAAAGTAACATGGGACAGCCGACACAGAAAGAGCGTAGAGCTGTATAGCAAAGCACACCTGCAAGACTGGTCTGCAGCTCTCTACGCCAAGCTACCTCGCGAGCTCCGCGATATGATCTATACGCTCAGTCTCAACAATGACTGGGATGACCAGATGCTGGTCGACAGTCTGACAGTTCTGTATGGCTTCGGTCGCCCGCAGGTGTGGAACCACGATCAACTGCGCGAGTATGTGCTGCTGGACCGGTCGTTCGTCAAGAGAGAAGTGGCCATCGAAGTCGCAGAGATGATCTATAGGCGCGCCGAGGTCCCGTCCTTTGGGATGAACCGCCGCGAAGGCAAGCCCCGCGTCCTGCACTTGAAGGAGTTTCTCAAGCGTGATTTCTTCGGCCTAGGTACGTACTGCTTCCACTATGCTAGAAAGAAAAGCCACAAGATCAAATACTACATCACTCCTCGCGGGTATCACAGCACACCCGCCCCGTCCCCACCCATCCTTCCTTCAAATACTGACCCAACCCAGGCGTCCTCCCTGCCGCCCACATCCGCCGCCTCGAGCTCAAACTCCTAAAAAACAAGCTCTCCACCAGGAACCAGGACGCTCTTCGCGAGAACCTCAAGGCCCTGACCCTCTGTGCCCACAACCGCCACTTGCGCATCGACGTCACCTTCCCCCGCGGCAACTCCGCCATCGATGTCCTCTTCTTCCTGAACATCCTGTCCTCCACATACAAAGCTCTCGCGTCGCCGAACATCACCTTCGACATCACCTACAAGCGGCGCGTGCACGAAGCCGACCCCCCGGACGCAGACAGTGATGAAACCCGGGAACTGAATCTCACGCACATGCTCGAGCTGCCGCAGGGGATGTGGAAAGACCACATGATGGCGCTGTGTGAGTGCGTAGGGAAGCTTTCGGCGAAAGAGCAGCGATGGCGCGGGTACCGGGCGTTGAGGAGGGAGAAGGATGTCTGGGCGGATATGGAGACGGAAGGGGACACATTGGCGATAAGGGATCCGCACGGGCGGGATGTGTGGGGTCAGTGTGGAGAAATTGGGTGCACGCCATTCTGGGGCGAGTCTTGGGATCAGGAGCATTGGCTTGGGGACAGGTGCGAGGAGGTGGGTGAGGATGGGATCGAGGATTATTCGAGGGAGGGTGCTTGAAACTGCATGGCGAGATGGAGGAGGTTGAATTTTTTTTTTAGGGGCTGCATCTGCGGTAAAAAGAAAGATGGTCTGGGATATTATTCTAGGGGAGTTGTAGCGTTGCTTTCCTTCACTTCGACTACTGGACTTGGTCAGCGTATTATGACGCTGATCATCGAGTCCTGCCTCGAGTCCGTCCCAGACCGCGGTCTCTGCAGGGTCTATGCATCGCTTCACTCCATAGAATGACACACGACCGCTGAGACACAATACCTACCCTACTCTACGGCACGATAAACCCATTGAATCGCAATATGGAACACCCAGTTTATGTTCGGTCTAAGATGTGAATGCCCCTTATGGCGACTCTCTTGGCTTACTGACGGCAGGCCAGTTCGCAGCGCGCAATACCCTACGATGTCATTCCTCAACCCCTTCAAACTCTTCCAGTCGCGGAAGAAGACGTCGTTCCTCGGCCTACCTGTTGGTACGTATCCCTAGACTTCGCTGGTTCATTCCTCGGCCAGACGCTGACCCAGCAGAGCCCTCCGGAACCGTATCTACGAGGTCGCCCTGGGCAGCGGACGGATTTCAGCAGTTTTCCCGTCAAAGTGCGGTCTTTTGAAACAGATCGCGAGAAGCGCTGTGAAGGCGACATCATGACCAAAACTTCCCTAGAGGGAACGCCAGGGTGGTCACTGCATTGCGATAGTGGCGACCGGAACGACCGTGCTCTTCGCGGAGGCAAGGTCCGTGAGCGCCTAGGTATCTCTTCACTGCTACCAATGCACGTGGACCGTCGTTGCACCGGTCCCACGTTCTTCCTTCCCCCTAATCCGGTGACCAGTCATGGCGTTACCAGAACCAACTCTCGTACTACCGGTCCGGAGCTCCTTCACCGTACTAGCGATCTGAAGTTCGGCCTCTGGGAGAACAACGCTATCCCTGATCAATAGCTTCTCGGCATGTTGGGTTATTATGAAATATTCTGAACCGTAAGCCGCCGTTCTTCCGAATGGTCAAGGTGCGTCGCGTAAAAGTTCATCGAGTCGAGGATCGAGCCCAAGGAGAGACTCAACGAGGTGATTATGTATCGCGAACAAGGGCATACGGCGTGGTGTCCGTGAGTGTGAGTGACGTGGAATTGTTCTTTTCGAATCTTCTTGGAAACGGGTGAGGGTGTAAATAATTTTGATTCATTCTAAAGCTGAGATAAACTTTGGACCGATGCGCATCGAGCTGTGCCAAGCAGGAGTGATTTTGACCGGGAAGCTGCACTACAGTCCACGTCCAGTGATGGCCCAGAAGTACTAAGGCATTGTCCTAGTCTCGATTGCGTCACGTCGTGGAAGGTGCACAAGCTATCGAGCTACAGCAGCCTCGGTTGCCTTCAAACTGCCAACAACAGCGAAGCATATGAGTGGTGTGATGGCGTAGCTAATCTGCAGACCAATTAGTATGTGTTACATCGTCAGGGATTGAAAATTCTACCGTCAAGAACTTAGCAATGACCATCTTCTCCTCCTCCGGACTCCCTGTCACGTCAGTCAATGCCACCAATATCATTGCGGAAGGTCCAGACGACATCAGCATCATGGCGAACCACAGCATAGGATCAGTGCTTAGTACGGTCGTTCTCGTTGCAAGGGCGTAGATCAAAGGTATGGTGACTGCTGGCCAAAAGAAGAAGCGCATCGAGAACACAAAGGCCATGCTTTTCTTGGATATGGTGCCACTGTCCTTGCCCGCTTTCATCTTACGCAGGCTTTGGCTCAGCTTCACGCCCACAACGATAATTTGCGTCGTGGCAAAGAGCTCGCCGACATTCTTGAAGGCAGTAGTGAGCCAGGCATTGAGGTAGCCACCGTTGTTGCTGTCGTTGAAGAAAAGGCGATGCAGGGGCGGCGTCAGGCCAATGATGGCGCCTACGATAGTACCCAGCAGGGGAGCGTTGGCGAACTGGTACAGAAAATCGAGCAGCTGTTGTGCCCACGGTGGTAGGCTCTGGATCCATTTCGTGGTGCGCTTGTAGCCTCGGCGTTCCAGGCGGTTGATTGGGCGAACCGCGCGCTGTGGGAGCAGCGAAGTCTCCTCATCGACTATGCCGTCTGGTCCTCGCTCCATACTTTCTTCTTCACCATCGCTCTGCTCGTCTTCTTTATCATCCTCGTCTGGGGCATCCTCATCGCTTGGGCGCAGCAGCCGGGGGCCGAGGGCAAAGGTCAAGCTGTTGCTGACCATTGCATTGATTAGAAAGTACGACTCGGCGCGATCAAGCGCCTTTGACGCGTCGTCGCCCGGTGGAATAATGGCATCGAGAACGCCCGTTGTGGACAGCGACTGAATGAGCAGCAGCGGCAGACTTGTCGTGTTGTTGAACGCAACGGCAAGCTTAACCCAGTTGGGCAGTTTGAAGACGCGACAGGCGATGACGCCAATGCCCAGCGAGATGAGCGTATAAGAGATGGACCAGATGAGGATGGGCAGATAGAGAATGCCGGTGTCCTTGTTCAGGTTGCTGCCAAGCTTGTAGATGAGCAAGGCAGGCAGAAACATGCGCACACATGCCCGCGACACCTCCTTCGCAGCTCCCACAGAAAGAAGGTTGAACTGCGCAGTCAGGACGCCAAAGAAGATGGTGATCAGGACGGATACCGAGGCCTGGAGGGCGCCCACGAATGGCACCACGAGGTCGGACGTGTCCAGGCCCATGGTCGATCAAGAGAAGGAGCGAATTGCTATGAACAGCAGAGAATGGTATAGTGCAAGGTACGTTACAGGGACTCCGGCAAGGACATTCCGTTCTTATGAGGAATCCGTATCGCGGCGACAAGTGCATGGCGTCGCGAGGCCGTCGCGCTGATGTCATGGCGATAAGGCACCAAGACCCGCAAAACCAAACGCAAGGCCCAGGAACAGGGAATTGCTCGCGTGCCTAGCTTTCATCTGAGGCAAGTCTGCATGCCAAGGGCGTCATTTCATTCAAGCCAAAGGTGCAAACGCGCTAATTCTATCTTTACGGTTTTCGTGTTGCGTCGTGCTTGAAGTGCCTTGCCCAGCGACGTGCGGGGGCTCCACACTCCAACCGCCAACACCAGTCGTACCCTGCATCGTCCACCACCTTGATCAGGCGACCCCAACTCGGTCTTCTTGGCCGATGTTGGCTCTCGGCCTATACGAGTCCTTTCACATACTTCTTCCAGATCTCCAGAAACGCACCGCGATCGGCCTTGCTCTGAAACTTGACCTCAAGCTCCGAATAGCCAAAGCGATTCAAATTGGCTGCTGCTCCCTTTCTCTGTCCACTGCTGAAGATGGAAGATCTCACCGACGTGACGCTGACCGCTGATGACGACACGATGGAGCTCCTCGTGCCTGCACGGCTCAGGCCTGGCCTTCCGCTGTCCCCTTCTTGCTCAGACGACTTGGACGACTTCCGCCGCTGGAACACTTTATCCCGAGTCCACTTACCTGGCTCTTTGGAGAACACGAGCTGCAGTTTATCCGAGCTCTTGCTGTATGCCGACTCGTCGAGCCATTGGAACACGTAGTGTGGCTCTTCCACCCAGTGCGCCTTCTCGCCTGGAAGCGCGCTAGTGTAAAACAGCAGGATGAGGACGTCGGCTGACTCCAACCCATTCGGTCCCACACGCACTTCAGTCTTCCTCCACAACCTCAAGTTCTTGCCTCGACATTCTGGTTTGTTGAGGTTGGACGATATGCTCAATACTGGGCGGTCGTACAACAGCTCCGCTCCCTCTTTACCGTTGTTTGTATACAGCAACGTCTGCAGTTTGTCACTTGACGCTGCCTCGGACATCAAATACTTGACGTCTATGCACCTTTTCTCCAGTCTTCCATGTGAGTGCCTGGGGAAGTCGATTGCCACATCTCCATCAGGGAACGACGTTGTCAAGGGAATGCTAGGCCCGGTTGCGGGGAAATGCTGGGTGATCCAGACCTTGACCTCCTTGCTGGTTCCAGAACGATAAACGGAGCGGATTGAGATCCCCGCGTCCTCTCGATAGCGCCAATGGAGATCGCACTCTCTGCTCTCGGATCCTTGCGCAGTCACTCGCTCGACCATAGCCTTGCGGCACAGTTTGTTCCATTGCAAAGCCCCAGGGCCCAACGCAATACTCAACAATGAAGCAGCTGAGAGCTTCCGGCGTAGAGGTCGTGCCGCATCTTCGGGTGTGGTTCCCGCTGTGCTAATGCCTAGTCCAGGAGCTGATCGGCGAGATTCTGGCGACTGGCTGAAGCTCGACATGGATGAAGTACGCGCTCCCGGTGACGATGGGGCCTCGGAAACAGAACCCCAGTCGACAGTATCGAAGTATGACTGCGGAACCTGAGGGCTGCCAGTTGGCGAAGCGCATGGAGAAGGCGTGGTGAGACTAGGCCGCAAGGTATGCATCGAGTCGCCCATAGAGTTACGGGCGTCAAGTCCCGCCAAACTTGCCATGGAATCAGAGTTGAGTGTCTGTATGGTGCCGGTCCTCTGAGGAATGTGCGGCAGATTCCTCATTTCCTGGCGGATGGCGTCGCTAGGCGCAAGATTGGTCCTCCTTTCTATGGCCAATCTCTTCGCACGGTTCTCTTCGATCATTATCGCGTCCTCGAGCTCTCTTCTCAGGTGATAAAGCACTGCTGCCGTTTGCTCGTCCCCGTTCTGTGTTGCTGCAGGTGTTGCACCCCAGGACGACGGCCGCGCCGAGCTTCCATTTTCGATTGCCAGACGCTCGTCCTCGTTCTTTAGCCATCGACTGAAGATTAGCCAGTCTTTATACAGCTGATCGGCTTCTGACGGGGCGGGCAGGGCATTGGGCGCGGTTCGTGAAGAGCTACCGATAGTGTTTGTCGTGTACGCGTGGCCACCGAAACTGACACTGCGGAACGGTGCGAGGTCCAGTAGTCTTTGGGTTTGCTTGGTCGCCTCCAAGTGCAAGCGCCTGGTTCATGTTAGCATATATGATCGACACATGAAACCAGGGCCTTCGGCATGTCCACAGGGACCATTGCAAGCCCTGGAAACAAGCCTTTAGTGCAGCGCCATTGCGAGATATAAGTCCACTATGGGACCCCAGGAAGGCTGACACCCAAAAGCTTGTCTTGGGATGATACATATCAAGAGAGGAACTCACAGTTGCAGGAACGAAGTACACATCTGCAGGGCCTGGTAATGACCCATTATCACGGTTCTCAAATTTGCGATCTCCTTCTCTTTGCCAATGTACCGGATGGTATACACGAACTTCTTCATGCTCATCTTTCTGTCCACAAGATGATTCGCGTATGGCTCTATTGTTTCCTCGCATCGCTGAAGAGTCTCTTGGAAGTCAAGATATGGAAAGGGCAGTGGTTTTCCGTATTCGTTCATCAGCTCACTGAGCTCAAGCAGACACTGATGGAAGGAGCTGAACTCGCGCACGAGTCCCGACACCTGCGTCTCGGAATTGTCGTTTGCATCTGCGCACTGTCAGTCAACAGCCCCAAAAGTGACGCCGAGCGTAACAGGTCTGGTTCACCTTTGAATGCGAGATAAACACGCGTCGAAACCTGGACAAGCTTCACAACATCAGAGGGACTGAAGCCGAACGACATCACTGCTGGCTCTGCGGGCCGCGCTCGAGCGCAGTTCCACCCGGGGGTAGCTTGCTCTCATGCGATGGGGATGTGGGCGCGACAGGAGGGCTGTCGCATGAGCAGGCTGCCGAGCTGGTCGAGGGATGTTGTAGTCGTTGGCTGGGGGGGCGGCCGTGCTGCCACGCTCATCCCTACCCACCCGCGTGGGACGTCCAAACAGCTGGACAAGGCGCAGCGTTATGGCCTGCTGCATCCGCCTGCAGGGCGCATCGTTTCCAGTCCATTATGGCATCCAGAAGGCGTACCATCTCGTGTTGAGAAATGTGGCGTTGATGGTGCCTGTCCTGGCGAATCAGACGAGGCGCAGTTTTGATCAATGGGAGGGCGGCATCAACAACGTGGGGCCTCCTCCAACATCAATTGATGTCTTGCGATTCTCGCTTCGCTCGCACCACAAGAGCTTCGAGCGCTTTCCTCCATCCAAGGCACTATCCGAAGCAGCTCCCCGCGTGCTTTGTACCTGGTAAGCCATCGCGTACCTGCAGGCCCTCGTGACTCGCGTGGAACCACTCATTTGCGGAATATAGCAACTGATCACAGCCCACGAGCAACTATCCGAGTCACCGCGAATACGAGACACTATTGCTGCTCCACGTAGAATGAGGCTTCGACACGCCTGGGGCGGTGCTCGAGTCTGGATGCGGGAAGGCAGCCAACGCTTCTGACAGCAATACGAAAAGACACTTTATCCTAGAAGGCTCACCGGTCTGTTTGATTGAGCCTGGAGCCTTATGCCATGCACTCCTTTTCGTCGCGCCTCGCTAGTGGTGGCTGAGGTTGAGTATTGCCCATCATATGAAGGATGACTTCGCAGACGAAGCCGCGCACCACACGCAAGCGCGCAATCAATCTCCGCTTCCATTACCTACCCGGCATATCATCTTCCATCTCGTCATACTCCTCTGTCACTGTCACGTGGTCCTCTAAATGGGTCTCCGCAAATGGCTTGGCCGACCTATGAGAGGCCACCATCTTGGTGTTGAAGATTTGACCAGAGGTGACGAGGGCGTTCCCGTACGTGTATTCTGATGTTTCTTATCGTGATTTCAGCGTACTGATTTGTGCAGGCTACAAAGCGTCGTCGATGGGCACTTCAGACAATCGATTCGGCCCCATTTCAGGCCTGGGTCGTCGTCGTGGCAGGCATTGGCTTCTTGACAGACTCCTTCGCTCTCTTCTGTCTGAATGTCGTCACACCAATGATCGGTTATGTCTACTGGTCACACAACAAGGACAGCGATGGCACGCCGCAACTTCCAGCTTCGGTAAAAACTGCGTTGATGTGTTCAACCCTCGCCGGAACTATGTTCGGACAGATCGCTTTTGGTGTCGCTGCCGATCAACTTGGCCGCAGAAAAATGTACGGGCTCGAGCTCGTTATTGTCATCGCGGGAACGTTCCTGATGATCATGAGCTCAAACGGCGAAAAGAACAGTATGTCCGTAGGCGGATGGCTCATCGCATGGCGGACCATAATGGGCCTGGGAATCGGCGCGGACTATCCTCTCTCTGCTGTTATTACGGCTGAGTTTGCTCCAAGGAAGCATCGCGCCCGTATGCTTAGTTGGGTCTTCTTTGCGCAACCCATCGGCCAGCTCCTAGCTAACGTACTCTCCCTCGCGGCCGTTGAAGGATTCAAATCCCAGATTACCACGCTGAATCCGGCATGTGCTGACGGTGACGAAGGCCTGCGATGTTTCAAGGCCATCGACCGGTTATGGAGGATCGTGGTGGGAATAGGTTTGTTTAGCCCAGGCACCAGGTCACAATGTTGAGTACTTGTCTCTCTTTGAGGGTAGCATAGTGACTTAAGCATTTGTCCAGGTATTGTAAGAAGGGTAATAGCCAGCTGACTTGATACAGGTATGATCCCAGCAATCATTGCTCTTGCTTTCCGCTTCACGATTCCCGAATCTCCTCGATATAAGCTCGACATCTTGCGCAATGTCCACACGGTGTTTGAAGATACGAAGGACTATTTTGGGGGGCCCGAAGTAGATGCAGAGGGTGGTGAACTGGAAACAATGCCCACCAGCCCAAACATAGATGACCAAGATCTCTCTCGAGTCTCGACGTCGTCTGAGATCGCTCTGGATGAGGTAGTAGGTAGTGACAGTGAATCCGAGCGGAGGCCCAGTTCCGTCCACCAACGTCCAACATCGTTTCACCACATCCAGTTACCACCGGGTGACCCGAGTTATGGTGAGTGGGTATCATGTGTTTTGATTCTGTTGTTGACCCAGCTTCAGTCCCCCCGCTTGCCTCTTGGGCAGACGCGAAAGACTTCTTCATTGTTCAGGGAAATTGGCAATATCTTCTTGGCACTTCTCTCTCATGGCTGTTTTTGGACTTCGCATTCTACGGTTTGGGTCTTTCTTCTCCCGATATCGTCCGTCATATCTGGCAAAATCCTGGGTCAGACAAATCAGCATCATCTGTCTTTGATGCTCTGCGCGATAACAGTCTACACACCCTCATCATGGTCTCTATCGGCGCGGTGATTGGTGGCGCTGCGATGATCAAGGTCATTCGGTACGCGAGTCCCAAGGTGATCCAATTCTGGGGGTTCCTGGTTCTGTTCCTACTCTTCATCGTCACCGGCAGCGCGTGGACCAAGCTCCTTGACAGTAGTCGCTCCGGATTGATCGTTCTCTACGTTTTGTCGCAGATTGCGTTCAACCTCGGACCCAATGTCACGACGTTCATAGTAAGTCGAGCAATTTCCATACGAGATAACCGACTAAATTTGGCCTCAGATTCCTGCTGAGATATTTCCGACTCGTTACCGCTGCACTGCGCACGGCATTGCAGCAGCATCTGGCAAGCTTGGCTCTTGGCTTGTGCAGATTTTCCTCGCCTATGCTTTCAAATCAAATTCACAGGAAGAACGATACGACTGGGAACGCCAAAACTTCGGACACGTGCTGCAAGTCATGTCAGCCTTCATGGTCGCGGGAGCGATCGTCACGTATTTCCTGGTCCCGGAGACCAGGGACCATGATGGCAAGAGTCGGACCTTGGAGGTTTTGGCAGGCGGGAAGAAGGTACTGGATGAGCTAAACAAGCAAAGGGCGCAAGAGGAGGACTGATCGTTTCCAGCATACGTCGTTGGCTGCAATAGCGAGTACTGATCATCGGGTCTTAGCGCAGTTCTTCATCTAAAGCGCACAGCAATTTTATGTCTTCGTTGTGATATTCACTTGCTTCGTACCCTTTCCCTGGAGCGGCTGCGCGTACTTGTTACAAACGCAAAGTAAATTTAGTGGAGGCTGACGATGGTGGGGGCCTCGCCTTAGAGCCTGTTCAGTGAGCAATCCACGCCATAGACCAGCGCCGTATTAGGAGTTTCCGGAGCGTAGAAAACCCCTGACCAGTCAGGAATATAATCCGTTTGTAGTACAAGAAATTCACGCGCTAGGGCCGAGCGTTCGGCCCGCAGGAACAGGCCAATGAGGGGAGGCAAAATCTATAGATCTACTTACGCACGGGGAGGTAGTCTGGAGCACCTCGTGTGAGTGTAGATTATATATCCACTCACATGAAAGATGCGGAGTATTCTAAGCAAAGGAATTGGACGCAGGGATTTAGATGTATATAACGTTATTCTGTTCCATGGAGCCGAAAACATACCCTTGGTAACGTTTTCGGAAGATCCGCAGCCGAGCCAGCCGAAATCTACATGAATTTTATGCCAGGCCTACAGAAATTGACTAAACAGGCTCTTAATCAGGGCATGGCGTCCTTTCAATCGGACGACTTGGCCGCACTCTATATTACACAGCATGCGCTACATCGCGCGGCAACGCGAGAGCGCAGCGGACGAATACAGGATGGAATTGTGCAACTTCGGAACTTTAGTGACGCGAGGATTGCAGGGTCCAGCCTTGCAAAGGCCACGTCCGCCCCCACCCATATTTTGTGCGGCGCTGGCAGGCATCAACAACGGCATCTGTCCCTTCCGCACAATAGAGCTGGACCGTATAAACCTTCGGCCGTCGGACTCTTCAAAGAAGCGGAAGAAGAAGGGGGTTTATACAAGTCACGGCATCTATTGTCCCCGATTTTCGAACCTAATAGATAATCAATGTCTGCCAAGTCGCGCAAGCCAAGCGCAGGAGCTGGACATAGGCGGACTTAACAATCTTCGTGGCCTGCAATGTGGGGACTCTGGAATATGCTGATCGCTATTTGAAAGTGTACAGGTGAACGGCGAGTCTTGTCGCAAGCTTACCCGCGGCCGCCTCATCAATACATTGTGTATTATTGACCCAGATGCATCCAGACTCTACATCCTACAACAAGCGAGACGCACGCTGGATATTGCCGCCACGACAGCTTTCACGACTTGTAGAAATGGGCGCATCTGAGGTAAGCACAACTGATATGACGGAACGCCGTAATAACGCTATCTCTCTAACGACCAGACCGTACCGAAAGTTGACCACTTGTTACCCTAAATAGGGAAAAGCGTAGGGTGACCCACAATTAACCTCTGTGAGGTACATAAGCACTAAGCTCACGCCCACCAAAGTTTCGCACCTGTACCTTGTCCGAGAATTCGAGGCAACGCATGTCTTCGACGTTCGGGCATCTAATAGGCCGCATCAAGCGGTTTGGATCAAGCTAAGTGGCGTCAGCGTAAACGTGCCGCGTAGATACCAGCAGGGACAGTATAAAAGTAGCCTTCCCCGGAGCAACTTGTTTGAATCCTCCACCTCACACACTACCCACCGTAGCCCTCTCAACTCCCACGCATACCTATCTCTTCGCTAGAACTCCTCGCCATAATGAGCGGAGAAGAAGCATCTTTCGTCCCCTTCAAGGACCAGCCCGATCTGCACACTCCGGCTCCATACCGTGCTGCCCAGCTCACATACCCTGCCAACCTACGACAGGCTCTCAAGGATGCTCAGGCAGACAAGAGCAAGACACTGCTTGGTGTTGCACAGGGCATTCCCAATGTCTTTGTAACCAAGATCCTTGCCTCGACTAAGCCGGACTTCATTTGGATTGATGTGCAGCACGGCATCTTCGACCGATTGACTCTGTTCGAGTAAGCCATTAACCCTAGTCTAAGACGCTTTTCAAAAGAATATCAATAGAGAGCCTACCTAACACGCCCCAGCGCCGTCCACGCCGCCCAAGCCCACTCCGAAGGCAAAGCCGCCGTCGTGGTCCGCGTACCCAAGCACGACGAGGTCTCCCTCATCACTGCCCTCGACGCCGGCGCCTCCGGTATTGTCATCCCGGACGTCGAATCCGCACAGGACGTCAAAGACTTCATCCAGAAGATCTACTACGCGCCCATCGGCAAGCGCTCCTTCTCGCCCTGGATCTTCACTCCGGGCGTCTCAGACGCGTCCCTCTACCCCAACGACCAGTTCAACATCGCGACCTCGAACCGCCACGTCTGCGTCATCCCGCAGGTGGAGACTGTCCGGGGAATTGAGAATGTCGACGAGATTGCGGCCGTGCCCGGGATCCATGGGCTGATGTTTGGCCCTGGTGATTATATGATTAGTGCGGGATTGCCGTTGAAGTTGGGCGGTGAGCCGCATCCGACCTTTGTGGCGGCGATGACGAAGCTGGTTACCGCAGCGAAGACGAATGGGTTGGCATTATTTGGGTATGTTTTCTTTTCCCGAAATATCACGGACGGACTGAGGCTAACGGTCACATAGCGCTGCACAGTCACCAGACATGGTTCCCGTATTGATTCAACAGGGCTACGCGGGTATTGCTGTGGCGTTCGACTACTGGGGTTTGGCGAGCATGGTTAAGGATGCGCTGAACAAGGGCGGCGAGTTCGTGAAGCAGGCTGCCGGGACGGAGACGCCCTAAGGCGGCAGAGTGGACGACGATGTTACGATACCCATATCAAATGCACCGCATTGCTCAAGTCAAGAAACGAGTGCCTTTCTGTGAGCCTGTCTGGATATAATGAGACCATTGGTTGGGAAGCGATAGACCTCATTAGTAAGGCACAGGTCTCGAGAAGCATGTTAGATATGTTGGTTATGGCTAGGGCACCGAATCATGTATATGAGTCGGCCTGTAATTACTCATTGGTGTGATAGGCGAGATATAGCAAGAACTTCCTGTGCTTGGCCGCCGCTGCCTACATCGCAGCCTTCGGTTCCTCTTTCTCAGCAGCGACTCTTTCTGCCTCGTAGGCCAAGTTATCGACGACCAGAGGGGTCGCGCTCTCAAGTGCGGCCCGGGTCTTTGAAAAAGTAAGTATGGGCTATAACATTGGGTTTTAGAAGCTGCTTACCTGTATGAAACTGTCTGCCTGGCCCTCCAAAATTTTCCGCCACGAAGCCCATACTTTAGCGAAAGGCCTCAGGGACCAATCAGAGCTGCTCTGCGTATCCCATGTCGTTGGAAAGGAGGTCCGGGTTCCGAGCTGAAACGACTAGAGAGCATTCCTTGACTGATTCTCTTTGGTGAGGTGGATTAACCCATTGTTGTTCTGACCACACCCATATTGATAGTCGCGGAACGAGAAATGCCTGGCAACTCCAACATCTCAGACTAATCATAGTTTAGACTCCGTTGAGTCTCTGGGTTTCTACCAGGACGATGCATAGCTATCCACACGTAGGCAGATGGTAGCATTTTGGCATGTCGCGATAATACTCCCTTAGAGATTACAGTCATCTCCCAAGTCAATACTTCGTTGGACGTGCAAAGAAAGGACTACTTATCAATTGTGTTACGACGGGAAGATATAGACGCGTGATCGTATTTAGTGATGCCAGAAGATATTTAATCTACGCTGTATACAGCTACCACCAGTCAAACTCCCTCAGGTTATCATCACGAAGGTTTTCTGTACCATCACTCGTACCGTCACCTTGAGTAAGTACAGCCTGAAAGTCGTGGGCCCAGAGATCTACTTGTTCCCAGTTCATCTCTCTTCCAAAGTCGAACGACTGGCCAAGGAAGGGATTTGCGAGTATACCTTCTTGTTCCAAAGGTGCACCAGTAGACCGCTCGTTGATTTGGGCACTCTTGTTTTCATCAGGGGTCGTGCCAGGTGCGTGCGGCATGCTTGATCCTTCGTTGCAGGACTGGGCTCTAAGATCGCGAGCCTTATCCAGCAGTCTCAAGAGCGGCTGCCACAAAGCGTTCTTCTTGCCTGCCATGGTTCCTTCAAAGAATCTCGAAGCCGCAAGATCGTACTTTTGCTCCAAAGAAGTGAAAAATGCATTGACAGACTCCCATGCTCGATCGATAGCAGCACCACGATTATGCTTGCATAGATGGGTCAACAAGTAGACCAAGGCATGCCACTGAGAGCATTTACAGCGGAAGAACCACCCGTATTGGCGTTGCCTCTCCGGCATTTGCTGCGCAATCTCAAGGACATCCGCGTTGTACAGAAGTAAGTGCTCATTGAAGTCACCTGTATCCACAGGCTCATCGACGTTCTGCATATGCTTCCAAAGTCTTGCCATTAGGTATCGTAATCCCACAGCACAAAGGCGTGAAAATTCTGAGCAGTCTGTGAAGTATCTCATGTAAACCTCAGAATACCGCTGCATTTGGTCTTTGATCAGGGTCTCTCTGTCGGTAGGGGACAGCTTGTATCGTGCTCGTGTGAATCTCAGCGTGGTATAAACCATCTCAACCCTGATCAAGGTCAGAGTCATTTCGGTCTTTTCGTCTCTGGGCGTGATATTGTCGATGTCTCGCTCCGATTCAAGATCAGCGTCGTTGATGTGAAGCGGGAGCTGACAGTCCACGACGAGGGGTACGTGAGGTTCAAGCCCGCAATTATTGGACACACGAACGTCAATTTGGCATAGTGACCACCAAACGCGACGGCGAACTTCGATGCCGGCTGCAGTTAGCGATGAGGAGGCGACATCCGTGTGCAAGCCCATAGCTTGTGCCAGGCTAATGATCATGCCGCTAAGCACCCATGTCGAACGCGATCTATCCGATGCGAAAGCCAAATAGATCGCAAGGCTTTGAAGTACCACGATCTCTTGGGTAGCCATCCATCCTGCTTGTACTAGAGCTCGTTCGAGGGCAATTCTGTACTTGCGAAGGAGCTGTTTTCTCTCTGCTCCGTACAGAGCACGACACTCTTCCGGGGGGCTCGATGCTATGACAGCATAAATGACGGCAAACAACAGCGACTCACCAGAAGGATCGACTGGAAACCCACTAGAAGCGTCGTGGATGAGGCGAGCAACATTTGGTTTGAAGAGCACCTTGAACATGGTATCCACGTGCAGAGCATAGTGGTCCCAGAACTTCGGAATCAAATTCGAATGAGGGTAGAAAGTTCGAAGACTACCATGACCTCTGGCCGTTGTAAGAAGGGAATTTGCGTCCAGATGCTCGCATCGATTCGTTGATACCGAACATTGTTCGGCCGATGCCGGTAATTTGTCGTCTGTGTCGCCACCGAGGGCCGTTTCAAAGTATGAAGCCTAACATATGAGCACATGCAGAATATCATAAGGCTATGAGTCTTACCTGACTGGCTTTATCACTATTGATGAAGTATGACTTCCCATGAGCATCAGTTATCAGCCTTCCTTGGTTGGTTTCAATAGCATTTCCGCTCCAATGGCATGGCTGATTTTGCACACTCCAACAGGCTATCACTCGATGGTCGTCTTCGTAGTCTTCATCCTCCTCCTCCTCTTCTTCAGAATCGTCACCACCAAAGTCTTCGGCTCGAAACGATTCGTTCTTCTCTGCCGAAAAATCTTGCGGGGCGGGACGACCTGGCTTTGAAAGCGCTGTTCCGGAGTGTGGGTTTTGCTTTTTTCTTGGTCGTCTGGCTGAGAAGATGCACTCGACCTCATATCTTTTGCAGTTGGCGCAGCCTGTGAGTGTCTTATCGCACTTAACTTTCCTTTGTCGGCAACGGATACAAGCTGCGCAATGAAATTAGCAGTTATGGCCTGGTACAAATTCCGGAAAATTACATGCGCCAAATTACGGCACTTGATGCGCTTGAGCGTCTTTGCAACATAGCAGCTGAAGTAAAACAGACAAAAGACAGCTATATACATACCGTATCTATGTAGAGCCGGTGATAATCCCATAGGTTGGGCATCATTGAAATATGTAACCATAGTTCGATTGTGGCTCCAATCGATAGCTCTAGGTCGTCGGACGTTCTTCGATAAGCGGCCTTTGATTTGCCTAACCTGGGTTAACGCGCTGTCTCCATTATGTCGATGCAGCACTATGTCTGTACCACGATTTCTGCTCGAACGTCGTGCGCGACCGCCGGATAGAATCAGTAGATGGGATAATTGAATTATAACATCGTCTCAACGCCCCAGATCTGACAGTGAACTCCCCCGAGCTAGCGCCAGGATTGCATTGCGAAGGCTCCCGCCTCCCTAGTTGAGTAAAGAGTGGTTCTTTTTTTGCATGGGGATTGGATCGGAATGGAGTCGGCACTGCATCGTGTGGTTTAGCTGGGGCCAGCGGCATCGCATGTCAGCCTCAGCCTCAGCCCTACAGGGATTGACGGGATGGTCACATGACTTCGACGTCAGCCTATGCGGCACAGCAGGCGGAAAGTAATGTTGTATTCATTCAAGGCCACTGCGAAAGGGGGAAGTCTACGTAACTCTCCATTCGTACCCATGTACCGTATGAATTATGACTGTGTACTGATGAGCGTCACAATGATAGGATGTCTGGCACCGATTGCGATTGGCTAGAAACGTAGGTACATTGCTCGTTGGTAGATTGGAATTCATACAAAAGCTAGTATTCAAATCATACCGCGAGACCTTTTTGCACATCAGCCACGACTACCGTATGGGAATTTCGATCGAAGGTATCGAGGCAGATTTCGCACCCAGCTCGAGGATTGATGACTACGGCGGGCCGCACTGCCGAGAAGCCCAGCTGCAGACGGTTGCGTCGTTTGGCAAGGCCCGTGCACGATCTGATAAGATTTTGCACCTTCCATCTCCGAGCCCACCCGCCTACACCAATATCCGCCAACCTCCATGCGCAGCATAGCTTTCGTGCTGCTCCTTTCCACCAGAACTATAGCCGCTCATGTAGTGCGATCCGGAAAGTGGTGCTTTGGAGGTTGCGAGACTGTCGTCAACTATGCCACTTTCAACGATACCAGCCCAGGGTCCAAGAAGGCGCGATCATGTGAGGGCATCCTGAGGGCTACATCGCTGTACCTCTGCATCGACGAGTACTGTGCGGAGTCCGGACGTAAAGCATGGCTACAAGATGCAAATGAGACCTGCATAGAGCGGGTCAATGCAACTCTGCCACCATACGAGATCATCGACCGGTTTGGCCCCCAGGAGCGCTCTGGCTTCAAGCGTTTGTCCGCCGATGAGGCCTTCACGTGGCCTACTCTAGACGAAATCGTAATCCCCGACGAAGAATTCTTCGAAAGAGCGTTCACGACATTGGTACGATACCTGCTTATTCTCTCACGTGATGCATCTAAGATTGTTGCCAGGATGCGGCGTTTTTCGAGTATGGTATCCATCGTCTATATGGGTGAGTCGCCCAGATCGTGAATACCTGTAATATGGTGCTGATAACCATAGCTATGTGCTGTTCTACTTCTGGGCAGTCGTGGTCTCCTTTGGGGTGGGGAGTAGACTTCTGTCCCTTATTCAGGGTTTGAGGCGACAAGATTGGCAGCGTGTCTCCACCAGTCCCGATGGCTTCAATCGTTATCGGACAAAGTCGGAGATGTCGAGCTGGTTGCAGACGCTGTTGAAACGCTACATCACTGTACCCGCTGCTTTCAACAACCTTTGCTCACAGCCGTTCGGGTGGTGCACCGTCCCGACACGAATCCAAAGCCTTACAATTCTCGCCTTCGTGGTTTTGAACATCGTGCTCTGTTCAGCAAGCTACCGTCTGACTGATGGAAATCTCTACTGGCCTACGCAACGCGAACAACTTCTGCGGTTTGTGTCTGATCGGACAGGCATCATGTCTTTAGTGAATTTTCCACTAATTTGGCTCTTTGGCATGAGGAACAACACATTGATGTGGATGACTGGATGGGGCTTCGGCACATACAATAACTTCCACCGCTGGGTAGCCAGAGTCAGTACGGTGCAGGCTGTCATTCACTCCATTGGCTACACCATCATGATCTGCGAACGTAAGATTGAAACGTTTTCAAATGTAGACATATTATTGACCGACCCAGGTGATGGTATGGCTAGCCTTGTAAGGTATCTTCACAAGCACTACTTCTGGAACGGAGAACTAGCCACGGTCCTCATGTGCGCTCTCCTTGCATTCTCGGTGTACGGACTGCGCCGCAGCCATTACGAGATCTTTCTCACGTTGCACATCATTTGCTCTATTTTCGTTCTCGTGACCATGTACTAGTAGGCTGTAATTTTCCTCGTTACGTGCATTCTGCTGACACCTTCAGCCACGTGTTGATCTTCGGGGCCTGGGAGTGGAATGGCTTCGTGTACCCATGCGTTGCAGTATGGGTCTTCGACCGACTCCTCCGTGGTGGTCGCATTCTGCTGTTCAACTATCGTTTCTGGAACATAAAGGCCACTGCCACCTACGATTCGGACTCGCACATAGTCAGCTTGCGTGTACCTTGCAACAGATCGTGGCTTAAGCCACAGCCAGGAACATACTACTACATCTCCGTCGTCGACGATCTGCTCTACGCGCACCAAAACCACCCTTTCACCCTGGCGTATGTCAGTACCGACGTCGAACGTCCGGACCTCCAGCTTCCCTTGAGCCCCATCTCGGAGCGCCCTTCAGCACACCGCGCCAACTCCAATGATTCATCCGAATCCGATGCTTTACTCCAGCCAACAGCTTCCCCACCAAAGTCCCCTTCCCTCGTTTTTCTCATCAGACCATACGACGGCTTCACTGGGCGTCTAGCCAAACGAGCCGCATCTCGCCTAACCTCCGTTCGCGTGCTCATTGAAGGGCCCTACGGACATACTGTGCCTCTCCGCACTTTCACAAGTATCCTGTTCATGGTCGGGGGTACGGGCATCGCCGTCCCGCTATCACATATCTCCAACCTTTTGTCCGAAGCATCCAGTGTCGTCAGCCTGCGAATCGTCTGGGCAGTCCGTGAGCACGCGTTCCTCGCATCAGTGCTACGTGATTTCCGCGCTCTACTTGAAGATGAACGCGTCATGCTAGAGGTCCACGTAACGCAAGATGTAAAGAACACAGATGTCGTGCCGGCAGACGGGATGAAGGGAGTGAAGTTGATGCCTGGTAGACCGGCTGTACACAACGTAGTTGAGGACATGGCTATGGAGTCTGGATACAACAGATTCGCGGTCGTGGCTTGTGGTCCTGCTAAGATGGCCGACGAGACGAGGAAGGCGTGCGTCGCAATGTTGGGGAAGGGGTTCAGGGGGGTCGAGTACTTTGAGGAAAGTTTCAAGTGGTAAGAGGACAGAGCTCTTGTATAGAACAAAAGATAGACTTGTGAGCGTTCTAAATCCTCAGTTCTTGTTGCACTGTTACGTAGCTGGAAGGTGAGTACGCGCTCCTTCATTTCTCTCACTATCACTTGACCTATGCGTCGATCTCGCCGACGTTCGCCATTCTCTCTAATTCACGCACACCTACAATACAAGTATGACCATAAGCAATGTCACGCATTACTCCCACAAGATTTACCAGGCGATCACAACAATAAGAGAACGGCCGCAGTGTTGGAGGCCGTAACCATGAATGTAAGACAGAGCAGCTTGATCAAAACTCTGTTAACAGAATCCCAGCTGGACGATATAACGCGGTCGTTGAAGTAACATTGGCCGACACACATTCCCAGATTCCTGGCCACAATGGTCGGCCAAACGTTAATTTTACATTTGGCGAGAAGAATGAAGCACTGTCCGCCAAGATCGCGGAACTTGAAAAGGTAGGTGCTACATTTGAATTTGGTGAATCACCTTTCAAAAGTTTTCCTTGGTGTATGAAGGTACTCGCCACCCAATTTCAAAAAAGTTGACAATACGAAAGAGTGACCAAGATCCACGAGGCCGACTCCTAAGAGGTCGATGTCCAGCCCAACGAGCCCACCATGAAGGTGAATTTTGCTGAGATGATGGTGCTTTCTGGACAAAGAAGAAAGAAGAGGTCGCCTTGGCCGCTGACCTGGCCGCTAGATGGACGTAAAATGTCAAAAAGATAAATACCGCTTTTAGAAAGCATCAGGATGCTCTCGAGGATTCCCGCGAGTGATCCTCAGACGGGACATGGTGGCGGCGACCCTTAACAAGCAACTTGCCGCCATCGCCGGCCTCCGCCATGGTAGGCGCGATGCATACCAAGGTGTAGGTATGATAAGATATAGAAAACTTGCGAATGAATTTCGTCCTAAGATTTTCACTGTATCATGTGTGACCTATGCATTATCAGCAGCCAGGTAGATTTGCGCGAGGCTTGACACCATCCAGCTGGCTTGGATCTGCTACCCTGCCTACTCGAGGCCGTGATACCGTTCGATCAAGCGTATCTCTAAACATCTATCATACTGTCCATCTCTTTCCGCCTGGACCTTGTTCTTTCGTCCACAACTTGAGGTACTTATCAGGCCCAATAGTCCCGCAGTATCTTTGAGCCCCTTCATTCAACTCCCTCTGTAAATGCTTGCGACCCGGAAATATGGCAAGACCGTATCAAAGGTGATAGACAGCCTTGACATACCTAAATAGCAAATCCTACAGAGAGCCTTCTCAGGCCCCCGTAGACTTTTGTCCCCCGGTGTTAGTACTAGTGAAGGTCAATGTTGGGCATGGGGGCCTTGAAGCAGGGGGGCGGGGGTTTCAATTGGAATGGCGTTTTAATGGTTTGAAAAATAAAGAGGCCTGGTCGTTGGGCCATATTAACGCCCATATGTAGGGCCAAGGTTTTGAGATCATGGAATCCATTGGACGGTTTGCAAGCGTCTCACGGTATCTTCGCTTGAAAAGATCAGCCACATCCTCGAAATTCGCTAAACTACAAGCCAGAAATGATGGTGTCTCAGCGTGTGTTGATCCATTCTTCTTGAATTTGAGGTGGCGAGGCTTCTAAAGCCGTACATGAAAAACCTAGCTAGGTATGATGTGATCCTTCGCATCTACGCCAGCTTTCCATCGGTAAGTGGAGGCAACGTGTTCATCAAGAGGACCGCTTTGGCCCTCCTTCTGGTAGAAGTTTTCGCGATATGTGCCTCCAGGAACCGTATAATCATCCCAGAACAGCCCTCGAGCTCTCAACTCCGGTAACAGTAGCTCAATGACGTCTTTGAAAGATTGAGGAAACAGGGCATACGCCTGTCTTTGTATTAGCAACAGTCTCTTCGATGGATCTTGCTTCAACTCACAATATTGAATCCATCGACTCCGGCCTCATCTTGCCACGTCTGGAAGCTGTCTGCGACCTGTGCTGGTGTTCCAACAAAGATAGGCCCATTTCCTCCGATACTGACATGTTCAGCAACAGTGTGCTTAGTCCACTTCGATGTTCCGGGCGAGAATCGTGCATAGCCTTCCACCGTTGACCGGACTGCATTTGATTCTACCTGTCTGAGTTCCTCGTCGTCACCGTACTTTCCGAGATCGATACCGGTCCAGCCACAGAACAGAGCAAGCGCCCCCTCAAGCGACGCATATTTACGGTACTCGGCAAGTTTTGCTTGTGCCTCCTGTTCAGTGCGGCCAAGTATTGGCGTGACAAGGGCAAGGACTTTAATGTTGCTGCCATCCCGCCCAAACTCAGTCTTCGCGAGCTCTCTTATTTCGGCAATATTTTTCGCGCAGACCTCCGGGGCATGAGCAGACACAAAGATGGCCTCAGCGTTCTGAGCCGCGAACCTTTTCCCTGCCTTCGAAGCACCAGCTTGCAGTATCAAAGGCGTCCGCTGTGGGCTGGGCTGGCAAATGTGAGGGCCGGGGACCGTGAAGTACTTGCCTTGATGGTTGATCTCGCGCACGCGGTCCGGCTCGGTATATACACCCTTCGAGCGATCTAGTACTACAGCATCGTCCCTCCAGGAAGATTCGAACAGTTTGTACATGACTTTCACATATTCTTCAGCTTGGGCGTATCGGTCATCGTGCTTCACACTGTCAGCAACATAATCGCATGCTTACAAAAGTATAGACGCACCGCAAGCTGCTCTTGGTAGCCCATATTCCTTGCAGCGGAGTCCAGGTAGCTCGTGACGATCTATCGTTTGTTACTGAAGGATCCATGCACAATATATCTTCTATCTTACATTCCAGCCGAGCCTACTTGATGTCAGTATTGATTTTGGATTGCAAGGCGAAAACCATACCTTCCATTGGATAGATGGTCTACTGTCGACAGCCTACGAGCTAGGTGATACGGCTGCTCGTATGTTGTAGAGCAAGTCACCCCAAACCCGATGCTCTTTGTCGCAGCCGCCATTGCACTTACGACAGCCAGAGGCTCATTTACAGGCCACTGCGCACCAGACACTATCGCGGCCTCGAGATTCCCATTATACACATCGTAACCGCCCAGAACGTCCGCGATGAAGATACCATGAAACTTCGCTTCTTCGAGTAGCTTAGCCAGTTCCACCCAGTGCTGGACATTGCCAAACTCGTGCGAGTGGTCGTCCGGATGCCTCCATAGCCCCGGCGACTGATGGCCACTGCCTGATAATTACCTCCAGTCAGTTTGATGTTCTAATGTAAGATATCCAGGGTGTTGAGTAATCGGGTCACGTGAACTCACACATCTCGACGAAAGCATTCAGGACCAACTGTTTTCTGGGCGCCATGATGTCGTTCAAGATCCTGAAGATGTCGTGCTTGCTTTTTTGAGCCTTTTATGCGTTTATAATCGCGAGACAATCCGATGTCGCTATCTATATCGGCTAACGTACTGTTCGAGATGATTAGTGCGATGATGTGCTTGCAGCGTCCACGAACGCAATCGACCCCTCCCCCACGTCGCGAACGAGTCGCATCGCACAACAATGGCAATTTTCGAGTAGTTTGACACGGTGTCGGGCGTTCACTCGGCAGCTAATCAACGAATCCGCTATGGCGCGATGATCCAGCTGCGGCCTTACCTCATCCGCAGTATCTATCCAAAGGATACCCTGTATGCAGGCCAGCATGCACCTGCGCATATCCGAGCCTTCTTCAATGGCAGCAGATGACGTGCGAGCCATGCGGTTTACTATAACCGCTAATTCCGGAGATGAGCGATGGTCGGACGTCCTAAACTACCTACGAGCTACACAAGACATCGCACAAGTATCACTCCCTCCGTATATCGAACCACTTGCACGTGCGATAGTACTGCTCCCGCAACAATGGTTCAGTGGCCGGCAAAATGGAGGAGACGCAGTGTAGCCATCACTCCTGTGGAGGCTGCTGCTTCAGCGACGGCTGATTACCAACGACGGAGTGAGGAGTTGAACGTTCCAAACAGCCAGTCCGCTTTGTTGCTACCTGCAATTCGGACACGATACGAATTGAAGCTCGATCACACAATACCGAGTATACAACATGACCACGAGCTCTTGATACAAGTCAGTTCCGTTGGCTTGAATCCCATAGATTGGAAAGCACCGCAAGTGCACTTCCTCTTACCTTCGTAGCGACACCTAACAACCCTCCAGCGACTTCAACTTCGGCATTCCCTCGCTCCCATACATCTCAGGCCGCGAGTTAGTCGGCACCGTCGTCCAAGCCCCGACAGCCTCCAACACCCGTATCCGTAATGGCGACGTCGTCATCGTCCCTTCAACAGACTATCGCGACCTACGCAAAGCCGCTTTCCAAGAGTACAGTATAGCGTCTTCCTTCAACGCGATCCGCCTCCCCCATTCCATTCCCCAAGCGCAAGGCGCAATTCTAGGAGTCTCCTTCGTCTCCGCCATCCTGGCCCTCGGCATCAACATGGGCGTCGACTTCTCTTCCATCGAAAACGGGCCCGACCTCCTCGCCATAGTTCGCAGCATTGACCCCTCCCGCCTGCCCGCTGACATCCGCAACGAATGTCTGGATGGCATTACCACCGAAGAGCGCGCGAAGCAGGGCGACTTCCTGGTCGTATGGGGCGGCAGTTCCACGTGCGCGCACACGCTGAAGCAGCTCGCGCGTCTCGCAGGCCTACGCATCATCTCCGTTGTCGACACCGCGAAACACGGCCTACGTCTCTCGTCAGCCGAGCCCGTCCGCCCCGACCTCCTCGTCGACGCACACGACCCCGCCCGCGCCGTCGCCATCATCCGCGCCGCCACCAAGAACACCGCCCGCTTCGGCTTCGACACGCAGGGCAAAGACACCGCCGCGCACCTCCTCCGTGCACTGGCGTCGAAGACCTTGGACGCTCTCCCGGAAGATGAATCCACCTTCGCCTCCACCAAGCCCACTGCCGAGCGCCTCCCCACGCCTCCATCGACACCGCACGAAATCTCCACTTCACCGCGGTCGCACCTCGTCGGCCTCACGGGCGTGCCGAAGACAAACATCCCCGAGGACGTTGCGCTGCATAATGTGCCGATCAAGCTGTTCCACGAGATACCGGAAGTGGGTGAGGCGCTGTGCGCGTGGTGTGAGAGGTTGTTGGCGAAGGGGCTATTGTTGCCGCCGGAGGTAGTGGGGACGGTGGAGGGGCTCGAGGGGATTAACGGCGGATTGGAAAGGATGCGGAGGAGGGAAGTTAGTGGGGGGAGGTTGGTGGCGGTGTTGAGGTAGGGTAGGCGGGGTGAGGCATGAAGGCATTCTTTGTCATGCCATGCAACGGGGTTATCAAGTGATTATCGAACATGCATATAGAACTCAGTGATTGTGCCAGACACGTTTGTGCCATTGATAATTCTATATACAAGATGCGAGCAGGCAACACAATCGTATTTGACAGTCGTACGTTCCCGATGTGGAGCAGCCCCTGATATGAATCAAGCTAATCGTCGTCCGCAGAGCGTTTCTGACGGATTCCTACACAGCCATCTACGAGCCGGAAACAGTGATGGAAGCAGAGCCACTGCTCTGGTATCCCTCAGTCGCCAGAATCTGGTAGTCGTGGCTGCCCAACTTGAGCCCGTACTGGGTCCAAGCATTGAAGTGAGCGCCGACATTGATGGATCCACCGACGCGCTTCTGCTGGCGGACACTCCAGAACTGGGGGAACGTGCTGGTTCCCTCGATCGACGGCTGGTTGTAGCGCGTGGTCTGGAGGATGTCGTAGGTGCCGCCGTCAGTGGTGATGGTGCCCTTCTTCTGTGCTGCAGAGGCGGGGTTGTAGCTGCCGTACGTCTCGACGATGTAGTACTCGACGAGCGGGTTCCTGGTCCAGCCGTAAAGCGAGATGTAGCTGTTCACATTCGCGGCGTTCCAGGTACCGGAGTAGGTGACGGTGCGGGCTGCTCCGGGCTTCCAGCCCTTTCCGGCGACAAAGTTGTTCACGTTGTTCCAGGAGACCGAGTACTTGCCGCCCGCCTACTGAATTTAGTACTGTATGATGGGAAGTCACGCAGTGCAATCTTTACCTCGTTGTTGTAGTTGACGGAACCCTTGCCGTCAGTCCAGAAAGAGTAGAAGTACCCATCATGGGTACCGGTTCCGGGAGAGGTTGCGACAGCGCGTTCAAGCAAGTTGAAAGGCGAGGTCACGTTGACCGGGCTGGTGAGCACCGAGGCAGCGGTGCCAAGGGCGAGAAAGATAGACGAGAAAGCGACCATGTTGAGGATCGTTGTGCTGATGCTGCGTGGTGGTCTTCTACATGCTGCCTTCCATAGTTCTTATATACTGCGGATCCTCGAGCCTTGGGAATGTTTGATTTTGATATCGCCATAAGCGATTTCTTGGTGCCAAGCCTGCGATATCAGTCGGCCCAGAGGAGGCTCTTCGATTGGGAGGGAGCGGGGGGCGGATGCTGGTGTGCAGTGGCGTCAAATTGCCGGTGTATATTGTGGGGTGCATAGGTTGGCAGGCGTCCCCAGGGTGTAGATTAACTACCCCAGAATTGCTTAAAGGTATGTCAAACCACCGGCTATTTCAGACGAAAGTCTTACGAATGCGGAACAACAAAGGAACAAGCCAGACGCTTTTGCGTGTCAAACCCGGTCCATGGTAGTCGAGCAGTCCGCATTGCGCTTAGTGATAGTACTCCGCGTACAGTGAATAGGTCGTGCTAGGTGTATGTCCTGGTCATGTTCGACTCCATGTAACACAAATCCAAGGCTTGGCGCTCCCAGTGTTCGGGCGCAAGTCCCTTCGGATGAAGGTGTTTTAGCGCTGAGGCAATGCCCACGATGGCACACTTGATTGATAGGCTACAGCGACTTCGACTTGATCATTCCGACCTTGGCATTACTATGTAAGCTCCGCGCGAGGCTTCGATTAGGATGGAGGGGTGCAAAAAAGCATTATGACCAAGACCTGGACGCATTTAGCCGGACTGCACGATGCTGCGAGCCCTATACTGCGGCGCCTGACCGTCGTAGTCTGTCATGTCTTGATTAAATGCCAAGGACGGAAAGCTTGGCCGATTAGCGAACATCATCTCGGGATGGCACGAGGTGTGACGACGATATGCACTCGTGGTCCGACTGAAACAATGGGACCAAGCTGTTTCTGATCGACGCCCAACCGGGTCGACGGTTACTATTATTGGGGCATCTCTAAGATTGCAGTGGAAAGATGCGGTCATCGATTTGATGAGCTGGGGTGAGAATGGTACAATGGCGTGCAGGCGTAGGTCATGGTCGACCGGACTGTATATGATTGCATGGAAAGGTTGAAGACGCTGCATCAGCGGCGGAGGTTCCGTTCGTTCCATAGCCGGTCGATAACCTGGAAAACAGCTGTCACGAGTTTCAGGGTCTCAGCGTCGAGATGCTGGCCAAATCGCTGCTGCATCTTATCGGGATGCCAACGAACACGCTCCATCTTCAGCAAGGCCAACGCGTCGTCTCTCCAGTTGGGCGAAGATTTCAGGAAGTGTTCAATCGACTTGGCCTCTACCAGGCTGGCTCGGCCAGAGGCGACGGGCCAAGGAATGATTTTCGGTGGGTCATGGAGCCCAGGGTTTTGCAAGGACCTGAGATGGTCCCATTTGGTGGTGTATGTTGCCCATGCTGCGCCCGCCTCTTTAGCCCTCTTCCGCTCCGCGCCACGCTTCAGACTGTCTTCCATTTGCCGCCGGATATTCTCCCTTTCTGCCTCTTCCTTGGCAGTCTCCTCCTCCAGGTCGCGATTCCGCTCTTTCCGACTCTGGCGCGCCTTCTCCCGCGCCGCGCGTTCCTCGAGAATGTGCTGATGGCTCTTCTCCCACATCTTGGTGCGCACGAAATCAGCGTACTCCTCGTCTGTCATGCGTTCCAGTCTTCCATCCGGGCCTGGCTTGGTGTTTGGATATATGTGGATGGGCTGGCCGTACACTCCTTCCCAGTAGTCTGCGCCTTCGTCGTCGGCCATGGCATCGAAGATGGACTCGCGGAATATGGCGTCAGAGTCGACGTCGGGCGATCCGTTATTCAAGGGATCGTAAAGAGACTCGCGGTGGCGGTGGTCGGGGTCTTCGTAGTCGCCAGTTCGCGTGAAGGTGCGGCCATGGTCGCGATGCTTGTGCCTGCGCTTCGATTGCCTGTGGCGCCGCCTTGAGTCGCTCTCCTCATCTGAGCGGCAGCGTGTGGAACTGGATCGCTTCCTCGGCTCCTCTTGGTCGTCCACATCGCGGTGTTTGCGCTTCGAGCGCCGCCCCGATGACGTCTTGAACTGAAATCTGGAAGCTTTCGCGCTGCCGTAGACTTGTTTCTCGCCGGCTCTGTCGCTAGCCGGCTCCTCCATGGTGGGGGCTGTGGTGTACCAACTTCCAGTCGTGCATAGAGAGGGAGCCGAGGTTGCGTGCGGCCGACTGTAGGCAGTAGCGCATTCCGTGGACAAGAGGTTGACGTTCCGCGGTTGCGACCAGCGGGGAGGGTGCGGAAGGCGCGATGATCTCATTGGCGGACGCGCGGAGTGGCTTGGCGGCGGGAGCTTTGGGAACAGCAACCACGGCCTCGCTCTATACACTTCCCCTCCCACACCAACGTCGCCGACACTCGCCATGGCTTTCAAGTTTGGCTTGAAGAACAAGCTTGCGAGCGGCCCGACCAAGCCGTTGCTGGGAAAGAAGAAGCCGCTGTTCGATGAAGAAGAGGATGAGCCCGTACCCAAGCCCAAGGCCGCAGTTGCCGAGGAGGAAATCGCAGAGTTCAACTTCGAAGACACGCTAGCCGCCGCGTCGAAAGCCGAAAAGCCTGCCCAGAAACCCAAGCCGAAGCCCAAAACACTCGAGCCCCCAAAGCGAAAAGCGCTCGCAAAAGAGGACGACCCGACCAGAGTCGCCAATCTAGCCAGCGCCAAAGAGTCGGAACGACGTGCCAAAGAGGCCCAGGAGCTGGATGCATCCATCTACGACTACGATGCCGCCTACGAAGCCATCCACGCAAGGCAGCTGGCAAAGAAGGCTGCTGAGCAAGAGGCTGCTGCGGACCAGACGCCAAAGTACATGGAGGCCCTGTTTGAGTCAGCAGAGCAGCGCAAAAAGGACCAGCTCCGCGCACGAGACAAGATCCTGCAACGCGAGCGGGAGGCCGAGGGCGACGAGTTCGCGGACAAGGAAAAATTCGTGACGGGTGCGTACAAACTCCAGCAGGAGGAGGCGCGCAAGGCCGAGGAGGAAGAGAGGAAGAAGCAGGAGGAAGAGGAGGAGCAAAAGCGCAAGTACGGCATGCAGAACTTCCATAAGCTGAGACTGATGGAGGAGGAGAAGCGACACCAAGAAGCCATGGAGGCTGCCGCGGAGCTCGCCAAATCAGGTGTGAGGCTGGAGGAACAGCCCAAGGAGAAGACAGATGCAGAGATAGCCGCCGAAGCACGAGCACAGGGCAAAGACATTACCCTAAACGAAGAAGGCCAGGTCACGGACAAGAGACAGCTCCTCCAAGCTGGTCTCAACATCATTGCGAAACCGAAGAAGCCCATGACCGCGGTTTCCACGGCACTGAAACCATCGGCGCCAAACAACGGCTTCCAAGGCCGCAATGCTGCGCGGAACGATATTCGGGCCAGGCACACCCAGATGGTCGCCCAACAGATCGAACAAGCTGCGAAGCGTAAAGCAGACGAGGATGCTGAAGAGGCAAGAAAGCTCCTGCATTCCAGCAAGAGCCAGAAGACGGCAACCGACATCAGCAGTGCAAAGGAACGTTATCTGCAGCGAAAGAAAGAAGCTGCGGCTGCAAAGGCGGCCGCTGAGGGCAAATGAGGGAAAACCTCGCACTCTCCGTTGCCAGATTGTCAGCGTCATAGAGTTGTATGATCGAATGCGTAAAGTATGCTATGCGAACAACACTACAAGACACTCAGCTAAACTAATCATAGCCTCACATCTGTGCCCTCAAACTGCTCCACATTCTCCATTTGGCCCATCCACATGACCCTCTCCCTGACGAATATCTCGCCCTCCGGTGGGTATCGGTCTAGGCCTTGTGCCAACGTCCCGGCTTGTACGATCGTGTATCCTTTGTACCCTTCGGATTCACTCTCCTTCCACAATGTACTCGAGCATGTGTCACAAAACGAGACGGTAAAGACGGGTCCTTGGCCTGACTTGAGCAGAAATTTTCGCGGCGAGCCGACGAACCGGAGAGAGCTGGATCGCACGCTGATATTGGTAGAGTACGAGCTGCCCGTCATCCGTTTGCAATTAATGCAGTGGCACAATACCTGGAGATCGTCAGCATGTGCCTGGCCTCGCAAGATTCTGGAGAACTCACCGTCTTGACAGGCTCGTCTAAGATCTCGTACACAATTTTTCCGCACAAGCAGCCTCCCTTTGTCATTTTTACACCTTTCGCTCGAAGGATCGGACAAGAAAGCGTCTTGGACGAGACGATGAAGTCGGTCAAGGACAGCATTTGAAGTACAGACTTCGTTTAGGGACTGAATACTAGAGCGGATGTAGATATTGCCTTTCGATTATAGCGCGAACGCTTCTGCGCTGATGATGCGAAAGCTTCACGCGTGTTGCATAGCCTCGCCGGGCCATCCCATCGCATATGTACCCCCAGGTATATTGTCTTCATCAAAATCACACAAAGAAGCTTGCGAGGCGAGGCTCTCTTCCGCACAAGACCTACATTGGCATCTTCGCGGTCCGGCCCGCGTCGTCTCCGTAAGTGCCTCCACACACGGTCTGGACCTTCACGCTCCCGGCAGTGCTGCGTTTCGGCCCGCTTGTATCTCAGGACAAACTTATGTGGAAACGTCGATCGCGGTGCCCTGCATGGCCTACCACGATCGTAGGTTCAGACTAGACACTCTCGGGTCGCCTTTTGTCTTAGACATCTTACGCGCACGTCTGCAAACGGCGGCCAAACAAGCGATCGCGCGTGGCTATGTGACACTCAGAGGTCGAGAGCGCAATGGTGGTTGGTATTGTCGTGCTGAGGGTCTTGCAGCAAGGATCGGTTTCCAGAGAGACAAGTAGGGTTGCCGATCATGGACAGATCGGGTATGCAATTGCGGAGGATGGGTCTGGTGCAGTCCGTAGTGTAACTGAAGATTCTGGACTTCTGGGGATAGCTCCGGTGAGCTTGTGATCCAATGCGCTGTGGAAGCGCACCAAATGGAACTCGTTTAGAAGAGGAACAGGAAGTTTCAAGTAATAATCCAGCAAAATCTGGCTGGAGGGTAGATGGGCATGTTGGAGCTATGCGAAAATTGGCAGAAAGTCACCAAAGCAAGGAATCGATAGCAGCAAGCGAGCAACCCAAGACGACTGTAAGAATTATTACACTTTATAAGAGACTAAATTGCACAGGTCGGATAATGGCTGGAATTAAGAAGAACATGGGCCACAAAACAGCAAACGCGTGTAGCTAGATGGGAACGTAATGCGATGAAATGAACATTCAAGGCAGAGTGGAGCCACGAGAAAACTAGAGACTATAGAGGTCTTTGATGTAGGTACCCTTTCCATCCATGTTCTTCCATGAGTCCATGCTCGGCTCGGAGTGATTAACCCAAGGGTGGCTTGGGTTCCTATGCGGACCTAGAACTGTGAACTGATGGTGCGCCCTAGGTGCTCACGTTCGCGACGGAGAGTGACATCGCGGGGGTGTGGGCTTGCGTGGCTGGTGGTACGTCGTAGAGGTAGGCTGTAGAATGCAAGCTTGTCGATGCAGTAGATGTCAAAATAGGTCTTGGCTGTACCGGTAGTATGTGGTTATTTGTGACCTGTCTTAGAGGCGACATTGGAACCCGAGTTTGTCTACCCAAACGCACCTGCACTTGAAGCCTCCCGGTGGAAGACAAAAAGACTCGTCTCCCGAAACCACCCAGGAACCGACTCCCCCATCTAGCTTCCTGGCTCGTTTGCAGTTTCCAAGACGATCAGCCTCAAACCATGGCCTCCTCCATGGAGGAGAATGTCTAGGTATGCTGCGTTAAGCTATCATACCCCCTAGCTGGGTACACGGGCAAATGTCAACACTTGCACTACCTTTTCACTGACTGGAAATCGACTGCATATTCTCTAGTGCACACCCCAACTTGGTCGGCGATTCTCACATCCTTCATCCTGGGCGTCCTCCTTCGACCGTTCGTCTCGTTCGTAATGCGTCTCTTCATCAGCCTCGGCATATTGTTCCTCCAGCTACATCAAAGGCTCAACCGTCTTTAACGGGCGCATCTGCGGCGCGTTCATTGCGGTTGCTCTCATCTTGGCATTGCACTACAGTCAACATGCTCTTGAAGCTGTTGCTGGGGTTCTTCTCGGAGAGTAGTCTGGAAGCCTCTGGTGTGAAGTGAGTCTGCTTAGGGTGATGTGATTGGTGGTGAGGTTCAGCGCCGTTTCACAGGGAGCGAGCGGAAGTAGAATGGCTAGAAGGGACGAGTAGGACAGAGTGAGGTATTTCTTGTGCGTAACAGGAATAGGAATTCGACTCGATGGCAGAAAGCATCGCTGCAAACGATTCTCACTGGCGGGAAGCTCCTGGCTGGCAAGACTTCTAATTGACGCGCAGCTATTCGCCGCTTGGATATCTGCTGAGTCAAATCATCAAGAAGATAATTTTTGCAAACAAGTGATCGATTTGGTGAATGAGTTATGGTGTAATAGCAACAACTATGCTTTTGTCTTGCAACCGCTGTACAGATTTCCACGATCCACATCTTATAATGCCTCTCCACCTACTTCATAGCCAGACCCCAAGCCACAACACCCGCCCAGATCTGGATCCCGTACTGCACCAACAGCCCCGGCGCACCCGCGTACCTCCCCTTTCCGTTCTGGTTCCAGTTCGTGTAGCCAATGCTGTACAATATCCTGCCGACGCTCCAAACGCCACCCAGGGCAGCCGTCAACTTAGGCTGGCTCAGACCGCAAATCAACAAGCAGCCCACAGTCGTAAGATGTACCTCGCCGAAGTTCTGGTGGCCACGCTGCGCGGCGTTGAAGGCGAGGAGCGCCGCTTTGCGCTCGGCAGGCGCGCTCTGGACTTGCTCCCACGATGCGTATTCGAAGGGGTAGGGGACCTTTGCGGCTTTGCGGAAGGAGCCGACGCGGCTGCCAAGGTAGGTGCCTGTAAGGAAGGTCGAGACGACGGACAGGAGGACGAAGCTGCAGGACGTTAGGTGGAGGGGGGAAGTGCGATTGGGGATAGCGTACCCGTAGTCGGCGGGGATTTGGATGGCTTGCATGGTGAGCAATCAGTTGTATTGGCGGTGAATTGAGATCGCGCAATTGATTGCTTGGATGTCGAAATCACAGGCTTTGAGCGTTGGACGAACGGAGGCCGGCGCAGAAGATTGTCGATTGGCCGTCGGGATGGAGCTCTGGGCGGACGAGTTTCAGCGGAGAAAGCGCGGAACAACATCGTCCCGACGGGTCGATTCAATCGTGCCGACCAGAGGTGCGCGAGATGTACACAGCATCTTTGAAAGACCACGAGTATCTTGCGAGCGTGTTAGACAGACGCAGGTGCGATATGTATGTTTACACAAACCGGAGGATTATGGGTTGGATGGCGTTGATTGGCTGCCAGCCGATGACGATAGAGCTAGGATCAATAAGCTGTGTACACTAAAGGTACCTAGGTATGCAAGCGAATAGGATGCTAAGTCGCACGAGTAGGGTCAACACGATGCACTTGGATGAAAATCATGTCTTCAGTTGCACAGAAGCCTATGAAGTGGGAGCAGTCTTCGTGCTCCTGCTTTGGTAGAGCCCCAGCTCCACCTGACGGCGCCGAGTGTCATCGCGTCCTCGTGCAGTGACAGTGGGACGGGAAGTGGCTGCTCCGTACTGAGAAGCCCAAACTGACAGCGGTGTCAAAGGGTACTTTAGTGCTCAAAGCCCTCAGGACACCGTGCCTCCCTTATGATCTGCCAACGCGTCGAATGCAGTCCCAGCTTCCGCAGGAGCTTTCCAGGGAGAGAGTTCATCGGCCTTTCTCGCCCCAAGTCGCGCATTTCTTTCGCTCGTCGCAGTGCTTTCGAGCCTTTTCCTTTGCTGTTGTTCGAACACCCTCACTGTTCTCCTCTTTCATGCCATCCCATTCTGCGCTCCATTCTGTTCACCATCCGGCACCTTCCACGCCTGAGGCAGCTTCCCCACAAGCCCCTCCACGAGCCCCGCGACCTCCAACGCCTTCTGCCTCTCCACCTCCGCATCCTTCTCGTCTGCCAGCGTTTCCAGCCCGCCAAACAGCCACAGCTCCTGGAGATCGCGTATGAACATCGACATATTCTGCGCCGCTGTGACCTGCCACTTGTCAGCCGATCCTAAGCAATGCCTAATCTCGCCGGCCGAGGCGCGCTGTAAGGCAGTTGGGAGGCTGTACAATCGCCACTGCGCCCTCCTTGATCGCGAGCTCCTTCTGTGCGGATTGGCTGTAGTCGGGGTTCTCGTCTTCGCGGGCGACGGCCAGGATGGCGCGGTATTGATTTAGGAGCTCGTTCATGAGGTCGTTGACGCGATCTGCTGCTTGGTGAGCTAGGAACGCTTGAACGAAGAGGCTTGCATACTGCGCAGTGCATGGGCGTTCCGCTGCTTGGGGTCCATGGCCGCATTCGGTGGTGAGCGGCCTGGTGGAGCAGTTGAGCTTCGATGTTTGGTGGAGCAGACCTCTTGTCGATAAAGATGCGGGCCGTGCGCTGCTCAAGCGAACCGAGGTTTGAGATCCAGCATGGTGAATGTACACCGGATCAATTCCAACAAAGTATTTGATGAACCAACATCGTCTCTGACATGCCCAATACTGTTCCTGAAATAGTGTGATTTGAGCGCGCGGTCTCCTCTTTTCTTTATTGTTCTCGCAAACTCCCTAAGCGCACTTTTGCACTCAGTACCCAATCTTACATACTCAAGTGCTCGAAGAAGCGCGCGCGAACTCCAGTCGGCTCCTTCCGCGACCGCTACGTCCACAGAACAGACACGACAATGCCAACTCGTCGCGGGCCGTCGCCAGCAAACAAAGACCTGCGCTCCGTTCCGAGCAGCCCCCGACATCCCGACTCTACAATTAGACATCTTCACCTTATCATGCAGTCCACCCGAGACCCCGTCCTGCACCAACGAATTCGTGTTCTCGAGCATACTGTAGGATGAGCTGAAATCCTCTCGTCGTATCCAGCCTGCATGAACTCAGCACTACGGGACCTTGCAGCGCCACAATCACTAATCCCTAAGGTCAGGGGTCCGCACCAACATTCAGTCCGTCCTCAGCTCAGGAGAGCAGGGTCATCCACGAGCTAGTGGCGCTAGCTACAGTACAGCGTCACAAAGCGTACTGTCTCCACTACGGGACTGCGTTCGTTGGGAATATCCCGAGGTACTGGGCTGAGGCTCGGAAGCTTCGATGGATTGACCAGAATGTCGGGAATCAGCAGGGTAGGTGTCTTGCCTTATTAAGGGATCAATGCTTCGGGCAGGATTTGATATTCGGCTTTGATGACTCTGAAGTGGAGAACGCGGAACTACCCTTTGGCGCGCGAACCGCACAGTGACTGTGCCGTGCTGGTGCGCACTGGAAGATAACCTACAAGTCTGTTATGGCCTTCTGACAGAACCGTTGGACCATTCATGAAGGAACAAGACGTGGACTGTACTGAATCATGCGAGTATGTTCGTCGTATCTCATTGCGGCCGTTAAATATGTACTTGAAGTAAGAATGAAGCGTAACAATGGGTGTACGGTATGGACACGAAAGCTAAACACTCTGTACTGAAAAAGAAACGAAAGTGATGGTGGGTGCCTCATGGCTGGTATCTTCAAAACTGACAGGGAAACGGGGCTCAAAGACTAAACGAGAGACAGCCTCCAAAGCGAGTTATCACGCCGTAAACGCCAATCCGAACCGTGAAAAGAGAGAGTGTGCATCTTCCAAATCAAAACGCGGAAGTAGATGCATTCTTCCGTCGGAACATAGTACCAAAAGAAGTCTTTCGTGAGTGGCCCCAGGACTGGTTCCGCATATGCGCCGCCGAAATTGTCGTGACTGGGGTTGGTAGCTGGGTATCTGTGTTCAAGTCTTCGTATCGCCAGGTAGGGATTATGCTCTTTGCAGTCTTAACCTCCTCCACAGGGTTGTCGACATTGCAGCTGTATGGCAGCGAGATCTCCAACGCTGGCTTCTCTTTCTTCGAAGTCTTCGTCGGCTTGGAGAAGTTTGGGATCCTTGCAAGCGTTTGCTTGGCCTCGGTCTGTTCGTTGAAGACGGAAGATGCAGACGTTGCTGGTTGGGTTAGCTGAGATAGGCAGTGGCTTCAAGAGATACACACCAGAAGAAGCATCAGAATTGGCAGTGCTTGCGGAGTTGCGGCTTGAATCCCGAGAGCTACTCGAGAAGTATTCCTCTTCTGAGTATGTCAGTCAGACTTGCGACTATATTCATGCTGTGTTAGACGTACCTGGCGGTATCGGAACCTCCGATAAAGGGCTACTCGGCTTTGTCTTTGTTAATCTGCGACTACGACTGCGAGGTGGCGGTAATAATTGCGTCTTGATTGGCGGTGGCAAGGGCACTGCGCGTGGGTTTGAGTAGGCGTGAAATTCTTCTGAGTGCCTTCGTGATAGCTCTGCCCCACGCACGACCAGTGGAGGCGGTACTAATTTGGCGTTATAGATAGGCATATCCTGGAGGATGGCTTCAATAGAGGTAGGCTCTCGGATCCGATGCGTCTGCCAGCCGGAACCAGGTAAACTGTACTCGCTGACTGTGCGGGAATGAGTGTGAGTCTGGGTATATGACAGGGCCGCGGAACGACGTATGATGTCACTTTGTCTTTTCCGGTTCGCTGCGATTCTTTCTCGCACTTCCTCTGTAGTCATGAGAGGTGGGCTCTCAGTATACGCCGGCTTAGTCGGATCGATTGGGGGAATTGGAGCGGAAATGGCCGGTGGAGGTGGTGGCAATCTAGCAGGCTCGATCAACGGTGCAATCTTTGGCTCCTCGACTGCCTTGCTGGCTCTCTTGGTCCTTGAAAAGATGGCCATGATGGTGGATGTTTAGCAGTAGTGTGTGACAGTGAAGGTGGCCGTAATGGATGCTTGCGTGCCAACAATATGACGACCCGGAGAATTTTAGATTGATGCGACCGATAGTCCTAGAGATTGAGGCGCATTAGTCCAGTGGGAGTGCACTGGACTATAGTAGATCCGGCAAAAAGAAGGGCTGTTGCGACGTTGGTGTTGCTGCCAGTGATCGACGAATGGGCTCGCTAGTTCCCGTCTAGAGTCGGGCTCAACGATCAAGATCCATGGCATCGGAGATTCTATGTTCAGGAAGCCAGAAAGGCAGCTAGAAAACTGACAATGTCATCAAGGGCGAGGAAGCTGACTGTACGAATACTTAACCACCCGGAGCTGGAACACCATGCCGTTGTATTTGCATTGATTCGCCGTCCGTAAGAGGACACGTCTTAAGACTCCGGAGGCAACCTTCCCTACTAGGGGAACGGGTAGCGATGCAGATCCTGGGACGAGCGAATACCAGCTACGACCGTATCGACCATTCGGAAGCTGACGAAAAATGCCGAAGTGTAAGAAGCCACTAAGCAAGGAAGGTCACTCTAAACCCTGCGAGACGTCCTGTGACTACCCCGACCCCATCTATCTGTCGCACGTGAGGGACGAAGTGTGGCCACCAGTTACGTGCATGATAGTGCACAGCAAGGGATGCGACTGTAGATTGCGACATGGCACTTCAAAGCTGGCGATTGCTGTAAGAAGCCGTCGGCCCGGCCGCTGGTTCCACGAGATTGAAAGAAGCCAACGGTTCCCGAAATGCATGACGAGGGTGACCCACCGTTCGGGCTGGGCGTGAAGGCAATCCAGGATTTCAGTGTATAGGATTCCGCGGGCTGGGTGAGGGCCTGTGTCGTGAGATAGAAGGATACGGGACCTTCCCGTATCGATAACGAACCTGTGTTTCACCAACCTGGAAGTGGAAGACACCCAAAGTTGATGCCAACGTCGCCTCAATCCAATTTCCACAAATTTCTTAGTCCCCGCTCTGCTCGACAATTGGGCTTCTAGTCGAATGGGGCTAAAGTAAAATGGAGTCCGTTCACTCACGCTCTCTGTCAGCAGCTGAGGTATCGCCTCGGTGGTACGAAAGTCGAGACTTTAAGCCAATGATCCCACTCAGAAACTAGCGGACCCGTATTCAAGACAGCTGTCGCATAGACACAATCATCAATAGTGCAGTTAGCAATATCGTCACATGATATACCGATCCCGACATTCGTTTAGGAGTGTGCTGTGGTCCCACTGGTGCGGCTTACACTTTGGTACTGAGTTCTGGGCGATACGTCTTTGGTAGACAATGTGAGTGCGCCGAAAACATTAATGCTCACAAGAAGGCATCAGGCAATGCCTCGAACACTGCATACCGTGTCCTTCGTGTTTTAGCACCAACTGAAGATTCGTTACGCCATTCGATGGCAGATTGTTGGCCTCAAAGATGTTTACCGATCTATAACACGTTTACTGCGCAGCAAACCCCGCGGCGAGCTTCACTTACTCCAAGAGGATGGTTTGCGGTCGAGCTGCTGATTCCAACAACACAAGAACAAGATCCCACATGCTCAAGCTGAGTGACAACTGCTTCTCTTATGGGTACAGTTGCTCGTTCTGCTTGAGGGAGTGGCACCACTCTCTGGGTGGATCACCCACAGCGGACAGTGTTGGTCTGAAACACGAATCCCTGTGCGGCATGCATGGCGGGGTAACGAATCCGTCCGCTCTACATACACATCGAAGATAACTGCCCACCACCTTTCTCAGCAGAATCATATGTTGTACAGCGGCCTTCTACGCCCAAATCGTAGTATCATTCGAGCATGGAGCATGAACATGCGGAGAAATGCTCGCTCATTCTCCAAGAAGGTACTCTCCAATCGTTTGCAATCACCCGTGGCTTGCTGAGAAGATAGGAAAGTGCAATTGTTATAGGTCAGAAGAAGAAGAGCTCTTTGAATCTAAGCAAGCACCTTTTCAGCCTGCAACCAAAGACGGGCCAGCTGATGTAAAGGCACACCCTGACGAGGCAGGGTGGGCTGCGATCCGCGAACACGTCGCCCGGAAACTGCGCGGAACACGAATGAACGACCAGAACCTCTCTGCTGACCTCAACTACTCTCCAATAGATCTCGATGAGATTCGTGTCTTGGAACTACAACGTGGAGATCATGGAGACCCTCTCAATGGCTCTCTCCACGTCGCCAACATCGACTTTGCATACCCTGAAGTCAAAGATTACAAACGGAAAACGAACCACGCCATATCTCTCGCTGAAGGTGGGCCCGTCTGGTATACAGCGTTAAGTTACACGTGGGGTGATCCGATTTTTGACGCCCAATTTCACTTCGCAAACGGCACGTCAATCCAAATTACTAGTAGCCTGGCCTCGGCTCTAACGCACCTACGAAGCCAGACGGATAGCATATTTTTGTGGATCGATCAAATATGTATCAACCAAGAGGATGTACAAGAAAAGCAGAAGCAGATACCGTTGATGGGCCTGATCTACAGCCATGCAACCAGTACAGTGATCTGGCTGGGTGATGAGAGAGGCGACGATCCTCAGCTAGCATTTGACACTCTTCAAACGGTACACGAAAGGCTGATATGGTTTGACGGTGAGATCAGGTCCGAAGACTTCGAACGACTGAGATTCCCAGCCCCGGCAGCTTCCGAATGGGTCGAAGTGAGCAGGATGTTTTCCCGTCCATGGTTTGAACGGCTATGGGTCGTACAAGAAGCGGTCCTATCCAAAAACTTGTATGTCAAATGTGGCAAGGCCGTCGTGGCTTGGGAAGACTTTGCGTTGTGGTCTTCAACAGCGGAGTCTTGTGGTATTGGCGCTTTCTTAGCGGACGGCGCTCCGGCAACGAAAAATCAATCTGGCCTCAGCACCATGAACGAATTATCTACGCTCCGTATGTACCTTCAGACCCAGGAAACACCGTCATCACTACTTGAAGCACTTGTCACGACTCGGTACGCAAATGCATCAGTCGCCAAAGATAAAGTATACGGAGTCCTTGGTATAGCATCTGCCATGAGCTCAAGAAGCGGATCACTTGAAGTCGTCGCAGCCCCAATTCAGCCGCGATACGCGGAGGATGTGTCTGTCCGGGATGTTTTCCTTGAGGCAAGCATCGCAGAATTTCCCATGGAGATTTTTCGGCTTCTTTCATGTGTAGATCATGATAGGCCGGTCAGTCCGTCTTGGGTACCTGATTGGACTTTGCCGAGAGCGACAGAGTCTCTTGGTTATTTGACCAGATCTTGGTCACTCTACTCTGCTTGTGGGCCGATGTTCGATTCAGCCACTGGGAAGGCATATGATACCGAATACGCACTCGAAGACAGTAACACGGTTCTCGTCATCCCAGGTATCGTTGTTGATACTATCGCAGCGGTAGGTGAGCCTCTGGACGAGGAACCTTTCATGTTTATCAGCGACGATAACATACGCGCAAATCCTACTTGGTTGAGCTACCTCATGATGGCGAAGGCGGTCACCTCGTACTCAACGGGTGAAACTGTGTGGGACGCATTCTGGAAAACGCTCGCCGCTGGCAAGGACGGCTCGTCCCACGGCACTACGCCACAAGAGTACAGTGAAGTACTCAGTCTCATTGTAGATAAGTGCATGGATGAAGAACAACACATACCTGGTCAACCGTACACTGCTCGCCGACAGAAAGGCTTCTTCACACTCAAGAGTCTTACTTCACGCAAACCTAAACAAACATTGGATGATATGCGGAAAGCATTTCGCTCTGCGATGCATTGTCGCGCATTTGCAATCACCAGGAAAGGGCACTTCTGCCTGGTTCCGAGAAGGACGAAGGTAAATGATGCTATTGTTGTTTTACAGGGAGGGCATGTACCGTTTGTCGTAAGAGGCCAAAAAATGGTTGTCACAAAAGGGTTTGAACTGATTGGCGAGACATATGTACATGGAATCATGAAGGGTGAGGCTTTCGATAGGAACAGTCCGCGACTTGAGAAAATACGGTTGATATAGAAGCGCTCCGTTGTGGAATTAAGACCGTATCACCCTACATTCCGTCAACGTTCACATCCTTTACGCACCTATCAAGGGCGCCTTCCCGTTCTTTGCGCTGCTCCCATGCTCATTTGACAGCATGCAAGAATTCGAGTACGTCACAAGCTCCAGTCGCACACATCGTAAGGCTCATCTCGATGCACACCATGTATGAGTTCATCCATTGTATTTGAATCTCTTTCAGCACGTTGGACGATCACTCTTACCACGCAGCAGCCCTCGAGTGATAACCAGCACCTTCGTCTCAGCTTCGGATCTCAAAATGTGGAGGCTCTACTCTGAGTACCACGTTCTCCACGCGACTGTACTATATCAGCTCCGCAATTTTTGGGAACCCCTGGTTTCCGACCTTCGATTGGAGCTGGTATATGAGGTTTGTCACTGAGCAGCCTTTAGCCGAAGCGCTCTGTACCGCTGCCGATATTGCGCACAGCCGACTTTTATTGCAGGGACCACATGGTATACAGTGGCCAATCCAAGCCTTTCGTAGTCCACCTGCTTTGGGATTACTCTAAAAACTCGCAAGTGCGTGCGTGTGGGGCCTTTGTGGGAGGTCGGACCCGTGACTGGCGTAACTATGATACATGTATAGATCGTCTTCCCCTGTAAGGTCCCCTACCTGCAAACAGCTGAAAATCCATTCAAACACACGTTCTGTATCTCCGCCGTGCTATAATGATCTTTTCAACTCTACTTTTCGCGGCGAGCGCTGCAGCGCTGCCGAAAGCGCTAGAGCCCAGGCAGGGAGGGCAGAACACCATGCTTCGATTTGGTTGCTCGCAAGTCATCATAGATCGCATTGATCCGCTCGTCAACCCAGGTCTCGCTCCATCGCCACATATGCACCAGGTATGCTCTTGATACCTTAAAGACACACGGGCGTGGCACTAATTATGTCCAGGTCGTTGGAGGCAACTCTTTCAACACTACAATGCAATCCACAGACATTGCCAAGATCTCAACCTGCACTACTTGCGGATACTCAGAGGATGTACGTGTTCTGGGGGAATAGCGACGTGCCAAAGTACTAATCCAGGATAGTTCTCCAACTACTGGACTGCCAACCTATACTTCAAGGCCAAAAATGGGACTTACAAGCGCGTGCCTCAAATTCCAAACCGAGATCTTTTCAACGACAAGTACACTGGAAAGACGAAGGGTGGGTTCGTCGTCTACTATGTTTCTCCTGGAAAAGGCAAAGTCACAGCGTTCAAGCCGGGTTTTCGGATGCTTGTTGGGGATGCCAACAACCGCGTGAGCAAGAACCTCAAGTCACAGACCTGTTTCCGCTGCTACACTGGACCGAACTTTGCTGGCGACAATGCGGCGCCTTGTCAAGATGCCAAGTATGAACGTTGCTGTTATATGTCGGCTTCACTAACATGACTAGGCTCGATACCGAAGGCCTACCAAAAGCTGCTTGTCCTGGTGGCATTCGATCAAACATCCTATATCCCACTTGTTGGGATGGAAAGAACCTCGATTCGCCGGACCACAAGGTACGTTTGGTAAGGCGAATGTACAGTCGGAGTTCAGCTGATCAAGGATGTGATAGTCGCACGTAGCGTATCCCAAGGCCGGTCCCCAAGTTTTCACCGGCTCAAGCGTAGGTGGCGATTGTCCATCGACCCACCCAGTGAAGATCCCACAGATCATGCTTGAGGTATGATTTATGCATCAACAGCAGAGAGTATCGCTAACGACATCTGCAGATTGTCTGGGATACTAGGCAGTTCAACAACAAAGCCGACTGGCCAACCGATGGTTCGCAGCCGTTCGTCCTCAGCACAGGTGACACCACTGGCTTCGGCCAGCACGGCGATTACGTCTTCGGCTGGAAGGATGACTCTCTGCAGAAGGCCATGGACGATGCCAAGGGTTGCATGGGAGCTAACTGCGGTAGCCTCAAGACGCAACAGCCCGATGACGGCAATGCGTGCAAGGTGCCGAGGCGGGTCAATGAAGATGCCGATGGTTGGTTGACGGAGCTCCCTGGTATGGAGATGCCAATGGCCATGTAGGTGGCATTTACTAGGGTGTGGGCCGATACAAACTCTTGCTTTTTCATGTGTAGCTCATAGAAGAGAAGTGCGTATGTCATTAAATTAGGATTAGCTATTGCAACATACGACTAAGCTTGGGTGAAAGCACGCTACAGCATTGCAACAAGACCCGCAATCAAGCCTACAACGCCCGTAAGTGGCTTCGCAACACCTGCGGCAGCGCCGGGCGAGCTGGAAGAGGGGGAGCTTTCGCTCGTAGGCGAGGACTCAGACTCGCTCTCAGAGCTCGATGACACCGTCGCAGTGCCAGTAGACGCAGCACTGCCGCTCTCGGTAATGCTGGAATCATCGGTCGAGCTCGTAAGACCAGTGGGCGCAGGACCAGTAGCTATATGTTTGTCAGTAAAGCTGTTCGTCTGCGATGGAGGCAGGGTGGACTTGGACTTCTTCGCAGACGTGCCCGAAAGAGTCCGAGTAACCCGCATCCCTATGCCATAGGCTGCTAGTGTTCTTACCACCCATGCTCTGAATTAGAGTAATCGGGTCCTTGCCCAGACTCGTTGCCCAACAGCCCAGGTACGATTGTGCGGATGTCGCGCCCTTAGTTTCCAAGATGATACCAGTGTTACAAAATCCCTCATCGCAAAAGACGGACGTCGATTCGGCGATGACGTTACCGGCGGAGCAGGTAGTATAGAAGTTGCATTCTTTGTCCTTTTCACAGCATTGCGCGTATGAACCGCTTTGCGTGAGGGTTTGCGGGAAATCACAGCTTCGCACGTCGGACACTTCACAACACGAACTATTAGCTACATCATCATACCTCAGGCACTGCACGCAATGACGCGATGATGCGATAAAACGCGCTTTGTGCGCTTTGCGGACGTGTACAAAACTGGGGAGCTTACGACGAGATGCGCCGGACGTGCTGATCCAGCCTAGGATCGATGAATCAGCGCGGGGGTGGAGCTCAGCCCGGGCGGTGATTAGCGGCTCAGGGGCCGCTGCTGCAAGAGACGCAGTAACGAAGCTCAACGCCAGAATTCGGGCCATAGTAGGTCTTGAGACGGAAGTGCAGCGATGCGCGCGCGACAAGATGGAAGTCTACGATGAAGACACGCGAAAAGGGGGGTTATCGTCTGGGTCTCATTTTAGCCTCACCAATTTGGGACCTTCGCTTCGTCCTTCGGCCGTAGTGTTGCCTTTCTATCCGAATGAAGGTCGGCTTTGGGATGGCCAACCAACAAGGCGTTTGCATCAAGTGAGAGAACAATGTGTCTGAAAAGACCCGCTCGCAATCTTGAAAAGCCAGAGACATATTGGGATGTCGAGATTGCGCGCTGGCTCTGTGACCGAAGGTCACGATGAAGCCGAAGATGTCTCCCGATGAGACCCGTTGGACTTGTACGACAACGTTCGAATCTCGACATGCGTGCTGACGGCCGTTAGAAACCTTCGCATGGTTCGTGTACCTGCAGACCTACGTGCCACGGTAGCCTCCATCGTCGTTGCAGTACCCCGCTGCCCGCATCCCAAAGAGGAAGGTCTTGATACCCCTCAACACCATGATCAGCGCAGGACTGTTTACTGTCGTCTCATTCACTACATTTTCTTTGCCGTTGGGCTTCTAACGATAGTGTAAAGAGTTGTGGTTCGACTGTTATGTTTGCGAACATGTTAGGTTCTGGCCGCTTCATCCACAATTTGTACGGGATTCTCGCGCTGGTGCTGTGTGTTCAATCCCAGCTTGGAAGCTAAACAATGCTACCTCACAAAGCAACACGACGATCAATCTTCAGGGCCGACTCGCACCCCGTATCTCATTTGTGGACGAATTAATCAACGCCGCAGGTTTCGGGCCAACGCTCTCCAATGCGGGGGCATTGCGCTGTATATAGCGTATGCAATATCGATAGTGTACAAAGTGCTCCAAATTTGGCCGTCGTTGCGAATCGTATCCGCCCTTGTTGTGTTTGCCGTTTTATGGCGTCCGCAGACGAGAAATAGGATACTAAGAGCATCACTTAACATTTACAGCGCGATGTTGCCGTTTCTTAGTACAGCGATATGGCTTGCTTTAACAGTCGTCGCAGAGATTGCACCTGCTCCATACTTGCGGACACCATCATCCCGCCAACTAGCGTGGCATCAGCTTGAATACTACGCATTCATACACTTCGGACCTAACACCTTCACCAACGAAGAGTGGGGACGCAGTCAAAGCACACCAGACGTATTCAACCCAACTGCATTAGACACAGACCAATGGGCGAAGGGCTTAGCAGATGCGGGAATGACAGGCATGATTCTGACAGCAAAGCATCACGATGGCATGGCGCTGTGGGATACAAACACCACGACGTACAAGATTGGGAACGGGAAGTGGGCTAAAGATCGCGTCGCAAATGGACTCAGTGCGGATGTGGTCCGTTTGGCAGCCGCGTCAGCGCAGAAATATGGCATCAAATTTGGCATTTACCTCTCTCCATGGGATATCCATCGGGATCCAGCTATGCCGAAGCCCAACCTAACTGGAACAATCTACGACGAACCCCAAATCTTTGGCGACAACACTACAGGCGACTACAATGATCTGTATGCACGCCAATTGACAGAAGTTGTAAAATTGAAGTACGACAACGGCTCACAAGTTCCTCTGTTCGAACTCTGGTTGGACGGCGCAAGTGGCTCTGACACAGTGCAGACGTTCGACTGGGCGCGGTTCCGCGACATCATCCGCGAGAACCAGCCCGACGCTGTGATGTGGGGACACCAAGGCGTGGATGCACGATGGGTTGGCAATGAGGATGGCTACACGGTGTCTACAAACTGGCACACGATCAGCAGGACACAAGACCAAACGCATTACGAGGGCGAAGAACTGCAGACCGGAGTTCGCGATGGACTATACTGGACTCCTGCAGAAGCCGATGCGCGGATCCGCGATGGCTGGTTCTGGCATGCCAGCGAGAAACCGAAATCGCCGGATGCACTGATGAAGATGTACATGGAGTGCGTGGGACGGAGTGTCAGTCTTCTACTTGACGTGCCACCGGATACCACTGGGCAGATTGCCAAAGAGGATCTAGAAATGCTACAGCAGTTCAAAAAGCAACGCGATGCTTTCTTGAACCGTCCGCTGCTCACTCCTGATCTCAACGTCAGTGCAAGCAGCGTACGCGGAGGCCAAAACAACATGCAATTCGGTCCGGCGAACGTGCTTGACGATAACACTGACACTTACTGGGCAATGGACGACAATCAGACTACCGGGTTCTTGGAGATTCACCTCGACGGAGTGTATAGTATTGACGCTATCATACTGCAAGAACACATAGCTTTGGGACAGCGCGTTGGCGGTTACCTGGTCGATGCGGGTGTGGATGGAGCGTACAGCAGGATTATCAATGGCACATCGCTGGGTTATAAGCGGATTTGGAATCTGACGACGAGTGTGGAGGCCAACGACATACGGTTGCAAATACTGCAGGCGAACGCAACACCTTTGATTCAAAGTGTACAGGCACTCGGGTCTAAACAGAAATGAGGAGGAGGTGGAAAGAATGGACTGAAACCGCACAGGCGAAAAGAGAGCTTCCTTCAAGATCTGAGTACACTGTGTTGCCTCAGGAGGAGTAATGGAGTACCTATGCTTTCAATCAATCAAGTACATCTTGTATAGCAAGTATGATTACTCTCGGAAATAGCATTATGTCCAAGTAAGATTAAACGCATTCGCATCCCTTGTGAGTAATCTTTCTTCTCCTCCATTTACATATACTCCATTTAGTTTGAGAACCCTTTCTTCTCGTTATTTGCAGACCCTGTAGCGCGCAGAATATCCCCATCATACACTCATCGTAATAACGATCCAGTCCAACAGAATCATCAGAATAATGTTGTACATTGTTCTCAAGACAGATAGAGAAATCGCTAACAATAAATTCGCCCTGCGCCGAAGCATGACCAGTGGTAGCAGAGGAGGCACTAGGCTCCATGACGAGATCGACCACTTCTCTTGCGTCTAGCAGTGTCTCGCGACCGCTCGTTGTGGCGGGCGGAGTTGGAAGCTGGTACGCAAAGTCCGGGACCTTCTTGTCGCTGGCCACGAACTGGGACGTGACCTTCGACAACGAGATTTGATCATCCTGATGAAAGAACGACTCTTCGTCGATGGATATCCAAATACTAGTCTTTGAAACTGCTCAACGACCCATTTGGTACCGTCGTACGTCTGATCGACTCTTGAATAGGTCGTCAGAAGTGAGAGGTCTGACAGCCCGTGGGAAGCACAACCGTCCGTTGCTATCTTGCCGTCCGCTTTTGCGTTATCTCGGAAGGTATAGTAATCCATACTTGTCTCTTTTTCGATTTTGCCGATGCCAAGGGTAGTCTCGAGGGAGGTCGTTGCTTCAGTAGCTTGTTGATCGTCGGTGAACTCGAAGATCGGTGTAGGAGGGCACGTCGCTGAGAGACCGAAATCCAAGTCGAGACCTAGCAGAGGGTTGCTCGTCTCTCCATCAGCCATTGACTTGCAGGTTTATCAATCAGCAAGGGCCGCGATGATGCGCTCTAAAGCTAACGAGAATTCCACGATTATATCCAGTTTGGTATCGATCAGCACCTTTGCTGCGACACTGAGACGATCGAAGATCCAGTTCTGGATGCGCACTGCGAAGACGTCGAGTAGATTGTGGGTGAATCCCTCCGTCCTTTGTGATAAACTCAATTTTACTTAGAGGCCAGGCTGTATTCTTTCCGCCATTATTATAATTATCGATCCCAACTGGGGTCAGAAATTCGTCTCTGTACGGAGACGGGATTTCGTTCTTTGGTACCTTTGGGAATATTATAATAAATGCGAGCTTCCACTTCTCTTCAAGAGTCTTTAAGCTGCGCAACCGGCCGCTTCTAAAGTTGAGTTTATCGAGAAGTTTTTTGGACAGACCGTGGACGTCTTTCAAGTGATCTCTGGATCATGTTTCACTTGTTTTCTACCAGTATTCATGGAGACTCTTAGGTACCTCATCTTCGCTACCTCACTAAACCCCATCCTCCTACACGAGTGCGCCTTGCACGGCTTATGTGGACCTCGAATAAGGAAAGGACATAGTACTCCAGTAAATTCTCCGTTTGTACTACTTTTGGTTCTAGCTCCACGTCGCGAAGGCTCTGAACCAGCTGATCCAGAGTCCTTTCGCTTCCTAGTTGTGTTGGGTTCGCAAAGCAAGGCACAGCTAGTTGGAGAGTGCAAACCAATATGATGAAAAGTGTACACTGTGCAGTTTCATCGCCATTCCAGAAGCTCAGTTCTATCACAACCAGAAGTACCGAATTTATTCAGCAAGCCTTATCGCCAGAAGGTAGAAAGGACTTGCAGTGAGTGCTATACTCGTGAGACCGTCTGCAAGATTAGGCCTTCGCCATTCTCGTGAAATCGACTCCACAAGACCTGATACTGTAATACCTACGTCCACATCTAGGCGCGAGGGAGGGGAACAGGTAGAGCGAGCAGAAATTGCAATTCCCCGAATCTAGAGTACTTGGAAAACATTCTTACCAAACATCTCCAATCGCCCAATCAGGCCACACCTCCTGTTCTCTTGGCCTCGACGCCAGGTTGCGATCGTGAATATGTTCTTCGAGCGGCAACTCCTGGTGCTGGCTTCGCTCACCCATATCTACACCTCGTTTTTGAATTGTCCGCGCGTAACCCATTGTCTGCTTCCTCCACTCTTTCCGATCGATGTTCCCTCGAAGATAATCTGCTAGGATCATGGCATCAAACGCAGCTTGGCTGGTACTTGCTACTGTGTGTGGCCTGAATCCCGCAAGTGCGTCTCCCAGCAGAATAACTCTGCCGTTGAAGAACTCGTTAGTCGGGGAGATGACGTCTGTGACCGCCTGCACAAACGGCTTCTTCGTCGCTCTTACGATCTCCGCAAACTGCGGCGGCAGTCTCTCGCTTGCAATTACACGCTGCTTCTCCCAGGCCTTTGGGTCCGTCTTACCCGGGGGCATCGTAATCCTGTGCCTCACACCTTCGACATCCGTCATCAGCTCCGCCAGCTCTCCCGAAGGTTGGTCAAGTGATTTCGAAGGGAAGTTCGTGTAGTAGACGAAATTGATGAGGCGCTGGCCGGGCTCGAGTGTCCCGTTTTCACCAGGAATAAGATAAGCCAGGATCTGTATCCCCTGCGCATGGAAGAAAGTGAAGCGGTCTTTGAAAGCCTCAAGGGTTTTAGGTGATACTTCGTCCTCGCGTACAGTACCACGAAGGGCAACATAGCCGGCATAAGTGCGCTCGACGTCCGATTGCAACAGTGATCGTATGGACGAACTCGGGCCGTCTGCGCCAATGACCAAGTCTGCTTCCATTTCCCCTTCCTTGTCATCCTTGGTTGTGTACTTAACGACCAATTTGTCATGATACTCCTCTAGGGCAGTGACTTTGTGATCATGCAAATGCTGCACTTCGGCCTCGTCAGGCTGTCGCGAAGGAACTTTACAATAGGCGCTCTCGACATAATCGACATTGGCGCGCAACATGTAGTAGACCAGATCCCAACTTGTCATGTTCTGCACCATGTCCTCCTTGTGCACAATTTCTCCATCCTTATTCAGGTACTGGCGTCGCTGTGAAGAAACAGCGAAGTCCCGATTGCAGCGATCGTAGCGCTTGAAGAACTTGAGGGTGTCTCCTCCTGCGACGATGCCTGCGCCTTGGTTGTGGAGGAGTGGAGTAGGGTTCCGTTCGAGGATCGTGATGCGATGGCGCTGCGGGAGAGATTTGAGAGCGAGTGCCGTGCAAAGGCCGCCTAGGGAGCCTCCGACCTGCGATGTATGTCAGCTTCGTCTCATGTATTGCTGGGGTCGGGTGCAATACGATGACAATATCCAGTGGTTGATGTATAGCTCTGGTGCCGTAGGTGTCCTTCGACGGTTCGTAATACGTAGTACCGTTTGAGGCCATGGTGGACGGCGTCAGCCGGGTTCGAGCGCAGGGAAGTTGGCAGACATGTATGCGCACATCGTCAATAAGTACTCGGCAGTATACTGTGCGATGCCTGTATAGATAAAGCGTTCTTTACCCCGCTGTGGAGGGTGGAGACGCCGCATGTATGGATGACGCGCAAGAGCCGAGTTGCCCTTGCCGAACGAATTCGGCTAGTGATTCTCACCGAAACACCGCATTTCGTCGACAATGCAAAGCTTAGCTAAAGCTTACGTTCATGGGTAATATTTGAGGGCTCGGTCGTCTGGATGTTGATCTTGTACACGGATCTGCTCCTCATCAACAGGAGCGAATCACGAATTGCTCTGTGGGTTAAGTTGACCAAGGACTACAACATCTACCAATTCCCAGCCAGCGAGTACATTATCGAATCATGGCGAAAGAGGATCGAGGCGTTGTCGCGGTATGTATCGCAGCTTTTACTCATGTCTTGGTACCTCTGTCGATTTAGGATACGAACAGAATCATTTACACATGGTAAGGAAAGAAAGACACTGAACGATACCAGATCACGGGTGCGAACGGATCAATCGGATATGCGTGTACAGTGTATGCAGTCTGCCTCGGATATCGGGTTCGTTGTGTCGTCCGAAGCAAAGAAGCAATCGAAACCCTGAGGCATGGACCATCCCTGCAACGGTTCGCAAGCCAGATCGACTACCATATAGTACCCGACAATACTGTTCCGGACTCATATGATTCTGCGCTTGCCGATGTGCAGTATGTGATCCATATTGCGGGCGTTTGGCCGACCCCCGTAAGTGTTCTCTTGATACAATTCCACCAACCATGTTTCTGTGAACGCTAACGAATCTCTTTGGCCATCTAGGACAAGCACCCTGACAACGACATATACATTCCGTTTGTTAAATCGATGCAGAATATCCTCTCGGCCGCCGAGAAAGTAGGCACTGTAAAGCGCGTGGTATTCACGCAAGCCGGAGCAGCAATGGTACATCCCGACGACGGAGACACACTCGGGACGGCCATGGACATGGTGTTGAACGAGTACACACCTGTACATCCTGGATTGCTATCTCTCAAGCCTCCTTTGGCCTCGCCCCATCATGCCTACTGTGCAGCAAAGGCCCAATGTATGACCACCCTCAAAAACCTTCGCGCATCAGGGAATTTGCCATTCTCAATCGTTCAGATTGTGCCTGGGGCCGTCATGGGGCCTTCTGAACTAGTGTCCACAAAGATGGACGGAAGAGGGTACATGGACCGCATGTCCCGCGCGCTCCTCTTCAACGAGCCGAAACCGCGGTATTCCTTTGGCTTTGTACACGTGGGAGACGTCGCCAGAGTTCATGTGGAAGCTTTGGACGACGTCAGGATTCCTTACGACGAAGTGCCCGATTGGTTCATCGCAGCAGGTGCCAGTGACCCATCGAAGGATGGTGAGGAGACTTGGAAAGAGGCTGGAGATTTTATCGAGAATAACCTTCAACACGAAGTCGCTAGCGGTATGTTCTCGGTTGGGAGAGACAAAGTGCCCACAAACATGCCTTACTACGTGGACTCTGCTTTGACGGAGACAAAATTACTTCGCCATGAAAGGTTCAAAAGTCTGAAGGAGTGTATAAAGGAAGTAGCAGAATGGTACACGACCTTGAGATAAGACATGGTCTTCTTCTGTTAATATCATACGCTTTCTACACCTGTGAAGTCACCATCATTTGTCAATGCTAAATTTTTTACCCCAATGTCTCATTTGTGCACATTTGGCCCAAATCCTGTCTATCCTTGGCATTTTAGGCACGTTTCCACCTTCAGATGCGTTCGTAAAACATGAACACGTTTTGACGACCAAGTCGATATCACGTGATATATACATGTCTTCTACCTGATACATGCTGAATAGTTGACCCTGTGGTAAGGTGAGCGGAATTTTACGTGTGTTTCACGCAAGTTTACCTTGGAACACGTGACAAGTCTCTGTATACGGTAGGTCTAGTGAGTCCCGTGATTGAGCGGCCGCGCGGCCGACAGCGCCGCCTATTTGTCATCTGCAATTTACACCACTGTGGCCTGGTTGAGGCTCCAGCATCGGTTTGTTTTTGCCCAAAGCAGCTCAACATACGGTAATCATTGTATTCTGTTACATGTGCTTTACAATCCGACGCCATGGTTCAACATCTGCCAATAGATCTTGATGCTTATGATGTATCACGATTAAAGTATAATCCAGTGATTTGAAGAGGACTATGTTGCAAGACCTTCATAGGTATTCTAGACTGTTGCTATAGACTTTGAGGAACTCGACTATCATAAATAACAGGTGCGCTGGGCCTTATGTAACGTACATTGGCCTTAAATGCGTACGTAAAACTAGGTGACAGAACATAAGCGACGCGGCCGCGCCCCCACCCAGCATCCTGCAACACCTCTTGTGCTTTGAAATTATAGCCCGCACTCGATAGTACAAAAGGAGAGATATGTCCTGCTAGATATTCGCACAAAACAATCCACAGTGAGCAGACTAATCTCAGCCAAAACAACCCTACTATTCTCTATCCACCATGAAAGCCATCAAGATAGAGGACAACAAAGCTGTGTTAGTTACAGACGCAGTTCTCGCCAACGACCCACGCCCCGACGAACTCCTCGTTAAGGTTGTAGCTGTGGCCCTCAACCCCACCGACTGGAAGCATGTGGAATACGGAATTCTCACGCGTCCAACAATTGGGTGTGATTTCGCTGGCGTAGTTCAAGAAGTGGGTCCGGACGTGGCGCGCTTCAAGAAAGGTGACCGGGTGTGCGGAATAGTGCATGGCTCCAACGAAGGCAGGCCAAACAATGCGGCGTTCCAGGAGTTTGTGTACGCGAAGGACGGCCTGACGATGCATGTCCCCGACAACATGAGCTTCGAGGACGCTGCGACCCTCGGTGTCGGTGTCTTGACAGTTGGACAGGGCATGTATCAGGAGATGCCGATCCCATGGCCTGACAACCCATTGAAGGAGAAGGTACCGATTCTGATCTATGGCGGGAGTTCGGCAACGGGCGCACTTGCAATCCAGTTTGCCAAGCTGTGAGTCTGTCCCACACCGGTCTTGCCAGACTTCTACTCACTTCATTCCAACCAAGGTCCGGTTTTGAGGTTTTGACCACAGCAGGAAAATCCAACTTCGACTACGTCAAGTCATTGGGCGCAGACGCTGTATTCGATTCGCGCTCACCCACTGTGGGCGAAGACATTCGAGCGTACACCAACGACAGACTGTACTACGCCTGGGATACCATTGGTGAACACGGCAGTCCGGAAGCTTCAGCGAAAGCGCTCGCCTCAAAGGCACCGGAAGGCCAGCAGCTGTACTACGGCACCATTCTTCTCAAGGATATTGCGCATTTCATCGAGCGCAATGGCAAATTTGTAGAGCGGCCAGACGACGTTGTCTTTTCAATGTCGATTGGATATACAGCGGCGGGCGAAGCGTTCCATATCCGAGGTGCCGAGTTCAAAGCGCGCCCCGAGGACTTTGCATTTGCGAAGAAGTGGATGCCTTTTGCAGGCGATCTACTCGCTCAGCAAAAGATCAAACCGCATCGTGCAGAAGTAAGAGAGGGTGGTTTCGAAGCGATAACGAGCGGATTGAAAGATTTGAAGGATGGTAAGATCAGCGGTGTGAAGGTGGTGTATCGCGTCGCGGAGCTGTAGAACAGGTATATGGACTTATGTTGAGGACAGCATCTTCATGTTCCGCATCGTATCATCGCGCGTACTATCAGCAAGACATCTTGAACATTTCTATCCAGCATATCAGGTCTTTCAGATCGACTATCAGGCGGAGTTAGTGTAGAACGGAATGCAGGGCGGGTCGCACAACATACAGCACAGCTGCTCCAATTGGTCGCGCGAAATGATAGCCATCGTGACGGTGTGATGGAACTCGGTAGAGTTACATTTGACATCTTTCAAGCAGATTTCCTGCTGCGGAAGACTTTTCAATATCCGATCCGTGCCTTCACCTCCTTATGAGCCAAACAGGGTGGGCGCTGCCCGACTCCCGCGCCAGCGCCCAGGTTCCTAATGCAAGGCTCGTCTAGGTCATCCCCAGGGTCGCTCACTGGCGCACCGTCGGAAGGATTGCAAAAAACGCTGGCCACTCTTCGATGCGGCTACACCGATCTTCCATCCAGCTTTCGCCGATGCTGACAGGCTGATGATCATGATGTTCCTACTTACTATGGGGATCATAGAGTCGCAAGTAGCAGCTGCAGGAAATCCCCGTGTGCTGGGGGCTGATCGTCGTGCCGTTCATCGGATGTGTTCCGAGCTGGGGTCCCAAGTTGGACGCGCGTGGAAGGATGCAGGTGGGCGGGTTACTGGTTGAAGCTAGCCGTAGTGTTCCGCGCCAGCAATTACGTTTGGAGGGAAACGACAAGCGTGGGAGCTACTCATCTTCTCCCTTTCCATCAACAACATACGGCAGAGCGTTCGAGATTTCGCGAATTTTTCACAGCGCACGGCAAGGTGATGGAGGCAGCGTCATTCAGTTCAGCAGTATTGCTGCCGCGACCGCTGATCTGCCATCGGTCAGGCTGGAACCCACTGACATTGCATGATCTTAAATGTCGTATAGCCATGCCAAACTGAAACGGCATGGACCCTTGTATCCTTAGCTTCCTCACCGACACCGCTGCGAGTCTGCTCGGATCCTCGAAGGTACCAAGCATCACACCGCAGCCCGCTCGCTATGTACGTGCACGTGATAGGATATGGACACCTACAGCTTCAGTCTAAACTCACACTGACCGACAATAAAACCCAAAATGCACCTGTGAACATCCAAGGTATGTTCTCATGAGATAAATTACCACAGGATGAGGTGCGCACCATAGTCCAGTTTTGTGCAAACCACTGTGACTACAGCCCTAGCTCTGGGCTGAGCGACTACGTAGGCTCTCGCTGTACAGACTCCACTCTGCAGCTTCGCCGTAGTCGGCGACCTGCCCTGCAGGGGCACGCCCAATCACCCTCTTAGGTCGGGGTGTTCGTTGATAAATCGGTACCTATGCAGTCTCTACTGCGACACTGTGGCTGCTCGCAACTACGCTAAACAACATGCCGCGGCAGCAAGAGCTACACTTTACTTTGCATATCGTACACTCTAGAGACTGAGTATAAAGGGCCCTACAAACCATCAGATGCATTTACTATCATCATTGCATCTACTTAGCAACGACATTGTAGAGCAAGCATCGCTCCCACCTTTCCAGTCTCCTCCAACTTTTCACCTAACCAGTTGACTTATCCTCCAATCTTGAGTGATCATGAATTCCGCCTCCTGCATCTTTCTCGCCGTTCCGGCCTTCGTGGACATAACCGCAGCCACGCCTTCTCTCAACATAGTCTACCAAATTCGTCTCTCCAGCAGCAACAGCGCCCATCGACAACTCCATCGTCACCGTCAGATGAATCTCTAGTTGACACTGCTCCAAACGCCCTGGGAATCTTTCCGACCAGCGAGCCTCGCAACCTTTATACTTTCAATTTCAACAACTTACCCTAAGCAAAGTCCTGTGCGAGCTCCCAGGCACGGTGCACAAGACACACCTCATTCTCACCGGCAACATCGTCGCTCTGGGGCTCTACGATGTCCCTGACGCTGACCCCACGCCTGGCAATGATGGGCTAGCCGTGGCGGAGAAGTATTCCGTTTGGTAGAAAGTGGGGAAAATGGCGCTTGGTGTTGCCGCGAGGTATAAGGGCGACGATAGCAATCTGATCGATGCTTCATCATAGCGTACGTGCAAAGGCGTCTGACGTCGATTACACGCTATACTCGTACGATGATGAGTAAAGTTGCCCAGAAGCAACTGCAAGGCACCCACTGATGCCTGTCAGGTCTCCATCGCCTCGATGACTATGTGAAGAGTTGCGGAGCACTCGTCACTTTATACATTGAGGTAACAGAAATAGCATCCAGTTGTACGACGAGCGGCTTTCTCAAAGGAGCCCCCGCACCGACCGCGACCCATGGGCATCTTACGGGAGTCGTTGCTCCCGCCACAACGGACGGGTTTCTGACTGGAGTTGTTTCACCGACCACTACCGATAAGCATCATACATGAGTGATGGCTCCTACTGATAACTGTACCGGATACATCACCCGCGTACTGGCACCGAACTCGACGACTACTGCTCGTGTGAAGCCGACCGTGTTGCCCTTCGAAAGCTCTTCGACTACGGTGGCAGCTGGTGCTTTTCTGAGACTTGTTGGACTCGTATTGGCCTTCGTATTGCAGGCGCGCTTAGTTATGGTATCAACCAGTGTATTCGATTACAATTCTGGTCGAAGGCGCGATCGGCTAGCCTTCTTTCGAGCTTTGTGCATTTATAGTCATCATATATTCCCATAGTTATAGACTTACAGCATTGAAGATAGCCCATCGCCGCACATGGCTGTAGGCTGTCGCCCTGCGACCAATCGTTCCAGCACCGCGGACGAGAACCCTTGCAAATTACGTGCATCTGTGTGACACCTCCCTTGACGACTATGCCTGCCAACCTAAGATCAACGCAATCCCGAGTAATTTTAAGATCTTGCCTCCTAAATCATGGGCCACGGATCGATGCTCAGTTCCTGTTTCTACATGTACTTCTTCAACGGTCGTACCAGCAGGGACACGCCACTTATCCACCGATCGAGCTCTTCGCTGCACTGCCATCCATAGGTAGCAAGTATCAGCACTTGTGTCCTTCCCCGCCCAATGCTCTTGCAGGAACATACAGTGGGCAACTGCAACAAACAACTTTAATTTGAGGTACCCAAATCAGTATGCAAACCATGCACACGATGCTACATAGGTGAACACAGTAAAGCTGCGAAAGCCCTACGAAGTTTGGACCAGATCTCGGACCAGCTCGAGCTGTGTGTTTAGCTGAAGAAACTTGAACGGTGCAACACTCAACCTTAACATCTTTTCTGCGTCACAACAGTTCACCTGCCCGCTTACCAAGAACACAGCCTTGGAACCAATATCATTTATCATCCCTGGTATTCCTCATGACGCGACACCATGCTTGCATCCGCGGCAGATCTGTCAGGTACGGCACCATTCTCCCTCCCGCCAGCTGATTTACCCGGCTTCCCTACCCACAACAACCGTTCCTCCTCTCACACCGTCCCCTCATGCTTGGCGCACGTCTACACTTGCGCGAAGATCGCCTGAGCTCCGGGGAAAAGATGGCGGCGCTATGGGAGCGAGCCGAGGTTGGGGATGTGGGTTAGTCTTGCAACCCCACACGCTCTCCAATTGGTGCGAATACCACTCCGCCACTGGTTCGGAGCGGCGATCAGACGGGTCCTGGGAGCGGCGAAGCTCAAATTTACGCGACTAAACGTTGAGGTCGGGAGGAGCAGATGCGAGATCGCGCGCTGCCAAGAATGCGGTTAAATGAACTGCACGTACCGGTAGTGTGTGCAGGTGTGTGCAGGTTGCTGGGACCGTCGGGGATGGATGCTGGGAACGGGGTCCGGTGGTACATAAAGTCTGGCAGCGCTGATTGATATGCTGGAAACCGTTGATCAGTCAATTGATCTCTCGCGTGAAGATGGTTGTGCTTAAAAACGCGCTTGCGGTCGCCGCTTGCGCTGCTCAGGCATTGGCTGTTGATATTGTTGTCAAGTCATCAGGCGGCAATGAGACGGGCAAATTTGGTCATCCGTTTGGGTACGGGTTCCTCCACGAGGTGAGATTTTGTGTGCTCATAAAATGTGGTGCAGATTGTTAAGACGTGCCAAAAGGATATCAACAATTCGGGTGATGGTGGCATCTACGCCGAGCTGATTCAGAACCGCGCCTTCCAATTCTCCAACAAGTACTCTGTCTCGACAGCCCACTACTTTCCCATCAACGGTGCGAGTCTCAGCATCCAGAACCTTTCGGCGCCGCTTTCCAAAGCTCTCCCTGCTTCGATGCGAGTGGCAGGCGGCAGTGGATATAGCACTGGCAAGATCGGCTTCGAGAACGAAGGGTACTGGGGCATTGGAGTAAGCCAACAAAAGTACACTGGCTCGTTCTGGGTCAAGGGTGCCTACGAGGGCTCTTTCACTGCATCTCTCCAGTCCAACCTCACCGATGACGTCTTCGCCTCTGTCGAGGTCGAATCAAAAGCCGTCGATGGCGAGTGGGTCGAGCATGAGTTCGAGCTCGTGCCAGAGAAGGATGCGCCCAACTCCAACAACACGTTTGCAGTTACGTTTGATGCAGCAGGCACCAAGAACGGCTACTTGGACTTTAACCTCATCAGCTTGTTTCCGCCGACGTACAAGAACAGGAAGAATGGTTTGCGCGTGGATCTTGCTGAAGCACTTGCTGGGATGAACCCGACCTTCTTGAGGTTCCCCGGCGGCAACATGCTTGAGGGGTTGACCAACGACACCCATTGGGACTGGAAAGACACGCTTGGTCCATTGAAGGACAGGCCTGGATTCCAGGGTGTTTGGGGTTACCAGCAGACTCACGGACTGGGTATCATGGAATACCTCGAGTGGGCTGAGGACATGGATCTGCAAATCGGTAAGTACCCCTGGCATGCTCAGTAGAAGAGAACCCTTCTAACTTCGTGAAGTGCTCGCAGTCTGGGGTGGTCTTGCCCTCAATGGCGATGTAACACCCAAGGACGCGCTCCAGCCTTTCATTGAAGATGCACTCAACGAAATTGAATTCGTTACCGGACCTGCTGATTCCACTTGGGGTGCAAAGCGCGCAGCGCTAGGCCATCCCGAGCCCTTCGAGCTGAACTACGTCGAGGTTGGCAACGAGGATTGGCTCGCCGGATACCCTGGCGGATGGGAGTCGTACCGCGAGTACAGATTCCAGATGTTCCATGATGCTATCAAGGAAGCATACCCTGATATTCAGGTCATCGCCTCAGCCGCCACAAGCGACCCAGGCAAGCCGAATGAGGCCCTTGACTTCTCGAAGACGCCTGACGCCATTGGCGACTACCACCCGTACCGCCGACCGGACGAGCTTGTGGAAGAGTTTGACCGCTTTGACAACGATATTGGCCATATTGTCGGTGAAGTCGCGGCAACACACGTGAATGGCGGCCAGGATCCTCGTTGGGACGGCCCCTTGTACATCTACCCTTGGGTATGTATCGTCTCGGTGCGATCCATCTATTCGAACAAACTAACGCGCAATAGTGGCAAGGAGCCGTCGGAGAGGCCATCAGTCTCCTCGGCTACGAGCGCAACTCTGACCGTATTCCCGGCACATTTTACGCGCCCGTCATGAAGAACGAGAACAGGTTCCAATGGCCCATCACTCTAATCCAATACGCAGCCGACCCGAAGATGACGACCAAGGCCGTGACTTGGTACTGCTGGAGCTTGTTCGCCCACAGTCCCATCAGCCACACGCTGCCAACGACAAGCAACTCCACCTACGGCCCGCTCTACTGGATGGCCGGCCGAGATGATGCCAGGAACGGCGCGCTGGTATGGAAGGGAGCCGTTTACAATACCACTAACAGCAGCACTGTGCCGGTCTCGGTCCATTTCCAGGGCGTATCGCCAGGCACGAAGGCAAGTCTTACGGTGCTCACGAGCAACGCGAGGAACACCACTCTGGGTGACTACTCGTACAATGACCCGTACACCGGCGTCAACATTGTAAACACAGACGCTAAAGAAGTGAGTGCGGGTGCGAGCGGTGCTTTTGAGTTTGTGCTGCCGGAGTTGAGTGTCGCGGTGCTGGATACTGGCAAAGCTGGGAACTCGACTGGTTACAAGAGGAAGTTGTAGAAATCTCCATTGTATCTAGAAGGGAGGACCATATGGAATGAACTTTGAAGTCCTGCAAGGTGTCGCTCAAGACCGCTGACTTGCATGTGCTACTTGAGGGAGATTGTGGCCCAATCGCAGTGGATGCCAGGGAAATGCGAACGCGTCTTGATGACCTTGGTGGCAAAGGGTTTCGACTCTTCCCTGTGAATGTTGCTGTCAATGGGCGCTCGGACCTCCGCAATTCGGCTCCGCAGGCCTTGGATGAACGCTATCGATAACACCATGTTCAGTTGCAACCGCAATCATCGTGCTTACATCCAAAAGGACAATTGTTAGCGTGGTTGCGCCTGTTGTTTGTCGTGCTCTGCAACTTCCTGCCCTACTTGACCCGCGCATCGCTCGCTCCTGCCAGGGCTTACCAGCTGCTCTCACCTCCTCCGTCTGCCGTCCCGTCGTGCGCCGTCCTCACCATGCCGCTTCCACCCATGGTCTCAGCCTGTGTGATGTCGCTCACGATCGGCTGTGCGTCCAACATCATCGCGCAGCGACTGAAGGCATACATAGAAGACGCGCCGTTCGTCTTCGACTACACGCTCTTCTGGCAGCTCACCGCAATGGGCTTGATAACTACGCCGATAAACTATCACTGGCAGAAATGGCTGGAATTCATGTTTCCTGCTGAGAAGTTGGTGAAGCGATCGCGTGCTCCGACGAGCGACGATGCGGAGAAGGGCGCCTTCAACAGGGACGACGATGAGAACAAGCGGGCAATAGACGAGGAGGTCTACGTGCGCAGCTGGGCCAACGTCGTCAAGAAAACCATCGCCGATTCTATGACTGGCGGCGCGTTGCTCAACACGACCATGTTTCTGGTGCTGCTTGGGCTCATGCAGGGCAAGACAGCAGCGCAGATTGCCAACGATATCCGCGAGGAAGAGCTGTCCATTATATGGAACTCGTACAAGATCTGGCCGCTTGCAAACATGTTTAGCTTCGCCTACGTGCCCGTTGAGCGCCGGATCGTCTTTCTCAGCTTCTTCGGCCTGCTCTGGAGCATCTACATGACACTGGTTGCCTCGCGACTGTCCGCATGAGCTACTCCACCCGTGCGCCCTGCTCCCACGCTCTCTGCACAGCGCCCCAGTACCGCCCCTCATTCTCTCGGATATGCCCGGCGTGCGGGCTCTTCTCAAAGCGGATCCTGGTCACCTTCCAGCCTTGTGCTTCGGCCTGGTCTGCATGTTCCTCCACCTCGTCGTGCCCCACCATCTCGTCGGCCTTACTATACAAGTACACCCTTGGGGCCTGCCTGTTGAAGAGAGCAGGGTCATTCAGCTGCCGGCGCATGATGTTCATGATAGGCTCTCTCCTGCCCAACTTGGCGATCACAAACAGCATGGCCAGGAAAAGATGGATCGTTGCAGACCCAAGCAGCCTCCACAGCCAGAAGCGCGGCAGCGAAGTCGACATAGCCTTGTGACTCCTACGCCAATCCCCATTTCCGGGCGCTGAGTCAATCATTTGTGCGCGCATAGGCAGAGGTGAGCCCTCACGCTTTGTCCAAGCTTTGGCGAACTCGACCAACTGGTTTCCGCCGCCATTGGAGAAGCTGTGCACGAGAAGTTGGCCGCCTGCATCAACGTGCTGCTTGACAACATCGATTGCCGGGGTCAAGAGCCTGGAGTAGGTCGCTTCGTTTCGAAAGAAATCTGCGAGCTCGTTGCGCACCAGGACTAATCGTGCAGTGGGGAACAACTTGCGATACGCGACAGTGTATTTGGCGATATGTTTTGGGGCTGCGCCCATCCAGGAGAAGAAAAGTATCAGAGGCTCTTTTGATGTGTACGCTTTGGGTGTTACCAGGTAGACATGTTCGCCGATGGCATGGAATTCCGATAGCGGCTTCACCGCCTCGGTCGGGTTCGACATCCTCGTCACTGGTGGTTGACACAGTTCACGGGTGCTTCAACTGGTCTTCTGTTCTGGGTCGACACGACAAAGCGCCCTGGACCTCTTGACTGGCATCGCAATCATGGAGGTGACAGCCAAACGATCCATCAGCAAGTCGCTTGGCACCCAACAACCGAGGTACATCACTGATTGGGTATGGTATTCCATCCTTCGTTATGTTTGGGACGTAGGAGTTGAGGCCGAAACTCCACCACTGTCGCCATGGTCATTGCTAGGCCTCGCTAAGCAATCATATTCGTTGTGTTCTTATCAGCTTGCCTGTTCCGCAGATATTTCGAGGTATCTATGCAGCCGCAAGGCCCCTGCACTTGGCATTCATCAAGAAGCTACGGCTATCCAATCACAAGGCACACTCTACAGTACATGCATGCCAGCGATGAGCTCGTTTCTGATATCGCAATATGGAAGAGTCGAAATCTGGCTCATTGTGCCATTTCTAACCGATGTTCCGGAAGGCTACGAGGTATAGGGACGGTACACCCACCGATGTACCAAATAGTGAACTTCGCAAGTGATTTACTGTCAATCAAGTCAGGTCGAACAGTTTCAATATCCGCTGGCCATGCGATTCCTGAATGCCGCCGTCGTTGTGGCGAGCCTCTGCGGCCCAGGTACGTCAGCGCCAAAGCGTCATGCCAGAAGTTTAGATGCGGTTTGCCCACAGTCGAGCAAAAATGTGTACAAGCGTTTGACGAGGCAACATCTCACCTCCACTCACCCTGGGCTGACGTAATAATAGTCTTTTCCCAAAGCTGGGTAGCAAGCAGATTCTATGACGCCGCGTCCGGTATAACATACTCCTCGGTCACCATGCCGAACGGTGTGAGCTACCGAATCGCCCTTCCTATCGACTCGCCCACTGCAGACGGTATCGTGCAAATCGTTGCGCCCAGCAAGTATGGCTGGTGCGGATTTGCATGGGGAGGTCGTATGACCAGCAATCCGCTCACCGTTGCGTGGCCGTCAAAAGCTGCAACTGGGGAGCCGGTTACTGTCAGCAATCGTTGGGCTACGTACGGTTCCCTCTTTGATCTTCTCAACTTCTCGCAGTATGACTGACTAATCTGCAGAGGATACTCCTCCGTCCCCGCGGCCTACACCGGGGCAATTCATACGTACCTCCCGATCAGTCCGTCCACCACCAACAGCACTCACTGGACCGTGACGGCGAGGTGCCAGGGATGTACTAGATGGGGCACCACGAACATTGAGGCATCGACGAGCGTAACGTTTGCCTACGCATGCTCAACGGTAGCTCCGAGCACTCCGGCAAGTAACACGAGCAGCTTCAGCGTACACGAGAGCCCGGGGAGATGGGCACATGATCTGACAATCGCGAAGAATGGAAGCTTTGCGACATGGGTTGGGTGATGGTGCAGGTGAAGAGGCTATCATCTAGGTACGGGCGATCGAGTGTAGATAGGCTCGGTTGTTCTGCGTTGTTCTACACTCGAATACACCATAGTTTTATTGTTTACCAACTCTTCGCTCTTCTCGCTTCTCACGTTTGAGCTTATTGCAATCCAAGCTGATCACAGAGGGCAGGACCAGAGCCACTCCCGAAAGAATCGTGACCCTTCTCGGCTCCGCGGAGCTCTAGCAGATGTGCAATCTCGCAAAGTAACCTGCTTGAAGTAGTTTTGTAGCTCTTGCCTTTACCGTCCTAGCGAACGAGCCGGCGAATGATATTGCTTAGGCCACCCTGAACTCTTAGCTTCAAATCCCAGAGGATGCCTTGAAGTCACGACTCGTCACAGCAACATTTTAACGGTCAACGTAAACCGCTCGGCGCTGGTATACCGGGTGAAGGTACTGCAGATGAGCGACAAGGTACAAAGCCTCCACTCCGGAACTTCAAGTGACGCATGAGGCTGGCATCGAGTTTATTAATATGACGCCAAGAAGAGGCTGAAGGTTCAAGAACAACACTACTCGTAACAGGAGTGCACTAGGACCGTTCCGACTAGGCTGCAGATGCTGTGTTTGAGGTTGCAAAAGAACAACCTTTAAACTCGACGACGGCGAACCTACAGAGCGGTTATGCGCAAGAATCCAGTACTAGCAGTCAATTGATTACAGCTGAATTGCAGGCAGGAGTATGTGTCGCACGGACGACTAAGGAGGACTTGGATTTTGGGATGTTTAGTTTCGCGCCAAAGTTCGCGAATGGACACTGCCCTGTGGGGGCGAGAAACAGTGGAGGTACGCGAGATGATGCGGGACGATGGGCCAAGCGGAAGTCCCGCCAACTATGGACAGCATGTCAGGCGCCCAGGACATAGTCTGAGCCTCAGTGGCAAGCAATCCACAAAAGTGCGCCTCTCCTTTAGCAAGAACCGTCTGTCACTCCCGGGTCGTCACCATTCTTTCCACACGCTAGAACCGCGAGCGTGACCTTGTGCGCAGGACGTCCACCATGCGGCCAACTTCAACAGTGATACAGGGATTTGTGCTGGGACTTTGGGTTGCGAGGGCCAGCGCCGATTGCTATGCGCATGATGGTGTCCTAGCGAAGAACTCGGCGGCCTACACGAAGCCCTTTGAGATGGTCTCGTGTGGCAATGGGACGAACAATTGTTGCTTCCAGGGCGACAAATGCGGCTCTAACTTGTTGTGCTACGACAGCAATGGCAACACGGTCCGACAATACTGTGCTGACCTGAACTGGAATGGATGCTCGTCTATGTGTGCTGGTACGTTCTCTTCCATCTTTCGTACTTGTTGCGCGCACTGACTTTGCCCGCGCAGACTATGCGCCTTCCACCGGCACCCTCCTCGTCGACTGCGGGAAAAACATGTACTGCTGCGGCGCAGTGGATGAGTCCTGCTGCGAAGACGACAGCCAGCACTTTTTCGTCGACCCCCTAAACGGCGACGTAAAGCACCCCTCCAAAGCCACCGGGGCGTCGGCCACCGCTTCGCCAACATGGTGGACCGTCGACAGCAAGGCGCTCCTCGCCGCAACAAGCACATCCTCCGCATCCTCCTCATCATCTGCTACGTCGACAGCCGAGTCCACGAGCGAATCGTCAAGCGCATCCACCACCGCTTCACAAACATCCACACCCACACCCACGAACACCGCTCCCCCACAAGGAGAGGGCTCAAAGGGCATATCCGCCGGCGCAGGAGCCGGCATCGGCATCGGTGCGGCCGCCGCCGTAGCCCTACTCGCAGGCCTCGCATGGTTCCTGCTCAAGCGGCGCAAGGGGAAGAACGCGTATGAGGCGCCGATCGAGCAGGGGCATGCCAACAACCCCTACGGCGCTGCGGGCACTGCGTATGGTGGTGCTGCGTACCCGGGAGAGGCTAAACATAATGACTACTACGCACATGATGGGGGACACGGGCAGGGGGCACAGGGCGGTGTGATGCCGCAAGAGTTGGATGGGAGAATGGGAATGGCGGAGGTGCATGGGGAGTCGAGGAGAGTTTAGGAGCGGAATGAGGGGAGGTTGGATTTTTTGATTCGGTCGATGCAGATACCCATTTCAGAGAGAGGTTGGCGGACTTTATTCGAAAGGAATAGATGTTGTTAATTCAGCGAGTGGTACATATCCATGTGAGGAGTGCGAGGAACATTATATGCATGCGCTGGTGGTGGTTTTGCGCGATGTATTCCAGTTGGGCGGATATCCTGTATTACCTGGACGAAGACGTTCTGGACTAATGCAAAAGGACAGGGTTACGACCTTGGTGGCAACGATCACCCCTCGAGGCGGTAGTGCCCACATGTGGAGTCTGGCGCCATGGCAACTATACCTTCCCCGTGGGATCATGCACCTGCTCGCTCGCATTTTCCGGAGCTCGGATTATTACGCCTTTTCATCCGCGGCTGGGAAGTTTCGATCTGGATCTATGCGCTCAAGTCCATCGCTTTTGAAGGACTGCAGCGCGTGAGACTAAATTGCGCAGTGGTTGGGCGTACTTGGAAAGACGCCACAGGTGGGCATAGGTGTATGTCCTGTCCGGCACAAAGACAGAAGTACGGAGACGAGGTATGAAAGGTTTCTCACAACGAATGGCGGCCTAGAGGATGACTGGACGGAATACAAGATGGCCGGCTACTTGCACTTGCTGGCACATTGGTAGATGGTAAGAGAGACGGCACTCGCTGCGTCGACCTCAGGTCTCTCCCGAATAAACATGGTACGAGTTGTGATATGCATCATCGCCGTAGCGGCTGCTGTACTTGGGTTTCGATGAGTCGTGACTGTAGATTGGCAAAATGATTGATAACATGAACACCCTGCTGCCATATCGCAGTCCGGTGGAAGAGGAAGGAGTCCAAACATCTGAAACCATATATCCAGAGCGGAAGGGCGTGTACAATATATACGAGATGCATTGTCTCTCACGATGATGAAGAGTCTGGAACTGAGCCAATACCACTAAGAGCGAAGATAAATTAGTAGAGCCTAGGCTATAATACTACAGTTCTAAACCTCTCAGCTGTTACTGGCTCGTCGATGTTCACGTTGGCGGGAATGAGTTTGCGATACATTTGAGCCAGGAGAGCAAGACGATCTTGAGAGCGACTGGGAAAGCTAGTCGCGGGCGTTGCGTAAATGGGAGTTGGTCTAAGATCCAGACGTAGAGTGAACGTGGCGGCGCGATGATGACAGAGAACGATGAAAAGGTGTTGGCATTATATACAAGCAAACAGAGCACCACCTGATCTACCCTTTTGACAGAAAAGAACGCGCATAGGTGATCAGCACTTTCGCCATTGCAGGCCCCAGGTTGCCTGCTTGATGTCGTACGTGCCTGAGTTGCCCTGTACCACTGGTCGCGCATTTACATTCAAGATGCCCGGGTTCCCATCGGCTCCCATGCACTTGGACCACTTCAAGTCCGTCGTGCTTGACTTCACTGTAACGTAATCCTTGAGGTCTGGGCCCGCGCAGGCAATTGTTCCCCTGAGGACACTCTGCTTCGTAGTCAGTAACCATTACGAACACAATTCAGCCCAATGCAGGGTACTTACGGTGTCAGCCGCATGCTCACTCCAGTATGCTTGGGTGATTGTGTCCAACTGGCTTCCACTCGACAACTGCACGTTCCCCTGATATGCGACTTCCTTCACGGCGACTTGCCACCCCTGCGATCCGCCGGTGGACTGGATGTGCAGCTCGCAGCTGCCCGTGTCATCGCCGCGGAGCTGGCTGAATGTGAACGCGGGCGCGTCGCCGAGCTCACCGTAGACAGCCTTCACGGAGCCGCTGTCATTGGGGCAGCCAGATCCAGAAAACTTGAGCGATGTGATTCTTGGGGCGTGTTCGGGTGCGGCGAGGACGAGCGCCGGTGCGGCGGCGGCGAAGAGCAGAGCAGCGCGCATATTGAACTGATTGTACACCCGAATATAAACAAAGTTTGAAGACGTTTGGTAGCGAGGCCAGCGTATAGTCTAGCGTGTACTCTGTAGCAATAACGTCGAGATAATCCCAGGGTCCACCCGTCCTTTATACACCTCTCCCCCATCCCCAACCCCGTCACTCATCCCATGATGGCCGCCACCAAAGTATTGTTGCCACCGTATGCTACTCTGACGTCGCTATACCATTTATTAACGGGAAGTTGCGAAGTTTGGTCGAGAGCGTTTGTAGGTGCTATTTAACCATATTAGCGTGTTAGCGACCCGGTTTGTGCGCTGCTTGGGAGCGGCGTCGCTGGACGATCGTGGCTATTCTTAGCAATGGGGCAATATGTGATATAGCGGTGTTGGTGCGTGCGAAGTCGAGATCGTGGGAGTAAGCGTTTGGGATGCTTGGGGAAGGTTGAGAGGCGGGAGTGGGAATATGAAGCTCGTGTTCATAATCTCGTGCGGTCGGCCGAAAAACCCAAATCTTCTCAAGGTGTTCCAGGCGCACTAAAACCGAACGAGTTTGTCGTCGGGCAAGGTGAGTGTATTGTCCGTGGCGGAGTGGGCGGTGGAAAGCAAGGTGCGTTATATAAGTCGTCAAGACTCCGGGTCGGTGGTAAGAGAAGATGCAGATAGGAATGATGGAGCTGTGCCGTGAGAATCAAAAAATTTGTGTGGCAAGATGCTTTTCATCGCAACAGTGACGGTCAAGGGGTTTAGATTGCCTGGTCGAGACTTTGAGTATTGCAGCACTCAAATACTTGGCCTAGCGGGTATTGCTGGCTCTTCTCGTTATCTGTGTCGCAGTCATGCCAGAGGGAACGGGCCCATGGCCTAAAATGGAAAGCTGCTGGGCTTCGCAGGTGTTTGTGTCAGCCTGGAGTATAGAGCGGTTGTAACCGAAGTCGGAACAGTTCATCCCAGGGTAACTTGATTGATAGTACGCTTTTATTAGCAACGCTATTCCTATGAGCGTGAGCATACACCTGCACGAGAAGTAGGAAGCCGAGGCACAGTAAGCTTTTTTTTTCCTATCGGCTACTCCGTAGGTAGCAATCAAAGACTTGCAGGGTTCCCAGCATCTTTTTTTTCTTGCATCGAGGCGCATTCCCATTCGAGACATTTTGTGGGGAGATGAGACCGCCGCAGCGACAAGTCATATCTATGTACTATCTTGATGCCGGTGCTTGTCTGCGGGTTCTTGGTGCGATGAGTCGTTGTCTTGAGGGAGAAGGAGGCGGAGGCTTGGCTTTCCCGCGGTGTTCGCGCGTCATTGAGTCGTCGCTGCACCACCGCACCACAACAATAACGAGCATCAGGCCATGACTGTTTGACAAATTAGCCTTGGAGATCCTGCGCTGTTCTCGCCTGTAGCTGCCGGTATTGCCATACAGAGTACCGTAGCAAACCTTGGTTTACAAGACATTGATCTCGAGCCGCACAACACGACAGCCCCACCGGCATACCAATTTGTTGCGCCAACATCGCGCAATGTTTCGCCCAGGCTTCCGAGCCTTCGAGTCCGCTTTCCGAACCGTGAGAAGCCCTGCGCGGTTTCGACCGGCCAAGCATGCACAGTCGCGCGCGTACCGACAAATACGCTTTGGCGACAAGAGCCCCCAAGGTGCCTACGGCCGCCTCCAGTTCATATCCAGCTTCTTCAGGAGATGGGCTGCACGCCCGACGTTCTACCGCGATGTAGGACTGATAAGTCTGGGCACCGGAGGCGCTTACGTGTATAACCTGGAGGAGGTGCCGGTATGTTCGATATGGCGTCTTGCCCACGTCTGTTGTGCTGACCTTCAGACAGATCTCCGGTCGCCGCCGCTTCAACATCATAAGTCCGCGAATCGAAGCTCAGATAGGCGCTGCAACGGTCGGCGAAGTGCAGCAGCAATACCAGGGACAGATGTTGCCGGACTGGCATCCGACCGTGCGGAGAGTGAAGAAAGTGCTCGAACGGTTGATACCGTTTGCAGAGGAAGCGGGGTTGCACGATGTGGACTGGGAGATCCATGTCATTGACAGTCCGGAGGCGAATGCCTTCGTTGCGCCTGGGTAGGGAACATTTAGTCCTGTGCCAGGAAAGCTGCTAATGGAGTGGCAGTGGGAAAGTGTTCGTCTTTACCGGTATCCTTCCGCTCTGCGAGGATGATAACGGAATTGCTGCGGTACTGGGTCATGAGATTGCACATGTGGTAGCACATCACACTGCGTAAGTTGTCCCATACGAGTGCTTCTTGGTAACTAATCATATGTAGTGAGAAGTTGAGCCAAGCGCCGTTTGTGCTTCTCGGTGTGCTTGCCTTGATGACTTTTGATCTGTCGTTCCAGCTCAGCAGCGCTGTTCTCAACCTGTTTCTCTCGATGCCCGCTGGCCGCAAGCAGGAGGCCGAAGCCGATCAGATTGGCCTTATGATTATGGCACGAGCGTGTTACCGCCCGGAAGCCGCCATGGAGTTCTGGCATCGCATGGAGACGACTGGAGGCGCAGCGCCCCCAGAACTACTCTCTACTCACCCGTCCCATCACAACCGGGAGGAGAAGATCCGAGGGTGGCTACCAAGAGCCCACGAGCAGGCTGAGAGGTCTGAATGCGGTGCTACATCTCTCTATGGTGAGAACGAAATGCAAACAGAGTTGAACCTTTGCTAATTGATTGCTAGCGCAACAGTTCAACACCTTTTGGGGACGGTAAAGAGGTAGACCTACCGTATACGATAACCTGTATGATAGCTCACTTGTAGTTTTAGCATAGAGAAAGCAGCGGTACACGAATGAACGAATAATGCCTTTTCTCCTGCGTCCTGTCCACCGGAGCTGCATATACAGATGAAACGTGTCCCCCGAGTTATGAACTTAAGATAATTGTTCACTACCAGACGCTACGAAGAAATCGGGATACACGGACAAAACGTTACAAACTCCAAAATCAAACGACCTAAACTACGTCGGAATCTTCACGTCTTTTTTGTCCGACTTTCCATGCTATTTGTCGATGCTTTCGCCGCCTTCTTCGTTTTCGACGTATTCTTTGGCTTTGCAGGATTCTTCTTGCCCTTCTTCCTCGGTGGTCTCTCCTCGTTGTCACCATTATCACCGCCATCATCGTTGTCGACAGAGATGCGCTTCTTGGGTTGACGGGCACTCCTGAGTTGCTTCGGTTCCTGTCCGACACCCTCGTCTCCATCATTGACATTACCAGCCTTGATTTGATCTTTTGCTTTCGTGGGTGGTGTGACCTTCTTGCCGCTACCTTTCGTGTCACTGTTTTGTTGAGCATCATCTTCTTCAGCAGGGCCAGGTGCTTTCTTCTGGCTGTTCTTGGTGGGGTTTGGCCTTTTCCCGTTGTCTCCTTGGTCATCGGGATTGGTCTCGTCCCCTTGCCCGCCTTCCCCGTCTTGTCCTCCTCCAGGTCCTTTATCTGCCCCACTTCCTCCGCCATGGCCTCCTCCATTTGCACCTTCGTCCCCTCCTACGCCGTAAGTTTGCCGATCGCTGTGCTCCTCCTTACCCTTCTTGAGCTTATAGAGCATTGCGGTCGCCTCGTAGCGATCGTCATCAAAGTCGTCTTCATCATCATCGCTCTCGTGGTCCGACTCGCCATTTGCTTTCCGGTCCGGCTTGTACGCTTCTGCGAAACTCTCTGCGAAACCGCGCGCAACTCTGTCCTGTATCTCGACATCTTCGAGCCCGCCAAACCAGGAGGCAAACCACCATCTTGTCACCTCGTTGATGAAAAGCTCCTGTTTCGAACTAATTCCAAGGTCTAGTCTAGCACCTACATTGAGGGATTCGAATTGCTTGGGGTAGCGGCTCAAGAGGCGCCTGTATTGGGAAATGGCGAACCTTTTGATAGCTGAAATATTGATCTTGGGGTACGTTCTGAATGGATCTTTACTTTCAAGGTTCAGACGCGAAACGTTCATCTTGTACGTGTAATATGTGCAGCGCACAATGGGACCTTCGTCAGGTAGCTCAAAGAAGTCCTCGTCTGGTCCATCTCCGGGATCCAGCTCATCCCCATCATCAGCATCAGCCTCCAGCACAGTGTCTCCACTCGTATCGTGTTCATCCTCAACCGCAGTCTCGCCTTCAAGGTCAGACCCCGCTTGCTCGACTCCTTCTTGCTCGGCTCCATCTCCGGCGTCACTGTCTCTGAGAATCTTGATCAATCCCGATTTGTTTTTGTTCTTATACTCTGAAGGTTTCATCCCCAATTTGCGTTGCCGAATTGTACGTTTCAGCTGTGATTTAAACATCGAAGCGTATCGATCGCCTTCTTGGTTGGGCGCATTAGTTCCACCTTTCTCAGGTGCCCGTTGCCCACTGCCCGGTCGCGCTCCGGGCTGCAAATTTGCCTTCCTCTTTTGTGTTTGAGGTTTCGGGGGCCCAAATCTCTTCTGGAATCTATCTTTCGCAACTCGGTCATTGAAATGTGTCTTGATGATGTCCACGACTTTGGGCACCCTTCTTTCGTTTCCCTTTGCGTCCTTGACGTTTTTCATCCGTATAAAAACCCTTAGCTCTCCCCAGGTGCCAAGAGAGTCAACATACTCTTGATGTATGTAATTGAAAAAACGGGAGTGGTGCAAAATATGATTTTCCGCCTTCTGTGCAAGTTTCCCCGGGTGCTTCTCGAGATGGATATTGAGGAGATCTGCGTCCTTGAGTTTCTTGTGGAACTCCTGCAACGTTCTGTAACAAGCCGGCTCTTGAAAGGAACCTTTCCAAGGGACCGATTCCACCATGTGCATACCCCAGCTGTGTCCCCTCTTCAGGATCTGAGTTTTCCCTTGCCACAAGCCTTTATACTTTTCCTCTTCGAAAAGACATTCTTTCTCAGCCGCGGTGACGCTCTTCAGATTGCATTGGTGCCATGCCGGCCGCCATGAGTCATCCTTCTGAGCAACTGCATCGAAGGCTTGAAGATCGTAGATCTTAGCATTGTCCAGCGAGATTTCATCACGCGATGGGTACAGCAAGACATGCTCGCCCACATGCGCATCGTAAGCACGGCTATCCAAGTGTATCCTTGTACCAACGCGATATGTGAGGAGCATCACCTCCGGGAGCTTCGGATCCGGAAGCTTCCGTGGAGTTGTTGGGCTCAAAGTAAAGGAGTTCGAGGTTGCCGTTGCTGGCGGGGTTGCTGGTGTCTTTGGTTGTCTGTACGTTGGCGATTCCCCCTGGTTAATCTCTTTCTTTAGTCTTCTTGCATGGCGCTGTGCGGACTCGAGGTTGCGCGCATATACGGTTCTGAACCCCTTTTCTTGAAGCATGTGCATGAAAAGAGGCATCTGGTGGAGGAATCGATGGGTGATGTTTTCACCCTCTTTCTCTTGAGCCGCATAAGAATCGGAGTCTTCGGCGTAATAGTGCTTTCGGTCGATTGGCGCCAATTCCGAAAAGTAGATAGAGCGCAATCTTCTCTGTACTCTACCGAAGTGTTCATCTTGGAAATACTTGGGCATTTCGTGGAAACTCAAAGACGCTTGTTCCAGGGCTGGCCGGCGGATCATATGCTTATGCGGTCCGGTACTGATCGAATCGTCGGCTTTCTCAACATTGGCTATAGACTCGTTGCCTGGATCGTCGTAGTCGACGGGAAAGAAGATGATGGTGTGAAGCAGTGTCTCTGTCTGTGCAGTAGTCGATGATCTACGTCGCACATCCATTTTGAATGACGGCCCTTTTTTTCTCGGATCATCGTCACTCTCCACTCTTGATGTTGTCACCGTTGTTGACATGTTTTTCTATGATACTCCGAGCATCGACACTTTATTCAGTGGACAGACAACGAAATCAGACTCCTGGCTATCTCAGATGTGCATCGATGATGCGAGGCAGTGTTGATAGGATGTGCGTCTTTGTTCGATAGCCTCAAAGCCATCTTTTCGGTGAACGTAAAGTAGCTGACAACGTGATCTGGCGTCGAACAAAGGTCATGATAAAGAAACCGACTCTACAGGGATATGCCACTGCCTGAGGGTTGATCTGTTCAGACATTGGCTTGGGGGGCTCCAAGTCTGGTAGTTGCGACTACTCCCGACAGTTTGTCATTGCTAAGCTTCCCTACTGGCAGAGCCGCGACACCTCTGAAAGGATTTATATAGGAAAATGATGGATGTTGTGCAGTTCACAGCAGATCGCAGTTCGCTGCGGAGTATCAATGAGAATACAACACTGTAACGAGTACATCTTGAAAGCCCCAGGATAGCATAGATGAGCTCCATTGCTTTGCTGACTTAGACCCACAAAGAAATCGCAAATGTCAAGAATGTGTCATCACTGTGTATGTCGTTCTTGCTCTTCCTCGTCGCTCGACGCCAGCAAGAGCAAACAACAAGACATCTCCAGCGCTCTGGCCGACACACGTAATAAGCGTGTTGCCGTGCTGGTGAAGGTGAACTTGAACATTGAATTGCTGTACTGCTCATCGAGCTTAACACCACATGCCCGAGTTGTTTCACACCGCCTCCGCTGCGGGGTTGCCTCTGTTGGATCGTCGAAACAAGGAAATCTACCTCCAACACAACGGCATGAATCTAACTTTGTACTTTCTTTTCGCCCAAGACCTTGCCGCAGACCACAATGTGCGTCGTGACAGAAGCAACCCTTCCCATTACTCAACCGTGCCCTCCCAGACAGCCCGCCGGCCCCAGACCCATGCCCTCCCGAACTCAGCTTGCGAACAGCCGGCCTGCGCGTCTGTCAAACCTGCCAAACTCAAACCTGTCGCTCCCCCACGCGCATGGTGCGACAAAAAACTCCACTTCGCTGGGCCGTCGCTGGGGCTCCGCCCACGCTCACAGGCTCCCGCGACTGGTCGCTTTTAATAAAAGGTGCACCACTCGCAGCACATCTTGCAGCCCATCGCCGTCACATCGCAGCTGCAGTGAACCCTGCTCCGTCACAGTGCCTGATTGTCACAAGGCGTGCCGCACCGCGGGAGCCGGTCCCGGCGGCGAGCATCGGCAGGACGGAGGATTTCACGCGCGACGCACGCAGGAGGGAGACGGGAGGGGAGGACGGGAGGGGAGGACGGACGCGAACGCGAGAGATCGTCACGTTGGAAGTCGGTTTGCGAGAGGCTGGACATCACGGGCGGCGGGAGGAAAGAAGCGGGCCGAGTTGCGCCCGATCGCATCGCGGCCTGGCAAAACATGTTATACGCATGGGGGGATTATTGCAGAAGTACGATGCACTTGTCAGTTGAACGCGAACCGCGCGCGGTCGCGTTAGAACGCCGCTACAGTGGGGCGTATGGGCATTGCATCGTACCACGACTGGGTCGCGGCGGCGCGGCACCTACACACGGGACATGGCAGCACAACTGCCTGCAACGGGCGAGGTGCAGCGTTTGTCGACACGAAGAGGATCTCCGCCTTGAGGATCTTCGATAGTCTGGGTGGAGGGATGGCGCCGAGGCGGTGGGTTGGAGGCTGGGAAGGGGGGATGCCCTTGGGAAGCATCAATACGACGTGCATGTAGACACGAGCTGCGACAGACGGTGAAGGCATACCTTCTACAGCACCGATCGAGTCTGAGTCTGGGAGGCAAACGGACACAGCTAAACATAGCCAGAGCCCGAGACTGTCTGCCACCACGCGACTTGGTTTCTGCCTCGCTTCAACGGTCAGCGAACGGGCTTGCTTTTCCCCATCCTATCCCTCGCGACGTTCCCAACGCTCAGGCCCCAGCGTCGTCTTGCTTTTGCCCGGCCCCTGTTCACGCTCCTTCTGTATCGTTTCTTGCTACACCGGTATAGCAGCGCGCCCGTGGTGTGGCTGGTGAGATTGGTGACGGATGGCAGGACCCCGGATGTTCCTCAGCAAGGCTTCGAGACGCAGGCAAGGCTAGCACGTTTGGGGGCGCTACCACCAACGTGCGGGTCAATCCTTCGAGGCCCTGCCCGCTTCGAGACGCTTCGATAGTGGCGGCTCATATACGGCGGGAGATATTATAGCTGACGGAGCTATTACGAACGCGAGAGTCGCGTAATTCTCTCATAGCATGAGCGAGAGGCGGTCTGTCTCTGCGCACAAGTGGTGATATGGGGACGAGGCTGCTACCGAGCTTTGCTTTGTACACTGTGGAGTTCGTAAGATGGCATCTACATGTGGTAAGACGGCGCCACGCATTCCGTAATGCCTCGTGCTTCCTGCGTCGCTGCCGTGTATGGGCAAAAGCGCTCTCGATTGGCCCTCTTGCTGTCGAGAGAACGCCCTGGGTCTGCTGGCCTCAAAGGTGCGTTCAATACGCCTGCATGATGATGCCTCTGAGACCAGGTCTCGAAACGTCACCTTGTGCGAAGCCTGTTCTGTACGAGGTCAATTTCCAGAGCGTGCGAATATCTACGACAAGCGGACTAGAACCCATGACGGAGCAGGCCGTTGTGGCCAAGTAGCATCCGAGAGCGCCTTCCGGATGCGATCGCATCCATCGGCTTTCTACAAGCTACCTAAGGCCGTATCTATCTACAATCTACAAGCCATTGCCGAACAAGAATGATACGATAATGATCTCGGTCAACACGGTCGATGCGCACCTCATGAGTACTCACTCTGTCCTCGTATTGTATGCACACCATTCGAAGACGAACACATAAGGGAAGATCAGCGCAAACCCAGCCCACGGACCCGTCACTCTCCGCATTCGGGGCAGCCACACCCGCACCGCTGATAGTCCGCGAACCACACCCTACGCTCACCGCTGCCATTGGGCAGATCGCCATCTGGTTTGGCGTAAACTGACGGGCGGTACGGCGCGTGCAGGCGAGCACTGGGGGCCTGCTGTGCTCTGATGACGGGGCGAAACGTGTCTTGAGATCAGTATCCGTAGAGCTGACACTGTATTCTGTCCAGCGCGGTGTAATCCTTCAGATAGACGTCTGTGACATCCCAGGACCTGTCTGAAGGCAGTAGCAAGAGGCAGCACAGCATCATCTCGCACTGTGCGACCTATCACGCCGAGTCTCGCACCCATACCCATGAGCGCGCTGGAGTCCGGCCTGGATGCGCAACCACATGGCCGCCATGTCCCGAAAACTGCCCAAAACGCACTGGACCAGCAGGAAAATCACCGATCCAGTCGTGCTCACACACCACACTTGAGAACGCCCGCCGTTCGTGGCCACGCGGTCCTTGCGCGCCTGCATGGTGGACTAGGCGTGCATAGATTGCGAGGCTCAGGTCCGTAGGTAGATTGGGGGCTGCGAGGCTGAGCGGCCGTTGTGAGTGGCCTTTTGGTCGCCGAAGCATGTGGCCAGGGGGCTGCTGCAGTTCTCTGCATATACCGGCTTGTTCTTGGTTCAACGATGGGCTGTCTGTTTCAGGACCTGGAACGGGCAGATCGTGCGGGTGCAGCGGGTCTCGTGAGTCGGTCTAGGAGTGGACTTGGGATCGAGGGTGGAATGTAGGAGCAGCAAGCAGGCTGGGATGGGTGCGGCCAAAACATACGCAAGTCTCGAGCCTATCTTGAACATGCGTGAATCGAGGCTTAGACACGAACGATGGAGTCAGGAGGCTGCAGATCGATGGGAATAGCGTGCGATTGTGGCGCGTGGTGCCGGACTTCAAGGGCGATTACTACAGCGCCGACATGACCCGTGCGAAACCATGCATCTATGGATCGTGGCTGGAATAGATGGATGGAAGAAAGAAAGAAAGACTACACGGTGATTGGTGATAGAGTGCTGTGTGAAAGAAATTCATTGGGTGCTGTCTAGAGCGACGCTGCTAACAGCAAGGTGGTATCATCCCAAAGAGAAACTACTCAATAGTTTTCCCGATCCGACAAGTTGCGCAGAGAAGAACAGGCGGCATATCGCTGGTGGTATCATTCGTAAACAAAGGAAAACAGGACAAGGACGCATGCAGGCCCCAAGATCGGGCCCCAGAACTTGCAATACCGCAATACAAACATAATCAAAGTGCCCTGTAATAAGTGATCGCCGAATCGCCGTAATCAAACGTCATCCAAGGTATGTCCGAGCATAAAGGGCATCCAGAAAGTCAAGGCTGGCTAGTCGCCAAATGAATATGTTACAGTAGAAATGCATAGATGAAGCGGGAATCGAATGGTTGAAGTGAATTATTGTTCTTCCATGAGTGGCTGGTCGTCGGCCTCGCGCCACTCCCGTGCACGCTCAGCGAGGCGCTTGACGCCCAATATGCGGTCGGCCCACAGGCCTTCGGATGGGGTCCGGAATGTGTATGCACGCTGGGATGAGATGACGCCAATTGCTTGGAGCACGGCCTTGCGCGAGTCCCGGCCGAACACTGCAGGGTGATTGATCCATTCCAAGCTGGATTCCAATTCAGCGTCGAGTGCATGCATGGTGGTCGCATCGATACCTGCGGCCGGGGTGAAGGGATTCTCCGCGTGCGGCGACGGTGTCCTGGGGCGGTCGCTGCCATCCACTGGGGAGTTCTGACCTGTGCTGCCGGGTGCGCTTGACGGATCGTTTCGTCGGTGACCAGGCGGAGGAAGCGGAGGGAGGCCACCCTTTCCAAGTCCCTTTAAGATACTCCTCGTCTCTTTCAACAGATGGTGTGCCCTGTCATGCTGACCCCGTGAGACCAGAGTAAGCGCGCGAGTCAACATGTCTGAAGTGAGCAGTTCCATTCGCCGCTGCACAACATGAGGATGCGGCGGAATAGGTGGTGTCGGGGGTCGGCCGCTTGAGTTCTTCTTCGACGACGAAGGCAAGATGGTGATGGCTAGCAGGGATGGGCGTGGTAGGTGTGCGATTGAGCCGTCCCGAAGAATGTCGCCGTAGATGAGGTCCGCCTGGATCAAGGGAACTTCTTCGACGCTAAGGGTACGGGAATCATCCTGGTCGAGGGGCCCACCTAGGGCCTCCAGTCCTGAAACGATGGTTTCCCAAGGGTCTTGCGGAAGCTGCTCCGGAGACGCGGTGTCTGGTGAAATGGCCAGCTGTACGAGGATATCTATAGATCATGTTAACTTTGGATCGTCTAGCGTGCCGCCACTCCCAACGTACCTCTCTTGTCGCCGAAGCGCAGGTCGCCCAACGATGCCTCGGCGTCGCGGCCAGTAGCGCGTTTGGTGATGTGAAGAGCGCCGCTAATCTTGACGAATTTTGCCGGAGACCCTTCTGGCAGGCGTAGTTTGAGCTTTACGTTTTGGTGAGAGGTGGTTTGCAGAGAACCGAGGCAACCCGCCACGCATTCACGGAGCATCATCCAGTCCTTGACGTAGGTGTACGACGCTTTGGTTCGCGTAGAGAGCTCAATCATGGTGTCGGGCTTGTGTGTCAATCCGAGACCGAAAGAGTGGATGGCAACCCTGTCTAAAATCAGTGATCCGAAACCGGAAGGGGCGCTTTGACGTGGAACTTACTTTGCGGCCTCAGCCCGTGAGACCACGAAGTCGACGCTCTCAGTATCCGAAGTCGACGAGTCGCTGATCAGGAGAATGCTGGAGAGAGGGTTGTTCGACTTGCGCTGCATGAGCAGGTCCATGGCCACGTTGGCACCTTCCACCACATCTGCGCGGAGGCTCTTCTGGCCTACGGGGCGAATCGAGTCGAGCACTTTCGACCAGTCCCTCCAGTTCTTGCTTGTCATGCCTACGATGGGCACGCCGCCGCCGCTGGAGCCGAAGGTGACCAGACCCATACGGTCGCGCTCACCCAGGTTCTGCACCAAAAAGCGGAGCGTGTCGCGCAGCAAATTGATCTTCAAGCCCTGCATGGATGAAGAGACTGGAATAACGACGACGATGTCCAGAGGCACGTGCAGCCCGCCTGAGGGGCGCGGCTCGGGCCCGCCAGCGCGCGAGCTGGTGTACTCTGTGGGCGCAGTAACAGTGGACCGGGCGGCGCCGTACGAGGAGGCAATGGAAGAGATGCGCTTCGGCCGTCGGTAGTCTTCGTCCTCGGTGCCGGAGTTGTCCTGGTCGTAGTCTGGCATGCGCTGCGGGGTGGGGAAGTCCATGCGAATGTCCATGAGAGCGCGGCGCCATAGCTCGAGCTGGCTCCGGTTCTGGAACTGCAGATGGAACGAGGGCAGCTCGGCCACCGAGAGGCTCAGGGTCAGGATGGCCTCATCGGGGGAGTGCTCGACCTGGTTGAGGTGCTTCTTGATGAGGATGGAGCCCTTGAGCGTGCACTTGGCCTTCTTGGGCGCGCTCGGGTCGCTGTCCCACTTGTCGGGCTGGCTGGTCTTCTTCTCCTTGACGCAGATGAGCATCTCGGAGAAGAGGTAGCATTCGAGCTCCTGCCACGACTGGCGGTCCTTGCCGACGCGCACATGGCCGTGCAGCCGCAGCTTGCCAAAGCGCGAAAAGTCCAGGCCGTGCCAGTTGTCGACGCGCGCGTGCAGGTCCTCAGTAATCTCGTCCAGCGCCTCCTCGGACGCATGCGGCATGTCCAGCTGTCGGTTGTTCCGCACCGGCGACTTTGTGCGCCCAAACTGCTCCGTGGCGTTCGCTATCGACGGCATCGGCGGTGCGCCGCGCACGTCGTCGGGATCAGGCCGCCACTTGCCCTCGACCACCTCCACCGTCACCAGGCATGTCAGGCTCTGTTGCTGGCGCGACTTGCTCAGCGTCGGGAACTCGCTGCGCACCGTCACCGTGGGCGCCGGGATCGGGCTCTTCAGCAGGCCGCGCGGGCTGCTGAGGCTCGACTCCATCGACTGCACGTCGTAGTCGTGTCGCCTGCCGTCGTGCGTGGCCGCATAGTCTCCCGAAGACGCAACCCCCGTTGCGCCGCTGTCACTCCGCAAGTGCTGCCGCGACATGGTCCGCATGTTGTTCTCCGACCGCTCGCGCGAATGCGACGAGTCTCGCTGCGTGTCCCGCGCCCGTGATAGCTGAGATTGCTGGTACCGGCTGCTGACGTCGCTGTCATTTCGCGGCCTGCCTGTCAGCTGCTGAGGCGCCGCTTCGCTCCGCACTGTCTGGTTGTCCCATGGCGTGGGCGTGTTTTGCTGGCTGCGGTGGCTGCTATTCGAGTCGTTCTGCCCAGATCGGACCATAGTGCTCAGTTTCTCTGCGCCCTCGGTCAGTCACCTCCTCACGGTGCATACAGCTGCCAGCACTCACCCAAATCCAACACATTGCCACCGCGGCTGGTGTCAAGTCCAAGCGTCGCGTTGCATGTCGGGCAGTGCTGCGAATCAAACTCGCGGATGTATTCGTAGAAACAGGCTTCGTGCGAGACATGGCCGCAAGACAGCTGGAGTATGCGCTCGCCACGGAGAGTGTGCTCCAATGGCTCCTCACAGACAGCACATTCGCTGCCAATAAAGGTGCGCTCGCGGCGGGTGCGAGACCGTTCGATGTCGAGCACGCCGGCCATGCCTCTGCCGGACCTCGGAGGTGGTTGGGAGTCGAGTGTGGTGTTGCTCCGGGAGAAGGGCTGCGCGTTGTGGCTCGTCTTATCAAACTTGGAATGGGAGCTGCGCGAGCTGGGTCGATAGCCTCCTAGAAAAGACATGAGTGGACCGAGCGTAGAGACACGGCTTCTGTGGTCAATTACTGTGGGCCGTTGTTGAGCCAAACTCGACAGTCTTGGGCTTCTCCTTGCGGTGGCTGCTCTTCTTGCGGGTCCGATGTCCTACAAGCCCAAGGTCGAAGAGGTTCTGCTCGATCTCCGACGACAACTCTTTCCTACGCACTGTCTTACTAGGTGGGTTCCAACGAGACGAAGAGGATTCGATGGTCGACATGGAACTTCAGGAGATGGCTGGTCCTCGCTTCACACTCGTTTCAGCATGGAGAATGCGCGCGGAAGATCGTCTAGGATGAAGCCACGGGCTCTGCAGATGGCGGGACCTTGCTTGCAGGGGTTGGTCGGACCGGGGACGAAGCCTTGAGACAACAGGGGCGGGGACGGTATAGCGCGAGCAATTGCAACGGCGCGCAAGGTGATTGAGGAGAGGGAAATGAAGATCGAGGGTGCGAGAGTCAGAAAGGAGTTGTTGCGGGGACCTTCGGCGGCAGAGGTCGTCAATTCGCGTGCAACCTCAGCAGCATCCACCGGCAAGCCTGGCAGAAGCTGCAGGCTGTCTCGCGCAACCCCTGCAATGGGGGCAACGCCGCCGCCAGCGACGGCCGATGAGGGTGAGTTGGTGCACGGGGACGGCAATCCATTAGGGGGTGTTCGCCGGCGCCCGAGCCTGCGCCACAGCTTGCGTTATTGGCAGATACTTTACGCTTCGCTGAAGCAGGAGGCAACCGTGATGGCGGGATTCACGTCCGCTCCCGCTGGATCATGGGTCTGGCCCGCGCATCGTTGACACGGCATGAAGACTGGAACCCCAGCCCTTTGGGCCTTTGGTACGATTCAAGGGTTGATGCAGACGTCTCTTTTTGAAAGGCAATCCCGTTTGCCAGCTTCCACCTGGCTGTCGCGTGCTACCATCCAGGTGGAGACCCGACGGCAGCGGCAACCGACAGCAGCTACGCGAGCGCGCTTCCAGCACTCGCAGCGTGCAGTCACATTTTGCCGGAATAACAAGACGAGACTTCAGATCGATATTCGCACAGTCGTTCACAGTGCATGACCCTAGGGTCATTGCCAGTGCTCTTGGGCACCCGTTCTTGACTGTGTTGCATCGCAGATTGGCAGCCCAGCACCCTCGCCCGCGAGTCAAGAGCATCTCGCCCTTCCCCGGAACCAAGGGTAACGCTGCTAGACATCCCTAAGCGACCAAGTCGCTGGCTTGCTCCGACAGCGATGTGCGAACGGCGCGTCGGTGTGCCTGAGGACGTCTCGCGCAAAAGCAGATCGGTCTTTTTCCTGAAAAAGGCTGGCTCTGCTTCGCCGCGCAGGTCCACTCACACTTGGTGAAACTTTTGTTTCGTGCAGGTGAACACTGCACGCTACATCACACCGGTGCATGCGAGCTTGCAAGGGCGTTCATGCATCGTGTCAACTACGTTACTCTTTTCGCTCTCCTCTATAACGCACATCAAAATTGACCCGCTCGAAAATTGCCGCCATGTTGCGAAACTGACAGTTGACTCGCTGCTAACCTCCTGTCGTAGTGATATTCGTGACCTCGAGTCAGCCATCACGAGCCGAACGCCATGATGATCTGAGAATTGCATTATTGCTTCTAGGCCAAAGCCATCGTAGCGCCGTTGGGCGCCGTCCGTCCAGTAGAGCCACTTAATGTCGTCGCGCAGTCGCACTACGGCGGGGTCCATTGTTGGCACGTGGCTACCACGAGGTAGATTGCAAATGACGACTTTCTGTTCGAGGCGAATGTTATGGTGGGCCTGGAAGCAACGCTCTGCTCATTCGAAAATCTCTGAGCAACTGTGCAGTGCCGGTCACTCAAAGGAAGAACCCCGCGGACAACTTTCGAAGGCTAACTCGACTAACCTGCTTCGAAATACCTTCCCCCGGATGGACCGTTGAATGGCCTCCTCTTGTGTGATCGCCAGACCCGGAGTCGACACGGGCACAACCGAACTGTAAACTAACGTCATCTGCTCGGGTGCCTGCTTTCCCGCTGCATCTCTCACTCGCCCTATTCTGGATTTCGGTGCGCGTCATCATGCGAAATGCCTTTTGCGACCGATTGAGGACCTCGAATAGCTTTTAATTCCGAACCCCTAATTTGGTAATCTTCTGGAAGGCCATTATCCATCTTCTGTGGACCCCATGCACTTGATACTTCGCATTATGCGCCTGTCACAGTATTCTCGCATTGTATGTGGCGTTTTATGGTTTTGTGGTGGAGCGTGTGCGATGCTCAAGCGCGGCCACGTGTGCTCCCAACATGGTGTACTTGGTATCATCGCGATTCGCTGTGCTTCCAGAATGCCTACATAGTCAAGAACTTTTACCTGGGATAACGTTGCGTTGACCTTGCACGCTTTGTGCTCGCCCCAGACCTATAGCTGCCATGCTATCACAACACAACGGATTGTAGTTTTCCGAAATGCACAAGACCTTGACGTTCGCGAATGTCTTCTCGCCCTACTAGAAAGGACTGCAGTCTCCACAGCAATACGCATACGCTCCTATAGCTGCGTGACGAGCGTGAGCGCGAGCACTTGCTGCGGCGAACAGCCACCGCCTAAATACCGAGTATTCGCATTTCAACTGCTTGAACCTGTCGGGCGGGCTAGTGATCTTTCCGGGGCCGGTTCAGCATCTACGCTGGAGTCTCACACTATCGTTTGCGCTAATATTAGGACAGAAAGATCGACACTCACTGGTGGCATTCCTTCCGAAGCATAGCTAACGACACGCAACTTTATCCCCCTCGAGGTTTCTAGAAGCACTTGGCAGCTGGACAGTGTCGATAAAACAGAGGGACTGGATGTAGCTTGGACCCTACCTCTGTCAGTTGTCCTTCTTGTCCCTCCAGTCATCACCTAGTAGCCTTTCACCCACTGCTGTGATCATCCGCTGCTCCTGTCGTCGACTCCACAATTGTCACCCGACCACAACCAGTTGCCCTCGTTCATCTTCATTTTCTATCAATCACACCCTCAGCCTCGGTCCCTTCGCGGTGTTACTCAACAGGCGCCTCGCCCGTAAGTTCGAACGCGCCTTCTAGCAGCCATTAGCGCCACTCTAGCGATGCATGAACCCGCGGACTGGCTGATGATGTTCTGGAATTTGAACCAACAAGAAGTCTCTAAAATCGGATACGAGTAGCGAGAGGCAGATGTGGCTGTTGACTACAACATTCATGGACGTGTCAAATTTCGGAGGGTAACCGAGAGCCCTTCATTATGGGTTGGGCGGGGCCGTCCAGATGGAGCCCAGCGCTCATCTTGTTCAGGTGGTGTCTTATCTAGCGCATCTGTCTCCAGAGAGATCGACTTGCATCACAAGACGAAATGGATGTACGGGAAAGCTTCTGTTTGCTGCTAGGTGCGCTACATGCGCATACTTACTCACAACACCATATCTCTTGCTCTGGACTGTTCGGCTTGCGCCTCCAGTCTATTATTTGTCGAATTGCGAAACACTTCGATCCGGTTCACTAAAACCAGGGGCAGCAAACGCTCCGAGCCGTCAATAATTCTAGGCGCGGCAGAACACGAAGCGTGGAAGAGAACAATGGTTCGCACGACTTTCCCCGGCACGCCACATGCTCCTGATACTTAGGGTCGGATAGGGGACGGTTAGCGGCAGGGTAGAGGCTATGCTTGTGCAGCGCGGACGTGGTAGCAATGGGGCCGCAGCCACACACGTCAGACGTGCATATGGGCATCAACTTCAACCGAGGATGGCCCACTGGGGACGCAAGTGAAGCTAGAAAATAAACAACGATAGGCGTTTACGGCGATTCTCCTCGGCAACGGCAGTAGATCTCGTTCACGGGTTGCCGGGTGCCGGTCGAGGGTTCAATATCCACCTAGACCCGTCATGGCCTTGAGTGGGTTGATCATCGGCGGGTTCTACAGTGGTACGCGGTCGGTAAGAACTCTTGTACAACCGTAAATACCGTGAAGCAAATTTGGTCCGTAAAGTCTACATCCGGTCACATTGAGAGCAATTTCTTAGGAATACTAGCTTTCAGAGAGACCTTAGACTAGCCCATGACAGCAGTCAGGTAATGTATGTGCGGAGCCTCCTGGGAAGCTGCAGATCGATTCTTCTCTATTCAGTTTCACGAAGTGTAATGGGGGGCGCTAGGTCCTACTGAAGAAAACTCAAACATCCACTTGCTAAGTACGTACCTCACTTGAATACTTATAATCATAATGTCACGGAAATTATCGAAAGGCCACCAGACGACGTGGGTATGGAATGTATATAGAGAGAGAGACCGCCGCGAAAGCGTTACAGCAAGGAAACGTCAACAATGAGAAGAAGTGCCAGGAAATCTCGAAGCGTTCGAAAAGGGCCTGCTCTTTACTGATGACTGGAGGAATCCTACCTGGAGAGATGAGAAGCACGAGCCGTCAATGACTTCCAATGGCCAAGACAAAAATTCAGTCAGTGCAGGGGAACTCAAGAAGAAATTATCTACAGATGTAACCTCCCAATTCGGGTGCTCCACCTACGCCTATCATGAGGGATGAGGCACTTTCATACGCGATCCGGGCCAAGAAGGATTACCCAGTTCTGGGGTGGTGCCTGGCTTACAATACTACGCCCCACGAGGAAGAGGTTCACGCGCTCGCGTGGTCGTACGCGCAAAGCTATGCTAGCTGCCCACGAGAAGTGGTTGCGTAAATCAGGATACTTGAAGGGGGATATCAATAAGTCAGCGTTAACAGCGGACTTGGACTCTATAAATGAGGGTTCCCCCATCAAGTAAAGAGGCGAGTTCTATTTGCTTGGAGGCTTTGCTGGTATTCCTAACACTTGTTGCCGCTCCTTTACGAATCTGGGCGTACGATTTTACAAGTAGAGTAAAAAGCCCGACGGAACGTTTCAAACTCCGTAGCATTCTGAGATTTAGACTAGCAATGAGGACACTAAATTCAATACTCGAAACTGATTGCCTGTGGAATGACGACTGTCAATTCTATGCTTCCAAATCGAAGGTTCTTCAATGATGCGGGTAAAGATTCCAGGTGAACTAAGACGCGCTGTATAATTAAGCTAACGGAGAAGGATTCCCATCCATACTGATGGCATTCAGAATCTTTAAAGCTTCCCACGGAATTTGAGTCCCTCGAATGACATTCTCCATAAAACAGCTATCAGGTCATCTAAAGACACGAATGTATTGAACACGCGAGCGCAAGCCCGCAGTAGGGAACTTGGATTGATTTTAGTCTTGATTCCTCATATTTCCGATCCTTACTCATAAATCCCAGGAAATCGTAACATGATCACCCCGCTCAAGCTCTTATTTCAGCTAAACCATGATCCCAAGAACTGAACCTCGTCAACATCATCCTCGCACTACTCGAGCCTTCCGTTCCACCGCAGTCCCATTGCCATTGCCAATTTCCGCGAGAATCCTGCCGCCCTCCTTCTTGTAGATATCATTGATTGTGTTGGCATCGGCATCAGTGAGGCAGCGGAACTTGCGGTAGCCCTTGACCGCCAAGTTCTTGTCTGGCTACTTGCAATCCCAGTTGTAGTTGCCTGCTGCGATTCAGCTTTCAATCGCTCGTGTTCAAACATACAGTATGAATGACTTAACCCACGCAAAGCACGTTCCATCCGCCTTGTCATCGGTGCCGTACAGGTACCAGCGCCACCCACCGTCGCCGGTCGTGTAGCCACGGTCCTTGTAGATGGTGAAGTGGTAGAGGGGATTATTGGTGAAGTGCATCTCGATGAGCTTGACGTCGGGCCAAGGTGCCTGGACAGAGTCAGTATTAGAGATCAACATAAACCACTGCATGGAACCTTAGAAGGGATTGTCCCAGTTCAAAATGCGCAACTTGCATCGCCGTAGCCGCACTTGCCCTCGCAGCGAACACCCTTTCGGCCGTGGGAGAGGTCGCTGCTATCACGCCAGACCGCGAACTGATCGGCTTGGTCACAGGTGGGGTTATCGTTCTGGAGTTGCCAGCCGTTGATCTCGGCACCCGGAAACGGTCCATCAGCCTCCACGCCATGGATGTGGTAAAGGTCGAAGTTTGCCGAAGCGAGCTGGATGCAGGCGACCAGAATGGTCAAGACGTATGCGAGTTTCGCCGACATGACGAGCTGTGCAGCTTGATATGTGTGCGTAGAAGTGTTGTGCGCGTAGCTGTTGAGAACAAACGAGATTTATAAGAAGAGCGAAGAGCTGAGTGCTTGTAGGTACTCGGGCGGAGTGCTTATCAAGCCCAGGTTGGGCTTCTTAAGTCCGCTAGTGAGACTCGGGAGGTGAAGGTAGAGGCACGAGCGGTGGTTCGCAGGGCACGGCCTCTTACAAACGCAGCGAAGCCTTGGGCACGAGTCAATGGATGGACCTTGATACTCGGTATCAACCAACCTAGAGCTGTTGCTCGCAGTACTCTCACTCCGGAGTGCTCTGTGCACTAAAGGTTCACTTCGGCATTGACACCGTAGCCGGAGGGTGTCGCACTATCTTTCTTGTAAAAGGAACACAAACTACATATTAGACACCAAAACAAACTTCAATTTAGCTTTGGGAAGTCAGTTGTTAGGAGCTGGTTTTGAGAAGATTTGGCCCAGAATGTATTCCTCCCCTCAGATTTAGCTTCTGGCGACCAAGCCTCCTTCCAGTCCCTCACGACCGCCTCCCTCACCGTCTCGCTCAGCTCGAATACCTCGACCTTGATCGGCCGACATGTAGCCTTCATGTCCAGCGTGCGTATGCCCCGCCTCCCCTTCCGCCTGGTGCCATCCCCAGGTACTCAGGTCTTCCTGATGAAAGAAGGCATTCGGGAGATCGACGACATAACCCCGCCAAGCCTTGATGATGAACGAGGGAGCCCGGTTGATCGACAGTTTAGTTTGTCCACGCAATCGCAGTCGCATTGCCAACCGCCCCATTGCTGAGTGACTTCTTGGTGTTTGGCGGCTTGTACCCGGTATCCTTCCAGTACGCCGCGTTGATAGCCTTCGCAGTGATAGTGGGATCCCGCACGTTGCAACGGAATTTGCAGTTGTAGTAGACATGTCCATTGCTCTTCGCATCATAGCAATCCACGTCGTGACCCTCGTATGCAAAGCACTCTCCGTAGTTGTGGCCGTCGACGCCCCATAGCCACCATTTCCATCCGTTGTCCCGCACGTACCCATCGTCCTTGTATATTGTCCAGTGATAGAGAGGTTTGTTGACGAAGTGCATCTCAACTATATTGACATCCGGCCACGATGACTAGTGATGGTCAGCTTCAGGGTACAGCAAGGTAACATTATATTAAAAACAAATTATAGAAGGCTTACATGACGGATGCCGCACTTGCCTTCGCAGCGCACACCCAGACGGCCGTGCTCAAGTCGTTCTTGCCGGGATAGAAGGCGTGGTTATTTACATCGTCACACGTACTACCAGCGGTGCCTGGTTCTGCGTCCATGTCGAAGAGAGCCCAGCCGAGTCTAGACCAGTCGCTGTCGACCCTATAGAGATCGAAGTCGGCCGTGGTGAACTGAACGACAGTGAATACAATAGACAATAGGTACACGAACGTCGTCGACATAACGGGTTGCATGGTTGCTGGGATTGTTGCTGATGAAGTGGAGTTCAGGTAATAGCTGACGAAAGCCGTTTGAAGTGCAGAATCTCAGAGACTGCGAACAGTAATATGCTGCTAGAACTCGTGCGGGGTATTTTCTCAAGGGAGCAGGGCACTTTATAGGGTTTTGGGAAGGAGAGAGCCGCTAACAGTCCGCTAGTGAATTGAATGCAGATGCATATGCCCAGACAATTACCAAGGCCATCGTTCTTTCTGGTTCCAGAAACGCATGAGTAGTGGCAGATACAATCAGAGACACAAAGATGCCATAGCGTTCCTTATTCTTAGAATGTCTCAACTTGACAAGTCAAAACCTGCACAATGTCCTTCATTACTCCAATGTCACATATTAAAAGGATGTTAGAGAACTGAGTATATATTCCCATGACCAGGCCTACACTGATTCCTCGTCATTACTAAGCCTTTCGCCCACACATCGTGGCAATTCACATTTTCAGCCGCTAGCGAGCTCAACCTCAACCTGTCCAAGCAACCGCCGTAACATTGCCGACCGCCCTCTTACCATGGTACTTATGGCCCATGGTCTCTCCACCCTGCTCCATATATTTCTGATTGATCCACTTCGCCGTGATATCGTGGTCATCCAGAGTGCAGCGGAACTTTCGAGTGACGTAAAAGTGTCCGTCTGTAACAGGATACTTGCAATCCAAGTCGCGATTATCATAAGTAAAGCACTCTCCATAGCGGTGGCCATCAACGCCCCACATATTCCACTTCCATCCGCCGTCCCGCTCATATCCATCGTCATGGTAGATAGTCGCGTGGTATTGGCTCGTGAAGTGCATCTCGAGGCGGTCAACGTTGCCCCACGGTGGCTAGGGAAGATTAGCGTTCAGTGGAAAAGGAGTATTTTGGGTTGCAAGACTTACATCCACGATACCGCACTTGCCTACGCATCGTATGCCAACCCGACCGTGGCTCAGATCCTTCTTGTTCTGGTAGAAGGGAGCCTGGAGAAGTTGGTCACACGTAGGCTCGGCGTCCCAATCGAAAATCTGCCAGCCATAGTCGAACGGCGGTATAAGGAGGCCTGGCCCCGGGGCAGTGATATCCACCGATCTGACGCGGTGGTGAACGGGGGAACTGCCAGATACTTGATAAAGGTCGAAGTCTGCCGACACTGCTGTGAACTGGATGAGAGCGATCAAGATGGTCAAGAGGTATGCGAACGTCGCCACCATAATGAGCAAGCACTGGCGAGGACCGGCTGTTGAAAAAGTTCGTGTGGTTGGTGGGTGGGTGGGTGGCTTGGTATGTGTGTGTGTGATATGCCCCGAGGCCAGCCGCGTTCCTTCCCGTTCTAGGAAAGCACGACCAGCGTGTCCCATGAAGAACACTGAATAGCAATTCAGATGAGTAAAGAGCAATGCTTTTGCGAGTCCTCACAAAGCGGGATCTATTCATCATTCGCCTACCCAATGTATCAAGATGGCAACCATGTATTCACGTCCCGGTTCCCGATGAACGAGCAGGACACCTTTTACGTATCTGAAGACATACCGCCCATGTAACCACCCATGTGATCGAACCTCCTCTACACCGCATCTTCAAACGACGACTAAGCTTAACTCGTCCAAGCAACCGCAGCACCGTTGGGCTTGATGGCTGTGCCATTGTGTGAGAGCACCTCAAAGAACGGGTAATCAGGGTTGCGGTACCCCTCGGAGTCCTCGGCCGTCTTGCCACCCTTGCGCTTCGCATCGTTGATCTCCTTCGCGGTGATGCTGGTCAGGCAGCGGAACTTGCGTCGGCCATGCTGTCGGAACTATCAGGAATCGTCTCTCGAACAGACTTACGAGATTTGGGCAGCTTACCAATTTCAGTTTGTCGTTGTTGTAGTTGCAGTCCCAGCTCTTACGGGTGTCGGTGTGGCACGCGCCATAGGTGTTGCCATCTACGCCATACATCGGCCAGAGCCAGGTGAATCCATCGGGAGCCGTGTAGCCGCGGTCTTTGTAGATTGCTGGGACGTGATTAGCCGAAACACTTTTCCATACGCTCGTGCAAACGTACTGTAGTGGTGGAGAGGGTTGTTCGTGAAGTGCATCTCCAGGAGCTCGACGCTCGGCCAAGGATCCTGGCTACAAGTCAGTTCCTATCCATTCGGCTCATTATTTGTCATCTTTTACTCACATCATCAGGATGGTAGTATCCACAATGGTTGCCGGGCACGCAACGAATGCCCTCGCGGCCGTGGCTCAGATCGTTCTTCTCATCCCAGCTAGCGATGACACCGTTCTCAGCAAGATCTTCGCACTTGGGATTGTCGCCGTCCGTGAGCGCCCAGATACCGATCGTGTCGGGCCAAGGGAAGATGGTGGCTACGTCGCCGATGGCGACGTTGAGGTCGAAGTTTGCTGAGACGATGGGTGCGAGGGCGACCAGGATGGCCGGGATGCAAGAGATAACCAACATGGTGTATTGAGAAACCTTCTTCGGAGTTGCAAAGTATTGAACAGGGTTGCTTCCGCGGGATGGTGTCGAACTGTAGGGTGGTTACTGACCGTGGCGTGAGGCATTCTTTTATAGCAGTGTCGGTCGCCAAAGACCATACAGCGAGCGCGGGCATGGATCTCCACTACGCGCGAAGGCAAGGGCCTCGCAAACGGTCGCGGTCCACGGGCCAGGATCGATTCGTTGCGATTCCACTTCGAAGATTGAACCTGCCGTCGTTTGGTCGCTGGAGTGGATCCAAATTTCATGCTTCTTTCTTCCATAATACACCTCCCTACATCGTACATATTTGCCCTCATAACATATCTCTTTCTCGTGACACATGTCTTTCCAAACAAATTCGTCCGTACAATGCGAGGCGGTCCCGCCCGTATCTCTCCATTGGTAGCACCGAGCTCCATGGACGACAAGTTTTTCCATGGCCGCTAGTCGTCCATCTTCCCAACCTCGATGTGCACATACGAGCGACGACATGCGGGTGACGGTAGCTACAATACTGATAAATACTTTTCCCATTCTGCTGGGGTAAATTTCGATCATCCCAACCGCCCGCCCTACAGTCAGCATTGTATATGAATAAAGGTTGCAACTGATGTGAAGCTTGTTCATGTGAAAACCTCGCCATTCTAGCTCTTTCTTCGTAGGCGTAGGTCTGCTGATGGGCGAGTGTACTGAGGCTATGGATTTTTTCACTGAGCACCGCACCTCCCCGTACCTCCCTCATACATACGTATTCATCCCGTAGTAACAGAACCATGTCCACAACCTCCTCGCATCGCTCAGTTGACCGCGAGCCGCTTCGCAGTACAACTACGGCAGCAATCAGTACCCCTAACTGCTCTTTACGTTGGACCTTTTCTTCCAGTGTACCTCATCATGGTGCTCCACCCCCAACCCTAGATTGTCTCAACCTTAGCCGCAGACTAGAACTGCACAACGACCCCCTGTCACGTAGCCCAAATCAACCGCCGCATACACAACCAAGTCAAGTTCATCCTCTTCAACGGCCCAACTCGCATGCCGAACCCTGGATCTACGAGTATGCCACGGATCTCCGCGGCGACTGGGACGCTCAGTACATGTAATTCTAAGTCTCCATCCTGCCGAAGGGCTTCGAAGCGTCCAGCCTGGTTTTCCCGCCTGCCCCCGGCTTCCTGCGCGACGTGTGCCAGCTGACCATCATGCTGCCCATGAAGGCGGGCACGCTGATTGAGCGCAAGTTGCTGATTGACTTGCTGCTGGAGGCTGCGCGCGAATGCAATATGGTGTGGTGAAATCTACGCGCGAGCTGGCGGCAGTCATGTATTGGGTCATGCATGCGTGTATGATCCATCGCCATTTGGAAGCTGAGAAGCAGGAAGACACTGTGATGAGCATAATGATGGGTAATGTTGAGCTTGAGAACGCCTAGTTTGAGACGGTGATGCAGCTGGCGGAGACCTTTGACCAGGGTTTGAAGCTTTGAGGTATTATGGAGTGTGGACATGTATAGTCAAGGAGAATGCGCTCTACTGCGGACATGCTGGATGTTGAAAGTCGTGTCACTAGTCTTCGACATGGCCCTGGGATGTTGTGTTAGATCCACAGCCACGTCATGTGTTGGACGAAGTGCGAAGTCATGGATTGACCGGTCAGGCAGTACGGATGGTTCACGTGAGCAACTTTGTGAATGAAGACAGACTTTGCGATCGAATTGTGATGGTGATGGTTGACGATCAATAGTGACGAGATGATTGGTGTTGGGCCATCCAGAGTGGTGAAGTCATGGATCCGTGCGTTGCGGAAAGCGCGACTTCGCGTCTAACTTTTTGGCAGGGGCGATAGCACCATCTCTACACCACACTGTACAGCCATGGCCACGAATTACACATGCAGAGCCTGCTCGAGGGCCCTCTCGAGGCAATCGTCGTCTTTACTACAGAGCCGTTCGCCCCGCAAAGTATCGAATCTCTACCGGGCGGAGGCTGCGCGAAACCTCTCGACAACGGCACCAAGCTCATACCATGTGACGGCCTCTCTCTCAGCCGTCCAGCCGGTGTCGCAGCCCATCTCGGAGCCCGCAAAGCCCTCAAAGCCTCTACCAAAGCGCACGGTACCAATAGAAGGCCCCAACACCGGGAGCGCGCTGCGTGGAATAGCCGCCAAGTTGCGCGAGAAAGCGCCGCTGATGACGGAAACCTATGTCGCATATGCTGCTACGCAGCAACTGATGAAGGAATGCACCCGGCATGCCGATTACACAATACCGCAAGCATTAGAGAAGAATGACGAGATCCCCCGCGATGAGACTGGAGCGCATCTCGGCGTGAGCGATAGCTGGTGGTTTAAGGGTAGGAGCTCCTTGATGCCGGCGCATGTAAAATACACTGACGAATGCAGAGCTCGGCCTTGCTCCGACCTTCATCAACTGGGCGCAAGTCACCTTCATCCACATGTACCTGATGCAGGTCCGCTTCCGCATGTTCCCCACGACCCATGCGCCCGTCTGGATACAGCATCTTACCAACCACGCCTTCTACGCGGCTGAGGACCGTCTTGTGGTCTGGCACAAGATCAATGCGAACTCCCTGCGCCAGAAATATCTCAAGGATATTTTCTCGCAGTGGCGTGCCGTGCTGCTGTCTTACGACGAAGGCATCATGAAGGGAGACGCGGTGCTAGCGACAGCGGTTTGGAGGAACTTGTTTGCGGGCCGGGAAGACGTCGACTTCGAGAAGCTGGCACAGATTGTGAGCTACATGAGACGGGAGTTGCGGAGACTCGATATGGCCAGCGACGACGAGGTGGCAGACGGGAGATGGACGTTCTCTGGGGGCCCTGAGCTGGAGCAGAATGCGGTCAGGACGCCGAGCAAATCCGTGGGCGCAGATGCTTCTCGACCTTAAGATCGGGTCGAGTGTTATCCACGATGCGCTTTGTATGTATGATACTGTCACAATGTCTGTTGTATATTATGACGCTCTGGCGAGATCGGGAACGTCTCGAATGCGGTAAAACTTGATGTTCATTACCACCTTTAATTGAAAGTGAAACTCTTCGAATGATTGTGAACACATAGCGCCTCGAGATTCATCGGGACGTGGGTTTCCTACATGAACCCCAGGTCTTGGCACATCCTAGCTCCACCAGAGGCAAGGGTCTTTGTCGCGTCACAGGCAGCCAACACTTTGGAGATCCAACCATCCAAGCCCCAACTGCTCCCACGCGCACGCCCTAGCAACAGCGACCCTAGACTAGACCGAAGCCGAGGTCGCCGCACCATGGCAGCCCACAAGTCGTCCGCGCCGCCCTCAATTCCCGGCTTCCAGCTTTCCAACGAGGATGCCGCACCACTGAAGCACCAGGTCGCTGCACTGATCCAACGCGAGGGAAACACGCGATTTCCAGGCGCGCAACCCGTGTCTTTTGCGCGCCAGCATGTTGCCGAGCTACAGCAACGAGAATACTTCATGTGCGAGAAGACCGACGGCTTGCGCTGCTTGCTATTCTTCAACTATGTCGAATCGGAACAGGGCTCATTTGAACCCGTCACATTCCTCATCGATCGCAAGAACAACTACTACGAGGTCAAGCCGCCAATCCGGGTGCCCTACCACGGCGCTCTGTTCCAACCAGAGGCATTTCTATATGCGACCATTCTGGACGGCGAGCTGGTGAACGATCTGTACCCAGATGGGTCTACCAAGCTTATTTTCTACGCTTTCGACTGTCTAGCCGCAGACAGCGAGAACTACACCGATAAGCCGCTGTCGAAGCGCCTGTGGGCTCTGAAAGAGCGCGTGATCAAGCCATGGCATACATACCTGACGCAGACCAAATCGCTCATGCCGCTGGTGCCGTTCCAAGTCAAGGAGAAGGAGCAGCAGTCTGCTTACCACATCTCATATGTTTTCGACCAGGTGATGCCGAAGCTAAAGCACGGGAACGATGGGTTGATCTTCACATGCAAGGACACAAAGTAAGTTCTATTTACCTTCGGACAGCGCGACAAGTCAAAAGCAGTACTGATGGTTGCGTGTTCGCAGGTACGAGTTTGGCACAGATCCCCACATACTGAAGTGGAAGCCTCCCCATGAGAATACCATTGACTTCAAGCTGCGCCTCGGCGAGTTTCCCATGGTCGATGCCTCCCCAGAAGACGACGACCAGTCGCCCTACCCAGACTACGATGCCATGCCGACAAAGTTTGAACTTCTGGTTAACCACGGGAACAACCGATATCGGCCATTCTCGCACCGTCTATCCATCACGCCGCAGGACTGGGAGATGCTCAAGGGCTTGAAGCAGCGGCTAGACGGCAGGATCATAGAGTGCTACCGCGACACAGACGGACGGTGGAAGTTCAAGAAGGACGACGACGGCACGCCGCGCTGGCGAGACGACAAGGCAGATGCGAACCACGTCTCCACTGTGGAGAGCGTGCTTGGCAGTATCGAGGATCCCGTCACAGAGCAAGACCTGCGTAGCTCCGAGGGCGCGATTAAGAAAGCCGTCAAGCAGATGCATGCGGGCGGGCAGTACCAGGAGCCAGAGCACTCAAACAAAAGGCGCCGCATCGAGGACGTAAACGGACACTAGCAGTGCGCTTGGGACGGGTGCGGACAGGCTGTGAACAGCGCGCAGGCGCTGCGCGAGGGGGACTTTAGCCCTTCGCGTATCGTCGAAAGCGTAGAAGCCTACGAGTGCGGTCGGTGCGGGCAGGTTCGCAACGGCGCGCAGGCGCTGCGCGAGACGGACTAGCATTCATGTGTCGTCGATGGCGCAGAAGCCCACGGGCGCAGCACGACGTATCACTCTCTGGACTTTCGGCCGCATCTCGACGCTGTAGAACAGACGTCTTCAGACAGTAGCCCTGAGGATACGGAGCAGACGTCTGACACCAGTCTAGAAGATGCGGAGCATTGTTATCAGAAAACCGGTATCCGAGAGGATGCAAACCATTGTTACCCCAAAACCGACATTCGAAAATCCGCCGAGGAAAAGCATTCCAAGTGCAAAATTCCAAACGATGCGGGATACAAGGTGCCCCTGCCGCCCTGGGAGTGCAGGTGCGTCCACTGTCGCTGCCTCCCAATCCCCGGCCTCGTGGAAGCTGCAGGCGATGCGTTGAGGGCGTGGAGATGCCGCTGCAACCCGTGCCGCTGCAGATGGCTATATCCAGATGTTACCAATTGATGATCCTTCCCGTACTTTTGCAAATCCAGATGCTACCTGGGTCATCTGCTGAGTTGGTCGGGAAAGAAAGGGAAAGAAAAGACAAGGCGTTAATGGGACGGGACGGGCGTTCTGGGTTTTGGGTTTTGGCAAGCTGAAATGGCATGATACCCTGGGATCTGGTTCTGGCTGCTGGTTATTATTCTTTGCTCTGCGCGGGCGTCGTTTGCGTAGCGCTATCCATGAACTCATTGCTCTGCTTTGCTCTAGGACTAAACATGTGCTTGCTTCAAATGAACATGCTCCGCGGCGGACTGAGAAGAAGCTACACGGACGTCGATTCAAGTGTTTACGCTATGCGCATCATGTGGAAGTAGACATCATTCATAGCACTGCCTTGCAAGAGCCGTTCAAATATACGCCACCCCAGCCCTTCCAGGTCTAGAGCAAGCCTAAATTCATCTATCTGCCAAAACGGTCAAAGTGGAAGCGACCCACCAGGGAAAAAGAGAAGCAAATCGTCCCGACAACAAAAAGAGCACCAAGCACCAAACCCCTTGAAATCCCAGTCTCGTTCCCAACTTTTGCCTGTCCATGTTTCAATCCTACATCCAGCCACCTCTCCACACATTGCCAAAGAGTTGAGCAAAAAGACACTGCCCCGCAGTCCGTGGACAGTGGAGATGAGTGTCGACATCTAAATGGTAGCATACCCAGCTCCCGTCGACAAGATGAGGAGCCGAGCTGCCGCCGAAGTAAGATACAAGAAGAGAAGTAGCTTTGAATCTGCATGTCGCGCCAAAATTTTGCGTGATTCAAGGAAGAAAAACGAGTGTTCATTGCGAAAATGTTGGATCGGATTGTGAGTGCCAGAGAGAAGGGCGCGCAGCCCGCCCGATATGAATGTGAGAAGAACCTGAAAGAAACATGCAAGTCGTAAAAAGGTGGCGTGAGATGCAAGGTAGCCTGCTCCCCTTCTCTCCGGCGAAGTAGATAGAGATGACGCTAGGAAAAGCAAATGATGAGGCTAGGTGTCCTGCTCGCTGTGGGACCCGCCGTGTCCTCGGACTGATGGCTGATATCGAAAGCCAGGTCGAAGGTGCCTGGACAATCATATACAGAAGGTATTGGTAATTGCCCCTTTACAACAATAGAAAACCCGTATGATGTGAGGACTCAAAGTCAAGATGAATCCGCCAAGGTCTCCCGAAGAATACATTTACCGCTGGATCATGTTAGCATTGGTGGTCGACCGTGATGCGGGTGGTGAGCTTACCCTGCCGCGTCGTTGACCCCCTCCAGCGGCTTGCTGTTGCTGAGGCATATACATGCCGTAAGGATACATCTGCCCAGCCATGGCCGGGTTGATGCCCTGTCCGAGAGTGGCAGGCTGAAGCATGGGCGAACCAGTGAAGCCAGGAGCCGCAACTGGGCTCGCGTTCCGGTAGTCCATGCCAGATACAGGAGGCTGGTAGCCGTTCATCTGAGGGTAGAATGGCTGGCCTCGTCCCTGCTGTGCAAGGAGCTGTTGGTACTGCAGTTGCTGGGAGCCGGTCATGGCCGGCATGCCAGGCATGAACATGGGACCGCTCTGCATGCCCATGCCATACTGGTCGAAGCCATTGGAGTCCATGCTTGCAGTTCGTTGCAGGGCAATGGGATCCATTCCGGGTGCGACGCCAGGGTAGAACTGGCGAGGCTCAGCATGGGAGCCTGCAGGGCTGTCCCGAGACGAAGCGGGGCGGGTCTGAGAGTGCTCTCGGTGGCCAGGGCCACCACGCGTAGATAGGTTGACTTCGTCCATCAGTCGCTTATAGCCTTGTCCGGGCTGTGCCTTGATGCGGGTCAAGACGTTGCGGACGTTCTGGACAACGTCCGGACGGATCTTCTCATCGAAGAAAGGAGTTGTCAGCACCTTGAAGATCAAAGTCGCGCCACAGTTCTGGTCAATGAGAATATCCTCTAGAACCTGGTCATTTGGAGAGAAGAACAAGGCTTGCAGGATAGTGTCACGAGCATCTGGTTCGTTCCGCTGGTTGATAATCTTCAAAACCGTCAAATAAGCAACCTTGTGCGTGCACAGATGCACAATGTGGGGGACCAGGCGAGGAGCTAGGACTGTGCGACGCCGAGGGAAGTTGCAGGTGTCAAGGAACCACGTAAGCAGCAAGGCGCCGTTGGCGTTTGTGGCAAGCTGCACGCTGTGGAGGGCGATGGTAGCAGCCACCATGCGCTGCTGGTCCTTGGTTGCGTAGTGGCTCTCCAAGCAAGCACGCATTGCTCGTGCACCGAACCGACCCTGGGCGAGATCCCACAGGCGGCTGAGCATGGCTTCGAAAATGAAATTGTTGAGCGGCGCCGAGTAACGGAGGCATCCTTGCATAACGTAGTTGCCAAACTGATCCAAGAAAAGGGTCACGGCATATGGCCGTAGGGCATCGACAATCATCTTCTGCAAAGTGGGAGTCCGGGCAACATCGATAATCTTCTGCGCGGCCCAGGTCCCGTTCTTGTGAACGCCAATCTTGGCCAGGTGGGGAGCGATTTCTCGCAGCATGGCCTCCTTGGTGGGTTCGGAGCAGTATTCGAACAACTTCTGTACAACCGTGTTACCCAGGTAATCAGACGAAAGCTCAGCGATCTCAGGCAGCATGTTCATGGCAATCTCCTCAATCTCAGGCTGCGAGCACGAGTTGTTGTCGATGCGCTTGCGAATCTCTCGCAGACGCGGCGCATCGTGGATGCGGGTGTGGCTGGGTTCCTCGACAGGCGGTATCTCCATGAAATAGTTGTCATGCTGAACAGCTTGCTCAACGTGGGCCGAGATCCGTAACTGCTCCTCATCCGTGGCGCCCAACTCTTTCACGATGTTGACGATATCGCCACGAATATCTGTCAGCTCGGGAGTGGTCAGGGGCACATTAGCACTCTCGGCACGCCCGCCGTTCGCTTTAGCAGCATTGCTTGACAAGTTCGAGCCCTCTGCTTGAGATTTGGCATGTGGATCAGGGCTCGGCGACGGGAAAAGTCCATTGTGGCCAGGCGTAGCTGCCGCGCTGGGAACCTTGGCGTAACCAATACGCACTGGACCAGCACCAGGGAAGATCTCCTTGCCATTGAGCTGTAGCTTCGCCTGAATTGCGCTGTCGATTGTCTCATAGTTGACAAATCCGCAATTCTTATGGGTCAGAACACGGGTGGACTCGATGGGACCGAAAGCCTTGAAGATGACATCCAGGGATGAAACGGTGGTCGACGAGGGGATGTTACCAAGCCAAAGCGCCCGGGTAGGCCCTTCCAGCGTGTCATCACCAAGGTTCGAGCTGGGTTTGCCGCCCAGCTGGAGGCTCTTCACAGCTTCGGCTAGGCTGTACTCAGCGTCTTCGGTCAAGTCAGCCGCTGTGAGGCTGTTGTCGAGGCGGGACGAGGAGGGAAGGTAGTTTCGCATCAGCCGCTGCGAAGGCGAGTCGAGAACACCCGCAGTGCGAGCACGTGGGCGGGTGGCACTCGCAAAGTTGGCAAAAGCTTGCACCTCCAAGTTGTGTTGTCGCACAGCTTCGTGAATGGCGAGAGCACTTGCTTCTGCAGGGGTCATGGTTCCACTGTAGCCACCGTATGCAGCCTGGTCGAGGTCATCCTCATCATCGGCGTACTTTTCTTTGGCATTGACAGAGTAGGAGCGGAAGCGGTTGGCGGCAGCAGTTGCGTTCTGATTGAGTGCATTCCGTTGGCCCTCGAGGAGGAGTTCGATGTCGGACGGGGCAAGCGTGGCGCGGGCAGGCTGGGGCGTGTCCACGAGGCCGAGGTAATCCAGTGTCTTCACATCGGTATCGGCGAGCGAATCCCTGGAGAACGACGACTGGGGCGACGTGGGACCATTTGAGGGCTGGGATGCAATGCTCTGGAGCGTGCTGCTACGGTCACGGCTGCTCGTCCATCCTGTTGAAAAGATGGGGTTCCCAAACGGCGACACGGCAGGCGGCAAAAAGCCTGGTCGCTGCGGCATCGAGCCAGCTCGGAGGCGGGAGAGCAATGCTGATTTGGCGGCAGCATTGGTCGAACCGAGAGCAGCAAAGCCCGAGTTCTCGGTAGGTGTGCCGGAACCGGGCTTGAAGGGGCTCGTCGACGGCGTCGGGCGGGACGTCTTGGGAAGAAGCGATGAAGCAGACAGCAAGCCTGGCGGGGGGGCCGAGGGAGAGAATCGCGAGGGAAGCGTGCCAGCACGGGCACGGCGGCCAGATGTCTGGGGGGCGGCGGAGTCTGGCATCGCTCCGTTGAAGTCGGGGAAGCTGTCACCGCTGGGCGACTCCGGAATGGTCTCGCGAAGAGGCGTCGAATTTCCGCTGGTAGGTGGACCCCACATTTGGGGAGTGAGGCCTTCCTGAGCTTGAATCTCGCGGGCCCTGAATCGGACGTTAGCCAAAATGGGATCTGAGCGCGGGTTTCAGGATGCGACAAACCGCTTCGAGTATAACCTGCCACCATATTCATGCGATGGAGACCCGGCTCCAAGCCTCGCGCCGGCAGCGGCGCCCGCGAGGGGGTTTGACGTGTTCTGGGAGGGCATTGGAAAGCGGATGGAGCCGCCCGAGGAAGGAGGCTCGGTAGGCGAGGCCGAGGTGGTGGACGAGGCCGACAGCGGGGCCTGCGAGGTGAGCTGGGGGATGTAGTTGAGGTTGATGTGATGCTCCGGGCGGTTCGAGGGAGCCATTAGGTATTACAGACCCTGTCTTTGGATTGTGTGGTGTCTAGAGAAGTAATATCGAGGTACCAAGACCAGGGTAGCGGCAGAAACGTGGGTTGGAAACCGGCCAAAGGAATGTGAGGCGAGTGGACTATTGCCAGCAAGACCAGGCTCAGCTCAGGGCGGGAGCTGAAGCGTACAAGAGCACACCCCTAGGATCCAGGCCTGCGGGCGAGGTGATTCGAGCGCTAGCGGGTCGGCGGGCGGGCGTGCGGCGTACGGTGCCGTGCAGTGCAGACAGCGCTTTCGAGTGCGAGGGCAGCAGCTGTGCGCAGGTGAGCCGGTCAGGGCGGTGGTGCTCGCGGGCGGGACCTACGGCAGCGAGCGTTGGCGGGCGGCGGCAGCGCGGTCAACGCAGGCGGCGATGGCAATCAAGGAGTGGCGGGCCGGGCTTGTCTGTGAATGAGACACAGGTCGTCGCCGGCGGGAGTCCTGATTACGATGGAGCAATAAACAAGCCGCGGACAGCCTGGAGAAGGGAAGCAAATGGGCAGATTACACGCGATTAGACACCTTCGTTCATCGGAGGGCTGGCGGAGCTGGCGGGAGAGATGCGGGAGCGCAGAGAGGGTGCACGAGGGTAGGTGGTGAGGGACTGCTAAAGTATTCGCGTGCAGCTCTAGCTGGCTAGGCCGCTCAGGGACACGGACGGCACGACACCCAAAACGCCCACGCAAGCAGACAGACAGATTGGGACGGGCAACGCGACCGCTGGCGCCGTTTGGACGTTGGACGGGGCGGCCGCCTGCTCTGCTGCTCCGCTGCATGCCAGCAGAGCGCTCCATCGCACGCGCAATAGGGGCAGAGGGCGCTCCCGTCAACTCGAAACTTGAAACCGCTTCGAACGACACCGTCGCTGTGTCTTACGTGGTCCAGCCCCGCCCACGCCTGCCATTGGCCACTTGGGCCTTATTATACACACCCTAGGGACTGAGCAGCTCGCTTCTGGCGCTGGAGACTGCAGCAGCATCACCTGGAGGAGCAGTGCGGGCATCTGTTCCATCTGCATCTGTCCTTCACGTCCAATTCAGCGACTACACACGGCACCGCCCCTGGCAGACTGAGGGCGCCGGCAGATTCTGGAAGACGTGTGTAACATGTCATTGTTCCCAGGGAGTCCCGCCTTGGCCCCCCGATGGTGCGTTCTCACAAACATAGCAGCGAAACATGTCCAGGAGACGAAGCCTTGGGCTCAGCCCTCAGGATCACAAACACGAACCAGCAGTTGAAGCCACAGCCACGGCAAATGGGGCATGTGCTATGATCCTGCGTAATGGTTGCTGCATACCGCAGCACGCATAAATAGCCGCAGCCTCACCGGCATGGCTCGTAGGACATGTCGCCATAGTCGTCCTATTTCTGATCCTGTAGAGAGCATTGGCGATGATGGCAGGACGGGCGCTACGTTTCCTCCGCAGGCGCCAGATAAAAAGCCTGGGCGCGCTACCGTTTCAGCAAGCTGGGCAAAGGGAGGGACGCTAGACCGCGTTGAGGGCGTGCAGATCGTGATGGCTTCGACATGCGGGTCGCAGTTGTGTGCATCAAACCCGCAGCATCCCACTGCCCGCGAACACGGTGCCTTGAAACGCGCGAAGCTCTGCGCATGAAGACCAGCACTTTTCGAGCTGCCTGTGCCGCCCACTGTGCGCCCCCTGCACCAGCATAGCGCGGCGTGGCCTGCTGAAGATGCGCATGAACGGAGCCTTCCACGTCGTCCTTCTCGAAGCTTTCCCGCAGCCCTTGTGCACGTCGGCGCGCTAGACCTTCACTCACACTCGGCTCGCCTCAGCAACCGCGTGCGCCTTCCGTCATACGCTCCGCGCCGGCGCATCCTCGTCCCCGCACGCGCATCATGTCGACAGGCCCGGAAGAGCGCGCGGACATTGGCATGGACGACGCAGCGGTTGACGACTACAACCACGATGGCGGGCGGTCGACGTCAGAGGGTGACAGCGAGCCCGAGGCGCCCGCCGACCTCATGGTCGTTTCGCGCGCACGGAGATCGAACGCGGGCAACCGCATGTCCACGCTCTTGGCCACGGCCGCCACCGGGGAGGACGAGTGGGGAGAAGAGTGGGAAGAGTTGGCCAACGAGGAGGATTTTGTGGGCGACGATGCCAACGAGCAGGAAGACTACAACCTGGACTCGTCGTCGTCCGAGGACGAAGATGCTGGCGACGACGAAGACGCGGGCGAGAAGGAGCTCCGCAAGGCAGAGCGTCAAGAGCGCACCAAGAAGCGCAAGACAGCCACGAACCCGTTCGCCGCACGTCTGGCTGCGACCTCCCGCAAGCGCGTCAAGCTTGATGTCCCGGCTACTGCGACCCAGTCCCCGCCAGCTGGCCCACCACGACCCAAGAAGAAGTCGGAGCGGGCGTCGTGGATCCCCACCGATGAAGATGGACCCATACGCACATCGTCGAGGAAGCAAACGATGGCAAACAAGGAGCACACGTTGGCAAAACTGAAGGAGAAGGACCAGCGCCGCGATGAGACGCTGGCCATGATGAAGGCAGCCGAGGCGCGCAAGGCAAAGGACGAACCGAAGCCTCTGACCCAGGCCGAACGTCTAGCCGAGGCTGCTCGAGTGGAGCGCATCAACAAGAAGACGCTCCATCGCTGGGAGGAGGCTGAGGAGCAGAGAGCCGCCGAAAGGCAGGCCAAGATCGATGCCCTGAAGAACAGGCAGATCGATGGGCCCTTCATCCGCTTCTATAGTGGTCCCGCTATTTGGGTTGACGACAAGGTCAAATACACGGGAAAGGATGCTCCCAAGCTTGAAGACTTGGAGGAGAAACTCAACAAAGAGATGACCGCATCGACAACCACCGAGAACCCCTCTTCCAGTGATCAGCCGATACCCATTTCCGTTGATCAAACCCGGAGCCAGGACGCCCAGACCATTGCGACATCGCTACCGCTGAGTATAGATTCGCAGTCTGGATCAATACCAGCCTCCCAACCACCCGTTCAGGATGTCACAATATCGCAGGGCCCCCCATTTGCGAACAATGTCATGTTCGCTCCCCCATCAACTTCAGACTCTTTCCTCTTCCAAATGGACCAATATACACAGTCCAGCCAACACCATACCTCAGAACCCGAGCTGCCTCCCAACCCGTTTCAAAACTCACAACCTGACCTGCCCTCCAATCCATTCCAAACCTCACAGCCAGACCTCCCGCCCAATCCCTTCCTCTCAGCATCACACTCCAACCTCTCCGACCTCTCTTTCACGCCTTCACTCTTCTCCCAAGAACAACCACCACCCACGACAATGTCCCCTCAGCACCTCCTCGCACAATTCCGAAATCCGGCTCCTCCGCAAGTCCCACCCCCACCGCCTCGTCGCAAACTCATCCGCCGCGCCCTCCGCAATCTCCTCATCCTCTGCTCTTTCCCCAATCTCGACGCCACCGCCGCCCCAACCCGCGCCCGCACCACGGCCTCTCTCCTCAAAGAAAAAGACCGCGCCGCCCTCGTCCAGCTCTCCACCGCGCTCTTCGCCTGGTCCGTCCCCGATGCCACGTCCTTCGTCACCGCCATGCTCAACGCGCCCAAGACCAAGAAGGAAAAAGAGGCGCTGGCGAAGCCGAAGAAGGAGCTGTGCGCGGTGAGCAACAAGGAGGCGCGGTACCGCGATCCCGAGACGGGGATTGCGTACCGGGATAGCCGCGCGTTTGGGGTGCTGCGGGGGGTGGTCGGGGGCGGGTTCGTGTGGTGTGGCGAGTTGGGGTGTTATGTTGGGGGACGGGCGAAGCCGATGGAGAGTCGGGGGAAGGGGTTTTTGGGAATGGCGCCGGCGGCGGGGGTGCCAAGGAGGTTTCTGGAGATGGAGACCAAGAGGGCTGAGGTTGGTGCTGTGCTTGGTGGGGGCGAGTCAAGGCCTGTGGAGGTTGGTAGTGCGGTAGAGGGGAGTGAGGCGGCCGCCGTGAAGACGGAAGAGCCTGCCACGACTGTGTAGGCTGCTGGTCGCTCCATGCGCCCAAGGCCGTGTACGTTCGCCCTCTGGCATCTGGACATCCTGTACGATAAACCTAGCGAGCTATACGGGGCGGTGCCTCGACGTAGATATATACCCCTAACGACAACATGTACAACAGTATTTTTCCACCGCAGATGATCTACCATGCGGTCGGAACAAGCAACCCCTCCAATCTAATGGATGTTGGTTTTTCTCGACACTGCGGACGATGTCACGCTCCGGTTCTGGGCGCTGAGGTGAGCTGCACGTTCACAGGTCGAAACAAGTCCGGGGCGAAGGTGGGAGGTCAGCATATTGGAACAGGGCTGGGTGGCACGCTGGGAGCACTGTGGTGCAGGAAGTTGTTGCATGGGGATGGCTGGAGCTGGCATCGGGATCTGGCGGGGTAGGGAGCGCGCCCGGCAAGGCTGAGTGCGCAGTTGATGTTTGGGAATCTCGAGTCGACTGGTGATGCAATGGCCGTGCAGCCAGTCTTCACCGAGTAGAATCTACGACTTAGATTGTGTGCAACCTCACAAGCATAGGACGTAGGGTGGTGCGCAGGTGGAATTGTTGCGGCAGATTAGGCTGTTTGTTGATGGACTGTATAAAGGCTGGGAAGGAGGATGTTGGTCGAAAGGATCAGTGCAAGATTGCTGTTACATCAAGATGTAGATATATGATGGCAACGTGTTGCCGGTGGCCAGAGTCCAACAACTGTCTCGCGGCGGGCTGAGAACGCATCACAAGCGCGCCCACCACACTCCATCTCGCGCACGTTCAGGAATGGTCGTATTCAGGAAATGGAAAGGTCCATGATATGCATTTGACGGTTAGCTGATGACATGAGATCTCAAACGCCGTCCCATCTTGCCGGCCCAGTACTGGCAAGAGTTTTTCAGGCATTTCTCGTAACTGTACACGATGATAATGCCCACTGCAACTCCGTCATGTCCACGGTGAACCACCCGAACCAGAGACCCGACTCCGTCCCGACCATCATAGCGCAGTCGCTTATTTCTTCTTCTTGTCCCCACCCTTGGTCTTGGCCGTACCCCGGAACTCCTTGCCCCTGTTCTTGCGCTGCTTGCCTGTGAGTGTGTCAGCATGTCTCCTACACATCTTCTATCCGACAAGTATATGCGAGCCGTAATGGTGTGTGGGGGCGACGTACGCTGCTGCCTGGAGGCCTTCTCGATCTTGGAGGCCATGCCGTACCGGACCAGCCTGTAGTGGGGCTCGAACTTCTTCATGGCCTCGTTGCTGTCGTAGATGAGAGCGAAGCCGGTGCTCTTGCCGCCACCGAAGTGTGTCTTGAAGCCGAAGACGGAGACATCGTCCTTCTTGGCCTTGTAGAGCTCACCGAGCTTGCCACGGAGTTCGTCCTTGGAGACGTTGGGACGGTTGGGGTGGAGGACATCGCTGCACGCCATTAGACCTTCCTTCTGTGTACCCGTATCGCGACCGTGTCCTGCACTTACACAACCATCTGGCGGCGGCCGAGGAGGGGGTTGCGGATGAACTTGCGCGTGCGCAGAGTAACCTGGGAATCAGCCATATTGAGGACGAGCTGTGCCGAACTACGCGCTGTTAGGGGATGTCCTCTCGATGATCGCGCGTCGAATTGGTGCGGGACGTACTGAACGGAAATCGATCCTGCTCTGTGTGTCGGTGGATGGGTTAGTTGGCGTCGTCGAGCTGAGAAGTTCGGCCGTGTGGTTGATCAAAATTGACCTTGAGTGCTCGCTTAGCGAGAGGCGCCAAGACCCAGCGGGGCGCCCAATTAGGTAAGCGCACCTGCAGCCCCCCATCAAAGTGCAGACTGCAACACTACATCTTTCGCGAGTATCTCAGCAGTTGGTTGAAGAGTTCTCAGTCGGCCAGAAGGTGTGCTACCTGCACGCGCTCACTGAGTTAGTCTAGAGATCCGGTGTGGGCCTTGTTCCCCACGCAAGCATTCAGGTTCACAATTACTAGAGCTTTTCGAATGCACACAGCTTCAGATTATTCTGTGCTAGAATTACCATGGTCCAGCAAAATACGTGGACGAGGTTAGCGACCTTCCGCCGCCAATACTTCCAGTTGGTCGACCCTACACAGCTGAGATGGCTCGAAGGCCGCGTTCTCAAGGACATGGAAGTGCAGGCCTGGATGTTTAGCCATCTTTTTGATGCTGAGACGAATTCGACTCTCCCTCCAGACCGATATCGTCTCAGAGTGCTCAAAGCCTTGGTGTCGAAGCTTGAGCAAGCAATCGACGACCCTGAAGAGGATGTACGAGTCTCTTTTCATTTCTTCATCCTGCAAAGCCACATTGCCCGCTCTATATTGCACTTGCACCTTCTCGCTGCCAAAAATATGGCCAAGTCAGAGCGTTCGGGCCTCACTTAGCGAGGAGATGCTCTTCGGTCGACCTGTGTTTGGTCCATTCACCATGCTTCGACGTCAGATCTTAATCACTCGTTCACCGCGCACCTCACTGACCCGTGCATCTTTTCCTACAATTAGGCAATTTCTGATGACCTCATGGAGTCGCTCACTTCCATCCTCGGATCGAATGTCCCGTCCGAGACCGATTCTGCTCAGCAGAAAGCATACGTGACTTACGCATTTCCGCGCCATAGTGCAGACAACAACACTGTCAACGACAATTCGGTGACGCTGCTTGAGTCCCGCTCTGTCATCTCATCATCCGGAACTACCGGATTGCGTACTTGGGAAGCGGCACTGCTCCTTGGGCAGTTTCTGTCCTCTGATCGCGGAAGCGCGATGGTTCGCGATAAGAGGGTACTTGAACTTGGAGCCGGCACGGGCATGCTATCAATACTTTGTGCAAAGCATCTCGGTGTATCTGGCATCGTTTCGACAGACGGTGACGAAGCGGTTGTAGACGCCATCAAGACCAACGTCTTTCTCAACGAGCTTGACGCGTCGCGAATCACAGTAAACACAGCTGCTCTAAAATGGGGACGGCCTCTTAATGGCAGCACATTTTTAGAAGACTACGGGATGGACGTACCAGAAGTGCTCTTAGGGGCCGATGTGGTAAGACTCTCCTAAGCGCTTGCTGAGTCCAACCCCACCGAACCAACAATCAATCGCAGACATACGACTCCACCATTATTCCAGCTCTGGTTTCGTCAATGAGAGATTTTTTCGACCTGAATGCAGCTCTCCAAGTTCTAGTTGCTGCGACAATACGCAATGAGAAGACGTTCGAGACCTTCTTGAACGCGTGTAGTGGGTCTCCCCACAAATACATCATCTTGCGACGTCTGATGAGCTGTTGCTGATTTTTGTGGGGTAGGACGAAACCGCTTCACACTGCAGCAAATCGACTTCGCAACACAGCCTGAGTCGCTCCAGGATGGTCCCTTCTACCCAACGTCAACGGCGATTCAGATCTGGCGAATAACGAGAGCGCACACAGCTCAGGATCCGTTCGCGTTCTAACCGCCTCACAGACACGCACTGGACCAACACGTGGCAGCCTCGATTGCGATTACTTGTTCCTATCGTGAAACTTGCGTTGGCCGGAATCTTTTCTGTTAAGCGTTTTCATCTCTTTCTGCTGCGGTCGGCAACAAATGAAGTGTCGGGTGCACTGAGTACAAGCTGCGATTGGCTGGTGACATAAAAATCTGTTCTCCAGCTGGGCAAGACTGAATCCCCACGACACTACTGCGGTGCAGACAGACAGTGCTCGCATCAGTCGAACAGCGTTGTGGATCGCATCGGTCCTATCCATAGCGAATATTGCAGCACGCAGCACGCTGAGCACATTCCTGACGTATTGCGCTCCGACGGCGCATTCTGTTACCTAAAGTCACAAGAGGCTACCGCAACAAGAAAGACTACGCGTCCAGTAAAACTCTGAGTGATGCCTGAGGTTGGATCTTGCAAGTGCAGGGTGTGGTAATGTGAACTGGAAGGCAGCAACGGTTGCAGAGTTCCGTGTTATTCCCCACAACCACGCCAGAGACGCCAGACGTGGATCCGTATGATTCGGAATAGTGCCCGTGGCGCGACGGTCCAACCGATTCGCGCAATGGACGAAGCCGTTACATGCATAACACCGTGATGGTCAGGCACAACCGAGCAGTGGCTGAATTGTGCCGTCGGTCGATGCATCGGAGGCATCCACAGTGCCTAGCGACCCTGAGCCAGAACACCTTGGTGGGTATCGGGTGGGGTAGGTTGGTGTATAATAAGACGGAAGCTCCTCATCGATGGTGTGCTTGATGACTACTGAGGGGTGATCAAATTCGCAATATTGAACCATCCCCGCTGCGGCGCTCGAAACCACGTCCTAGACTGCCGACCGCACTGCTGCATATATCCTCCCGCCGCTCGTCCACTGTTCCACGACGCAGAGTGCATCGCTATCTACCCGCCATCTCCAGGTACGTTGGCCTGCCCAGCTCGGCAATCAATCTGTCCTGTGCGGCCCTTTCTGACAGTTTGCTGATACAGTTACCCGCTGCTTGCCGAACGCGCGCTGGCAAGGCCCGGCTCTTCTTTCTTATCGACGTCAAGCGACTCAGCTTATCGCTCCGCATCCCTGGCCGCCGATCTGTGCTCCGACACAACAGCTGCAGCGTTCCAGATCAATTCCACTCTCGGCCCGTTTCCCCAGCGTCTCGAGTCGTACTCTTATCAGTCACCGTAAGTCCTCACCACGCACCGGCCAAGGTCCTCATTATTGTTTCCAATTGCATGGCGGATTGTGATCTCACACACTGCTTTCCTTGGTGCATAAGTCTTGGTCCTAGTCGCACCGTTCCTGGCTAAACCTTTTCGGTTGCAGATACCGCGATAAGACGCTCAAACAAAGCCCTCAACCTCGTCATATTAGCTGCTGCGGCTGTGTCACCGCCTACCGCTTGTTATTTTCGCTAGGTTCGATTGTCTGCGCACGCCGTCAATCTCAGCGCGCACCGTGCGTGCCTATTCAGGGACACCAACAGAGGGATTAAAGCTCACCGTCTTTCCAACTTCCAATGGCCACTCACACCCGTCAAGTGTCCCATACTAAAAGGCCCTTGCCGGCCCACGCACGGCCATCCAAGCCTGCGCCCTTGTCTAAACGCTCCAGTTCCCACGGCGCGAGTAAGAAAGCTGTGCCCTTGCACAAGAAGGAGGAGGAGATCGAAGACGAGGATCTCATGGCCACGAGCTTCCTGCAGTTCTGGTATGACTCATCGCATCTTCCTGTCGCGCTGTAGCTGACCATTGACAGTACTACCTGCGAAAAACAAATCATTGTGCCTTGCAACGCAGTGCTCTATTGCTCCGAGAGGTACGCCAATGTCCTCAACATAGATTTGTCTCAAACTAACGCATGCTAGCTGCCGCAAGAAGGACACCGAGAAGCAGTTCATCTTTGCCCCGGATCAGTCCCCGCCATTGACGCCTTTCTCGCAACTCTCCAACTTCTCCTTTGAGGATCTCCACTTCCGTGACATTGTGCCGCCCCGCTCTCCCACACAGCTTCGCTCCAACCGTTCATCATGTGCTTTCTCGGACCTGTCTTCGGACGATAACGCCGCCTCAGGCGACGAGAAGCCCAGACAACATTCGGATGCGTCGCGATACCTACGACACTGCCAACTCACCACCTACTCTGATGCCGCGGCTACCATCCGCCCGCGCCGACCCCACTACTCCCGCGCCTCAACCTCGCATGTCAACTTCAGCGCCGCGCCTTCGTTATCGCACACGCCTGCCTCGTCAATAAGCTACTCGATGCCATATACCCCATCAACACGGCCCCTCCCTCCCAGGACGAACCCAAGCAGCTCGTCATACACGCACAAGTCGATCGACCTCGTGACCCCGCTCACTTACGCGAGCACCGCGCCCTCGAGTCCCCGGCAGTACTCGCTCAAGTCGCACGCGGAAACCGCGACGTCAGCGAGCACCATCGAAGGCGAAATCATGTACGCAAAGACACCGATCGCGTCGATGTCGCCGGCCAATGGGAGTTTGGGCCGCCTCCTTGCTTCGTCTTCGCACTGAGCGATTTTATCGTAATTGCCGCAACTATCTTCCATTCCAGTTGGCGAGGGGGTATCATGAAACGCTGAGCGATTTTCATTATTTTGGTTTCTTGGTCAGGACTTCTAAATACCTCGCGCGGCACATGACTGGGCTTCTACATACCATACCAGTCTGGCGCTTTTGCTTTCTATTTACATTGCCCTGGCGTTTTGTTTCGTCTAACACTCAGACACGATGGAGCTGTGCAGAGCATGGCTATTGTTTACGGCGGCCAGTTAAAAGTCTTTCTTGCTAGATAGGAGGGGCGTTTTAATTCACCACGCAGAGTCTTCACTTGTGCATTTTCACAGCTAGATACCACGAACCGCACCATTACGCGCGAAGAACAATACATTACGATGCTACCACAGGGCATGCGTCCCGAACATAAACCGCTCTCCTGCATGCTAAGCTTCCCGTGAGGCTTGACTGATCCGGCAGCACGGTCACCGGGTGCCCGCAAGGTCACACACGCCCGTCATCCTGCTATCTCAGTCACGCTGTACCAAGGAGCGTGTACATGATTACCGGCACGCACCCTCGCGTGCTGTTCCGCATCGCAGCAATATGATTTTTCCCCCAGGGACACCCGCCCGCTGCCATGCCAACGCTCGCCACCTAACGTCAAGCGGCAATTCTTTCCCCAGATGCGACCTCGCAGTCTCCTAGGAATGCGCCCATGACCACGCGCGCATCTGCAGCCTGGTTGAACCCCAGATCGTTGCATGTTGGTATAGCATCTGTGACGTCGGCCTTGGGGAGTAACATCCGTGCACGATATGTACAACGAGGGACGGGAATAGGCGGCGGTCGAATCATGTTTCTTCCCAGTCTTTCTCCCCCTGGAAACGTCCACGCATGCTATGGGACAAAGTCTCTATATGCGAGGTGCCTTTTTGCCCCTTGCACCATCCCCCCCAATAGAAGCGCCGGGTAGGTGTTTCTTTTTTCCTTGTGCAGATTCGGGCCCCTATCGTGCGCAGGCTCCTGCCAGTAGATATTTACATGGTCTTAGATGGTCAGAGTCTCGTGCCCCCTCGGATCTCGCGGATATACTGTTATTCCCGCGAGGAAGGCACTCGACAGGGCACGTGTCTTGTGTTTCTGACGTTTTAACGCGTGATTGGAGATATTTGGTCGTGCTGCGAGATCTCACGGAAGTCATTGTTCAAGGCGAGATCAACGACAAGCCTAGTCCCTACTTACGATAGGCCCTGTGGGGTGACTAACAGATGTTTTTGAGAAACCTAGTCATACATCCCTCCCATGATATCATGAAGTACAGAAGTGCTAGCCCAGCCATCCTACGAGTGTCTCCGCTTCGTCCCCTTGTCCGGTTTGGACGGCATGTCTGGGAGAATCCCACCCTCCCGCTTCAGATTCTCATACAACCCCAATGCAGCAAGACACTTTGCATCTCTCCCTCCCTCCCTATACAGACTTTTGAACGGTACTACCTTGAGTGTGATGACCTCGCCCTGGTCCCTCAGCCCGGTGGTCCGCGCCTGCAAGTCCTCGAGCTCGTCCCTGCTCATGCGCTTCTGCAGCAGCATCAGGGGCAGAAACTCGTCGCAGCCGCCGGGACTGGGATACATCGAGTTCTGTACCAGTTCGCGGAATGCGTCGCTGTCATTGGTAGGGGCTGTGGACGGCCGCTGGTAGACGTCTTTGACGGCGGCTTCGGACATGTTAAAGAGCTCGGACTTGTTGACTGTGATGCCGACCTCTTCTTTGATCTCCTCGCCGGCTTTGCCGCCAAAGTCGCCGCTGTCGTCGAGCATGCCGGCGGGCAGTTCGGCGAAAGCAAGGGAACCCGCGGCTATGCGGGGCTGGATGGTGAGGATGGCAAAGAGTTCGGGTTCGCGGCCTTCTTTGAGTTTCTGCTGCTCTTCCTTTTCGCCGTCGTAGGGCTGGATGATGATCTGGGTGTGTTAGCCACAAGCACCTCTGTGGGGAAGGAACAAAACGTACAAGAATGCCCACGCTGCCGCCGCGAAGAAATACAGCACCGGGAAGCCACTGTTTCTTCCCATCGTCCAGGTGGTCTGCCTCGACGGTGCATTGCGCCTTCAAGAAGCCTAGTTTCCCAGGAGGAGGTCCGCTCGGAAACCATGTCGGTGCCTGGAGGTCGACGCTCCTGAGCTTATACGGGTTTTTATGGAATACATGATTTGGATCTTGCTGCAAGGCAAGGTTCTGGAGCAGTTGGGAGAGCCAGTTCTTGTAGGCAGGCATGTTCTCGACCATCTGTCTCGTGCATCTGCTGTCCTGGGGAAGGTAGATGCTGCACGCTGTCTCTGTGCCATCGTGGATGTGTTTTGACACAGGATGCTCGTTGAAGGTAGTGAGGCTGAAGTGCTTTCTCGGTGCGCCATCAAATAGTGTCTGGTCCTCCGGCCTGCCGTCGGAGATGGTGTCCTCGGCGGCCATGGTTGGCGTGGTCGTGGCTAGACGCAGTGCTTGATCCTTAGCACTTGTGCGTACTTGTCAAAGCCCACAACGGCCAGGTGCAGCTGGACTTCAGTTTATAAGCAAGTGGGCGCATTCGACGCCCTCGGTGCGCCGCATGTGTCTTGGATATGTTTGGCAGCAGTCTTGAGATGAAGGCGCGAGACAATGGGGAGATAAGGAGCGTTCTTGGGCATGACTCTCTCCAAGCACTGCGCCGTGACTGTTGGCAGGCTGTGTGGCCGGTGAGGCACAGCGTGAGCAAGCGTTGTTTGTCTGCAGGGCGTGGTGCCTGGCCTAGATGCAAGCGGCAACAGCGGGCCCCCACGACAGCCCCGCCATTCGCGGCAACAACGCGCTTAAGTCCGCGAGGCTGGCGCGTCATTGCAAAGGCGACTCTTACCACCGCGGCCGCTCCTACGTTCTTCTTCTCCCTCTCGCAGGAGCTGTGCCCTGTTTAGACCGGCCATGGGGACTCTCACCGCCGGCTGCCCGCGTTTAGACGCGCATTGCCCGCACAAGCTGGCGACATCATGCCGCCTCACGTCCACTCCCAACTGCTGCGCATGCGCAGACGAGCGGGCCCACTCGCGCCTGTACCGCGTCTACGTTGACGGTGTGGGCTACGTGCAGCGCGGAACGCGATGGCAGAGCTACTGCTGGTTCTGCAAAGGTCGGTTTGCCTATGCACCCGTAGAGCTGTTCCTCATGCATTGCTGCGGCTTGCCAATGCTTGCCGCGCAACTGGCTTCACGGGCAGACCCTGGACACATGTACTGACGCATGTAACCAGAGTTCTGGAACAACCGCTTAGCAGCCACGGATCCTCCACTTGAAGCTGCCCAGACACAGATCCCGCACATCCCAGACCAGTCCGAGTTCCTCGAGCGCTGGTTCGAATTCCACCAGGGCTACCGCACAGTCACACAGCCAGACGGCTCCGAATCGCGCATAGCCGTCGTGGGAGAGCCCTTCAGCGAGGTCAGCCCGGGGTTTCTGCCTCGCACGCTGGACCAATTGAGGGCGAACAGACAGAACGACGCTTCCCGGCCCGACAACGTCTTCAGGAGGCGGAGACTGACTTCGGAGCAAGAGAGGCCGGCCGAAGCACAGCAGTCGATCGAGGACGCTTTGGATGATCTTCTCGGAGAATTGTCAGACGAAGAGGAGGCACCTGCGCCAGCAGAGACCGGAGCACCGAGCACAGATATGCCGCGCAGAAGGAGCAGTGGCGGCCTTTCGCGACCGCTCACTCGTACCGAAGTCAGCGTCCAACGCGCCAGAGATCGCCTCGCTCGCGTCTTTGGTTCAAGAGAAGACGTGCAGCGTGAGGACTACGAGAGCCCGCTCTCCACAATGTACAACCGGGCAGAGGAACGCTACCAACAAGCCGAGGAGCGTCGCGCGACAGGCGAGACCACGGATCCCCGCACGAACAATCTGCACAATCTTCCCCGGCAGGAGCGAAGAGAGCTAGAAGAGCAAATACTATGGGGCGTCCTCCAAGACTCGCGACGTTCATTCCTAGAGCGCAATCCGGACGCCTACGTGAGAAGGCACGCCCTAGAACTCGATTCGACGAACCTTGCAGAGCCTAGTGCCACACCCCCTTCATCAAATACGACTTCCACATCCGCACCTGCTTCCTCCCTCCGCAGCTCCCTTGACCAGATCACATCCGACCTCTCCCGCCTCCAAGCAGCCACCGACGCCGTCGCTAGCGCGCGCATCGCCCTCGCCCGCCAGCGACCTTCCCATCCGCTCTTCACGGAACCCAAGCAAACTCTCGACCAGCCGAACCGTCCACCACCGCTAACCGACGCGCAGATGACGAAGAAGCTGGACTGCCAGGTCTGCTATAGCCAAATAGCGGACATCGCGCTGCTGCCGTGCGGACACATGGTTATGTGTCAGTGGTGTGCGGATGTCGTGGTACCGGTACGACACAGTCATATCCCTGCAAGACCGAGCAAGTGCCCGATGTGTAGGAAGATGGTGAAGCAGAGGTTCAAGATACATATTGGGGGCGATGACGTGGTTCTAGTACAGGGGAGGGGTAGGGTGGATGAGGAACGGGGGACTGATGCTCAGGCACAAGAACGGGAGGAAGGGGTGGAGGTAACGTAGGGGCGTGGAGGGCAGTGTTTGAGCGGGTGTGCATGTAAGATGTGGTCAGCCAGGTACCGCACCAATTTCGATACCAAATGATAATTTAAAGCCGTTTGAAGTTGAGCAAGAAGTTGAGCAAGTGTCTATGCAAACAGCATTAAGAACCAAAGAAACTAAAAAAGGACTCTTCACAATGGATTAAATGACGAGATAAACGCCCCTCGCGAAACCGCTCGACCACCGAAACTCATTTCAAAGCACGAGCAAAGCAAGCAATGATCTAGAGTAAACGCATGAAAGCAAACAATGAGCGCACTCGGTACCGCGTCAACGCTGCACTCTGCCTCCCCTCTCCAATCCCAAACTTAAACCTCGACCGCATCAACAATGACATCAAAATACCCCGGCGTCTGCACCTGCCCCTGCCTCTGCCCCTGACCCTGGCCGCTGCCCTCCGCTGCCTTCCCCCCTTCCGCGCCCCCACGCCCCCCGCTCACCGCCCTCTTCGGGCTCGGACTCGCCAGCCCCGCACTCATCTTCTTGATCGCCTCAAACGTCGCCTGCAGCCGCGTCGGCGTGCCGCCCTGGAGGGTAGCTTCAGAGGGACGCGGCGTGGTTGCGATGCTGCTCGGGCTCTGCACGCGCGCCGGCGCAGACAGCCAGGGCGAGTACAGCGGCTGGACGGTCGGGCTGCCGGGGGTGGCGTGCGGCGAGGTCCGCGGGGAGGAGGTGGGGTCGGCGAATTCGAGGACGACGTGGGAGCCGCGGCGGGACTCGTACGTGTTTCTGGGGGAGAGGGGCAGGAGGTGGGTTTGGGCTGGGGTTAGGGGGCCGGGTTCGGGGCGTGGGGGCTTGGTGGCGGTGCAGTGGCCTGGTTTGGGTTGTTAGTTTGCTTTGTTGAAGGTAGAGAAGGGGGGGTTACCGCGGGCGTGGCGCGCCGTGGTGTTCTGCGAGTACTGGCGCAGCATTCTGGGCGGGTCTTGTCGACTCGGTGTCGGCATGGGCTTGAGACTGGTGTTCTGTGGCGCGCTGGGGGACCGGTCTGATTTGAAGGGCCAGCGGGAGGGCGTGGAGGTTGCGCTCGTCCGTATTTGCGGAACGGCATCATTGGAAGAGCTCTTGGCCGGCTCCTCGTTGTCGTTGCTGCTCTTCGTCGTCGACTTCGGCGAGTCGAGAGTGGTGCTGAGACTAGACTCTCGGCTCAGGCGCAGGTCCGCGCTCGTCTTGCGCGTGCTGGGCGTGCTGCTAGTTTTGCGGCTGCTTGGGGTAGCACTGCTGGCGGTTGCGTTGCTGCCCTGGCGAGAGTCCTTCATGCGCTCCTCGCTGCTATTGCTGTCTTTCCCACTGCTTCCGCGCTTGTGCTTTGCGTCAAGATCTGTAACGACCGTGTCGCCGAACTCCTTCTGCAGATTGGCCAGGCGTTCCTCGTAGGATTCAGTCAGCGTGTTCGATATGGTTGCAGCGATGTCGTTTGTGTTGTTGGATGGCTTCCAGTCGATGGGGCAGAGAACGCCGTGCTTGGCCACGGCCTGGAATGCTTCGAGGAGGCGGAGCGCTTCGAGGACGGAACGGCCGACGGTGAGGTTGTTGAGCGTTACCTACGAAGTTGAGCTTGATTTATGGGAAGAAGTGAAGGCCGAACCTGCTGCACCATGGTCTCCTCGTCCAAGATGAACATCCCCCGCAGACATACGCCCTCCTCCTCGATAAGAACACCATAGTCGCGACTCATCTTGTGGTTGGCATCGCTAAGCAGCGCGATATCAATGTGCCCCAGGCCACCGTATTGTCGAGGGACATTCTGCCAGTGCCAGAGGGAATGCTTGGTATCGACCGAAACGAAAATGACATCGCAGTTGCGGTCCCTGAACTCTTCCAGACAGTTCTGAAAAGCAAGCACTTCAGTCGGGCACACGAAGGAGAATGCTGCGGGTATGAACAGCAGAATGAGCCATGACTTCTTGTCCTTGTTGATGTACGTGCTGAGCGTGACTTCTGTCAGGTTGATTAGCAGCGTGGTGGAGCGAAGGCAGACCATGTACCCTCGATGACGCCTTTGTTGACGGCGTCACAGCGGAAGTCTGGCGCTTTCCTGCCAACTCGGACACTGCCTAGCGTGCTCATGGTTTCGTGCCCTGGCCAAGTCAAATTATACTGACAGTAGCTGTTCGATCTGGATTCCTCCGCTTGACGAGAGATTCCGGTGTTCGCATGTACCGTGGAACACAGCGCAAAACTATGGTGTGGATGTTCTACTCAGCAATCCGGCAGTCGTACTTATAAGTGCCGTCTGCGAGAAGCTGTGATGCCATACTGTCTTGCATGCACTTGATGTTAGATCGGCGGCCATAGCGATTTCGCGGCAGTCGGTGGGATCGTGTCTCAGAGACAGAACACATATACTGCTGTTTTCAGCATATCGGCATTCCGGAAGCGAAAAGAAAGCGCAGCTTCTTTGAAAGATAGTGAGACATCGGTACAATATCCAGCCTCTGAGGAGGCGATGGCTGTTGAGACACGCGATGGGATAATGCCGCGCGGCTGATGGACGAACAATGAATCTCGATGAGATCGGGAGATCGCATGATGTATCCACTCAGCATTCGCATTGCGGATGTACATGCTATAGCTGGATGGTCTAGGTACTGATGTCTCATTGCCATGCGACGTTGAAGCGAAGGTAACGTCCCTGTTAGCCCGGACCGAGACTGCGGGTGTTTTTGGAGGTTCTTTCATGAACACCTTGGCATGAGATTCGTGGTATGCTGACGATTGGGTGCTTGTAGCCAATTCTGCGGAAATCTGCGATTTGGCTTGTGGATCTTGGTGCAGCGATGATAAACATTTCCAGGGCTGTGCTGTATGCAAAGACACACCATTCAAATTTAGCGAGTCCATAACGATAGTGGTACGTGACTTTATGGTTGCATTCTAGAATGCGGAGAGGAACATGCTGGTCATTCATAATAACTGTATCAATATTATTAAGCTTTTCGGCATCGCGGTATCCTGTCAGGCACCTGAGCATCCTGTGTAACCTCAGCATGACAAGACAAGTCGACAGTTCTAGATGCCTAACTTGTGCCTGTATGGGATCCGTGTGTGATACTTCTCACCATCTGAACCTATTCCTCACATATACACCTGTGCTTTTCGGAAGCACCTTCTTCTCGATATTGAAACTGTCGAATCGGGCCGTTTCGAGCTTGCTCGAGGCTTCCTGAACTGGAAGATTAGTGCCTGTCACGGACGACGGATGCATCGCTGTTCTAATACTATCGTGAATTATTCAGCATGAGCAACCCTGCGGGACTGTCCGTGTGTGCTACTCGAACTCTCCCGGTTCCAAATTCGCGAGGACGGTCAAGTAACTGGCTGCGTCGCTGTGGGGCCCACGTGGTCGTGTCAATCAGCCATCCAATCTTTTTTCGCTCGATCTGGCTGGAGTTGACCCTGATTGAAAACCCACGACTGGCCCGTTGCGGCTGTATTTCGTGGTGGACGTTTCTGCCTCGAGAGAGTAAGAGTTGAGTGATTGAGTTGGAAGGGCGAGACTTCTATTTCGGTGACGACCCTCGTGTTTTCCAAATGCCACCTCGTGGTTTCCAAATGCCACCTCGTGTTTTCCAAATGCCACCTCGTGCTTTCCAAATGCCACCTCGTGCCTAGAGCCCTTGAGAGAGCAAGAAGAATCCCCGGGAAATGGTTGAAAAGTAGCAAGTTCAGAGCTTACTCTCCCTAGGTGTACGCTCGACTGGTAGTGCACCGCTCATCATATGCTCTTGCTGTTCCATCTCTCTCCCAAAAAGCACCATATCGCGGCCCCCTCGCGTCCCCCACCATGCGACCGCCGACCCGCTACGCTCGGGATCCATCTCGCCACCAACGAGCACCTCCCAATAGCGCGCTTTGACCGCCTCCCGCATGGCAGAGTCGTCAATTTGGTTGAGCAGCTCTGCGCATAGCGGCATCCACTCCTCGAGAAGGGGGATTGGGAGGAAAGGGAGGGCATCGAGTAGTGTTAAGGTGAGCACAGCTTGCTCGGAGAGTGCTGGGGGAGGCGCGTCCGAGCCTTGAAGTGCGAGTGTCATCTCGTCTGGCGGTAGCGGCTGCGTTGGGGCGCTGAGAGCGCGGTGGTATACGAGCTCCATTAGAGTAGCGGGGAGATCTGGATGGGATGCTGAAATGGCTGACGGGGGCGCCGTGACGCGCATGAGGGTCTTGAAAGCGAGCCTGAACTGGCGCGGGGAAAGGTTATGTGGGAAGACGCTGAACAGGGCGTCGATATAAAATGGGAGGTGCTTTGCGGTGATCTCGGCAGACTGCGGTGCAGAGAGGACTGCCAGCATGACACTGTGTGCGGCTTCAAAAATTGGTAGCATGTTGTGGTTGGCACCGGCTGCGAGGTAAGGCACAGCTGATGCCACAAGAAGATCTTCGTTCGCGGCAGTCGAGAGTACTAACGAGAAGTGCTCTGCTGTGTTGAGGAAGTAAAGGTCCAATATGCGATCGAGTGGATGTCGAGGTATCTGCCCTAACTGTGGAGGTGCTATCGATTTGAGAAACTTGTCGGCGTGCATAGGATATGCCGCGAGTATGTCAATCGCAGTGAGATACACAAATGTGTGTTGCGAGAAAGATGCAGGCCCAAGCCTCGACGTAATGAAGTACAGATGTCGGAGGGTTTGTAGTGTCTGTGATGCAATGACTGGTGCAACGGCATCTCCAGCCAAAGTCCTGTCACCGAGAGTGCGGATCAAGACTCCGCGCAATGTGATGGTAGTCGCAAACAATGCGGCTTTGAGCAGTTTCCAAAGCAGTGGAACGGTCTTGTGGAGGGCTTCCTCCTCCAAGTAGATATCCTCCTCAGCCGGATCGATTTCGGAGAAGTTGATTTGCCGCCATTGTGTAGTGAGTGCCCTCGCGAAGCTTGCCAAATCGTCCATCATGGCCTGAATCACCCATGGATCGCGCACGTTCTCCACCGCGTGCGCGATAATCTTCGACAACGGACCCATCGAAGACACCAACGGCCTTGCCAATATGGCCTCCACTTGGCGGAAAGAACTCGAACGCGCATCCCAGTCCAATTTCGCTCCATTCTTTTTGATATCCAGGTTGAGGCCTCCCATGAAGTACGCCGACTGGAACCCCTCGTTCGAGAAGTAGGCGGTGCCAATGAGCACCGGAAGAAGGAGGTCGTAGTCCAGCAGCATTTTCTCCGCGTCCGAAAGACACCCAAAAGCATGATTCAGCACCAAAACAATCGTCTGGCCTCCCAGTCCATCTGCCTCGGACCTTTCCCTAACTTCCACCAGTGCGAGATTCGCAGCGCGTACCAGTGCTACCTCGACTCTTTTCTTGATCCCCGATGCCCAGTACAGATCCATGCCCTGCTCTTCCAAGCTCCCTATCGCGATCAACAGGCCTCCTAGTGTCACTAGGTGCTTCCACCTCTGACTGCGTTCATCGGCCCCAGCAACGACGGCCCGCACCCACTCGTCGAGCGAGAGGCCTCCGCCCACGGGCGTCTGTCCGGGCAGCAGTTCGGAAGCTTTACCCCATCGCGCATCGTTCTGATGGTTGATAACGGCTGTGACTGCGGTGTGGAAGACGGAGAGCAACCGGAGAGGGGTCCGCACGCCTTCGGGGCGGTCCCAGAGCGCCGGCGCGGTGAGGAGGTGCGATGTCAGGAGGCTGAGATTGTGCGGGTTCCCCAGGGTCGTTAGCAGCGACGATGCGGTTCCGAGGATCCTAGGGAGCTGTTAGTGGAGGACGTCGCAGGCAGGAGGGCAGGCGTACCGGGGCGTGTCTTGCTGATCGGTGTACGTCTGGAGCGACCGCAGGAGCGTCGACAGCAGGCGATCGGCGGGCATTGTGGCAGACGACGCGCGCTCGCGGGATGCAGGCGTTGTCACCAAGACTGTGCAGATGCGCTCGCCGCGGTGGTTGGCATGGGGCTGCGCGTTGGTATGCCGAGGCATTCGGGTGAAGCTCGGGGTCGCTTCAGCCCTACGCAAGTCTTCCCACAAGCCAAGCCAAGCCAACCTCTTCGCTCTCCCTCCACCAACATCGCGCATCATCAGCTCAGTCGCGCTTGGAAGCCCAGCTTCTCCCGCGCCCACCAGAGCGTGCTCCGCGCGACTATGCTGCCCAAATGAGGTGCGTCTCTCGCCCCCCTCGGCCCGTTCATCCCCAACTCACCGTCTGCCCAGCTTCATCACGCGCACCGGCAGCACCGCGCCTGCGGGCTACAAAGCACCTCCATGGCCGTCTCTCTACTGGCCGCTCCCCGTCAGCGCCTCCGTGCCGTACTACCTCTACGACCCCGATGACATCTGGCGCTTCACACTGATCTGGACGGCCCTGTTCTTCGGCGCCATGCATCTGGTCGTCGCCTTCTGGGCGTGCATTGTGCAGTGGCGCAACTGGAAGATCATATGGATCACGCCGTTGCTGTATGCCATCATCGGAGGGCTGGAGGGCCTGATTGCGGGGAGCATTGTGGGAGGACTGTGAGTACATGTTTGCTATCAGCGGATGGCTGTGCTAATCAGGGCAGATTGGGCGGCGTATATCAGTCTGGGTACTTCAAGATGTCGACCTGGATTCCCTTTGTATGGGGTCTCATCAGTGCCGTGGTCCTGGTCCTGTCTTCGTTTGCCATTCACGGTGGGCTGTGAGTGTTGAGATGGACTGCCATCCTGACGAGCCGGACTTCTCTGTACCATTGACCTCCACAGCCCAAAGATGGAAGATAGCGATATCAAAGCTCTTTCCATGGCTAGATACAGTCTCACGCCAACTGCCCTTGTTCATCAGCCTAAATGATGTACCCGAGGGTCACACATGGTACCCAAAACCTCACTGCGAGGCTGCCAATTGACGGCCTCAAATTCAACTTGGTCTGGACGTGAAATCCACCGCGCTCAGCGCAACCCCCCATACGGAGCACTCAAAGCAACGGTCCGAACCTCGTGTTATGACTGCCGTTGAAAGTATCCTCCAAGAGCAAACCCCAGGGCTGCAATTCTCATCTTGAGAAGCCTACCATTCTTCGTCAATGAAGCTTTGGTATACCATGCTGGCCACATCCCACCGTAAATTTACAATGCCTTGTTTCTACCAAGCACGGACGTAGAAGAGTAATATGTGAAGCGTGCTTGGTGCGTGGCCTAGAGCCGGCCTTTGTGTTGGCATGGGAGCGGGTGTAAGGGCAGGCTTAGTAGGATCCTCGATGGCTGGGCTGGGGTGACTCGGGTTGCCATGCGTGTCTAGTGTTTTGATGTGGGGATGAGGCGCTGGTCTTCGTGTTCACGCATGAGACGGGTGGGTTTGCTCCTGCCACCATGGAATCTGGAGTGCATGCCAGAAGGCAAAAAGGTAGACCATGCATTATATAGAGCTAATTCGGAATATACATGCATGTGCTAGTGCACCTCCATCCCCTCCTCACAAGATTTCCACAAGTAGAAGCCATGTCCAGCAAACGTTTGCCTTGCATGGCACACCTCTTTGACACCGCCTCAAAGCCGCCCATACATGTTCTCGCCGTAGTCCCCACCGTGCTCGTCCTCGTCCCCATCGAGCACAAAACATTGCACATCCTTCTTGAACCTCACCCTCTTCTTCCTGCGGTCAACCCTCTTGACGAACTCGTACAGCGCCTTAGTGACAGCCCTCATCCTCGTCCACGCATCCCGCATTTGCGATCTATCAGCTGGCTTTGGAACATGCCTCGAGGGTGCCTTCGCATAAGATCTGTTCGGGCGAGGGTTGCGGTGAGAGGCGCCACGAGGACACGGCCACGCTTCTTTGCCGTTTTGAGATACCGGAGGTGGGTGACAGCAAGGACTGTGCGGTCGCAAGTCCTCGCGAGTTGCGTTGGGGTCGACACGCTCACCGTTCATGTCCTCGTCATCCGGCAGTTCCACCACAAATCCAGCTTTGTAACGCTGCTTCTCGGCCTTGCGCTTGGCTCGCTGGTCTTTGCTGTACTGGACGTGACGCGGGTCGTGATCCATGAGGTAGTTTATGCCCATGAGGAGCATGAGGGCGATTTGCCAACCTGTTCTGCGGTAGCTTGTGGGATTGGACGGGGACTGGAGGTTGGGCATTGCGTTGGTAAATCGGTTATGCGAGTGGTGAGTGTTTGAGGCCACAGAGTGAAGATGAACCACGTATAAGAGACGTTGGGCATCATGGAGGCTTTCGAGGTCTACAAGCACAGTGGTTGCTGTGCCCATCAAAGACGACTACTTGCATGGCGCAGGCTCCGTTGGCAAGGCCGAAGAGCCTGTGCTTTGAGACCTGCTAGGTTCCTGGTCAGTGGGGAGCTTCGAGTGTTACTGTTGCACTGTGCCCCAAAATCGTCTGATGGTGAGGCCCGTTCCCATAGCGTTGGACGCACGTGGCTTTCCAGCTTTGCATGACAAAATTCCTAGATCTGCGTTGTTCAGACACATGATTGTTCAATGCTATTCATGATGTTATACTCGGAAGAAGGCTCCTGGAAAGACAACTGGAAAGACAACGAGGTTGGAAATCCATACATCAGACATTGGGGTGTTGTTACTGTGATTGGCGATTCTTGGAACTAAGGCGTGCTGTTGGCTAGAGCTGAATTGTGCCAGCAGTTGGATCCGTAGCAACGCAGTGAACAAAGTCCAATGCAGCGCAGACAATCCAAGCATAAGCGACAAGCATCCATTGATACCGCTCTTTGCCGACCAGGTGCTTGCACATGGTCGAACATACGACATCAAGAGCGCAGCCCTGCATGTGCTCGATCTACCGGGTCAATGTGCTGTTTCAAGTAGGCTCACGCTGAGGTTGGCGCAATTTGCTTGGCACGCAGTCGTGCTACTGGATACCAATACAGCATCTTGAGGCATGCCAAGTGCCGGAGATATAAAGTCGCTGGCGGACGATACCGCGACAAACTAGGGCTGATTGTCGTGATGTATCATGTCGACAAGACGCCGACATACGCAATCGAGTGCTCGCTGGGGCGAGCGGCGAGCAGAAACCACGGCGACTTCTGAAGAGGCATGGCATGCACACGAGTGACGACGAGCAAGGTCGTGCAGCTGGTGGTGCCGGAACCGGGCGCAGGCCATTGAGTGTGTTTCAGCACAGTCCCCCTCTGGAAGGCACAACTGCGAACCTGTTTTGTTTCGTGGGAGCAGGGCTTGGATGCAAACGGCGGGTTCAATAGTGCTGCTGGGCTGCAGTAGCGGATGGCCGTTGACTGTCAAGCGGACGAAGCCGTCATGTCTTGCACACATACTGCAGCCTGTCGGTGGGTCTGCCATCGAGGCGACTGGCGACACTCGGAAGGCGGGGGAGCATACCGCCTGGCCAAGAGGCCTCTGCGCCTGTTGCTTCGTTCCGCTCCAGGGAAGGCAGGGGCGTGCGGCTGTTTCTGCTTGCCGGCTGTTTCTGCTTGATTCGGCAGCACAGCCACGGCAACGGCCATTGCTCGCGGTCGAGGGCGCCCAGAGGAGCGAGCGCGGTGCTCCTGGCGCGACCCGCCGATGCGCAGCGTCAAATTGGTGGCGTGTTATGTTCTGCATGCGAGTGAGGTGCTAGGCCAGCCTGGCGCGCCGGTCCATCGAGGCCCTCGAGCCCCACCGGCGCTATTGGCTGCGTTGGGAGGGATGCAGTAGCTCTCGTAGTCTGTACCTCATGCCCGAAACGAGCACCCCGGTCTTGATTGGCAGCCATCTGAAACGGACGAGGCGACTCCTGCGCGCCTGGACGCTGCCGTTACCAGCGTTTCTCTTCTTCTGCCTGCCTGCCGCCAGTCTTCTGCCCGAGTCGGGCGCTGTTCCTCTCTCTCCACTTGCATCCCCGCACGCGTCGTTCTGGGAGCCCTGGAGCATGGTCAGCGCAGCACGCATTCCTCATCCCACACCGTGAGCCTCTGTACGGCGCACCCCACGCTTTGATATCGGATTCGCGATAGCAATAGTACCCGGCCTCGACGTGTAATCGTTGCCCACCATGGGAAAGAAGTTTTCCTTCACCCTAGCCCCTATCGTGAGTTTCCTGTCGCCGCAGCCGGTGCCTCACGAGATAACTGACGATTGAGCAGAAGGTGCCTCCAAGAAATGAAAAGCCGGCAGAGCCCAGCCACGCGGAGAAGCCATCGCACGTCAGACATGCTTCGAAAGATAGTATTACCTCTGTGAACATGACGTACATCAGCCGCCAGCGCATCGACCCCAAGACCGAGCAGGAGCTTCGAGCTGCTTGCGCCCTCATCCTCCAGAACTTCAAGCCGTCCGACCACGACATCCCCGATGCAGACCCCAAGCTTGACTTCCGCGGACCACACAGGCGGAGAGAGCACAAGACAGACGACGCACAGGTCCGAGTTCACCGGCCTACCGGCGCCCCGCCCGAGCACGCGACCTCCCACAATGTGCGGAGAGGATCGCAGAAAGTGGCCACTGCGCCCAAGAGCTACCCAGACCTCCCGTTGCGGGCCAACACCGGAAAGAGGAGGGTGGAGAATACGGAGAATATCACATCAGAGGCCGAGGCTAGGCGGCCGCTCAAGTCCCCCACGACTGACGCTCCCAGGCACGTCCTTGCCCGCGCTGACACAGACACCGACGACGGCATGAGTGTTGGAACCCCGCTTACTGCGTCGACGGATACACACATGTACAGCGGCTCGACCGCCCCGACTTCGGTAGCTGTGACGCACGTGAGCTCCAAACGCACATCCCGTCAAGGCGACAATCCTGCGGCTATTGCCGACGCCCAGGCTGCCGAGTGGATGCGACAAGAACTCGAGAAGCGCCGTCAACAGCTTGCTGCCCAGCCACAGTCTCGACCGCAGACGTCAGACAAGCCTCCCAGTCGCGCCAATAGCATCAGATCGGGAATTCGCGAATACATGTTTCCTGGGTCCCGGAGCCTCAGTCGCGCGCAGTCACACGCCTCTCTGAGAAGCCAGTCTTCCGATCAGCCGAAACGCAGTGGTTCTGTTCAAGGATGGCGAAGTTGGGGACTGAATCGTTCTAGCTCTCGCAGCAGCAGCAGACCCGGCACCTCGAGCGGGCGAAAGGGACTGGCCGAGCACGAAAAGAAGAGCGAACTCAACCTCAACCGCGAGCTGCCACCCTTACCAAGCCTGGACACGTGGAAGGAGCCCGAGAGACCAAAGGAAAAGCCCAAGGCTCCAGGACAAGGCGCCCACATCGCAACTCTGATGCGAACACAGGACCAGCAGCAGCAAAGCTACGCTGCGGCTGCCCGCCAACATCACCGTAGAAGCGGGTCGGATACACTCGCGACCCGATACGCGAATGCTCCGGGACATGTTTCACCCCTTGTCAAATCACCTACCCAGCAAGCCTTCGCACAAAAAAGCACGGTCGTGGTGCCAGAAGAGCGATCGATGGACTTTGACCACATGATATCGGCCATGTCAGGTACACAATCTCTTGATGATCAACTCAAACTACGTGTCAACGGGCACACCCTGCAGCACAGTGGTCATAGCTTCCCAAGAGCGAGTGCCGACGGTCGCCTCGCCGCACCTAATTTCTCCCGCAAGATCAGCGCGGATGGACTGCAATCTGATCGCCCATTTGACGCTAATCAGGTCGCATACCCGAACGTGGTCCAGATCACGGCAACACATGCCCCCAAGGCGCCAGAGCACAAGTCGAAGCTAAGGAAAGTGTTCAGTGCATGGGCACTCAAGAAAGAAAAGAAGACTGATGAAGACTGGATGCAGCGGATTGAAAAAGGTGGCATCAAGACGGGCGTGATGATGCAGGACGAGGCAGCGCTTCCTCCCGTGGTGCGGTACTGACTATTGCTATTTCTTTTGTGGGACGCATATATTTCTTCGTCTATATTACACGGTGGCCATTCATACGCCTCGCAGGACATTAATGATTACGAGGAGACGATGTTACGACTGTCGAACCTTGTTGTACAGCGGGCCTGGCTTTTTTCTACCTTACTGTTTGGGACAAACCCACGCGCGCCTGTGGCGACGCTAATTCTTGATATCGCTACAATGGAGTAGGCGAACAATGTATAATGCAGGTCATTCTTGACTGTCACACGTATGAAACCTCGGTCCTTCCACTGTGTCGACGTTCATTTCGTAGTTGTTTCTCTAGGTTTCTGCGGTTGTAACATCGAGTTAGGACAAGACATTGCGCGATGTGACTGCGCTAGCAACCCAGTCTATAATGCACATCCCAGTGTGTAAAAGGATTCACAGGAACCGTCCGTCTTTCTAGACGAAACGTCAGTGTTTCATGTTTCGCTAAACATCAGCGAAAATAGATTGTCGACCGGCTGCGCTGCTTCCGGGGTCGGCAGGTGCGTTGGTGGTGGGCAGCTCCGAGGATGGATGCTCTTTTTCCGTGGGTCAGGTGACTGCGCGTTAACCGCGGACGAGCGCGTCTCTCACTTTGCCCCGAAGTGAGAGACGCGCCCGTTTCCCCTGCAATAGATTGTCTGCTTGTTGCTGCGATGAGAGTCGCAACGGACTTCTGAGTTTGTTTGCATGGCAAGGTCGGCTTGAAGCCGATCTGACGAGCAGTCTTGCTTTACCTACCTTCACCTGGGATACGACTTGGTTACTGTCGCTGTGTAGCGCGGGCTTGTATAGCTCTGTAACACAAAACCACTCCAACGACTCTCTGCTCACACTGCTTGGACTGCTCGGACTGCTCTTGCTTTGTATGCCTTTGGTGCCGGTGCCTACTAACTGTTTGCCCTTCACCTCGAGCCTGGCCTCGATAATTTAGACAGGTGCTAATGGAAGAGTAGCTGCGCAATTGCTAAATTGATTTCCACTCTAGATAGTGCCTTCGACATCTGATCAAATGCTTGTTTGACGGTCTGCGTTTGGACAGCGATAATAGCGCTATCTGGATCACTCCGTCGACTATGCGACCCCAGTAGCCTGGGCCCGTAAACCTTATAACCCACATTCCTCAAATCCGAACCTGGAACACAGAGGCGCCGTTGAGAGTACCGCTGCGAAAGCTTCAGCATCAACTATTACCCTGGAGGTTCGACGCATGCAGTTGCTGTTGGTCTGTCCTTACCCTAGCGATCAAGCGAGCAGAAGCAGGCAGCGAATATCGGTCTACGTCGGAGAAACGCCCGAAGAACACAAAGTGCCCTCAATTCGGTGGCTTCGCTATGTGTACGGTGATATACTATTCCTTTGATTGTGGCCACTACATCACGCGATGCCAATCCCGTTGCGGAGGAACCAAGGTCAAGGAAAGACGGGACAGCCGAAGAGCAGCTTGCACAGCCGAGGGATACGTCACGATCAAGCGCTCATTTCCCTGCAGTAAGTGCTCAAGAGAAGCCTGGTTGTCACACTGGGAAAAGCGGCTCGAGAAAGCTAGGCGATTTTACAATGAGCTTGTGAAAGAGAAATTACCTGGGGCACGGGCGGTCTCTGAACTGATCAATCAGCTCGATAAAGAGTATGAGCTGGAGGCGTGGGAGCTCAGAAACACTATCCCGCATGGTGACAGAGCAAGAATTCGAAGAGTGACTCCAGCAAAGGCGAGATGGAGCAAGCTGCCACCTTCGCCATTGAAGCGAGAAGTGCAGCCTGAAGAGATCGTACTGCCAGTCATCACCGAGCTGGTTTACAATAAGGATGACGACGATTGGGTGCCCAGCGCCGATCCGCTGCATCCCATCGACACCAACTACGAACTTGTTGATGCTGGAATCGATGACGATTACCTCAGATCTCTTCTTGGGGAAGACCCAGGAGAGGTTGCAGAGCCCGAGCAAGACAATGTAGCCCCATTTAACACAAGCTGGGACTGGAATGATGGAGTGATCGATCCCACGGATGGTGTCGAGCAACAAGGTCTACGCTTCGACAGTGCGTGCTTCACAATTGACTTAATAGACACATGCTAATGCACAAAACCTCAGATCACAGCGAGACTAGCGAAACAGCAGAGCCGAATATGAATCAGCTGATGGCATGGAATCTAACAGCCGCAGACACTGTCTCTTCTGGTGAGATAGGCCCTCATGAGCTGCGAAAGCAGGAAGATGGGCAGCAAGAGCAGATTAAGAAGGTGATCAAGGCTTTTTGGGACGTTGTCAACATCACCAATCACAATGGCCAGCCTCAATCACCTACGGAATCCACCGAAGATGTAAGCATCAACGCCGATACTTCTGACCATACAAACCCAGCGGGCCTCCAGCATCCCTGGATCGACAGTCGGTCAGATACACCAAACACATCACCGCCCATGCAACTTCAAGCGCCGCAGTCAAACCAAGACCAACACCGCCCCGTCACACCTATCCGAACCACCTCCACAAACACGAAGTACGATGTCTTTAGGAGGGCAATTCCACATTCGAAGCCATCGGTAGAGTACTACGCGCAGTGGCTTGTGGAGTGTCGCTTGGAAATCAGAGAAATGGTGGGACCTGATGGAGCGTGGGTTCCGGATCCTGCTAGTTTCAAGGCATGACTATGGCTACGATTGCAAAAGTCGTTCGTCGTGCTCGTCCGCTTCAAACACCCCATGGACGGCACAGATGCGTTGATCGAGGCCGCGACAACGCGTCCAGAGACAATACTTGGTGACACCGGCACTGCTGTGCACCCCAGGGCTGAGCCGTATGAGCAGGTATTGTCATGGGGTGGTGCTTGTGTAATGCATGGGAGTGGATGTTTTGGGGTTTGATTTAGGGTCGGAGCGTGCGCGTGAGTGGAATGTTAGAAATGCATCAGCATCTATTCCGGCTTCCTGGTCTTCTTCTCCATACTCTCCAGGGCTTGCGAGGAGTCCTCGCAAGAATGTCCACCTTCATCCGGAGAAGAGCCATAGCATTAGATATGCTGATCACGCGAGCGGTGCCGCCTATCTGACTGTGGAGAAGTCGGGCGACGGAGCAGAGCGGGCGCCATGCAGTGTTTGATGCGATTCCCGGTGTTCCAAGGAGTGACGTAGGAGAGTGCCGGCAATAACAACATTGTGTGATAGGCTTTGGGGCCGGAGGAAGGGTGATGCCGATCTTTGCTCCGCTTCTTAGGGGGATAGAGCATATTGATCCTGGGCCTTGGGGGGCTGCGCACTTGGGCTGAGTCTTCTGGGATGAGCTTCACAGTCAATCGGCGGGTCCTGGAGACTGGCCCGCCCAGGTCGCAGGGGACGAAGAACTTGTCCAAGATGACTTGGGGGCTTTGCGTATGCATTTCAATAAGGGGTAAGAGGACTAGCATGTCGACTGTACACCCATCTCTCGAAACAGAAAATGGGTTGTCTGTGATGAACAGAAGCCCTGCGCACACGGAACTAGTCCAATCGGATTTATTTTTTCCTCCCGTTTCCCTGAACGAGGAAAAGAATCTTCCATAATTCGTGGGATAAGCATCGGTGTGTTTGGGGCCGAGAGGGCCTACGCACGTACGCTGAGCTTGGACTGGAGCGGATGCAGAGCGTGCGTAGCTGACAAAGTACAGCTTTTTCTGTTTTCGCTTGAGCGGCCGAGGACGTGGGATTGACTCGTCAGTCTGGATCCTGGCGGGGCATGTTGGGTGTGTTGGAGGGGGCAATGCTGTGTTGGATGGATCGCTCGTACCGCTTGCTTACCATTATCGCAAACTGGCGACTAAAGCTTCGTTGGGCAAGTGTAGGGGTTACGCCTTAGGGTGCAACGAAGACTTTGTGATGTGCTGTGGAAGCGGCGAGGCTGGGAGGTCGCACTCGACCTATGCGTTCTATTACGAACGGGAACTAGAGCTCGTGATATTATAGATTTGCACCATCTTGAATCGCAATGTGTTAGGTGCGGAGTCCACTGGTGTACGGTGTGCGGTCGTCTGAGTGAATCTCTTACTCTCATGACGTAGTGGCGCAGTGAACCTAATCGATGGCACCACATGCCTTTCAGCTCGTCGTCAGTGCTTCTAACATCCGTAATTGCACAGCTTAAGCTCTCCGCCCAGGATCCTGCCCGCCTAAATAACCTTAAACGCTTATTCGTCGCGTCGCTTGTCATTGGTCGAGGCGTCCGACGTCCGGCCCCCATATGCTGCGGCCTTCCGTCTAGCGCACTCGTATTCGGGCGCGAAACACCTCCATGAAACAAAAAGCTGCTTTAGGCGTGCCTGCATACACTGAAAAGACTTGCTCATTTCACATCTAAGGCTCGGATTATTAGATATTGTGTCGATCATTGTGAAATGATTGGTTCAGAAACTGATCTACATACGTTTGGTAGAAGGCCAGTCTGACGATCCGCGCCTTGTTAAGGTATTCCTGCGCTTGTAACTGCGGACTTCGCTTCGCAAAGCTTTGCTCCCCCCGCAACAAGGCCTCGTGAAATTTCCCTCGAGTCCACGGGGCGGCGGAGTGGGAAGGATCTTGCGAGAAGCGTGCATGTCACTGCCATGATCTCCACGGGGTGTCTAATAGTAGAAGAGACTACGGAGTGGAAACATTGTTTCATCCTATGCTCAGACAACGGAGAAGAGGTATATAGATATTCGTGCGAGTCCGCTATCTACCTTCACAGCATCAAGGTTCCGATTCACTGTACTACTCAGCTACTTTTTGATACTTCCGTTGTTCTTCGTTTGTGTCCAACATGGTTCGATTTATTTCTGCTGCTGGTGTCGCGCTGGCGTTGGCGACCAGCACCCGCGCTCATACTCTTCCCCTGTCCCATGGCATGTCGCAATTGAGCCAGCGGGATCTGGCCAAGACAGCGCTCCTGGACAACTTCGATGCCCTCACCGCAGACCCTTCCCGCATCCCGCCGATAGTAAAAGGCTCCGCAACCAAGTGGGATGCTGGACGGTACCCTCAGAACTGCTACGACAAAGCGCGAGAAGCCATCAGTGACACCGATGCGCGCCCCAAATGCCAACTCCAAGATCTGGAGATCTACGACGTCACGTATGAGGACTGCCCGTCCGGCCGTGATCCCTGGATTCTGTGCCGCTGCTCAAACGCCGAGCTCAGCCTGCAAGACACTATCGACGGCATGGGCACTGTGCCGCCCGGAGCACGCAGCAATGTTCTTCATATCGTGACAATGAACGGCTTTGGTGGTGGTGGTGGCTACTCGGATGGGAACAGCATCTTCTGCGGCGGCGCGCCCAGCAAGACATGGTTCAGCCACGAGTCGATGCACTGCAACGACCGCGACGGCTTCGCCTTTTCCAACGGTGACGTCTTTAACAACGCCATCAACGCGGATTCCTGCGTTCCCGATAGCTACGCGAACAACAACCCGACCGAGGACTTTGCACAGGTCGGGACGTATCTCAACTACGACATCAATGGGCATCCGATTGACTACACAGGCAAGGATGCGAGCTGCATGGGCAACCAATTGAACGCCGCGAGGGCCTACCTTGCGGAGCGCCTCGATAAGGGCGGCGCGTGCTTCAATGCGCCGGGAACTGATGGGACTGTCAATGGGAAGAGGAGTATGAGTATCGTGGAGAGGGATCCGAACTCTGCATATGAGACGTTGCTACCGCACACGCCTTATGCTCACGCCGAGTTCTTCTAGGCAGGATGCGGTTTTCGGGGTGTGATGTATGAATGATGTCGTTCTCTTCTTGTCGTTTAGATACCACTTTGCTATAGATTTTGCTCTTGAATTAATTGAGAGTGTCCATGTTGCGCTGCACGATTGACATGCTGTGAAGCGTTGACGGATGTGTCCCGTACAGTGAGAGATACATACTACTTGTCTACTATAAGTTTGCATCGCTGATAAGATCAAGTATGTATTGTTGTAGAGCCGCTTTTGCGCTCTTCACTATGGTCTATTTAGATCGATTCTTTGTGGTTTCAGCTTCTTAATGTAGAATTCTTATGTAGTCACATACCACAACACATCTTTTGCTAGATGATGGCACAGGGATTGAGGTGCTGGGAAACGGACTATTCGGTGCAATTGAGGAGGAGTGAGGTCTTGCCACGCAAGCGCTCCCGTCGGAGACAGCGGACTCTAGCCTAATCAAGTTAGTATAGCTTGACTCACGCCTACGGGTATTCCTCCGCGAAAACACTAAGCGCTGCTTCGATGAACCATTGAACACCCAATCTGACACCCAATCTGCGAACCTCGAACGATCCCAAATTCTAGCCCACGAGCACGCGTAATGTCGCTTGTCAACTGCATCATGCACCATGCACACCGGAACCTGCCGATTTGTGGATTTAGCAGACGCACAGAGGCATTTTCCTAACCAACTCAGAACAACCATGCACGCCAAAGGTTCGGCTCGGCCTCTCATGGGCTCCGGTGCCGTTTTCTGGAGACTAGATCCTTGTACGGAGCCTCCTCCGTAACTACATACAGGTGTATGCTAGTCCCGATAAATGCCATTGCGGCCCCGCAGCAGACTGGGGGAAGGTGGACCGAACCGCAACGTCGCGATGACCACGTTATCGCTGCAAGTACGCGAGTCCGTCTCACCGCATTAGGTTTCTGGCGGGCCATCCCAGACCTGCTCACAGCTCTGACCTTGCTTTTAGTGCTCATGCTGCCAGCCATCACATAACATGCAGGTGTCTCAACATGCGTATCGATGGGTGATACACCAGTCTTCCACTGTCGTTCGGGGGTATGGCGCCCGTCAAAGACGAACACTTCTTGCCCGAGATATGGGCATTGTTTACGCTGGGATCGCTATGGGTAGTGATGCGGTTCGCCGTGCGAATTCGGACCTTCGGACTCTATGGCCTGGGAATCGACGACGGGTTCGCCTTCATCGCACTGTTCTGCTGGGCTGTCATCATCGCAGGAATAAATTGCACCTACTACACAGCGACCAACATTGACTACAAGCCAGATGAAGTGTGGGCCTTGACTCCCGAGCAGGTGAAGGGCGCAGAATGGGGGTCTAAGTTCTACATCATCACGCTATACGCGTAGTATGTATCAACCGCTGTGCACGATTATTGGGTACACTGGCTGAACATTTCCCAGCATCGTCATGGTCTTCAGTCTCAAAGCCATTGTCATCATCCTATACCAGCGCCTCGCGTTCGGATCATGGCAGAAGAAGCTGCTCAAGTTCACCATCATACTGTGCGTATGCGGTTCCGTTGCGACGACGCTCATGCTCAGTTTGATGTGTTTGCCATACTCGCGGAGATTCCGTGTACAGCCGCTGCCAGACGACAAGTGCACTGCTTCGCCGTCCTTCTTCGTTGTGCTGAGCTGCTTCAACGCAACGACGGACGCGTTTCTTCTCGCTATACCGGTTCCTCTTCTATGGACCCTCCGGATGCCTTTGCACAGGCGACTGTTGGTCTTCGCCTTGCTATCATCTGGTATATTTGTCATGGCTGCGTGCATCACTCGCGTCTCGCTGACGGTCAGTCTAACCCTTCCAGCACGACCCTCTGAACTCAATGCTGACAGCTACACAGGTCGTTCCCAATATCACAGTCCGCATTATCGCACGTTGGGGCGCACGTGAGCTTTCCATCGCACTGGTTGCTGTCAACTCCGCCAGTCTCCGTCCAAGTAAGCCACCCACTGTGCACCTACGAGTTAACCCTCTAATTCAGTCTGCAGTGTTCCGTAAATCCTTCTGGCATCGTCACAAGCCTATTCTCCCCCGAGGCCATCCCCGTCAAAAGCGCAACGTATACACCTTCGCCTCTGCGCACCGTATAAGCCAGGCACTAAAACGAGGACACTATCGCGACCACGATCTGAACTCCACCTCCGTCGGCCAGTCTACGCTCCAACGGTTCGCACAGTCGCAAGCCAGCACCATGTTCGAAGGCCCAGAAGAGATCCCCGCACGTCCGCAGCCCTCCTTCCAACCGCACTCTTCGCGACGACGCCGCTTGTTCAATTCAATAAGCAGTCTCGGCAGTAATGTTATCAGCAATGTCGTGCGGAGCCGACTCGTGTCTCGTACCGTTCCTAGCCAGGGCGCAGATCCGACGGACGTTGGCACGGAGAGTAGAAAAGATGCGGAGAAATGGGCGGCCGACTTGGAAAAAGGGAAGAGGGCGAATGAGATGGTGCGGAGTGTGACAGCGAACAGCCCGTTCCCAGGATTCTCGCATAGGAATTCTGGACTGGGTGTGCTGCCCAGTGCTACCACCACCATGCAGAGCGCTTCTCCTGGCAAGTCACCCTGAGTGAATCTGTGCTGCTGAGTACCTGAAGTATAAAATGGAATTGGGCGTACTGTTTCCGTAATGCTAGCGTCAAAGAGCCGAACTCGAGAGCTACGGGGTGGCCGGTAATTTGTCTATAAGATGGAGGAGCATCTATCATGGTCGAGAGGTAGTCAAAGAGGTGCAATGCTCCCCGAAAGGATCAACTAATAGAGTCGAGACCGAGCAGATCAGCTCTGGCTTGTACGGGACCAAATTGTCCCCCGGTGGAGAAGGAGGTCGCGCGCACGACTTCCGCTCGACGGATGCGGGTAAAAGTAAGTCTCAATACGTTCCGCTGGCAGGTCATGATTCTAGTCAGAAAGTTGGGTAGTCCCAAGGGCTTGTAATAGATCTCAGTGAGAAGTCAGCGAGAAAGCCACTAATGCACCTTGGGGGCTGCCTGGTAGTGAGGGATGGTGTTCAGTCTACATCCTGAATGCGTGGTCATCGCGGAAGTTTCCACTCCCACCTCGTATCAACGAACTGACAGGCGTGGGTCATCCTGCAGTACTTGTAGTATTTAGTCTTCAAATAAAAGCATACGAACTTCCTGCAATAAAATCGATGACAAGACAAACTACGTCGTGATAAAAGCCGTCGTTGAGGCGTTGGTGATACTTGTGTTGTTGAGGGCACATGATTGAGAGCGACGTCATTCACTTTCACTAATCGCCTTTGGCCGGGAAGGTACGACGGCCCCCACCGCCGAGCCATGCTTTTGTCACGAACAAACGCAAACAATTCCAGTTTCGTCGGCCATTCTTCAGACACAACCACAAACTTGACCTGTTCGGAAAACTTGGAGACGAATTTGTGTACAGGGAACGGGTGCACAGAGCCTGAACAGCAGACGGCTCCTCTAGCAGAAGGTGAGGTTGTAGCACTTAGTATCACTATAGCACACCAGCGTTCCGTCGTAAAGAGTCTTTATACGTACTCGCAAACAATCACAAGTCGAAAATGGAGAGCACACGATTGCCAATCCAAAGGCTCGCTCAAACATTGTCCAAGCCTGATTCAATTCGAAATGGAAATACAAATTCTGCACAACGGATAGAATATCTGAATAAGGCTTAGCTCATGAAGGAGTAATGTGTAGGAGAAATTGGAAAGGGTAGTGCGGTCGCTCTCTGCGAAGATATCATACCTACTAGCGTGAGTAGGGTGTCGTCATCTTAGACTCCCCAAAACGCAAACGCTATGGCACACCTTAGAAGAATCCCAAGACGGAGTTTCACAAGTTCAATGTGGTCATATTCCTGGACCACCGCGCTACGGTATCGGTACCGTAGTGCGGGCGGGGTAGCCACCCCAGCTCACAACATATTTCCAATACCGAGTGCGCTTATCTCCGGCAATATTATATTTCTCCCATTTCTTGAACCGCAACCTGCGCACGTCAACGTAGGCCTTCATTATCCAGTACCACGATACCCCAACCATGGTCGAAGTCCGCACCTACGCACTGAAACCCACCTCCCTCATCCCTAACTCTCCACACGTCCTCATCCATTACCCCGGACTCTTCTTGGAAAAGGTATCTAAACCTGATTTCAATTGCACACAACTCTATGATCTCTACAAGTCGAATGGCTGGGAGTCGCAATGGGTCGCGCGCTACGGACCTACACAGACCTCGCACTATCACTCTGGCGCCCACGAGGCTATGACGGTGATTTCAGGCGAAGGCGCAACGATCCGGTTCGGTGTCGCGGATACCTCCGACGACGCAGAGGCGCACACTCACGGAAACGGCCACGAAGACGGCGGAATATGGATCGAAGCGAAGAAAGGCGATGTTTTCATTCTTCCCGCAGGGGTTGCGCACAAGACATACGATCCGCGGCCTGGGCCGGTGGAGTTTGCATTCTTCCAGTGTAAGGATGAGAACGGGAATGTCATTCGGGATGAGCAGAATGCAAGAGCGTTTTTCGAGGGCATCACGATTGGGAAGAATTTCCAGATGATGGGAAGTTATCCATTTGGAAATGAGTGGGATTTCGCTGTTGGTGGAGACCACAAGGGGAGGGAGAGGTTGGTGTGGGATGTGCCCGTGCCGGAGAGGGATCCGGTGTTGGGGACGAGGAGGGAGGGGATGTGTGGGTTGTGGCACCAGCGTTCGGCAATAAGTAAGCTTTGAGATGGGCACTGGTCAAGTAAGCGTCCTCAAGAATTGGCTGCCCGCACGTGTTGCTGATGGTGGTCTGTGGGCCTGATAGTGGTGAGGCTCGGTAAGAATTGGCTGACGTTCGATGGTCACACTTCACTGGCTGACGGCCCACTTATCGTAAGGTCACTGGCTAGGCTATATGGGTCCAAAAAGAGGGCAGAAGAGCTATTCCATATGTAAAATTTACCTCAGAGACAGTATTTTGGTGTAGTCTGAACAAATCATATTATATGTACCCATGAGGGACTGTGTCAGCTCCTTCGGATGCTCCGCGAAAGCGGTACTTCACAGTCCTGCACTTGGCCTGGAAACCTCTCTAAGTATTACTCGCAAATTTCGAAGGCTCGATTTCAATATGAGCTGGGGCTGATGCTCACAGCTCTTGATGGCGTACCAATGAAGAATATCTATCGCCTTCCAAGATTCCGTCATCGTAGGCTGCCCTAAATGATGTGAGCCTCAGCTCGCTGATACAAGCCACAAGAGGCACAGCTCGCTACTACAATCACGAGCAGCGCCGCCGCCTGAGCTCATCATCGAGCCAAGAGTATGCCCTAGACCTACGAGCTCATTGCCCACACAAGCCCGATCCTGGGTACTTATAGGAAGTCCGAGAAGGCTTTTTCTGATACAAGAAATCCATCAGCCTTTTTTCTTCTGTTGACTTGAGCCTCGAGCATTTTCTCCTGAGTCATTTGTTCGTTTACTTCATATTCATCTTCCGTTAGAAATGACCGTCGAAAAACAGGATACGATGCGCGCTGTTGTTTGGGAGGGGAAACCGTTCCATATGACCGTGAAAGATGTGCCTCGCCCACGTCTGGTCGAAAAGGAAGATGTGATCGTTCGTATTACTACATCCGCCATTTGTACGTATATTCCACTTGCACCCAACATTTGCCGCAAGGACGAGTATCTCAGTCCGTCAAGTACCTTCTAAATGACGAAGATAATAACATCCTCGGAGATCTTGAAGATCACTTGGCCGGCATTCTGGAGCGCTTCTCAGAACTGCGCTGATGTCTACCTTGACAGGTGGGTCCGATCTCCACATATACCATGGAATTCTTGGAAGCAACAAGCCCGGCTGGATAATGGGCCACGAAGCAGTTGGCATTGTCGTAGAGAAAGGAAAAGACGTGAAACACTTGAAGATTGGCGATCGCGTGATCGTTCCCGACAGCCCTGATGACGGCGTCTTGAACATCGAGCCTAGGGTGCCACCTTTCATTTTCTACGGCGCCGGCGACGATTTCGGCCATGATGGTGGGTGCCAAGGTAAGTTATACGAAACAAACGGTGACTTCTCAACGACTGCGCGCTGACGTTGTATTCTTTCAAGCGGAATTCGTGCGAGTTCCTGAGGCCGACAACTCTTGCATTCCAATCCCAGAAGGCCAGTCCAGCGACATTGACTTCCTCTTTTTGAGCGACATCTTTGCTACTGGCTGGACCGGGCTGGACTTCAGCGGTTTTCAACCGGGTGACACTGTCGCGGTCTTTGGTGCTGGTCCGATGGGCCTTCTGTGTGCGTATTCGGCGTTGCTTCGCGGTGCTTCTAAAGTGTACTCCATCGATCATGTCGAAGCACGGCTCGAAAAGGCGGCGAGCATCGGCGCAATTCCAATCAACTTCACGAACCATCCAGCTTCGGAGCAGATTTCACTTCTCGAGCCGAACGGTGTCATTCGCTCCGTCGACTGCTGTGGATATGAGTGTATAAACGCTGACCTGAAACCACAACATAATTTCATCATTGAGGAGGCATCCAAGATCACAGCCGCTGGCGGCGGTTTCGGTATTCCGGGAGTGTACATGGCTCAAGCTTCAACCCAGGGAGCTCCACTCGCAGGGAAGGTCAATCCGGATATCACTTTTCCGATTTCTGCCTTCTGGACGAAAGGCATCCGGATTCAAGGTGGCGCAGTAGATCCAAAAATGGTTGCCCCAATGCTCGTGGAGCTAGTCAAGAGCGGAAGGGCAAAGCCAGGATTTATCGTGAGCGCTGAAGTCGGAATTGAGGAGGCGCCTAGAATGTACGAGAAGTTTGACAAGCATTTGGAGACGAAGGTGATAATTCGTTTTCCCTGGGAAGAAGAGGAGCTCAAGTTGGGTCCGGCAAAAACAAAGTGAGTTTACCCTGTTATACTCCTTGTATTTCGTTATCCGATTTACTGACCTGTGTGTGTAGCCACGATGGCACATCCAAATCTGCGGATACCAAGTAGGTCCTCCCATCTTCGTTGAATGCAGAACTTGAGCTGACGATGTTGGTAAAGTGATGGCCGGCCTCACAAACGCACGAGGAGATCTTGAGAGGGCAGCTGGCTAATTCCACAGGGCTACGTCGTACAAATGTGGTCTGTGATTTGTCTCATCGGATTTGTTCATTGTAGACCATAGCCTCCAGTCGATTTTGAGCCGCGATGGACTGCTCGTGCATTGGACATTGTTGGGTCCATGCATAGCCTCTCTCGACCGTACAGTATGCTATTGAACAATGCACATGTAAACCAAGGTTCTGCAGTCATGCAGTTTGTCGTTTCGTCAGTCGACTCATCGAGCCATCCATTACTGCACGGGTACTGTACCCAATATTGTGTATGCAGGCGCATTCGCAAGACTTAGCCGAATCGAGACGTGGATATGAGCAGCGGGACTAGCTCCAATGGTCACATACCACGCGATATAATAGGAGGAGCGAGCTGAGCATCAATCCTCGGTAATGATTCACAATCGGACATGCTGGGCATGCGGCCTCGAATTGGTATCAGCGCAACACTAGATCCGAAAGCTACTGTGTAATTGAGAGCTATCATCCTGAATCCAGGCCATTAGCTCTTGGTGCACATTGCCGCTGTCAGTTGCAAAAGCCTGCCGGTCCTGCGAGACGTCAAAGTGAGTATCGTGGAATAGACTTGATGATGCGCTTGTAGGATCTGCAGGATAATTCTGTTGCGCTGAACACGATCCAGCCAAGAATCGCTCAATCAGTATCTTCAGGTCGTTCAGAACTTGCAGACAGTCCCGTTCGTAGTTAGTCCCTATGCGAGACTGTCGGGCGAAGACGTCGATGGCAAAGTCAATCTCTTTTGAAGGGGCCAAGTCGTTACGCAGGACGCGGTTGAGGAGAAGGATGACGGCCGCATTGAATACGAAATGCAATCCCGCTTGAAGGAGTCGCCTCGTGTGGTACAGCTGCATGACCCACTGCGCCAGGTGTATGTTGCGATGTGCAGCTTTCGAGCATGCATCTATGTGGTTGAATTGTGATTGCTGCTCGAGTTTACTGCAAGCGTTCATGTACCGCTCTGCTACGGAACGCTTCACCGCCGTAAGCAGAACCGGGCGGGTGGTGATCAGAATGAGCTGTAAACCACGTCAGCGAGACTCAGAGGTCTAGGTCGAGTCTTTTTAATAGCGGCGCCAATATCGACCTCCGTATAGTCGATAAGGGCAAGGCGAAAGGAAAACAAGTCCTACCTGATTGTGTGCCATATGTAGGATGCAACATGCAGCGTCCGCACTTGGCTGGTCCGAAGGCATCTGTAGCGAAGCCGGCAGGTGCTTTAGCCAATCATGCAGCATCCTCAGTGGCCTGTCAACATCAGGAGCTGCTGGGTTTGTGTCCTGTTGCTTTGGTGCGATCTTGTAGGTCTCGCAGACTATGTATCCTGAGATACGTGCGAGCTGTACGTGAGCACGAAGACCGGCCGAAGGTGGCATATTGCTGTATCGATTAGCCAGAGTCAGAATGGCAAAGGCCATGCTTACGGTGCATCGAGTGGTAAAGGAAGTCGAATGGCTTCATCAGCGAGTGTCGGCGGCCGACCCATGAGGCAGCTAAGCCATCGATCGAGAACAAAGACACTCCAAAAAACCCGTCTACTGGCCTCGTCTACGCAATGTCTGGCTGCTCCATGGGTAACGGCTATGTGCATGGCTAAGCTCGTGTATACGTAGGCAGCATCGCGGCGATTAATCTCAATCAAATAGAAGGCCATCAAAGCAAGTACAGGAACATCTCTCAATGTGAACCGCACGGTGTCGAGAGGGTTGCCGATGAGTATCCTGGCTCTTTTGAAGTAAGCATCTCCAGCATGTATTTCACCCTGGTGCAGCGACTGGTTCAAAATCTGAGCTGCAAGGGCGAATGAGACATGGTTGAAGGCAAGGTAGCGATATCGGTCTGAAGTCGCAGCTTCTGACTGGGATATCGTCAAAGTGATGGCTTCAGGCATAGAGCTAAGGTCGCCCCAGTAGAAGATGCCTCCGGAAGGGAAATCTCCATTGCCATCTTGGATATGATATCGCAGCTCAGCCAGCATCATGATCATTTCTGTGCGCGTGGGCAGCCAAAATGGATCTACGTCAAGATCGAGGAGTGGTCGCGAGTCAAAAGTCTGATATCGCCCGATAGAGGCAACGAACGTCGATCCATCTTCAGGAATAGCCGGATCGGGATCTGATACAAAAGCTAACGGCACAAGCGTCAACATGAACGCCTTGAGGAGGTCAAGGAAAGTCGCGCCAGATGTTTCCCCCAAGAACCGCATATTACCATCGGGGTCGAATAACATACGGCCTTCAGTTGTCTCTGAATCATCGACTGCAGAGGATCCCGAGTATACCGAGGCTGCAGGAGGCGTGTCTGCGTATTCCACACTGTGGAGCAAACTATCCCTGGCTGATTTTTCTGGAAGCACTGCCTGGAGGCATTTTTCCAATTGATCACACTTCTTGCGGAGACGGTCTAGCTCCTCTTTCAAAGAAGCTCCTTTCAGCGGCTCCTCGGCAGGATAAATGCATTCTCTCGAGCACGCTCGACATTGCTGGCAAGGCTGGTCGCCTGGGATAGATGCAAGGTCAGGGCACAGTCTCCACGCGAGGGCCGGACTTACCCGAGCATTTCACGCGGCGTACATTACAGCTGTTGCACCTATGAGAGAGTCAGAGCCGATGATACCACCCGATTGAGATATACGAAGTATCTTACGCCCGAGCCACGCGCTTCCTATTCTCTGGAGCAACTTTCCGGCGGCGCGGGTTCACGGGTAGGCGCTGTGTGCGAGGGTTATCGTCCTGCATCGTGAGGTGGCAGACCGGAAGCGTGTCCCGCTAATAACATGACGTGTGATGTGAGCGGTGGTGTGGGATTGTGGGACTGTTTGGAATCCAAGTGCCTGGGGCATCCCGCAGAAGATTAGCGCGACGGGTACGTCACCCGCTCAGGGTTTTGGAGCTAAATATACAATGCGAGATCACGTGTGGTATACGACCCTGATGTCCCAACACGATGGAGATGATGTCGTGCGGCATTGTCCCAGAGCTTCTTGATCGATCAAATCGAGCTTGATGACAATTCATCACCATGGGAGACACCATGCCTGAATCCGACTCTCAGAAAGGCAGTGACGCCTTTCGCGACTTCTCCAAGCCTGCTACATTCGACCTTCGAAGACAAAAGCCTGACAAGACCGTCGACATTGGACTGGATGGCGTCTCACTTTCTCTTGATGCCTGTGGGAGGGTATGCATGCTGTTCGCCGCTCAGCCGCACTTCTAAAGGACCAATAGATTTTGCAAGCCAGCACCTTCCACCCCAAGCACGGCATTACCGTTGCAGCTCCTTTCGGGCAATTTGATGGCACCAAGTTCCACGACCCGGAGTATGTCCGCAAATACAGGAAGAGTATGTTACAGTGGATACAAGGAGACAGGCCTGGATTAGGACTCAGCTTTCGGTCCAATCCCTCTCATGTTTCTATCAACATCCCGAATGCTAATGTCGCAACTTTTCAATTCACCCTAGAAGATGACGTTCAGGTGTCACTCCAAGTCGACATTCTCGAAGGCGGTGACATCTTTCAAAGAACAACTATAACAAATCACAGAACTAGTGCATACACACTGGCATGCGACGTGAACCTCTGCGTGAGCCTCAACCGCGCATCCTACGGACAACTCACGGAAGGCGGACCAATTGCACTCCCTAAGTCTCGAAATACCTTCTCGCTTACGCGTCAGGACTTTGTGAAAATAACCAATGCAGAGCTCGGTGCTCAGCTGACGGGCGAAATGGGCCGCGTAATTGAACTGGATGGAGATCTCGTTAGCGTGGAGTGGCCTTCGAGCGATCAAGAAGCTATCGATGCTCCACTTGATCTGAACATCCCATTTCAATTCCGTCTCAAACCCAGCGGCCGGGTCTCCATTGAAAACAGGTTCCGCCTGAGAGCGATTGTAGACGCCAATCAAATCCCATCTTACAGCTTCGATGAAACATGGGGAAAAACCCTTGATCCAGAAAGCGACTGTCTGAGGCAGAGCTATGATCAAACGGCTTGTCAAAAGTATTCATGGCTACATCCATCCACCGTAACAACCTACATCCTTCGCCGTAATGTCGAGTACATCCTCGCGAACTGCACCATCCCCGTGGGCTCGACAACCACGTGTATCATAACCGACCACGTCGCTCTTCCGCTCGGTTGGAACAGAGATAACTACTGGCAACTCCGTCTCCTCTACAGCACACACAACCATGCCCCCCTCCTCCTTCACTCCTCCAGCATCCCATCCTACACCTCCCATATCCTCAAGATCGCAAAAGGCCACCTAACCTGGGTCTTCCGCACCGCCCAACGCCCCAACACCTATTGGCACCGTTCCTACCTCGTGACAGGTACACCGAAAGACGCGGCGGTCTTCCAGCTCGACCAGCAGTGCTACCCCCTCCTCGAGTTGTGCGACTTCGCAGACACGTTCGCCTCGGAGGCGGCCTTCGCGCGGGAAATCCTGGAATTCGGGGTGGTGGAAGAGATTATTGAGCTGCTGCGGGAAAAGAGAGATATGGAGACGGGTCTCTGGCCAACCGACGAAACGCCCGCCGACGACGCAGTCACGCACCCGTTCCACTTCAGCTCGCACGTGCTTCTGTGGCGCACGCTCACGCGCCTGGCACACCTTTACACGCTCTTATACAGCGCATCCCACCCCTGCATATCCCCTCTCACAGTCCTGGCAGACGCCCTGCGCACCGCCACACTCGCGCACTTCACCATCCCCTACCCCCATGCCGGGGAGGGGGAGAGCATGTTCGCATACCTCACAGACGGAAAGGGAAACCACACCCTCTACCACGACGCAAACGACCTCCCCACCCTCTTCGCCCTCCCCTGGTCCTTCCTCTCCACCCCCTCGCAACACGCAGCCTACCACGCCACCCTCTCTTTCGCCTTCTCGCCCGCCAACAGCGCCGGCTACGTGGTCGACCAACCCTATCCCGGGCTCGGCAGCGTGCATTCGCCCGGCGCGTGGGTGCTAGGCTACTTCCAAGAAGCCGCGTATGCGGCGATGGTGGGAAATGACGTGGGGTTGAAGAGGGCGTGGGCGAAGGTGAAGGCGGCGATGCAGTGGGATGGGACGTTTGGGGAGGCGGTGGATGCGCGGACCGGGAGGGTAACGAGTAAGGCGTGGTTTAGCTGGCCGGGAGCTATGGTTGGAGCATTGGTGGTTCAATTGCGGGCGGAGGCAAGGGAGGGGGTGCTGTTGGGCGAGGGATTGTGAAGGGGGTTGGTGGGTGGCTAGGACCTGAATAGACTGTGTAAGTGGGAACGGAAACATGGTTTGGCAACGTCATACAGCAAGTCATCAAGTGGCGCGATACAAGAAAAGTGGTTCGGTCGGATCATTGCGGTACGGATGTCAAGGTGTATCGAATGTTGGTTCTATTCAACGGGGTATCTCCAAATATAATCATGGCTGCATAGACAAGCCGAGAAGGGTGCTATGCTAGCGGCCAGGACGGTTCAACAAGGCAGCTTGTCCCGGCAGAGTCAAGCGCCGGAAGTGATCGTCGTCTTCGTCGCCACTGAAAGCATCGTCGTTCAGGTCATACTCCTCGTCATCCGAGCCATGGCGATACTTGCGCTGGTACGGATCGCGATCGAACTCGTCGTCTGAGCTGAGCTCGTCCTCTGGGTAGTCGTTGGCATAGTAGTCCTCTGCGTTCTCGTCGTCCTCGTCGGTATCAAATTCCTTGTCGCTCTCGTCCTCGCCGTTCCACCAGTCCTCGTCCTCCTCTTTCAAGATGATGTACCCGACAATGCCCTCGTGCTCAGCGATATTGCCGTCCGAATCGGACATGAGCTCCTCACGCACATATGTGTCAATCACGTACTCGTCTATATCCATGGCATCTGGGTCCTGCACTGCGAGCGCGGCTTTCCTGGGGCGGCGGGCAGGCCCGGTGGGAAGATACTTGACGGGACTGGGTGCGGGTTTCGCCTGCGCCAGCTCTTCCTGCTCGAGCTCCTCGGCCAGCTTCTCAAAGTGCTTGACGTGCTCGTCTGAAGGATTGGCGTCGTCCTCGGATTGCGCGGCGTAGGCAGGATTTATGCGCACAGCGGCTGCAGCGCCTGGACGCTTCCGGGGGCGCGGAGTGGCTGGCGTGGCGCGGGCTGCATCTCGTGGCTCGGCAGCGTCTGCTATACTGGGGACACTCGGGGTCTCGCCAGCGGTTGCGGGTACGGTGTCAGGCAGGTCGGGGGCTTCGACGAGGACGCGCTGCCCCGCGGACAGCGACACGTGAAAGCGTCGGTTCTGCTGGGGTGTGGGCGATGGCAAGGCAGCCGGCACATGCTCGCCGGGCTTCTGGAGCAGGCGCCAGGTGAATCTGGGCGCGCTCTTCTGGCGTTTGACTGTGCGGTCCCGATCGGCATCGACGACGAGGTGGTGGACGGGAGCGTCGTTGCGCTTGCGCTTGACGGACAGCGTCTGGGGCGGTTGCGGAGCCATGGCGCCTGGCAAGGACAAGCTTGCTCTGCTCGCGGGGTTGGAAGCGGGAGGGAGCGGCTGGGTTGCGAACAGTGATGCGCATTGTTTGGCGGGGTGACGCTGTGGAGCAAGGACGGCCAAGGCCCCCACGTGCACCGCCACTCAACGCGCGACAGCGGACTCCCGGCGCCGCGAGTGAAGCCATCCAGACACGGCAGTCATCTGGTCTCTGAGCAGCCCCAGAGTCTTGACGAGTGACCGGCAACATGGCTGCCTGCTGATCCGCCTCTTGCACCGTGCCTTCCGTCGTCTTCGTTCGCTCCTTCCTTCCCACACTCGTCGCCTTCGACGCGACCCATCCTCGGAATCAGCCCACAGCGCACGCGTCTCACCATGGGGCTCATCCAGCGTCTGCTCCGCAGAGAGGAGCCTGAGCAGTCCTACGCGCCTCTCGAGGGCGGTTCCGAGCGCCCCGATGGAGAGCGGATAGAGGACCTGGAGCAACGCGCGTACTCGAGGACCGACTACTATGTCTTCCTGCTGCTCGGCGTTGCTATGCTCTGGGCATGGTGTGCCCACCTCTCGTTGACCGCCTGCAGCATCCACCTGCTAACACTGCATAGGAACATGTTCCTCGCTGCCGCCCCATACTTCCAGCGACGCTTCGATTCCGACGAGCGCCTGCTGCGCAACTTCCAGTCCGCCGAGCTCGCCGTATCGACTGCAGGCAGTCTGGGCTCCATGATAGTCCTCACCAAGCTGCAGGCGAATGCCTCCTACCCGAAACGCATAACCTCGTCCCTCATCCTCAACATTGCCGTCTTCACCCTACTGGCAATATCCACTCGCGCGTTCTTGGACGTCTCTGCCGGCGCCTACTTTGCTTTCCTCATGCTCGTAGTCTTCAGCGCCAGTCTAGCTACCGCGCTGTGCCAGAACGGCGTCTTCGCCTACGTAGCAAGCTTTGGGAGAGAGGAGTACACCCAGGGTATCATGACAGGCCAGGGAATCGCTGGTGTGCTGCCCTGCATAGCCCAGATCGTGTCTGTTCTTTCGGTCCCACCGAAGCAGACCCAGGAAGGTGCGCCTCAGGAGTCCAGCAAATCCGCCTTCATCTACTTCCTCACGGCAACAGTCATCTCTGCCCTCACTCTGGTCGCTTTCGTGTACCTTTTGTCCAAACCGCGCTCCCGCGAACAGCTCAGTCCGACCTTGGACGACGAAGAGGTAGACCCTGGCCACCGACCTGTCACGCGCAAGTCGATCCCCATGATGAGGCTACTCGGGAAGTTGCACTGGCTTGCTGGCGCCGTTTTTCTCACCTTCGCCATTACCATGTTCTACCCAGTCTTCACTCAGAAGATCCTGAGCGTGCGCGATCCTGCGACCTCGTCTCGCCTCTTCCAGCCCGCCGTCTTCATCCCGTTGGGCTTCCTCTTCTGGAACATCGGCGACCTGATTGGCCGTGTCATCCCGGGCATTCCAGGCCTGACCCTGACGGCGCGCCCCCGGTTGTTGTTTACCTTGGCTGTAGGTCGCCTTGCATTTATACCCGTGTATCTGCTCTGCAACATCGGCGGCAAAGGCGCGGTGATTGGCTCCGACTTTTTCTATCTGTTCATTCTGCAAGTACTGTTCGGGATCTCGAACGGATACATTGGTAGCAACTGCATGATGGGGTTCGTAGAGTGGGTAGATCCTGAAGAGCGCGAGGCTGCCGGCGGCTTCATGTCGCTGTGCCTGGTGGCCGGACTGACGGCCGGTAGCTTCCTGAGCTTCTTCGCAGCCAGTGCTTGAGGGCAAGATCATTCTATTGCACAGTTGAAAATTGGATTCGCCAAGTGACCTTCTGCACACTCCCATGTTGTGCAAGGTACCCTTTCAACCTCTCCACAAACAGCAATGCCACACCACGCGCCCCCCGCACACATTACCTCGACCCAAACGCCCATACAAAAAGGCATTTTCACCACCCCCTCTTTCATCACCTCTCCTGCACATCTACAGCACAGTCGAACCCAGGGCTAGCACCCAAAATGACACCCCTCTACCTCGTCATCAAAACCCAAACCACTCACGACGCCAAACCGAACTACGCCGCGACCTCGCTCGTCCCCTCAGGCCTCCCCTTCCCGGCCGCCCACACACCCTCCCCCTTCAACCCCATTCGCAGCCACCACATCGCGCGCAACATCCCGCACACCACCGCCGACGTGACGGAGAACTACGACGTCCGCATCTCCTGGGAGCATGACACCTCCGCCTGCGTGTCCGTCGTTGCGTCCAGCAACGACAAAGAAGCCGCCGGCATCGTCATGCACGAAGCCGTGGACGTGTTCGTGGCCGAGGCCGCGGCGGAGCTTGCGAGGGGTGAGGAACACGTGAAGAGGCGGACCAAGACAACGTATGACGGGGAGTACGATCTTGTGTTTGCCGCCGGGATGAGGACAGGGAAAGGGGGAAATGTGGGTTTTGAGATGTTCTGTGTGGAGATTGCGCCGGGGGTGGGACTGCGGTATGGAGTGTATGCGGGCGTGGATAGGGGTGAGGAGAGGGAGGGGGTGGAGATGGGGGATGCGTTGTTTTGACGGGGAAGCTGGGCGTGTGGAGGTGGAGCTGGGAGATTGTTGGGAAGGAACGATTTGGGGGCATGGGGTGTGGACGCTTGGTCTGGACTGTGGCTATGACTGCTTGCTTGCTTGCTTTCTGCGCTTGCGCTTTTGCTTGACGGATGCGACCTGAGCTAGTAGTGAGCTCGAGGAAAATCAGATGGAGAGAAGTCAAAGGAGCAATGTGGTTCACGGAGGTGAACACTGCCTCTACCTGTTTAATCCAATTCTATCGAGGTCCGTTCTTTCGACAAGGGATCTCCAAAACAAATACGCTGAAAGACACCCATTGGCCTGGGCCAAGTATATAGTAGCAGTAAAACTGCGGCACACTGTTCAAGCTTGGGAAACGCTCTGCCCTACCACATAAGGACACGGCGGGCGATGGTCTTTTCTCAACCACCCAATAGAGACAGCCCGACACCGTCCGGAACATCAACCCAAAGACAAGAACACTCGCCAGTCTCTATTGCAGATTGTACTGTTCTTCGTACACCACCATCCAGAACAAGCAGTTGGGTTCGGCCAAAAAGTATCGCGGCACACTCCTCCACAGCGACATCAAGCCCCGAAATTACCTGGTCGCAGACAATGGTAGTGCGCACCCGTCATTCCGGCTCCACAACTTCGACTGCGCCAAAGTCGCCCACAGGAAAGAGGATCGCCGCAAGCCAGCCTTCTGGGGCACCTTTGTCTGGCATCCCCCGGAGAGCCCATACTTCCAGACCACCTACGCTGACATCTGGGCTGTAGTGCAGTTCTACATTCGTTGGGCTTCGGCAAAAAGCTCGTTCCATCCTACAAGGATGACTGCGACGAGTAACTCGATAAAGAGTTCCTGGAGGGTGTGCTGAAGTGAGAGGGCAAGTACAGGACTTGCCGCAAATTCTATGAAGCTCTGGGTCTGCGTTTCGTGTCCCAGGTTAATCTGGGTGAGCAGACCAGGATCTCCACGCAGTAACCTGAGCACAACCTGTTCTCAGAGCCTCTGTATCGTCCAAAGTACAGCGACCGCCTCAAATATCGAGCTCCTCTCAGAAGAGGTCAAGCGGATGCTTGAGGTAGGTAGGGGTCTGTCAATACTGTTTCATTCTGCTCTTGACGATCGCGGAGAGGCTGCGCATTGTAGATGAGGTCGTCCCCAAGATTCGGTTGTCTCTTTAGCTGCTTCCGTATGGAACGCTCGTTGCGACGCTTACCTAGACATTGGATAAGCTGCATCATTACTCTGTGCGGAAATGACGGGCTACGGCGGGGAGTGGTGGAGTTTTGTTGGACGCGTAACTGCTGCAGGTGAGGTAGACCGTGGAAAGTACGTGCCCCAAGCTGGCCACAGGATGGGCGAAAAATCCTGTCCGTATCGCGTACGTTGTACCTTGTAGCAGCGCCTACGTCCTTTTCAAGCTGTCTGTTCTTCAAACATGCAAACTTACCGCAAGGATCGCTTTGCGTGCGCTTGACAATAGTTCTCCTCCCCTGCCCATGCTCTTATGGTTCGTAAAACCGTTTGTTTCCTCCTGATCATCGAGCGTTTTATGGAACTGCCATTTTGGAGGCTCAGGATTGGTACATCTTGTGATTGTCATGTCGTACCGTACCGTTTCGCTGGACGACCAGAGTAGCTCTGGTGTTTAAATGAACCTTGCCTACAGTCCTGATGTCTCTTTGAGCTACGTCCGCCCAGCATGCTTATCACGGTGCTTACCTGGACGTTGGGCGACCAGGAACATTGCTCTGTGTGCGGACGGGATGCGGTCGGGGTGGTGATGCTCAGCGGGGCGCGAAAACCCTGGACGTGAGCGAAATGTTGTGATTGCAGGCCCTCGAAGGCGCCACGTAGGGAAGGGTAAGCAGTCGCGTCCGTATCGTGCGTGTGCAGGAATACGGCCAGGACTTGACCGGGGAGGCATATCGTATGATGCCGTTGTTGATTGAGCTAGCAAAATCGTCAGCACCCGTTGGAAAGACGGAAACGCCTTCCTCTGTTTGTCCCATCCGCTTGTTGAGTCCGAGTTCGTGATGATGGCGTGGCCTTGGGCAGAGCGACACACACTCGAACCTGCCGGCTAGCTCCCTCACCCTGTAACCCCAATCTCCATCTTCGAGGCACCACAGCAGCGGACTCAAATATTCGAGGCGTGCAGTGAGCACAAAATTCATCTGTGCAAGGCCCCAGAGACGTCCTATAGATTGCTATCCTATCGATGCATCCCCGCAGAGCCTACTGTTCTCAGGCCGCAGGTTGGTCCACAGCAAAACACAGCCTACGCCCCCTAACCGACCGGCAACACCATCAGACATCGAGGCCTCGTTTTCCATGGGAGCCTCTCTTATGCTTCACCTTCCTTTTGTTGAGTGCTTCGCGACCTGCTGCTGCAAATGGACTTGTGCCGCTGACTCGAGGGTATGCTCACAGCCATCAACAGCCATGAACGCATTCAGCAGCCGCCATTCGGCCGTGAGGCATTCTCCTTGCTCGCAAAAATATATCGGAGCCTCCTCCTGTCTTTCTGTGTGTCCTCCAGCACCTGCTGCTGATCTTAGACCAATGCCGTTGACTCGACTGTGGAGGTAGGCTCACAGCCATCAAAGCAGCAGCATCCGACAGCCAGCATGAGGCGGTGAGGGCTTCCAATAGCCCTCGACACACTTACCTCCGTCCATCGCGATGCTTGAAGCCATCGCCACAGTGACTCTGCCCCGGTAGACCACACCTTGCGTACGCTCACACCAGTTTTCATAGAGGGAACGGGCCGACCAGCGGAGCGACGACGCGATCGACCAAAAGCTGCAACATCATAACGACCAGACGCCTTCGCCGCTTGCTGATATGCCAAACGCGACCCGCCGTGTGTTGTGCAATCCCGGATGGCTCACACCAAGACCTTTGCCAGACTGGGATATCGTCGTATCTCTGTTATGAACACTCAAGAGGTGGAATAAAGGACTGCAGAAGGACCAAAATGGTGGGTACGACCGGAATTGCTCTGATAAATGTTCCTAGATGATCGGGGCGGCACTGGATATCGTATTGCCGCCGAGAGTTCTTCTTCTTCTGCGCAAATCTCCGTGTGCTGGATTTTTCTCCCCATCAACAACGAGAAGAACTGTCTTGTCAGAGTAGCTGGAGCATGATGGGTGCATCCGCAACCCCAGGCGTAGCATGTGTTGGAGGGAGCTTGGCAAGCAGCTCAGGGTGATCTATAGTATTATCACTGGAGTGTGGGAGAGAGCTCCCACGCTCCATATATATAGAGATATTGCCAGGTCTAAGCGCAGAACTAGCCATATACGTACAGGAAGCTCCCCGAGCATACAAGGGAGCTCCGCAGAGGAGCTGCCCAATGGCGTTTCACGTCACAGCATGGCAGGAGCACTATGCCGGGCGCCTTCAGCGCCTTCTTGTCAAGAGCAATCGAACAGTGAGGCTCAAGTCGGCTGGAACTCAGGGAGGAAGGCGACTCTGGAATGAAGGCAACCCTGGGATGAAGGCAACCCAGGGATGAAGAAAACTCTGGGATGAAGAAAACTCTGGGATGAAGAAAACTCTGGGATGAAGCTTGTCTACCATCCATGTTCAATGCGTTCCCGGAAAGCAAGTTTTCCAGAGCCCGGCTGGGGCTTCAAGGAGCAATTGCGACATGATAGCTTCCTCGACTGCATGCAGAGGGAGAGCTAATCCTCCTACACTTGTTTTCGGTCTCAAGAGGTCCTCATCCGTATACAGCCATGATATGAGTGAGCTCAACCAAGCACCCACGCTCTCTCACGAGATGCCAGAGCTTGCCTGGAAAGCAAGGCTATCAGGTTTCCGTTTCGCGTTGCCAGCGAGGAATGCGATGGCAATATGTCAGTGACCAAAACCAGACGAACAGTCAGCCCCAGAGACTTCAGCAGACTCCGCCGGGTCTCCGATGCCCTGAGTCTAACACCTACCGCGCTCAGATCAATAACGTCCCTGAACAGCCTTTCCAATACAAGGACCGCGTCGTGATGATTTATCTCGACGACGATATGCATATTGTCTGGAATTAGGTTGACAATAGGATCGGAGCAAAGCTTACTCGGAGGCCCAAGCTCCGCAGAAAGTAGAAGAACCAAAGTGGAGACGACAACGAAGACAATCACAAAGGCAAACGGCGTGGAAGGGTCACAAACCGCCGCACCACTGTTCAGCCTACACGTCGTCGAGAATCTACACACATGCATACGAAATGCATTGAGACGTAAGCGTATCTTTGTATTCATACAGGGGTATCTATGCCGGTGTCTTACTCATGTATGCAGGCGCGCAACGCGCGATCCTCCGGTAGTGCAGTCATATCACTTTCGAGACATTGAATCGTTCCATGTATTGTACATGACCGCCCGAGCGGAACAAAGCGCCGTCTCAGGTCCATCTCTTCCACAACCAAGCAGCTCCAGCAACTAGAATACCGACCGATACTATACTGTTGGGATGTAAGTTGCATGTTGTGATTCGGCATACATGGGGGGTGATAAAAATATTGGCTATTACCTGGCACGGCGCGACGGGAAACATTCCCGAAAGTGTGCACATAACTTTCGGGTGATATGACCGCCATCCTCTTCGTCGCTGGTACCCACGTCTGGATATGGGGTGCGGCATCGATGCTTGGCTTTACCGATCGCGTTCGCATCAGTGGGCTCGTTGAATGAGATGGTAGCCGGTTTTGGGGGCAACGCGACGTTGGCCTGAGGGGGCTCTGGGGGCAGAACAACAGTGTCGAATACCTTGCCATGTCGTTTGAAGTTGGTCGCTTCCGAGATTTCCATCTCTTCATGAATAATACCAGCATGCTGTCTAGTGGAGACCCTCGGGATGTTGATGGGCGAGGTCTTCGGCACGCGCGAGGCTAGCATCAGTACCGGAGAAGGAAGTTGTGATTCGTCTTCGTTCTCGGATGCATCCTCGCGGATAGAGTGCAGCGACATCGTCGACGAAGAGCGAATCGAGACCAAATTGACAGACGAACTTGCGTGCGAAACAACTGCTGGCGAATCGAGTTCGCCGAGCGGCGACCGCACTTCGTCTTCTGCAAGGCGATGACTAATGTCACGCACACGACCGAAAACTTGTTCTCGATCCATTGGGAATATCTCGAGAGAAGGATCGCGAAGGTCCAGGTCTTCTGCGTCAGAGCGCGGCATCCGATGTGGCAAATTACTTCGCTGAAAACGGTAGACACCGGAACTCAAACGCCTCGCAAAGGACGGGATATCCGGGATCTCGATGTTATGTTGCTTCCAAATGCTTCCCAGGCTGTCGTTGCTGGCTCTATCGGGCAGTGGATATGTTCGTTCGTGAGTCAACAGCGGCGTCCCCCCAAAGTCGAAATCGTTCTCGGCATCTCGTGTTGATTGGCGGTTGGCTCCAAAGATCCTAGATTTGAAGGCTTCGCGCAAACGCTCCGATGTGAAAGAATTGGTCTTGCTTGTCGACAACAAGTCCTCCTCACCGCTGATGATACGCCGGGTCTTCGAGCGCTGGCTTGCGGCATCATTATCACTGACGCCTCTACGACGCCGCTCTGAAGATGCGCCATCGGACTTAGGAAAGGCCTGAGTATCACTGGCATATTGCGCCTCGTGCGGTAACATCGGAGCAGAGTCGAGCTCGTCTGTTCTAGAGCTGCTGGAAGAGGTACTGTTTCCGACCTCGTGTGGTAAAGTGGGCGCCCGATTTAACTCTCCAGTGGTCTCACTGCCGTTTTCATGCGACATTGTTGGTGCACGATCGAGCTCTGCGACGCTCTCGTCGTCGTCGCCCTCGCTGGAACCATCGCTTGCCTCGTAATAGGCAATGTTGGCGTGGTAATCGGGAGCGGCACGTGGATCAAGCCAATCGTCGAAGGCACTCTCGTCGCTCACCCACCAGTCTGGCATCTCGTGCGGGAGTAGCGCACGGTCGAGCTCATTCAAGCCATGACTGTATACTGACGATGACCTCTGAGGACCGACCAGTGTGGGAGGATTGGATGTTTCCATTAGAAACATCATTCGCTCAGAGTACAGGCTGCTCTGCTCGGAGTCATCGAAATGACCAGGGACGGTCTCATGTCGCATTAACGGTGCGTGCGAAAGCTCATCGTCAGCGCCATTCTCCTCGTCTACCAGTGTCGTGCTGTACGACACACGTCGTTCTGCGGAGTCGCCATATGTAACTTCCGGACTGAGGGCCGCCTCGAATCGCATTGAAGGAGTGTGTTGAAATCCGGCAGGTTCATCAATCGCAGACGATGCGACGTTGGTCTCATGCCTCATCAGAGGGGCATGACCAAGTTCGTCGGGTTCAGAAGATGCCAGGTTGGTCTCATGCCGCATGAGAGGAGCCTGCTCGAACTCACTGATGTCTTGAATTTGAGAATCGTCGTCATCATCCCTGAGGACGGTCTCGTGGCGCATCAGAGGAGCATGCGAAAGCTCGTCTTGTTGTTCAATTCGATGCCTACCATCCGGGGTCGTCATCGTTTCGTGGCGCATAAGCGGGGCATTGTCTAACTCGCTAGCCTCATCGGGTGGTCGCACAGGGAAGAGAACGAAGGCTCGCGTAAATCCATTGGCAATGCTGGTAGGCATTGCCTCGATCAAAAGGCGTTGGTACTCCCTTGCCTGTTCAAGTGAAGAAGGCGTACCTGGCTGAGAGTCCGTACCACCATCGTCGGCGGTCATGGTCTCTTCTTGGATCGTAGCCATTGGCGGAGAGCGAGGACGAGGGCCCGGTCTAACGTCGTCTTGGGTGTGAAGACTGCTGCCAGGACATGTCAAAGTCCATCTCTTGCTCGATCACAGCATTACGTACCTGTCTGGCTCTTCTTTGAAAGTCTCATGGCGAAGAAGAGGTGCCTCCTGGTCGGCGTTGTAGCCGGGATCGACATCATACAGGAGATCTTCTTCTACGTCGGGCTCGCCTTGTGATACCATAGTTTCGCTGGTCTTCGGTCTCATGTCTAGGACTGTGTCAGCAAGATCTCGAGGTTGTAACTTCACAAAGCCAACCTGTCTGGGCGTGCCCACTGTCGAGAGGCGGGATGGAGACGAGCGGTATAAGGCCATCCTGCCTTCCAGTCCTACGTTCGGTGTTCTGAGCCAGGTCTCCGTTTGCCATGGTGGAAGAATCAGGAGTGCCCGCTCGAGGGATGTGCTCCGTATAGCCGACGTTGTTGTGGTTACCGGCTTGGTCCTGCGCTTTGCGTTTGTCAGCTTGATATAATGGCCCCAGTTCTGTGGCAAGCTGCTAAGAGGACGCCAGCTGCAACACACTGGTCGAATTGTTGGCCCAAAGAGTTCAGGTAGCACGGAAAAGTTGGAATGGGAGCGCTCACCGATAGGCATATTGTCGTCCAGGACCCAACGGTTACCAGCCCGAACCTTGTACTGGAAAGACTGCTCAGGGACGTTATATACTTGAATGCGGTAGGTGTTGGACGGAGGGCTGTCGGCGATCATCTCTAGAGGCGTTTGCCAGCTATTGAGAGAGGTCCACACGACGACCGGCGGGGCGTCCGCAAGGTGGATGGTGATCGTCGCGCGACCAGTGAATTGAACGTCCTTGTCCATGCTGGGAGACAGAAGAATAGAGGGCAGCGAAGCCTCAGAAGCCACGGAAACCGAAGGTCTACGCGGGTCAGTATCTGAAGGCTCACCAGGCTGCTGCGATGAGACTGACGCGTCGTTTGCGATGGCGGCGCGCTGCTCGGGAACAATACTGTCAGCAGAGGTTGAGGATAAGTCTTGGAATGGAGCGCTTGTGGGCTCTGTACTACTGAAGAGCACCATAGACTCGTTCCGAGAACGGTCACTCATGACGGGAAGAGAGGGAGAGTAGGTGATAGGGAGTGAATCGAAATGCGGATGAAGAAGAGAAGGAGAGAGCCTACAATGGCGGGCGGCGTTTTATCTGCTGCGGCAGCAAAGGCAGGCGTAGGTAGTCGCGACTGCCCTCACGAGTGGACGGGTTAGGGCGTGTTTACTACCCTGGTGCTACCGGAGGCCTGTGCAATACCGAAGGAAAGAAGAGAGGTAGTATACGACAGATCCCTCCGCTTGTCCAGGCGTTCCCGAGAAAAACGGCGTCGATCGAAAGCTATAACAACTATCTCTTGACACCTCGCTCTCCTGTGAGGCCGTCCAGAGAGGAGGTATGAAGGCATCAACGGCTCGTGCAGTATCAACTCCACCGCCCTGGGCGTAAGGAAGCTAAATCGTCTTCCAGGCTTCACAAGCATGAAATTCGCGCCCTGCTATATGTTGTGCAGTATCTTAGTGACGTTCATGTGGTCTTACTAAGGAGCTATGGATACCGGGCGAGCCGGGGTCACACATAGGGCTTGCGCCACATGTACGAAATAACCGGGATCCGGGATCCGGGGCCCATCAACACGCCGATCGCGTTGGGCTCCAGCCTTTCAACATTGAACATTATTTCCACCTGCATCATCAAGGAGTCGCCCATTGGGTAAAGACTCGTGCACTGCAGCGCGCACATTGTAGAAAGGCCCACATGGGTGGTGGTATATTATCGCGTCACGTAGACATCATGCTACTGCTTTCCCCGCAACGCTTCTACGCTAATCACTGGCTCCCGTGTCTCAACAACTCCCTATTGCAGTGACCGCTGTGACGCTCTCCTCGCTCAGAATAAGCTCTGCACGACGTACTGTGTAGTCCCTGAAAACTTCGGACACCTGCGAGAAGGCCCTACCGCGAGCCCATCCTTCTGCCTCTTCCATAGGCGATGGTGCGGTGCGGCACCAGATCCGCGACAAGACACACAAGCAGAGCAGCGAAGCTGATGTATTGCCACGCAAAGAAATCCTAGATACTTTCGAACGAGGAGAACGTGCAGGAGGTCGCTCGCTGCCTCGGCGCCTGTCTAGAGAGCGGATGCCACAAGCACTACCATCGTGGCGTGGCAAGTGGTAACTCTTCCTTGTGGCGCCTCTGGTCTTTGTCCTGGAAAACTTCACGACCTCAAAACCGAGTCTCATCCAATCAAAGACACGCACGGCACGCCGCAAGTACCGGGGCCCATCTGCCCACCGTCGTAGTGCTGGTACCGCGCCAATGACTTCGGGATGGAGTACGTGCGTTTTGGAACACATCAGCCTGCGTGTCAGGTAGAAGATGTTGCAAGACTTCGATTCATATAATCAAAGGTTTGTGAATGCTAGAACCGCAGCTCATTAGACGGCAGCCTCCGGAATTGAGAGCCCTGTAAAGCCAACGCTCCTCCTGGGTGAGACAGGCACATCCACGAACATCGCCCTCGATAGCCGCGTGTTGACTGTCCGCGCTACTCCGATCTGCGTCGTGCTGTATGGGTCTGGGAACGCTTCGCGATCGACCTCCCCGTCTTCTGAATCATCGAAGAATGTCAACCGCTTCGTGTTCTCTAACTCGCCGAGAGTCGAGACCGACCTATTCGGAAGAGAGCCAAGAGTGGATACCGACTTGTTCGGGAGGGTGTCAAGAGTGGAAATAGACTTGTTCGGGAGCATTGAGATGGTACTAGGAAGCTTCTGGAGTCCCTGGGCCTCTCCACGTCTGTTGTTAAAACCCGGTTCGATGAGTGTGGGGACATGCGACGGCGATAACGTTCGTGAATGGGCAAAGCCAGACCATATCTGCTTCAATAGCGGGCTCAGACTTGGCAGGGAGGCGGCGACGATGCCTACGTCGACCTCGATTTGGGACCAGAGCGGGATCCAACGGCCCTCCCAGCTGGAATCACCAGAAGGTCGCATCCCGGCTTTTGTGCCGGCTGCTGTCGCGATTTGGCACAATCGGATGATGGATGCTACGAGCGGTAATAGCCCAATGGAGAAGACCAAGACAAGCAAATCTATAACGATTAGCAGATGCAAGGCTGGGATGGGTGGTCACATACAGCGCTGCTTCCTATCGATCCTCAAGATAGCCAGTAATGGTAACGGAAACACAAGCAAGACCAGGTTGATGAATACATCGATTCCGGCCTGCGAGAGGTAGAATGGCACCCACGCTATGCACTTCCTTGCCGGATTTTCCAAATCGAAAATTGCTGTTACAGGCAGACAGTTAAACATCTCCACCTGAGTTGGATTAGATCTCCGTGATGGTCGCCGGGCTTATTGATCTCTTACAAAAAAGGTAGAGAGGGTAAAGGCTGTGATGGCCGCCCACATAGACCAGACTACCGCTCCTCGCAAGAACCAAGGAAGACCCTTTTGCAACGAGCAAATACGATGATACAAAACCAGTATACTCAGCTTCACGGCCCTCGTCACTATTAGCTGCAGGTCTAGCGGTCGGATCGAATATGACTTACCCGTTCGCCACATAGTAAAGTAGCATGTTGATGTACTTGTACTATGAGTGTATCAGCACGAGCATGCATGTGCTTTGTGCTATACTCAACTTACCATGAGAATCTTGCTGATCTCCTCCTTCTTTGAAGCGCCGAACTGTAGTTTTTGCCCATGGTGTACTTGGAACTGAAGTGCGACTGTTTCTCCAGCGCCGACGAGCTATACCATTGTTACCATTGCACGAATGGTTGATGATCAGAGAATCAAACTCACCAGAGCAATGCCGATGAGCAAGTCGTCCAAGCCGAATTTCTTGACAAGCCACCCGCGAGTGACAAAGCTGTGGATCTGTCAGCGCACCGGTGAGCCATTGGGCCGTCGTACTTACCGCAGTGCCACGAACGAGACCGCGATAGCATATACCGCGATACTAACCCGAGCGATCGTAGGACCACAGTCTTCGGAGGTTACTGTTTGTGCCATCACCGCATGTCTCTGCACAGAAGCATCGATCAAGGGATATGAAGTCAGAACCACAAGACGAAAACCCCAGTGGGCCGATCAGGGGGATATATTCACGGTAACAATGCCAGATCGTTGCGAGTCGTCATTCCCAAGGCTTGACCAGAACGCCGAAGTCAATAGCACCGTCTCTGCAGCCCACCCATTCATTATCGGGTCCCGCATAGGTGCGGCTGTTCCTTCCGGTCGTTCCTGAGTCGGTACTGGATCTACGAAGGCGGCTAATCAGCCTATTGGTCACTTTCCGTTATTACAAGTGTGGCTCCTGAGTCGAAATACGCGTGCGTGGTGTTCGCTCGTAAGCCTGTCTGCTAGCGGTACCGACGCGCTGGAAAAGGGATCTTTAGTAGCACGTTGTCGCGGGAGTGCGACAGGGTTGGCGCCCGAAGAAGGTTCTGACGGCCAGGTACAACCATTTCCAACAGGGACTGTATGCACGTCTCACGTTCACTCAGGGAAATGATACTCGTGCCCAACCTCGACTTCCCTTCTAAACTCACGCTCGACCATCGAGATGGATCATGCATTGCCTCGCAAACTCATCATGTGCCATCCCAAATACGAGTGCAAATCAAGCTAGGCTCTTAGCGTTGCGACTACCAAAAGCCTCACGACACCACCTCAGAATCATCCAAGCGCCCCGTCGCCTTTCTGGAAGGTCGAGCGTAGTTTTACGCGTTGGTGAAACCCAGCCTCGTCGGCGCCCTGCAGACCCTGAACCAGAGATACTCCCGTGCCACCATGAGCACGCTACAGCTGCGCGATGTGTAGCCTAGGCGGCGTTCTTTCTAGAAGTTTTCCAACAGGTTTGGCGTCATCACAATTCCTGTTCGACTGGAAGGATTCCCATCCGAGGGCTAGGTCCAATTATGAAACGCTAAGTGCCCTTTCGAGCGCAACCCGCTCAGTCTGTACAAGCGTTGCAAGACACCTCACAAGCCCCATTAGAATACATGTCACTCGCATTAACAATCGGATTACGATATCACATCGAAGATCGCTGACCTTCGTCAACATCTGTGTGCGCCTCTACAAGTCCAACCTTTGGTTCCTCCTCGGCAGTTTTCTGACGGATGAGCTGACCGAAAGGTCAGAAGACATCGAAACAGCCATTACTTACTCTGCATGACTGGCGTCACCTCGGTAACTGCGGGTGTTCGAAGGCTTTTCTAGAAGGTTTCCCATCGCCGACCTTGTGCTGCAGCTCCACCTTCAAATGGGAGCCATGCACGGCTACGAAGTACCAACTATTAGATACGCATCCCACGCATGCAAGCATTTAAGGCAATCGCATTATCTTCCAGTATGGGTTCGAAGAGTTAAGCTAGTACCCATTTCCCGGTCTGTCGGAACTCGTTACGCTCATGGCGATCGATCAGACAAGAATCCAAGATCCAGTTGACCCAGCGCTGGCAGCCAATCACACGCCTTTACGCTATTGGATCTGTACGAGCATTGAAATGGATGAGTCGGTTGTATCCTCTCCATCTCTCCCTTTGTGCATGCCCTCTGTTCCGGAGAGAGTTTCGCGGCAGCTGGAAGTTTACTGAACACGAAGGCATACTGGCCACAGATGGTACACGAGGCATGCGTTCACCCTAATAGACTGTGTCAATGAGTGGCTAGCCACAACCTCACACTGCTCCTTCCGCTTTATAGGAAACGTAGGCTCGCCCGCTGTGTAATCAATGGTGCCGATCGTATGCTAGCGCTCTCATTGCTAGTTAACATTAAGGACCATCATCCAAAAGTCAGAGCTTTCTAGGTCACAACACGTTCCGCTCGTACCGGGAACCTTGCAGGGCGCCGCGATAGGGATCACAAAAACGACGATTCACCCAACTGCCACAAGTGACCTCGTCCTGGGTAACAATACAACCTACAAAGGAGTCGGTCCTCACAGACACACTAGACACCCGAACTCCTGGGCTGATGTAGCTTGTACGTGATGAGCTCCACAAGTATAGAACGTGCTCTGTATCTCCAGAGAAAAAAAGGCGTAACATCCTCGGCACATCTGCGTTGCAGGTCAATTCCAATGGCAGTCAACCCAGTCAGCGCAGCGGGAGAGGCCACCCAGCCCTCGTGATAGCCTTTTGGATGGACGTTGTCGACAGCCTTGAGAGTCGAGAATATGACGTCCCTTATTTTCATCGAACTTGTCGATAATGGCATCAGCTGCGCTATGATAGAGACCTGCAGACTGGGGTCGACTGCTGCTTCCATCAGCAGCAGAGCATTCGCGAGGAAGCAGCTACTCATGGTATAGTCGTCAATGTTGATACACCTGAGGATCCCTCGCATACGGAAGCATGTCCAGGCGAACGTCAAGATACAGTCGAAGACACGAAGCCCAATGCCTCGTTTTTCGCTTCCAAAGCTTGAGCAAGGCGATGCCATTCTCCCTACGCGACAAAACAAATGCAAAGTCACTACTGGCACTCAGACACGAAGGTACATACTTCAACTCTTTGAGACTGAATCAGCACCTGGGTGTCTGATGAAAATGGGGTGGCCACTTTTTGACCCTGGAAATTCGCGGTCTTATATACGACAAGCTGCACTCACGCTTTTACCTGATAATGTTCCAGGAGAAATTGTCGCTGTGCTGTTCGCTAATGGACAACCTAGTACAATTAAATCTGTCCTCGAAAGGGTCTCTCGTGCGAACGCTTTGACGAAACGCTCCCGGTGTATTTGCGACGCGCCGTCGCTGTCTAGCGGCTTCTGATTTCACTCGTACCACGATGCTATGTCGATAGACAGCACAATGCACCATGACCATAATAGTCAGTGTCGCATTTGAACAAAGAATCACCGGAGAGATTTCTTTCAGTGTCAACACACGGGTGACAGGCATGGCTTTATGTCTTGCACTGGTGTTCACAACACGGTACCCTGTCGGATCGTCCCGTTGCCCCGCTGCTAGCTCGCGGAAAAACGGGCGCTTTTGGCTATACTAACTGTCACCACCAACCTAAGGCGTCCGGGGCCCAGAGTCCGATGTTCGAGATTCCGGTAGATGCCTCCTGAAGGGGTGAGGCGTTGTCGCCAGGTTCTACAAGCCGTCCCTGTCGGTCTAGGCGCTCTTGCTTTTGCCGCGCAAGAGTTTGTTCGATGGCAAAATCCAATCCTCGACAACTCGCACCGTTCCTACATCCAATAGACTCGCTGCAACGGCTGCGCAATTGGAGTGCTGGTTACCACCCGATCTCGGACGGTTTTGAGTTACGCGTGATGGCAAGAACACGAAAAGAGGAGGGTGCAGCGATCGGGGGCGTCGCGAGCGGCGAAGGCAAAGACAACGTACTGACATCTTCGGCCGGTACAGAGATCACTACTGGGCAAACGCAAAACGACAGTAATGACATGGTCCGCATGGGGAAAGTTCAGGAGCTGCGTAGAAATTACCATTCTCTTTCCGCGCTGGCCTTCACCGTCATCATCCAAGGAGCTTGGGAGGTGCTCTTGACCGCGACAACTCAGGGATTGGTTGATGGAGGGCCTGCAGGCTTGATATGGTCATATGTCTGGACCTTTATCGGCTTCTCATTTGTCGTTGCATCACTTGCCGAGATGGCATCGATGGCACCGACTGCCGGTGGCCAATATCACTGGGTATCTGAATTCTCGCCTCCCTCGGTACAAAAGCCTTTCAGTTTCTTCATCGGTTGGATGTCGACCCTCTCCTGGCAGGCGGGTACAGCTTCGGGTCCTTATCTTGTCGGCACGCTTATCCAGTCCTGCGCTATCGTCGTCTACCCTGACTACGCGCCGACTGGATGGCAGGGTACACTTATGGTCATTGCCATTACGCTCCTGGTCTGGGTGTTGAACGTGTACGGCGCCAATTTGATGCCCCTTTTCCAGAATTTGATGCTAGTGTTCCACATCGTAGGCTTTCTTGTCATTATTGTTATATTGTGGGTTCGTTCGCCCCGCGCCACGGCGAAAGCCACCTTCACAGAATTCACGAACGATGGTGGCTGGAACTCGATCGGTCTAGCTCTCATGGTTGGCCAGATATCCGCAATATATGCCTGCATCAGTAAGTGGGCACTTCTCTGTATGCAACGAAGTACCATCTCACAATAAGACAGGCACCGACGCAGCAGCACACATGAGCGAAGAAACCCAAGATGCCGGCAGAACAGTTCCGCGAGCGATGCTGGGAGCCTACTTCTTGAATGGCATTTTGGGATTCGTGTTCCTCATCAGCTATATGTTCATGATGACAGACGTAGAAGCTGCCCTTGAAGATGCCACCGGGTACCCGCATATTTGGGTATTCAGTCAGGCAGTTCCCAAAGGCGCTGTCGTGGTCCTCAACGCCATTCCGACTATCCTCATCTTCGCTGGAACCCTCAGCTTCAACTTGTCCACATCAAGACAAACTTGGGCCTTCGCGCGAGACGAAGGATTCCCTCTCAGCGGATGGCTGGGCAAAGTCCACCCAAAACTGCATGTGCCGGTGAATGCCATCACGTTTACTAGTATTTTCACTGTTCTGCTGTCCTTGATCAACGTCGGATCAAACGCGGCCTTCAACGCAAGTACGTCAACTTCGCATCTTGCCCTAAGCAAAGACGTCAGCTGACAAGGAGATAGTTATCTCGCTCAACGTGGTCTCACTCATGATCACCTACATGTTTAGTATAGGTGCTGTCCTGTACCGCCGCATCTACCATCCTGAGCTACTACCGCGCTGCAGGTGGTCGCTGGGGCGATTTGGAGTTCTTGTGAACAGCGTCGGTCTTCTCTACGCCACACACGCCTTCTTCTGGTGTTTCTGGCCGAACGCAACGCCTTTTGCACTGGAAGACTTCAATTGGTCCGTCGTTATGTTCGTCGCTGTTGCGGTTCTGTGTCTTGTAGACTACGCGATTCGAGGAAGGAAAGTCTACAAGGGCCCTGTGGTCCTAGTAGAGGGATGGCATAATTCTTGAAGACATTGTGAATACAGTGGCATGTTCGGCGGACGGTTGGGCTGTACAGCGGATGTGGAAAGCTATCCCGGCATATCCATCACGACGTACATAGAGCACATGCATCAGGTACATATACTCTCTATAGGTCGATACACCAATAGAGGGCATTATATGCCTCTACTTTCTTCGGTAACGTTGCTAATATTGTCTTGAAGAGCTGTTGGGTAGATAAGTTGACGCTGCGAGACACGCGTCCAAACAAATAACAATCTCCCAAACCTCACGTATATGAACGAACCACGCTGGTGGGATAGCAAATTACGCAACGTCGGAATAAACATCACGAGTCATGCCGATCTTCGGTGTAAGATGGCTAGGGTAATTGCAGGTTGGTGCTACGAACTAACCTCAACCGGATAGCCAATGCGAAATACGGCCCATGTTCCTACACGCGGAGCAGACTACATAAGGAATGCAAAGCTCTTTAGGAGGTGTCGCTCAGCATTGCATTCTATAAGCCGGCAGAATGGCGCACGTCCTCGTTATCGGGCAAGTTAAGAGACATCTTTGCGACTATGAGGAATGCTGACAGGGAGCAGCGCCGGTGTTATTGGTTTGCAAACCGCGAACGATTTGCTCGACAATGGTTACAAGGTCACTGTCCTGGCAAGGCATTGGCCTGGGAATGAGAGCATCGAGTACACATCGCCATGGTAAGTCCCTCATGTATACGTAGTCTTTCAGCTCAACATCGACTGTTTAGGGCTGGAGCTATATGGCATACGCAAGCTTTACCTGATCAAATAGAAGTTTGCGATTGGCAGAGGCAGAGCTACAAATACTGGATGGATATCCTGGAGAACGAAGCTGAAGAATCGGAGAAGATGGGTATTCAGGTACACGATGCCACCCACAGACTCAATGCCCATATGCTCATTGATTGCAGCGTGTACCTATCGTGAAATACTCGTAAGTAATCCGTGAATTGAGAGGCTAGTATATTGAAGCTAGGATAGGGTCGACGAGAGGAATGATCCTGCATCGCCGCGGTTGTGGTTTTGCGACCTTGTACAGGACTTCGCCCTCATACCCACGTCCGATCTCCCGCCAGAGGGTCCAAAGAGCGGCAACTCGTTTACAACCGTCCTAATCAACCCAACAAGATACCTCACCTACCTTCTCACCCGAGCAAAGTCTCTCGGCGCAGAGATGATCACCGCAACACTTCCTGAGTCAGCCTCCATCTCAAACACCATCTCCGCAGCTCTCAGCCATCTCGACAGAAAGAACGCCGAAGTCGTGATCAATTGCACCGGTCTCGGCGCGTCCAAGCTTTGCGATGAAGCCGTGTTTCCCATACGCGGCCAGACTCTCCTCGTGCGCATCACGCCGCCCCCACCAACATCCCGCATCACAATCTGGGACAGCGACCCCGTAACATACATCCTCCCACGCCGAATCACGCCCTTTTCCGCCGGGCCTTCAGATGCGACCTACTTCATCGGGGGAACCAACGACACTGGCAATTGGGACCCCGAGCCCACGCCTGTGATATCGCAAGGTATACTAGAACGAGTGAAGAAGGTCATGGTAGGTTGGACGGGTGAGGATGCGCAGATTGAGGTGTTAAGAGAGCAAGTGGGGTTGAGGCCGGGGAGAAAGGGTGGACCAAGGGTGGAGCTTGAGGATGTGGATGTCGGAGGGAAGAAGGTCAAGGTTCTGCATCAGTATGGACATGCGGGGGCGGGGTATCAGAATTCGATTGGGAGTGCGAGAAAGGCGCTGAGACTTGTGGAACAAGCTCTGGGTTGAGTCCTTTGAGTGTATGTGGGCTAAGAAGAGGTATGGATCTGACTTGCGGGAGATCCTTTGATTCTTGGGTATAGTTGTGTTGCCACCAATTTCTCGAATCATCTCCCGATAAATGAGACTCCTTCCAGGAGCGGAGATTTCCTTTAGTGAACTGCGCGTAGATGTTCTACTCGTCCAGCGCGTGCACGCTCGTGGTAAAGTGGGGCCACCCAACAAACACCAGTACCAAGATCTATACTCACCCAAACCACGGAACAAATCGCCAGCGGTCGTTTTTCTAGTCACGATTTGGCACTCAAACACTTATAAGCCGGTGCCTCTCCCAACTTTGTTTGGACAATACTCGACAAAGTATGGCCGCGAAGCGTTCCCAATCCCGTTCCCCGTCGCCGAGTGAAGTCACCTTCACCAGGGACAAATACCCCATGCAGCGCCATTCCCGGCAAGAGTTCCTTCGCCAGAACAAGCGCCAGGCTCGCAGACCAGCGCAACCCACCGAAGCGATGGTTGCTACAAGTGCGGCAGCAGGCCCTGACACAGCGCCCGCGACAACCTTACTGACCACCTCTGTCAACTCGATCTACCGTATCCGCTACGACAGCCTCCCTCGCAACAACAGTATTGGCCATGCTGAAGTCGATGAGGGCCCCAGAACCGGATACACCAACGACTCGGACCTGGCGATACTAGCTGCGGGGTTCTCATGGAACTACCATTTGACAGGCAAGCGTTGGGAGGTACAAGAAGTCAGAGTGGGGGAGACAGGTGTGCGAATGCTTATGCGAATGGACAACGGACCAGTGGAATTGAAGGATGGAACCTGGGCTACTTTCTATGGTAGGTCTTCACTGTGAAGAGTGACTGGGTGTTGACTAGACGTAGCGTAGGTTTATCTCGGATGCCGGTCTAGGTGGGAGACGCGGTCCTGGAGCAGAAGACTGAAGCAGCTGAGAAGTTTATGGTTTTGAGTGTCGTAGACTTCCGCTGACCTTGTATCTGAGAGACAGGTACAACGCTATCATGGGAACCCGCGATCAGCTCAGGGAGCAAGAGAAACTGGAAGCTGAGCGACTTGCAATTCATGACCGGAAGAAGCAGCTAGAAGATGAGGACTCGTATGTTTGGCCGCCATATCGACCGGAGGATTGGAGGCAACAGCTCGAGGAGGCTGCAACACAACAGTCTACAGAGGATGGAGAGCAAAAGCAAATATGCAATCCGAGTGACACCGTGTCAGAGCATAGCCTATGATGATTAGGTTGGCCGCCGATTTTGGCCGATGGAAGCGTTCGACTGCGTCCGCGGGAGGTTGCGACTGTGGGTACAAGTCATGCCGCATAGAACTTGCCTTTGTCTAAGAAAATGAGATATAGGAGAGACCAATCGGCCAGCAGTATCTGATTATGATGAAGTTGGGATCAAGCGCTACGATGAAAGATGTTCAACCTAAGATCTTGTTACCCGTCATGTACCTCGGCGCCCCAGGCCAGCATCCCCGCCCCCTCATCACCTCGACTACAACAATTTTCGCTGCGGTTACCCGCATCCGCAACTTTCGCCGCATCTCGACTCCGTTATCGCGCATGATTAGTTCATCATACGATGCGGGCCGTTCCTAGTCATGGCCGACCTCATGGCCGACGTCAGTGTGGGCGATACGTTGCGTAAGTAGGACGAGCCGAGGCTGTTTCTGTGGGTGGACCCTCTCTTGTCGACTTCATCGCCCTATAGTTTTTTTTGATTGCCTGCTTCGAAATCAACGGGGCGGACGAAGAGCGGAGTTCTTTCATAGCTGTGACCATTCGAGAGTACTTAGTCGCTGGTAGACCCTTCTGCTTTCTAGACATCTGGACCCTACGTCACGTCACATCATACGACAATTGTACTTTACCCTCCCCCACCATTGTTCGTTCCTAAATCACCCAATCTACTACCATAATGTCGCCCATTCCCAAGCAAACACGTCAATGGATCGTCAGCAACCCTCCGAAGACGAACGTCTCCCTGAGCGGAGATGATGCAACCTTCAAGCTCCAGACCGTCGACACACCTTCCATCACCGACGGACAGGTCCTCGTCAAGCTCAAGTACCTTTCCAACGACCCCGCGCAGAGAGGTTGGATCCAAGATGGCGCCGATGCCGAGCGCCTCTACGTCCCTCCGGTCCGTCAAGGCGACGTTATGCGCTCCTTCGGTATCGGCGAGATCGTTCAATCGAAGGCAGAGAACCTAAAGGAAGGCCAGCTTGTATCATACATGGCCAACTGGACAGACTATAGAGTGCTCGAGGCGAAGGAGGCCACGCCGATCCAGGAAGACAAGGAGGCAGGCATCAAGGCTACACACTTCATCGGCGCTCTCGGTGGACCTGGACTTACCGCTTACTACGGTCTCGTTAAGGTCGCAGAGGCAAAGGCAGAGGACACCGTTGTGGTCAGCGGTGCTGCTGGTTCCACTGGTAGCATGGTCGTTCAGATCGCAAAGCACGTACTGGGTTGCAAGCGGGTCATTGGTATTGCTGGCGGCGCCGAGAAATGCTCGTGGGTGGAAAGCTTGGGCGCTGATGTCTGTGTTGACTACAAGGCGGCCGATTTCGAGGAGAAGCTCATCAAGGCGACCGACGGATACGTTGAGGTGTACTTCGACAACGTTGGCGGCCACATCCTCGATACGATGCTGAAGCGCATCAAGCGCTATGGCCGCGTCGCCGTCTGCGGCTCCATTGCGACCTACAACGACCCTGAGTCAACGAACTTGAAGAACTGGTTCGAGGTCATTGCCAACCGCATTGAGCTCAAAGGTTTCATTGTGTTCGACGCGTACCTCAAGGGCAACGGACAGGAGATGGTGGATACTGTTAGGAATGCGGTGAAGGACAAGAAGATTCAGATCGAGAAGCAGGAAGAGACCATCGTGCCAACGAAGTTTGAAGATATACCCAAGACGTGGACAATGCTGTTTGAGGGTGGCAACAAAGGAAAGCTGGTCACCGAGTTGACGAACTAATCGAATTTTTAGAGAAAGGAAACAAAATAGCTCAATAGAACGGACTGTCAGCCTACGAATGGAATGAAATTCAAGCCTGATCAGGTGTATATTCCATCTGGATCTGCACGCTGTGCTCAATATGCTGTACAGTGTTCGCAGTGCTCTGCTCTAAGATGATTTGTTGGCAAGGCTTGCTATCTGCACGAGCATCTCGAGCTGCAGTCCGATGCTGACAGGGAGGATGACTGCAGCGCAGATGGTGAACGGTGGGAGGAAGTACTGCTGAGCAGCTCAATAGCGATACTGTACCTTCAGCTGCAAGACGACGATTGCTCCTGGGGCTTTGCTGCGCGAATCTGGTCACGCTGGTCAGCTATCAACCAAGAAGGATTTCCGGTCGGAATTTGGAAAGATGCGTCCTCTACTTGAAGGTATCTCCTATAATGTATCTCCACACATTTCCTGTCATTGTCGTGTTCCTACACATGCCTCCTACACATACCTCCTGCTTCAATATTGTAGCGTAGCTTGCAGTCTTGTCTAGGAACGCTCACTAGCTGACAGACTTCCATCAAATGCCTTGTCTTGTTTGGGAGAATTTGCGATGAGGTCTCCCTTTGTGAAGGGGTTAAAAAGCTTGCACTTTGGGCTTGCGCAAGGATCTGGTCCCACAATGCGTGCGGCGGACTGCATCGTTGGAGAAAGGGAATACGATAGCCGAATAGGAAACACTGACCAACTCGCAATGAAATGGCATGCAAGTTAGATTTGCACCATACGTTTTCGATTGAATGTTCCTCGTGCACCGGTCGACCGACCTGAACGTACAGCGGACATGAGCGATGCGTTGCCCGCTGCAAGCTGCGCCCAGCCTCACAAATCTTCAGTTCTTTGTTGCGCAATGTGGAATGATGTGATAAGAGTTCTGTTATGATCTGCCTGACGTCTTAGCACATATACCATGCCTGTAAGATGCGCCACGTGCGATGCCATCTGACATCGTGACCACCACACAATTTGGCAACCGTGGTCCTCAATCAATCTGATAAGGTGGGTGAGAAGCATCGCAGCGAATTCCAAAGTCAAATAAATGTGCAAGGTAGGTACGCGGAGGTGCAACCTCCGAGAGCACTGAGACATTCACGGCGTGCCTTGCTAAATCTGGTCCCGAGCGCTTCGAAGCTACCCCTCCCCCACTTGCCAATTCCAGCATCTCGCCGCACTCGTAAACGCGTGCCAGGCATCATTTCCCATCCTTTGACCGTGGCACCGCAAGGCACGCGTCTTCGGTGTCGATTTATCCGGTGCCTCAAATCCTTCTTTTACCCGCCTGGCTAGGAACGATAGGAGGGGCACGCGCAGGCGATTCCGCGCCAGAACCCCACCATGCCCCTCTGCGACCGTACCAGCCGCCCGCAAATCAACCATCCCACGCCCGTATGGCGGCTCTTTCCCAGCTAATCATTAGGATCTTCAGAGTTTTCTCTTCTAGAAACCGATCGGAGAGATCAGGCCGCATGGTAATTATCCAGGGTGCCGCGTGCGGGCGCTATCCAAGCCTCACTGCACGAGCTTCCACGGGGCGTCAAGTCGGATGGGGGAGTACGCCCTCCTACGCACGCAGCTGATGTGCAGCAAATAGATGCACGCGAAGCCTCATCCCGAACCCTTGGTTATGCGTGAATTAGAGTCAGTGGCAGAATGTGAAGCCGTGGCGTTACTGGTCCATTGTTGCCAAAGTACCGGTCGCAGATGCAGGGTCGTCTATCTCGTGGGCCTCGCGCGTTACGCGAAGACGCGGATATAGACACGTCCTGCCGTCGGGTCCTCAGGTTAAGGGAAGCTCGGTCTGGCGGCTGACGTATATAAGATCGAGCCGCGGCTGCTTTCCGTCCTCCATAAAGCTTGAGACTTCCCGTCGTCATTTTTTACCCATCCTTTGTTTACGTACCCTAACAACTTCAAAATGTCTACTCCAAGTATCAAGCTCAACGATGGCAACAGTATGCCCCAGGTGGGCTTCGGACTGTGGAAGGTAGACAACAAGACCTGTGCCGACCAGGTGTACGAGGCCATCAAGGTCGGATACCGGCTATTCGATGGTGCTTGCGGTATGTGATGTTCTGTTTCGTGAAAATTCCACACGGCCCTGGCGAAAGGCGGTCCAGCGGAAGGAACGAAAAAGGCTCGGTGGCTGTTGACTCGTGGCAATCAGATGGAGATGCGGTCGGATTCCAGCGCCGAATTGCCGGTGGAGGGATCCCTGCACAAGATGGCCTCACTTCTGTTGTACGAGCTAAAGCAACTGATCACTGACGTCTTGCATTAGATTACGGAAACGAAGTTGAGTCCGGCCAGGGTATTGCCCGCGCCATCAAGGAGGGCATCGTAAAGCGCGAGGACCTCTTCATCACCTCGAAACTGTGGAACTCCTTCCACGACGCCGAGCAGGTTGAGCCCATCACCCGCAAGCAGCTCGCAGATTGGGGCATTGACTACTTCGACCTCTACCTGATCCACTTCCCCGTCGCCATCAAATACGTTGCCCCCGAAGTACGCTACCCTCCCGGTTGGTTCGTCGATGATGCAGGCACCAAGATCGAGCACAGCAAGGCGAGTTTGGAGAGCACATGGAAGGCGATCGAGCAGTTGAAGAAGAAGGGACTGGCCAAGAGCGTGGGAATCAGCAACTACACCGGCGCACTGCTCCTCGACCTCTTCACATACGCGGAGATCACACCCGCAGTGCTGCAGATTGAGCACCACCCTTACTTCACGCAGGAGAACCTTGTGAAGCTTGCAAAGGAGCGCGGTATTGCCATCACAGCATACTCGTCTTTTGGACCGTCGTCATTCATTGAGTGCGATATGAAGATTGCGGCGGACACACAGCAGTTGTTGTCGCACAGCCTGATCACCGGCATTGCGGAGAAGCACGGCAAGACTGCGGCGCAGGTTCTACTACGGTGGGCGACACAGCGCGGACTGGCTGTTATCCCCAAGAGCAACGATCCGAAGAGGTTGGCGCAGAACTTGGATGTTGTGAACTTTGATTTGGGCGAGGATGAGATCCAGAAGATCTCGGACTTGAACATCAACCTCAAGTTCAACGTACCTACAAACGTAAGTATTGGTCTTTTTTTTTGTTCGCGCGGCTGCTAATCGATCTTTAGTACGGCATTCCTTGCTACGTTTTCGCATAAGCGTAAGCTGGCGTCTTCTGCAACTGGTTTGATTTCAAGGTGTTGAGTGTACAACGCAATGGGCGTACCCTTATGGCATGCGTCTCAGATACCGCTTTATGAATCAGAACTCGATATCCCTTCTACCCTCTATATGTCTTCTGGTGGCCTCCTGCCTCTTTCAGAACTCCTTCGCGTGATAGTACCGACACTTTTTTCTCGCTTTATTGGATTTGAACAGTGCGATACATGACACCGATAGTTAGCCATGAACTTGAAGAAAAGAAAACCCGTTGAGGCTTGTCGGTGAGCAGACTCAAGGCGGTTAAGATGACTATATGCCCAGAACCTTGAAAGAGGGTTCGCACGTGACTTGTCAACTAATTCCACAGGGACGCCGGCACTCTCTCCTCTCGGCCGGCCTAGCGGCACCCACACGCGTCTCCTGTACTTTTTTTTCGACTTGTGAATTCTGAACGAGACGTCGCCATACGGATCTCCGCTTGCTAGAATGTGTTGCGGCTCGTATTTGCTTCTTTCAGCTGTGGCTGGACCAGACCCAGAAGCGGACGCTACTCTATGCAGTTTCCAAGCCACGCCTTGCCCAGACCTCGTTCTTTATATGCAGCTGAGGACAGTCGCCGCAATCCTGTAATGCAAGGCTGCGTTTCAAGGTATTTGACGATGGCGTGCCCGTTCTCGTCTTTCGGCGTTGTTCGCTCGAAACCTCGCGTATAGGCTCAGTTAGAAACGCGCAGCGCGCATCCACGACAAATATGCGGTTTACAACGCGACGTTCGACATCCCACAATGTCTGCTTGCTCTTCTTGGCTCTACAAGCAACTGGAACACTCGCGATCTCGATAGACGACAAGGAAAAGATGCGGAACATCACCGTAACTCTCCCCGAAGGCACACATATCTTCAACGACTCCGAAATCATCTGCACGCCCGCCAAATGGAAGGATATCGCCATCTTCTTTCTCGTCAACTACGTGACGCACGCGCTTACGACCGTTGTTCTCCCCGGCGAAGGCTGGGAGTCGTATCTGACCAACGCACTCGCGTCGCTCATGTTCCCCGGTTTCGGCGCGTATCGCGGCTTACGAGCTATCTTTGTAGGGTGGGCGACGGTGCGCAAGCGGTTTCGTTCCGAATCATGGGAGCATGTTGATGGCGAAACGAAGCACATGCATAAGCACAAAGCGAGAAGGGCCAGGGATTTACAGAAAGCCAGGAGAGCAGGGGCGCTTTGTATGATTGTGAGGTCCAGTGATTGGGAGCCAAGAGATGGTGATGTGATTGAGAAGAACGTTATGTTAGTCCAGGGTTCTGCGAGAGAGAGTTTCTTCAACGGCAAAGGGAAGAAGGAAGCCGTGGTCACAGAGCAGGAGATAGACGATGACCAGTCGTTGCTTCGGGATTCGTACTTCGAGATGCGGAGCATGTCAGGAGGCACGAGCGCGCCCGGGATCCAGCTACATACGTACTCTACGCCGTGGACGTACTGTAGGAAACGCTGCCCGGACTCTGTCGGATCGCGAACGATACGATGCGCGCCCGCGGACCTCTCACCAGGCTATTCGATTATTATGGTCCCGGCATGCACTCCCGTTCGCAACCTGATCGACGATGCTGCAGTTGATCGTATCAATTCCAACTACGACATCATGAGAGGTCTCGTTGCACTCGTACAGGCTCTACTTGCCATCCAGACTCTTTATCAGACACGGGGTGATCAGCTCGAGAAGCTCGGATATGCGGCCTTCGGACTGACCGTCGCACCCTACGCAGTCATGAGTCTGGTCAATCTCCTCGGTTCGCTCGCAAGGCCCGATTACGATGCTGTGTACATGGTTGGCTCGCCTATCATGGCTGAAGAACGCAGGAGAAAAGGTCTGGATGGATACTACGACGGTGTAGTCGGCGAAGTATTTGAGGCAGATACGGATCGCAACGAGTCGTTCGCGGACAACAAAGTCGAGGAGGGGTCCCAATTTGTCAAGAGCCCGGTTAAATTCGTCACCATGAACAAAGATATGTATGTTCAGTTCGCGAACTGGGGCATCGCAGCATCTCCATATCGTCAAGCATCTGAGGAGACCCTCGTCAAGGTGATAACAGGTGGCGCGACCCCGGATTCTGCAGCTCCCAGTCGATCTCTGTTCGTGCCGAACGCATCGCCGTTCTCCTACAACCGTGCAAAGAAAGGAGCCATCAACGATCCGCTGCCCTCTCCACTCGTCTTAGACACAGCAAAGTGGCCCGGGAAGCTTCTTCCGCGCAGCACACGGTATATCAAGCGCAGTCGCTACTTTGCATTTGCGCTTTCGCTATCCCCAGTTATCATCATCTTCGTGCTCTCCAAGTTTCGGTCCGGAAACAGCACGATTTTGCAGCGGGCCATCACTATGCTTTGGTTGGCGTGGGGCAGCGTCATTGGGTTTCTTGTGGCCAAGTACGAGAAGAAGGACACTATTGGGGAGAAGGTGGACGGTGTTACGAGGGTGCGCAGCGTGCTGGTAAAGGCTGTGTTCTTCCTGGTTTTGGGATGGCCCGCGGTTGCCGGATGGTGGGTTGTGGCGGAGATGCTGCTGAATTATGGCAAGTGCGTCAAGCTGCCTGGCTAAGGGGGAGAACTGTGTAGAATCAAGGAAGCTCGTTCGCTTCATGGAACCTCATTGCACCCTCAATCGTGTATTCCAATGTGAAATCACTGAATTGATACATTCAATAAAAGCAAGAAAACTCTGCAGGGGTTCTTGTGAAGAAAGTAATAGTTGACCAAGAAGACTTTACATCTTGACGCCCCGTCCCCAAATTGGATAGGATCATGATAAAAACATGCAATGATGAAGCAGTAAGAACCCGACAGCAACGACTCCCCAATCGTCATTGATATTTGCAAGGCTCAGCAGGCCGTGAGCCTTTGGATTTTGTCTCTCGAGGTCGGATGTGGAAAGTACAGAATCCTGCGTATTGTGTGGTAGGATGAGTATGCTTGTTGGAAGTCCTGCTTCGAAGTCGTGGGTTGGGCAATGTTTATCGATTACTTTCTTAGCTTGGCGAGAAATCCATGAAGGATGAAAATCATTCTCCAAGAAGTAATTAAGCGATTTGTGTCGGACATCTTCGACAAACCGCTTTGAAGCCATTTGGCCATTCGTTTGAGCAAAGGACGTAGCTCGTTCGTACTGGCTCTGAGGTGGATTACCGTATTCTCGATCAAGATCAACTTCGCGCTGCATTAGAAGAGACATTGTGTCGAAACGACCCCATTCAGCGGCTGCTTCTAATGCTGTGCGTCCGTGACCCTGAGCTAGCGGGTGAGTGACATTGGCACCTTTGCTAATCAGATACGCCACAATGTCGACGTGACCTTCCATGGCGGCCAGTTGCAAGGCCGTGGCACCGGAACGTGACGGCGGTGTGTCGATTTGAGCTCCCTTGTCGATGAGATGTTGTACAATTTCAAAACTACCGATTTCGGAGACTCTCTGCAATGGTGTTCGGAGAAGTTACACATTCCGCGTGTAGTCCAAATCTGCACCATGTGCCAGGAGCAATTTGACGATATCGAGGTTTCATTTGTCGATGGCAGCCAATAATGGAGATGAACGTAATAAGACACTCGTCATCTGGTCTTGCATCCCAGTGCCGTCGTACGTTACTAGAGCATTGCGTTGGCACCTCTGCGCAAAGGTAGCTTGACCATATCAGAATCATCCAGGAATATTGTCCCACCCACCGAACTGTATGACTTTGGCTCTTCAACATTGTCAATTCTTGGGACGAAATCTCTATCGCATCGGGGTCTACCTCGTTGTCAAGGAGCATGTTAACAATCGCGCTGCTACGTTGTCTGATCACCTCGCGCAGGGCGGCACATCCGTATGGCCTTCTGGTGCGGCGCGTTTCTTTTCCTGCTATTTCTAGGAGCTTTGCAATCTTGTCAATGCCTTAATTTCGGCTCACTGCCCACAATAGAGCCCGTGAATCTCGGGGTTCGGCGCCACTCCAACTAAGTAAATTCATTATCGAAAAACAATTACTTTTAACTGCCACCGCAAGGAGGGAAGGTAACGTGCACGCTGTCCAACGAGATTGATCAACGCTCTGAGTAGAGCGTCGCCTTGTGCCGTATGTATGCGCGACAATCATATCGAAAATACTACCTTCTTTGTAGTAGAACAGCACTTCAGAGTCTACACCACTCTGCCAGCCAGCTGTAAAGGTTTGGCCAGTAGATGCGCTCCCGCATCTAGGGCTATGCAAATCGATTCCGCATTCGCAGCTACTGGGGTTTCGGGCCACAGGAAATCATAGGTGGGAAAGCGGACATCGATGTACCGTTTCAAGTATTCGTTGTGTTGTGTCGGAGTCGCACCATGGCACATCTTTGAGAAGATGACTTTAGCAACTAACTCATGTTTCATTGTCAAGGCATGTTCTAGTGGATACATCAGTCCTTTATGGTCCTTGAAAATAGCGTCATGAGAGCATCTTCTCCACTATCGGCGCATTGTCGCTTTGCACAGCGAATATGAAGATCCTTTCTCTAAGAGCATCCCCATTCGTCCAGGCACATTAAAAAGATTCTTGTGACAGTAGAGGTCGGTATGGATTTCAGCCATGTATAAGCGTAATCGGCTGTCGGGCATCCTGGTGGGAAGCCTCCGTCGAGAAGCGAGGCGATCACATATGCGGAGTTCTTCCTACGCCAGTCTGCAATATAGAGGTTGCTGAATACAGGCTCTATTGTGGAGAACTTCGAGCAAAGTTTAAACAACGCAGGGTTCAATGGGATGATGTATGTGATCAGTTAATAGTAAAGACAATTTCAGATAGCGCACCATTGCTCATCCTGCGCATATTGATGCCCGGTTACCGGGCAACAATTTTTTCAAGCAGATATCGCATACCAAGGTGTGAACCGGTAATGTGAATACACTGTGGATGCTGTTCGTGAAACCTGTCGTAGGGTGGAGAAGGTGCTTCAAGTCCCCTGCTATATTGCTATAAAAGCAGAAGCTCCACTGCACATCATTTTTCTTAACACGGCCACGAGAACGTAGACAGCCAAAACAGCGCTAAAAAGTGCAATACACTGGCAAAAACATGGAATGGAGTGGTTTCCCGAGCATTCGCCTGTGAAGACGCGCAGGGCCGGTTTCGGTCCGTGGAGCGTTTCGCTTCCCCTTAGACTCCACCACTACACCGCTCATTGCAAAAAATCGCAAAAACATACAACAGCGGGGATTCCACGGTTCTCACGAACCCGAGTACTAATCCGCCGGTACCCTGCTTGTGTAAGGCTGAGCGGACGGGAAGCCCAATTCTCAAGGTCCTATGGTCGTATGTGAAAGAATCATCTGAAATGCGCGTAGATGTAATCTGCCATATAAGCCAGGACTGGTTCTCAAGCTTTTAATCAGCTCTTGGGTTGCGGCAATGCAGCGAGCTCGATCCGTAGTGCCATCATCCTGTCAATGTTTCGTTCAGTTGTTCTTGTATCTAGTGCGCCAGCTTCTACTTCTTCGGTGTACGCGCAAGTTCCTCTAACAAAGAATCGAGAAACGGTTTCTTGTAAGCTATCGGCACGTGCAAGACAGCAGCGCGTGGTTTGAGAAACGAATTTCTGCAAGGCGTATTTGTTTGCCTCAATATCCCTCCTACAACCACAACCGCATATGCAGTCCCTTACCCTGCTTCCCCAGCTTCACCACGTTGTGTAGCTCCGATGCACTCTTATCGATAACCTGTCTCGTATCCAGTGGCAGTGCCGGATGCTCTAGGTCACACTGTCTTCGCGCCCGTCTTCCACTGCAGCGCAGCAATAAACAAGCTAGGCATGGTCAGAAATCCTGTGTACGCGTCGAGATTGTTAGGTTGTATCCAGCTCTTCCAGCTTTGCGTGACGCTTATAAAGGCTAGCATATTCGAAGTCATCCTCAACGCTTGCTCAGCGATAGGTTCTAGCTCGAGTGTCTTGGCCCCCAGTGTTTTTTCGATGATGCCGCCAGGGCTCAGACTGCAGGTCCGACACATCACCACGCCCACAGCGTCCTCCATCCGAGCGAAGACAAAAAGCTGGGTTTGTGCTGTTACCAAAGCGAGCGGGACCTGCAACAAAGTCTAACTGACAAAGAAATTCTAGCGGCTCAAAGGGGGGGGGGGGGGGGGCCCGGGTTTCCATATTGCATATTGTTGCAGAGCACCCTTCCAAAGCTGGAGACGATCAGATAGTAGGCTTCGTTATTAACATGCGCCAAACAATGGTGTGAACCCCGAGTCCCTCGGTGGCAGCCTGTACCGGATGAGGTGGCTATAGCCTTACAGACTCGTGCCTGTATACTCCAGTGTGATGGATTTCTAGACGCCACCCAGTCAAAGTAAGCCAAGCTCCAGCAAGTGCTCTGACAATCACCATCGACAATGAAAGCAGAGTCGTGACAGTTGTTTGGTATATAGGCACGACTACGGGCCGTCGTGGCAACGAGGAATAATCGGCCACCGATCTGGGCGAGCAGCGCTGCCACTAATGCAACTGAGCAGACAAAGTGTGTAGGAAGAAGCTAGTAGTTTGCGAAAGTTTCCAGATGCTGTTTTGATCCGCTCAATGGCTACAGTAATAGTGGAATAGCGGCGAAGACGTTTCGAAGTCGTGGATACGTGGTTTGCAACAATGGGATGCAGATGTCTTCCGAGAGCGACGCTGAGTAGACCACATGTATAGCTGTCTTCAGCCCAAGGGAGCGACCAGAAAATCCAGCTCTTGCTCCATTCTTCGTCTCAATGGAGCGACCGGTCATGCCGAACCACCATGGAGCACGCCCGGCTCATTCTAGAGGGGCAACAGGCATTTCGCATCAATATGGTGAGGGCCTAGAATACAAGCGGCGCTATCCAGCCTTACTTCCTCAAAGTTCTAAGAGATGATAGGTATGAATGGCCTTCATACCTAGCTGGGTTTTTGCGATTAGATCTAGAGGGCTACCACCGTCATTCTTTCATGGGCTCCATAGTGAACAGTGAATTGTGAATGATCTGCTGCTTCTGTGACATCAATCAGCGTGCTCGACCATAGCTAGAATCACGCACAACTTGAGACATCGAAGTCTTCGTTCGGTCCTGTTCGTGTGGGAAATTCTCACCGCGCACAGATCGAGATTCGGAAACAAACCGGACTTCACAACTCCAGAACTCTACACTCCGAACCCACAGCGGTGAATAGCACAGTACTCATGCCCTCCCGCGTGCCTAACTCCGCCGACGCGTCCGTGTCACGAGGGGCCCTCAGCTAGCCCGCGGCACGCGCCCACCTTCCTTCTCGCGGTGCCGATCTCCCGTCAGCCGGGCAAGCTCCAATCAACGCCCTGCAGCTTCCCGGCCCCAGCACCACCGATTCGCCCGTCGAACGCCCATCCAACATGTGCCGCTGGCATCTAGGGCAGAGAGCGCAGAGCCGCGACGAGTATCCAGGACGCGTGAAGGGACAATTTGTGTCTGGGGAGTGTTTCCGCGTTTATGCTTGAGATCCGGAAGTGCCGGATGGGTGATGAAGTAACGGCTTGATCGATCACCCATTGCAGCCTGCTGGCCGCTTTGTCACCGCTCGAAAATCCAACAGCATGCAGTCCATTAGCAGGTCCAAGCTCCGCGATAGATTACAAAGTCTCGCTGCTTCGCTCCGGGCACAGCCCTTGCTCGGAGCGACCCCGCCCTGCCAGCCTACCTGCCTCCGGCCGAGCTTACACACCTGCATCTGCATGTACAAATCCCATGCGCACCTACTTGGCAGCCCTCATCTTCTCCCAAACCTCGTCCAGAATTGAGAGATCCACCGTCAACCGCTTGTTTCGTTTATCTTTAGCAGTGGGTCGGTGGAAATAGGGTTATGCGCTTGTGAGCTGGGCGACCTGGAACCAGATGCATGACGTAGGCTTTCGCGGAAAGATTCAGGCCAACGACGGAAAGCCCGGATACGTAGGTCTGCGCGCGCGCAAATCAATTCTGACGCGACGACCGGTGTGGAACATACAAAACGCTTCGGTGCCTCGCTTCTGCTTGCTTGAAAGATTCCGCGTGTTCCACGCTGCGCGTCGTTATGAGTTTCCTTGATGTTCCGCAGGGCCGGTGAGTTAACCACCGAGATATCGCGAAGGCTTGTCGCGTTGGGGTTGTAGCTGATTATGTTTATAGTGCCCTCGCGATTTTACTGCCGTCTGTGACGCTTATGGCTCATGCTGCCACCTTTGTCGTGCTCGAAGCCGTCTTCGCTGAATCCTGGTGTTCTTCATGGGTAGCCACATATGACCTCGTTGCTGCTGCCGCGAGTGTCGTCGGGTTGCTGGGTGCTGTCCATGTACGCCGAGTCCCCGAGTCTTGCGTGCCAGGAAATCCGATGTAGACCGGATCGCTAACACGCAGCAGAAGCGGCACATCCTCATATCCGCATATCTCCTCGTTCATTCCGTCACACTATCACTGATCAGTACCGTACTGCTGATGAACGTCCTACCATCTTCATTCGCGTCGTTTATCCCATACCTATCGCAGTTGCGACACGGAGACAACTTTGAAAGAGGCATGTGCCAAGACCTTGACGATGGTTTTGGATGGGATGAACGGTGGCTTAACGACTGCGCGTCGAGTTTCGACACCCTAAATAGAGGTGCCATGTGGGTTGGTGTGGTTATGATGTCTGCCCAATGGCTGGTCCTCATTAGTCTTGGGCGTTGGCTGCGAGAAAAGCCTGCCAACTCATACATGGTCTTTGACGTGGAAAAGAGACGAGAGAAGGACATTGATCAAGACTACAAAGAATAGAAATACAACAAAGGAATTGAACAAAGCAATAGGAAGTGCCACGGAAAGACGATGACGAAAGTCTATACTGGCATCGTGCAAAGAAATCCTCCGATGGTGGTGTACTTGTCGAAGTCGATTGCTCTGGGAGCTATTCGTTCTCCGATGACCATAACCAGCTTCGGTACGATCTAGGAGTATTTCAATATCCTAGCTAGCCACATCTTGATATCGGACCGGTAAAACTATGATAAACCTCTCTGGTGTGGCGCCTAGCACCGTGTCAGCCCACGCATCACAACGCACGCCTCGAACCTTATTCCGACCTGCGCCGACGGGACAGAGCTCACCTGGATCCCAACACGCTTCTTGAACATACAACCGCCCTCCAATCTTCTCCCGCTGGTCCTCGTTTGATCCGGCCGCAACGTTTCTCCAGAAATAAAACTTCTTGCATTCAATCTTGTTGTTCAGAAAGCGGGTGTACGTCCGGACCATCTTGTGCCCACAACTGCTACACCCGCAAGTGCATTCGTGCCAGCCGTCGATACAACCGTTGTGCATACACATCCTTCTCACATTACTCACCCATTCGTTTCTCCCGCTAGAATCGGTCCGCACCACTCGTGCAAGGCGACCAACATGCCAGGCGCAGAAAGAGTCTGGGAGCTCCACGACTTCTGGGCGGGGACCGTCTTGATCGAACGCAAGGGACAAACACGCCGGACTACTCGAGGAAGAAAACTGAGACTTTGGGTATGTCTTCTTGCATAGCATACATCGTCGCTGCTGGCGGTCCTCGTCTGGCAAGGTGCGATGCCTTTCGATGGCGAACCGAGCGCATCGGTCTAGCGTGCGGTTTCTCAGACGCGGTATTGCAGGTAAAGTGTTGTTGAGTATCGAGTGAGTGAGCTTGAGTGCCAGGATGCCGTCCACGGGGAGGAAGTCGCTAAGTTCGAGGAGTAGCTCTGGAGGCAGCTGCAAGAGGTATGGTGGGGTTGACATGCAGCACATCGTCTGTTCGCGATCTGTGTTTAGCGCTCAGAGAGAAGCAATGGACCCGGGGAGGATTTGGAGATTGAAGAAGCAGAGAGGGGCGACAGGGTAAATTCATTCAATAAGGCAAAGTGTGGCAATATAGCCCTGTGCGGCGTGGTTTGTTGTGCAAGTAAACACCGTCTTTGACTCTGGATGTCACAGAACCAAACTAGAAGTCGCGTGGCCAACGGTGTGGGAAGCCGTGACTGCAACATTCCACTCCCATGGTGGTCGCAGGTCGTTCTGTGAGCCGGCACAATGACCGCAAGCCATGCTGATGTGAGTCTTCCTTCTGGTGTGAATGTGTCCGAGTTTCATATGCTGTTTGGGTGATCCGTGGCTGCGGTCGGCTCAACGGGCGGCTGTTTGACCCATGAATTCGCCCATACTGGCATATGGGCATTGCTGTATTGAGGGTTTAGGCATACTTTCAAGGTCTTCAGAAGCCATGGTTGGCCTTTGAGACATATTCGTGGCCATCTCCACGCGTGACGAGGGGCTGTGACTAGACAATGGGGCACAAACAAGAGGGATGTGGTCACGAGTGCGATGGTGTAAGCTGGGGCGACATGTAAATATATAGTCAACTGCGTTTCGAACTCTGCTTGAGCCATCGGATGCAAGTGTACACTTGTACAGTGTAGGCGAGGAGACGCGGGAACCTATAGGTGGCAGGGATTAGAGCCGTTAGCCTGAAGGAAGTCCGAAGCGCGCAACATGCTCGTCCTGGTGCTCCTCCGGCGGCAGCCCAACTCTTACGGTATGTATTGATAGCATCCGCCGATGCCCGGCCGCACGGTGCTCTTTATCCCTTGGTTAAGACGTGCGACAAGTGAGACTGCTGCAGGCTGTACGAGCTGACCTCCGCAGCGACCGGAGAAGCGTCTGTAGGGCTCGAGCACGGCAGCGTGGCCGATCTCTGGCGTACCAACGATGCGCTCCAGCTTTCAGGGTTGTGCTGGCTACGGTCGCCTACCTGCAGTTCTCCATGAGTGAACGGTCTGTCAGCACGGTTCGCAGCTGGGCATCGACACTTTCGCACCCACACCGACTGTGCTGTCTGAACAAAGTTAGCTCCTGTTGCGGAAGCGCTGTAACCGCAAACAAGAGGTGGCTGCACGCTCCCAACTGCTTCTGGTATCAACGCCGCACACCGTCGCTGATGGAGAGCTGCACATCGCAATCGTCCGCGATGGGCGAGATGCACCACATGGCCAGATATTGCGGCAATTCTCACGATCACGATCGCAAATCATCCCGTCTTCGATGCGCGCCGAGGTGCGAGGATTGATGGATGGCGCGCCCGCTGCGAATGAATGTCACAGATGAAAGCCACAGCAGGACTTGCAAGATCCGCAAGGTGAACTACTTTCTGCCACGGCCAGCTCATTGGCGCCGTGCCCGTCCGTCAAGACACGGTCAGCGTCAAAGGTGGGCTGCGTTGATCACACTGGCAGCAGTGAAGCTCCTGCCGAAGCAAGACGGCGTAGGCAGCCCGAGTATTGGTTGGTGGTGGAGGCGGGGTGGGGTGTGCAGGTGTGCCATGCCATCCCACAGCGTTTCTTTTCAGACTTCGTGTGCAGTAGCGTGCAGCAGACGGGCAGACGCTCGTTCTTCGCCGGGGAGCGGAGCGTTTGCAGCGTGCAGACGCAGGACGGGCTGTTGGGCTGAGCATGGCGGCTGTCAAGGCAGCATCGCTCGTAGACACATGCACATCCCCTCGACTCGAGAAGTGTCCCAGGAAACGAGCCCACGCGCCCACGCGAAAAGGAGGCCGGCGCGCAATGTACGCACGACGACGGGCGCCTGCGACGGCGAACGGCTGCCGGGCGAGATAGGAATCGCTAGCCAAGCGTGCTGCGCGCTTGAGATGCATGTCCCGCAGTGGATGGAGGCTGCGCCAGGCTCCTTCTCGGACGTCATCTGCAGAGTGGCCGCCTGTCCGGCAGTGCTCTGGCAAACGGCCACAGTTGCAACCGGGCAGCGGAGAGGGCCACGGCGGAGCGTCCGAGGCAAGGCTGGCGGACCCTGGACTTTGTTGCGCGGAGACGGTGGTGAGAGAGCGGGAAGCAAGCCTAATTGCGTGCATTCTACGTGGGCCCGTGAGCTAAGCCGAAATTTAAGAGCGAGCTGCGATATTTAGTTCGCGGACCCCCTGGGACGGAGGAAATTGAGGCTTTCACACGCGGCGTTCTCCACACCTCCCTTACCCTCGAGTCCTGCACTCTCTCGCCGCTTTCACTGTGGGTGAATAGCTGGGCTGTCGCTCCTTCGTGCTTGTTGTACGCCGTGCGAGTTGGACCTTTCACTCTCCCCTGCCCTAGTAAGCCTCCCACCCGACGGCTTGCGGCGCGACCCAGACTCTGGGGAAAATCTCTGCGACCCTGATCCCGCTTCCGCACACTCCTTTGTCTGTTTGTTATGCTGCCACCTCGCGCTGTGTGATCGCAATTGAGCGCTTTGTGAGACTGACCGTTTGTCAAGGTGCGCCTTCCGCCTCCGGACTTCCCCGATTCCTCCGCTACGGCCTCGATATCCTGGCTTCCGAGCAGTAATCCACACCAAACGCCCACTCGCAGCCATGGCCTACTACCAGCAGGACCCGTCGTCCTCTTGGCCAGCCCCCGGCCGACAGGCATCGTGGGAGCAGCCGCAGCCACCGTCGCGCTCAGGTACGGGACCTCGCTGGAACGCAAATACCACGGGCAGAACATAACAGAAACCGCAGGAGCAAGCTCGACAGTCAATCGCGACGAATTCAGTGCTTTTGCTTTCGCCTCCCAGTTTGAGGGTATGTCCACTCCTACCTGCATCACCGCCGCCATCGAACGCACTTCATCATCTGCGAGGATTGGGCGTCTTGAAAGCAAATCATGGGCGGACATGGGCTGATGTGTGTTGCAGACGTCGAGCGGGCCATCGAGAACCTGGCGAAGAGCGGCGCGGGCAAGGGCTTCGGCTTCCCACAGTATGCAGGCCGGCGCGACTCCATGCCCGTTGTGGGCGGAGGTCCGCGCCCACAATACCAACAAGACTTCGGTACGGCCCACGCACAACTACCACTCAAGCCCCGGCTAACGCCAGCAGTAGACTCGCGCATGAGCGGACCGCAGCGTCACCACTCCGTGAGCGAGTACGATGGATCGCGCTCCCACTCGGCGTCGAACGTTCAGGGCTACTACCAGAACCAGCGCAACTACGGTCCTCGACCCAACGATGCCGACCAGATGGCGCAGGCCAAGCGTCGCATGGCAGCCCAGCGTGAGCGCGAGCTACGCAATTACCACCAAGAACAGCAGTACCATAGAAGTAAGGACTCGGAATCTGGGCAACAATAGTAGAAGGATGGTGGTTAACTAGGGTAATGCAGATGTTTCTGGGTCCAAATCCGACCGCTCGATGAGTCCCAATGCGAATACGATGAGTGAAGAGGAGCGCCGCGAGCTCATTGCCCGCCAGCACCGAGCATTGTACGGCGAGTCGTCCCAATTGTACAATAACAACCCCACGTCGAGCCAGGATGTCCGCGTTTCTGGAGCCGGTCGCGGGCCCTCGCCTCTCGCATTTGATCCGTTTGGCATGCAAGCTTCCGGCGCTACTGGAGAAGCCCCAGTTCAGATGCCAACACGAGGCGACAAGGATGCTGCTGGCGGTGCGCAGGAGGCCCGTGCTAACAGCAACTCGTCTCCTGGCTCGGGCCAAAACCCAGCCTTTGCCCTCTTCGACAATGCTCAGCAGGCTAGCCGCACCTCTAACTCGTCCCCTGGCGGATCGCCTCCCCGGCAAGGCTCCAAAGTGAACGGCTCTGGGGTCGCACCCATCGGCACGCGTCCCATCACCAACCAAGGCCAACCCGCTGGTTCTTCTCTCAGCAAGGGCCGGACTACGCCTCTTCCGTCGCCCCTTAGCTACAACTCTTACAATGCGAGCGAACAGAATGCCAATGCCAATGCTACCACGTCTGCGTCTTTGAATCCATCCTCTACGGTCACGGATAACAAAAGCGTCGGTATGGGCTGGAACAAGGGCCCTTGGGGCAGCACCTCCAACCAAGGCGTGCAAGCCTCTGTTTGGGGATAGTGCAAACAACATCTTACCATTTTTGAGATCGGGAGTTTGATGCACAATCCGGAGTTTCTGCATTTCAGGTGTCCCGGGCATATCACACAGCGTCGGTCTTTGAAACTGGGTGGAACAGGTATCTTGGGCGGTCGGTGAAACAAAAATTACCCTGGGGATCAGTCTCACTTCACGGGCGTACTTGCATCTGACTGCGGTTGGTCAAAGATAATATACCTTTTTGAACGGGGCTACAACACGGGGTGTTTTGAATGTTGGGATCTATCTCCAGGATGGTTCTGTTATTGGATTGGGATCTGGTGGGGAGTTTGGGACGGATGATTTGACTTTTCTAATCGTATCTGGGAGGTTGAAAGGGCAACCTCTCTACTGCAAGGAGACGGTTGCCTCTGGCTCTGGATGACATTTTGGGACTCTATTCATGTAAAGGACTCGGCAACATCTGGCGTAATGAAAAAACTCTTGGGGCATTCGTTGCACACTCTTCTGTTATTGTGCTAATGTCTCGTAAGGAGCCTAGTATGGCCATCGACGGTACTTCGCTTATTTGCTCACTACGAGTAGGTCACCACACAGGGGACCTCGGGAGGGTGTGTACCACTTGATTCAGACACGGGAAAAGCGTTAGTTGTGCTTAGGCTCGAAGCTAGTTGCAGTGCTTCGGGGAGAGATGGCACGTGACAGGACCGTGCGGCTCCTTCCCCATCAGCGAGCCCCGGTCACGCTAACCCTGACCAACCCCAGCGGACCTTCCAATGTTCTAGGTGGCCTCTGTAGCACTTCGAACGACCACCTCCATCCACGCCAATTCTCCCGCTATCGCCCTCCCACCTCTCGGTCCAGTTTTTTTTCGACGGTATATCACGCAAGGATCAATCATGGTGAGTGAGCCGAATTTGGAACGTTTGTGGGCGGGCCTGGAAAGCGAGAAGCTGGTGGGCATGCGATCGCGGCGATGCGTGCGCACGTACAAGGGCATTGAGCAGAGGGCAGCAACCTGCTGCTACCATTTTGCTGGCTGTATGCAGTTGCTCTCGTTGCCGTGCTGTCTATGAAGTCGAAACTCGTGCTACCATCACCGTGGCCATGCCTGTTCACACGTCGCGAGTTCTCTGGCAAACATAGAGCTGACAGATCGCCGCAGTCTTCACCACGACCAACCTCCCCCGTCAACAACGCGGCTGGCTCCACCACCGCGCGGCCTTCGTCTCCCAAGCCCCCGGGCGGCCCTGCAACCGTGATGAGGAGGAAGGCGGCTGCGGACCGTGCGGAGAAATCGGCGAACCAGAGACCTAGCAGCACGAGGGCGGCTGGCGCAGGAGGAAGCTCCAGCACTATGCTGAGTAAGTGAACATCTCCAATTCCTGCATGTTTCGGTTCGAACGATTTGGGCCATACGATGGTGGTGGATCAGCCGACGATGGATGGACCAGGCGCACCCATGGCGAAAATGACAGCAGCTAATGTGTAGTACAGGGCTCTACACCGACGAGTCGCCCGGGCTCAAGGTCGACCCTGTTGTGGTCATGACCCTGTCTGTTGTGTTCATCTTCTCCGTTGTCGCTCTCCATGGTACGTCTACCAATCCCAATAATCACTCCGCTTCTGACAAATTCGCAGTCATCGCCAAGGTCATGCGCAGGTTCTCCGCATAAACACCCGATCTTCCACACGATCACAACTACACGTTTTATACTGGTCGGCGCTCTGCTGCAGCGACACCATCTTTTCTATCGCCACACCCACCTCTCCCTCTCCGGCGGCTACTGGCGAACCTAAAAATGCTGGGATAGTATTGGGTTCGGAATACCATGATTTTTGTTTGCGAATGGGGAACTTGGGCCGTGTCTTGGTAGCATTTGGCATGGTGTATGATAGGTTTTCAATGGAAATCGAAAATGGCGACATATCATGGTGCAGAAGTGTTCGAGGTCGCTCCGAATGTACTCCTGTGTGCTTAATGTGCTAATCTCTCGGTATAGGAGTAGTACTTATATTTGCATTTGCCCCAAGGTTCAAGTTCCGCACCAGATGTTGATATGTGGTTGTCCGATGCATGCATTCCACAAAGGAAAATGAGTGAAAATCACAGCATTATGAGCAACTTTTCTACTGTCTGCAAGACATTCCGTATGAACCACGATGATCTTCACTATTCTTGAAGCCCGTGCAATGTCATCCAATCGTTTTTCCGTCTCTTCAGTCTACCTCGGCCACTTGTACACTATACATGCTGGATGTCTTAGTCCGGACGACAATGCAAATCGTGGCAGCCGGCGTGCTATGTCTCCAGATCTTGCTTTGGGGCTATTCTCGACGAGGCTGTGCCTTTCGTCTGTGTAGCCACATACTTTGCACTCAGAGATAAGCTGCAACTTTTAGCTTCCAGAATCTCAATTCTTGATTTTCCAGTCTCCCGACTGGATTCCAAGCCACTTCTACCTCATATTGTCATAAGGCAGGTCATTTGCAATCGCCATGGTTGCCCTCCGCACCGCTCCAATCAGCGCAACGCCCATCCGCAACCTCTACATCTCAGACATCTCAGACATTACGGTCCCTAACGACCCAAATGTGTTCCAGCAGCGCAACATCACGCACATCCTCATTCTGACCCATGACCGCGACCGACCCACACCCGAACCATACATCAACCCCTTCCACGTCCCCATCGAAGACGACCCCACGAAGGCATCGTCTGCCTTCTCGAGGATGTGTACGCCTAGATCGCGTCCGCGCTTGCCCGTGCTCTCGGCCCAGAAGTAACGGGAAAGCGCGACGCCAACGTGTTGGTGCACTGCGTTTAGGGACAGACGCGGAGCGGCGCAGTAGTGATGGCGTATGTGATGCGCGCTCAACATGCCGTACGAAGCGCAGCGGTTCGGGAGAAGTGGCCTGGGGCTTTGCTCAACTGTGGATTTACGATGCAGCTGCGCCTGTGGGCGGGTTGGGGATATAGTGTGTATGATGTTGTAACGAAGGGAAGGGCGTAAGGAGAGGATGAGGGGGTGGGGGCATTTTTTTGCGGTGGCTAACGCTGAAGGAGGAATAAATGAGAGAAATGATTTGTTGATTGAAATTCGACGTCGATGAGGGACGGCCGCTGGCTGATGTTGATACCTTCGATACATGATATAGCGCGTGGAAATGACGTATGGCACGATGATGGTTTGCATTGCTTCGTATGGCACGAACGGTTCTTCGGGTTTGGCTTTGGCGGATATGGCACTTCACGGCGCATACCTGAATCCCTCCACCCCTTCCAGTGTCTTCCCCGTCTCGTCCGCCAGCCGGTTCTGCCGCTTGAAATACATCGACATGCAGATCGTGACGATGGAATAGAGGATCTGCATCGCAATGGTGGCCCACATCCCTGGAAGATATTGCTACACCAGATCAGCCACAGTCTTGCGCCAAACAGGACACGATCGAAATCACTCACCGGCGCATCCTTGGCTTGGAAAATCGTACTCCCCGTCACGCCTCCTGCCGCACCCACACTGATCATCACCGCCGCCACAACAGCGCGCTTCGAAACTCTGGCAGTCTGATTGTTCCCGTACGCCAGGCTAGCAGGCACATTGCCTTGCGTGCCCCATGTCGCAAGAAACAGCCCGAAGTAGCGTGCCGCTGGAGGCTGCGGGTACAGCACGAGAAGCAGACCTACGATCGCAATCACGGACTGCCCGACGAGAATCGGCCAGCGCAGACGCAGCCTGTCCGACAACCAGGACGTGCCGAGGGAGGCGAAGACGGTGAAGATGTAGGGCGGTGAGGAGAGGAGTTGGGCTTTTGCGTAGGAAAAGCCCATGCCTTGGCGGAGGATGATGGGTTGGAAGAAGGCGAGGGAGTAGACGCTGGAGGCAGCGACGAAGTACTGGATTGAGCTGTAGGCGTTAGTATATCGTGGGGGAGGTTTGCGGCTAGCAAGTGAAGTGTGGTACTGACTACATGAGCAGCTTCCAGTCCCAGATCATACGGAGAGTCTCTGCGACGGTGGCGTGGGCGGTTTGTTGGCCGGCTTTTTCGAGAGACACGCGCGTGATGGCAATATGCTTTTGACGGTCGGTCAAGAAGCGGACTTTCTCAGGGACTGGGTGTGTCAGAAGTTTTGTGTCATTGGAGAGTGCAGATCTCACATTCGATGAGGAAGAACGGCGCGATCAAGCCTGCAACAACGGTGGCGATACCTTCGATGATGAAGATCTGATGACGGTTAACACGCATTCCGTTGTGCAGAGTTGGGCGCTCCGCGACCTACCCAGCGCCAACCCTGGCTGTACAGACCGTCGCCAACGCTGATGAGCGAAAGCGCATACGCAAACTGTTAAGTGTCAGCCTGTCTCACCAGAACAAAGACCTGCCCAACTGACGATCGGTCCGAATCCAGAAGCCAACAACGCCGCCATGTAGAAGATGGACACCCGCTTCGCGGTCTCAAATTGTCGATACCACGACCCAATGATATACACTGCACCAGGAAAGACTTTGCCGCGTCAGCACTCCAGTACAGCAGAGAGGAGCAAAACCAGAGCCAACTCACGCCCCGCCTCGAACACGCCCAGAAATGCACGCAGCACAGTAAGCACCTCCCAGCTCTGGACAAACCCCATACTCAACACGCACGCACCCCATGCGATGATGAGAAATGATAGCCACAGTCTCGCGCCCAGGCGGCGGATCACGTAGTTGGATGGAAGCTCGAAGAGGCAGTACCCAATGAAGAAGACCAGCAGCGCGATATTGTAGCGCTGCCCGGTGAGTTGCAGGTCTGTCGCAAGACCCGCGATGTAGGCTGAGGAGATGTTTGTCCGGTCCAGGAGGGAAAGGCCGAAGACCTAAAAGACAAGTTGGGTTAGATGGCAAGGCGGAAGGGTGAGAGATGGGACACGGACGATGCACAGCATTGGAAAGACTCTCCAGTCGGCTTTCTTCACTATCGCGCGCTCTTCTTCTGCGGTCCAGTCCTGCTCGGGGGTCGCATCATTGTCACTGTGGGCGGGTGGGATGTGTGCCTTTTCGACGTGGTCGACGTCAGTCTTTTCGTCGATGAGCATCGTTTGTGAGGTTTGCGGTAGGTAGAAACACCAGATTTTCGACGATATACAGTTGGACCTCCCAGAATCAGGGATCGTGCTCGCATTTGTATCCCATTCATCCAGTCCAACCTGCTTTCTCCCCGGGTCTAGGTACTCTGCCTCGCCCCATCGCGCCTTCTCGACACGAAACTAAATCCAGAGCACCGTGTATTGTGGAGCGACAAGGACCCATCGGCAGACCGCCCTCAAATCACAGCGACAGTCCAGACCTGCAATCCGCATGGTCTGTCTTGGCTAAGTCCTGGCACTCATATGTTGCCCAGCTGCCAAGTATATTCCCCGCACAGTTCGGTGGAAAAGCATGACACAAGTCTGGGGTACAAGAAATCCGGGGCTGTGATGTAGATAGCCTATCTCGGAATAAATCATTCGAGTGAGCTGCGCTGACTCGAAAATCTGACGAGTTCAGATACGAAGTTGTGGCCCGAAGTTGTGGACGACTCGACGAGTTCGAGTCGGTGAGAGCGAGTCGACGACACCCATCCTCAATGACAGCCACAAATGCGTGCAGTGTGAGTCTATACTTCGCTGAAATAGAAATGTACACTAGCACGAAGTATCTGCCTGGTTGCATCCTTCTATGTCTGATATAGCCATACTACTACATGCAATTGAAGAATGAACAATACATGTCTGAGCACTCAGGTGACGGAACTTAAAACAGTAAGCCTCAAACGTTGGCATCCGGAAACCATTATCTTGCCTTGATCTTGCCAATCAACATGTCTAATCTCCAGACCCATATCCATGCGTCTCCAATGCTATGCTTCCAACTGCTACAAATTATCAAACAGTTCTATACTTCATAGCAGCCATTTCCAGCTTCCACTGACCAGTTGGACGGCTTCTATCCCATTATACTAAGACAGAAAAGGCCGCGGGACCATCTGTGCGACTAAAGGTTACTCCGTATTCTCCAAGCTAATGTAGCCATACGACTCGACGCCCCGCTAGCACAAATCTACCTACCTCCTTGAACAATCTACCTTGGCTTTGCAGAGACCAGCCAACGATCGGCGGCTTCGAATTCTCACCCTCGAGTCCCTGAGTGCCATTGCCCTAGATTACTCGTGCAACCCTCCTCGGCAACGCTAATTACGCGGACGCAAGAACAACATCCAGGCAGCCGAATCAGTACCAGATGCTTCACACTCCCGAGAAGGCCTGCAGCCGATAAAGTAATAATATGCGAGATATAAGGAGTACCCCTACTGGATAGATAGTCGGACCCCTATTCGAGAATATTTTGAGCCGAAGAGATCGGGTTCCACCTGTACCCGTCAAAGTATAGAGGCCGTCAATAACATGATACAAGGAATTCATCCGCGTAGAGGAAAGGAAACTAGAAACCGCCCGCGCCGCGACAAGGCACATTGCCTAACAACGTCAGATACAGGGAACCCTTCCGAGATAGAGAGAGATCAGATGTCGCCCATGCTGCTAGCATAAACAATCCACTACGACAGGATTTTTTTGATTTTTGATTTTTTTTGAAAACCAGCGAAACGGTATCAGATACCACCCATGCAGTGCTAGGACAACCATTACTACCAGGGCAACATGGATCGAATGGCCACATACGAAAGTGATGCCAAATACTAGAACGAGATCCAGCGATGGCCATCAGCCATATGAGCGAAGCAGTAAATCGTTCCTGGGAGAGAATACACAAAGGACGCATCTTACGCACCACGGCTACCCCCTCGACTCTCCATTCCAATGCCCCTCCCTCTTGCTCTCACACAGCCATCTGAACATCGCGGATGACTATCTCAAAAGTCAATTAGCACTCTTCTACCACCTCTTCCCACTACAGAAAGGAGAAATCGAAGCCAGAAGAACAGGGCTTACCACCGAGCCCCTATTCACACCGCCCCCTGTATATCGCTCACCCGTCTGCTGCGCTTGATCGGGCCTATTCTGGCAGTGTTACTTAGCTCGAGATAGTAGCAGAGGTATATAGAATGCAGAAGTGTAGACAAACCCTTTGTGGGGGGTTGGCGGCGGTGTGACCGCCGTCTCGAGGCTGGGAGGGGTCCGTGGTGGTGTTTGTGGGGCGGGACATGGTAGCGGGACGATTCGAAAGAGACTTGAATTGGGTGCTGCAAGGCAATGGAGTGGATTTGGGGTTAGATCTCTTGAGTTGGTCGTGGAACAGGACAGGATTTAATCGATAACCCACACAAGGAATCGTGGCAGTTGGTAGATCGAATCACTGAGTGGAAGGAGGTAGGGAAGTATCTGGACTTTTAGAAGACTTCTAGGTGGAATCTTTTGGGTGACGCCCCCGAGGAATGATATTTTATGACTTAGACGAACAATGACGTCTGAATGGAGAAGTTAACAAGAGCATGGAGCAAGGGAGACAGCCGTAGTATTTAAACATTACGATATCAAACAGATTTCTGCAATTTCATCTTCTCCATAGACTACCAAATGTCAGTGCATATCCCAAAGAGGCAGTGGCTAAGGGTACCACACGGATTTATGTTGAACGCTAAGCGCGGTACAAAGTCAAAAGGCCAATCATCGAGTGAAACGCGTACGACGGCCCTACAGCGATTGTCCAAAGCGTGATGTTGCGACAGACAGACGCAGAGGGCTGACGCGTAGCGCGCATAAAGCATTGAGGGTTACCTAGAGGCAGAGTCGATCACAGTATGGAAACTTCTACCGTCGAATAACCTGTCAGCTATTTGCTGTGGTACGGCATACCTGTGTGTGTACCGCGAGAGAGAACGAGATCCGTCGTTCAGGCACAGCGCGTATTACAGCATCAATTTGCGGTGATACCGTGTAGCCTGGAATTACGCTGCACTGTTAACCACTGACTTCACGGCTGGATTGTAGAAGCCCATGCAAGTGTGCGGCTGGAGCGAGGCTCGTGCGGTAAAACACAGACGGAACAATTGGTAGCTGTGAGATACACGTGATGATCACCCAGGAATCTGTTTTCGCCGTTGATGCAGGAGAGCAATGTGAGCGGTGTGCGCAATTGAAGTGCGTGTGCCTTGCATGTGTGCATAACACAAATTTATTATATGCACGTGTTGGTATGTGACAGCTATCCATGACTGGACTGGTATGATCGTCTAGACGTCGTGCAGATTTGAAATGTCGTGAACGCCCAGAATACTGGCTGAGTCAGACAGGTATGTGCCTGGGGAGACCCTTCGTTCCTGTAGGTTCGGCTCCACAGAGATGACGGGAAGCTGCAGGGTCCGTGAGTCGTTCGCATATCGAGTAAGACAGGTAGAAAGCACCGTTGAACGATTGGACGAATGCGTCTCGCTTGCACATACTTTTACGGCAATATTGCAGACATATGAATAAGACTTCTCGCAGAATCCCTAGTGCTTCTTTTGACAAACACTAGAGCGGCATATATTTCCGGTACGTGTGATTGCATGTCTTGTTCGTGCGCTTTTGAATCGTGTACTGGAGGTGCACTGTGTATGCGAATGCTTTCGGATTGAGTCTAGTGCGATGTCGTCGCCAGCGTTAACATATTGAGAATGCGTTTAGTATGCCGAATCGGGAGTGTATAAATGAGAAGCTACTCGGCGGGTCATCTAGGCACAGGCTTGTTTCCAGTAGACCCCATGACGGCCTACATGATTGAGCGCCGAATAGACAATCGCTTTGCGAGCCGCAACCCATGCATTGGCCATCGCAGGAGTTCTAAGTTACTGTAAGTAGTACGAAACTACCTCATTGCCGTACCATTTTATGGCGATGTTCTCGTGCGATCTAATCCACTTTCGCAATTGAGATTCGCCGAGGCTGTCCCACCGCGGGTCTAGGAAGCTGGAGACTAGGGAGTTTGGTCTCTCCGAGACTGGACGAAGTGCTCGTACGTGATCTGGAATGCATTGCCGGACCTCATTTACAGTCAAATCTAGAGGTAAGCCCTGGAAGAACGGGATAGAGTATCTTGGCTTTAATCTCGGGCCTTGAGTCTGGAGGCATGAGTCAGTGTGATACACGAGAACACAAGCTCCTGAACCGTGCATACTATGACGCGGTGAATGGTCGCCTTAACAGCTCCTTCCGTAGCAGCTTCGAACGCGTTTCCGAAATTGACGACAAAGGTGCCTTCAATAGGCGGAGCACGTATCCAGCTGCCACTTGCATCGAGTACCTCCAAGCCCTCTTCCTCGCCGACTTGATGGAGGAAAGTTAACCAGCCACTGCTATCTTTGTGTGCACCCACACCTTGATTTTCACGAGCAAGGCCACTGGGTAACGCTGGATATTTCACTAGTTTGATCCGATGCTGTGGCGGGACGTGATGCTTATACGCGGCGTTGCTCGCCGACGTTAGCCGCTGAAAAAAAGCATCGAATGTCCCTACAGGTATATCGAAGGCCTCCTCGATGAGGTGCACAAACCGATACGACAGCGCTTGCAATTCATCGTGGTACCTTGAATCCAGTCAGCTTCGTCATTATTGAAGCTCAACGGAAATAGAATTGCTAACTCTAGAAATGCTTTGCGGAATCCTGGAACATTCTTTTCGTATGGCCACTGATTGGGTCCACGGAGCCGGTAGTAAAGTTTGCTAAAGTCCTTTCCCTCGCTTGTATCCGACGTTGAACCTTTGGGATCGTAAACAATAGGTAGCTCGGTAGCAAAGTCAAATTGCTCTCGAAGATCCTTCTGACCAAGAGTAACCTCTTCTGCGAAACCACTATATCCTAGGAAATGCGGGGAGTTCATCTTAGAGAGCGAAGCCTTGGCCTCGTTAGTTTGGTCGAAGAGAGCCGGGAGAAGCGATGTCAAAGCTTTGATTTTCTCTTGAGGAATTCCGTGGTTCTTGATATATAAAAATCCGACGTTGAAAAGAGCATCATGAAGCTGCCCGAGCAGTTGCTGTTTCTGGTGCAGACTGTCTGCCATAGAGAGGTCCAGGATGGGCAAGGCTGCCGTCTCAGACATCATGGTTGCGTGACGCCAATATTATCCGTTTGTGACGCAAAAGATCGTGACAAGTGACTTCGCTCCAAGTCACAGCGCATGTCGAGGTACTCACATAGGAGTGTCCGCATGCTGCAAACATGTGAATGCCATCCACGAAAGCAGTTGACCAGATGACGTGCTGAGGGGTGGCTGGTAAGTCCCGTGATAGTGGCTGTGGTGGCTCGTGAGGAAAGCGCGACCAGCGCGTGGGGTCGTTACTCGTTGCCTTGGCCGCCCCGCGCTGATGAGCGCCCCTCCAACACCTTACAATCTCTCCGCCTCACAGTCAAGCGACCGAGTTTATTATCCTTCACTTACCGAGTCCATACATTTACACGCCGTCATGGCCTACAACTTCGTGCGCTCGTATATCGACACGTTCCGGGAGCGAACCGCCGCCATCAGCCACACATCCACCTTTCGCGAAACCGGTCAGATCACACCAGAGGAGTTCGTCCTCGCCGGCGATTTTCTCGTCTTCAAGTTTCCCTCATGGCAATGGGCCGATGCATCATCTCCTTCGAAACGCGTCCCATATCTGCCTGAAGGAAAGCAGTTCCTTGTCACTCGAGGAGTGCCCTGCAACCGCCGCCTTGACGACAACTTCGCTGGAGAGGCCGGCCAGGACGAGACGTTGGTACGCGACGGCTTCGCCGCTGGCGATGCCGACGATGACGGCTGGCTGAGGACCGGTGGCATGAACGCGAGCCAGGAAGCAAAGGTGCGGGACGTGCAGACCGTGGACGAAAGCGGGAACCTGGGAGCTGCGGACGATGAAGACGAGATCCCAGACATGGAGGATGAGGAAGACGATGACGAGGCAATCATAAGGGAGCCTCAGGGCGGTTCAGGCGCGTCAGGGTAAGTTCCGACCCTTTGGACACTGGTAACGCATGGGACTAATCGATCAACAGACCAGCACGCACGTACACACTCTACATCTGCTATTCCGCCCACTACCGCACACCCCGCCTGTATCTCTCCGGATATGGCTCAACTTCGGTACCGCTCAATCCCCATGAAATGATGGAAGACATCGTTGGCGACTACAAAGACAAGACCGTCACGATCGAAGACTTCCCGTTCTTTGAGCACGCAGTGAAGACAGCATCGGTCCATCCCTGCAAACACGCCTCGGTCATGAAGGTGTTGCTCGACCGTGCAGATGCTGCCTTGAAGCTGCGGCTGGCTAAGCTCAAGGCAGGCAAAGATGTCGGCAAAGTCGATAGCGGCATGGAAGGCCTGGTGGACGACACTAAGCTGCTGAAGCTCACTGAGCAGTCGAAGAGCAAAGCTGGCGAGGACAGTAAAGAAAAAGGAGATGACTGGGAGGTCTTGAGCGAAGGCGAGGAGGACGAGGTCGCTATTCGCGTCGATCAGTATCTCGTGGTCTTCCTCAAGTTCATGGCAAGGTCAGTGATCCAACTTTCAAGTGTAGAGCATAAGTATTGACATATGATAGCGTGACGCCGGGTATTGAGCATGACTTCACGATGGGTGTATAGTCGCCGCTTTCCTTTGCTTCATCTCAGCTTTTGTCAATATCGGTTCAGCATTCACGTGGCGGCATATGGGCGGTGTTCCTTGGCACAGGCGTTGGGTATTTCGGGCAGTTTGTGGCATATAAGTTTCGGAGGGATATGACTGGCACAGGATGGCGGATGTTTGGGTTAACATGGTCGTCCTAGCGAGAATCTAACATTCATAACGCACACTTCACTGACTAGAAACGAGCATGAACTAGTGTTGAACCCCAAAAACTCGAGACATCCATTGCTTCCTGCAATTTGCGATCAAAATAGGGTATTTCCGCGCCTTTGATCGTTAGCTGAATGCCACTCAATGTACAAGGGCGCATTACCAACGCTAGCTCCCAAACGCCGTGCTGAACTAATCTGGAGTGTAACTGCTGGCGCCTCAGTGCACCCCGCTGCGGTGCTTATGCCCAAGCATTCTCGTTGCAGCGGCGTTATGCGGCCACCACGGTTCCCCTACAGTCAGATTTTAAACCCAACTTCCCGAATATGTCCAGACCAATAACCTCCACTTCCAGAACGTCATATCGCCTCTTTCATCTTCCTTATAATTTTCGCAACGAGCGTGTCGATGTTCTTGTGGCGCCCACAACCCTCTCCCGCTAGTGATTCCTAAAATTCTTCTTCTGGTAGAACAGATCCGTCCTACTACTACCCAGGTTTATAATCTTTGGGCAGCCGTCCCTGTCCTTCTCCAAGCGGGTGCATTCGAAGCAGTAGAAAGCGTCAGAGATGCCCTCGCCGCCGCAGACGACGCACTTGTTCTGGTAGTTGCCGAAGGAGCACTCGTCGCAGATGCGGGCGAGGGTGGTCGGGCGCACGTACGAGTCGCAGACGGGGCATTTGCCGTCGCATTTGTCGCAGAGGCGGCCGATAGAGATGCCGGCTTGCTTGCGGCACATGACGAGGTCGGGATGATGGCGGGACATGGTGGCGGGGTGAGATGTGGTAGGTTGTAGCGGGTGTGGTGCGGTGCCGATTCTTTCTGGATAAGTAGAATGGAAGCGCTAACGGTGGAGGCCTTCAAACTCCAGATGTGTTCGGCTGTTGTGTTGTAAACGTGTCGTTTCGGTGAGTATCTGGGGTGTAAGTTGACAATCCAGAAGCATTTCAACTCGAGCACAATTGAGAAGGCGCGGTTCACGTATTAGTCATCGACGCGCCATGCTTTCTCCACACTTCGATAGGCGTCCGTGCGGGAGCTCCTCCATGGTGAGCATTCCGATGTGAGCTACCGCGCGTCTCAACCGCCCAGACTCGCGCTTTTGGACGTCGTCTATTCATTCATTGAGAATGGACGGCATTGCATCAGCCGTGGTGCTGCCTGATCAGGATGTCGATTCCCCACCGCCTACCGCAGCCTCTCCGACTGGTACCAAAAGGCGACAATCCTCTATATCCGAGCAAGATGCCAAACGAGTACGACTGAACGGCAATGGATCGCCTACGGATCGCCGCGAATCTGTCAGCAGCACCAAGGCTGCCGCAACTGCACCCAAGGGCCGAGAGCGCGGGCGCGAGAGGCGACTCTTCGGCGCGGCGCTGGGTGCTCTCTCTCAGAACTCTGCGACCACAGGACAGAAACGCCGACTCGAAATCGAGAAGAGACAACGGGCGCAACGCAAGCTAGAGGAGGAAGAGAGCGAGCACAGAAAGCAGGAGCGCCAGGCCAAGCGTAAAGCGCAGCGCTGGAGAGAGCACAGGCGCTTCGAGAAGGACTCGGTAGGAACATATTGGGCATCCTGTGCTCCACAAAGTTGACCGATCACGCAGTTACGTATACGGCACGACAACCTGCTTGCCATGGCACACTTCCTCCACACCAGGACCGAGCCACGACTGGTGAGTCGCATATTCCTTGCTTGCGCTACTCTGTCTGGTGTCGGGTAGTTTCGCAGCACTGACATCATTGGCAGTATTACAAGCCATGGGAGACCACACCGGAAGAGGATGAACGCATCCGCGACCAGATCGCCGAAGCACACGATATTGTTCAACGAGAGCGCGAGGACTTCGAAGCTAAGCAACGGCAGTATGCTGGACGGGAGCGGGACGCGAACCGCGATATGCATATGGATGGCGACGCAGAAGACACCCGTTCTGGTAAGGAGTATAGTGAAAAGGCGCCCGCAGAGCCAGCCGCGGCCAATGGCCACCCTACTAACGGCAGCGAAACGTCCAAAAACCCGGAACAGAACGGTGATCATGCACAAACTCGCGAGGGCGGGGTGACCTCTCTTGAGCAAGACTCTACTACTGGCCACGAACGGTCTACTGACGACACATACAAGGAAGCCATGGATGATCACGGAGAAGAAGTCGTCGAAGCCGCGGAGGATACGGTCATGTACTGAGTCAACATGTCTCTTTCGCTCTCGAAAGTCTACGTTGGCCTGGGATTGCGGACCGATGGAGCTACAGCGTCCACTTGGAACACCCTTGCCTTTCTTGGCCCTCTCATATCATGATACCATCGAATACCGAGTCTGCAAATCAGCGACTACAGGTGAAACCACCAAGCACACGCTTTGTCTTGACGAATGTATGCTCGGTAACCATTGCACATCTGCCCTTGCCGCACGTCTTGTGTTGCACCGCGTCTTGTCCCCATCATGCTGCTTACTGCAGAGTCGGTGAGGCACGGTTATAAATCCCCGCTAAATTCCGCGTCTGTCAATGCCGTCGGAAGAGCACCCAGCCGACCGAGGATATTACCCTATCCTTCTGGAACATGTGCAAGCCACACCAAACGAGTAATTACGATGGCGTCTCTGGAACTACCAAGTCGCTGGGTATATAGACGCAATATACGGTTAACAGACTAGGGGGACCCGGTCGATATAATACCGTTTGGTTGTATGTTACGCCGGTAAATAGCATCGATGCGCCTACCTACAAGGTATACTGCCGGTACTATGGGATTGGCAAGAACGCCCCCCACGAGCGCGGTGGGGTGGCGACGAGTTGCTGATGACATTGTACGACATTTGCCCCGTCCAATACTCGAAGAACTCGACGATGGACAAGTGATCACTCGAGCCCGTGCACACCCTCAAGTTCATGCGAAACAAGCGACAGTTTGGCAAGGTTGTTTTGTTGTTGGCGATCGCGAGTCAGTACTCGCAATTGAAGTGGAAGCCGCGGTACCGAGGCCCGCTTTCTACTCCGCCAAGCTACGTAGAAGGACCGTTACAAAGCTCATCACCAGTTCAGCATACAACGCTACAACCTATCCACTCCCACCTCACCAAGCTGTGCATCTCCGTGCAGTTGTCTCCCAGCATTTGCCTTCCCTAGCGAGCGGAATCGTAAACGAGGTCCACCTCGGCTAGTGTCATGACTTTGCAACCAATAAACCCAGTCTCGGACAGCAGGGTAGAGCACCGCAACAGCTCTCTGAATGGCCACAATTACCACTACCTATATGGCGAGCCCGCGGGCGGTCAATACAAAGCTACCGTGTTCTTGGTGAGTCTCTACTTCATCATGTCACGGACCATTCAGCCGGTGGATAAACGAAGCGGAGCGCGAGTGTGAGAGCTGTGATGAACGAGCTTTTTCCACTAACGGGAAGTTTGTAACAGATTCATGGTTGGCCCGATTGTGGCTCAGCAGGATGGCGCTACCAGATACCGCTTCTGCTCGACATGGGTTTCAGGGTTGTAGTCCCAGACATGATGGGATATGGAGGCACGGTAAGCTTTACCAACAGGTGCTTGCAGTTTGAAGATATCACATATAGCCATGTTCCATATCACCACCATACAAGAGGGACCGCTGATCCACGCCCCACGTACACTGCTGGCTGCGAGAAGATACCCTTCCTACTGGCAGACGACAACGCTAAGCTTCGAATATAGGATGCTCCAGAAGTTCCACCGAACGACATCTCTTTGTATTCCTACAAACGAGCTGCAGATGATATTGCGGAGCTTGCCAAAGTGATCGGCGCACAGCAGATCATCTTGGGAGGCCATGATTGGGGAGGCATGATTGTGTACCGCACTGCGCAATGGTGAGTTACGTTCTCGAGTCCGGTGCCTTGATCCTAAACTCATGGCTGGCATCATACAGGCACCCTAAACTCATAACTCATGTCTTTGTGGTCTGTACGCCATATACGCCGCCCTCCGAGGAGTACATGTCGAATGAAGACCTCGTCAGCAAATTTTTGCCGCAATTTGGCTACCAGATCCACCTCGCTTCTGGTGAGGTGGAGCAACACGTCAATGATGAGCAATCAGTAAGGCAGTTTCTCAGAGCCATCTATGGAGGACGTACGCCCAGTGGCGAAACTGCGTTTGATCCAACCAAAGGAATTCTGTTCGAAAAGCTTCCCCACATTGGAGAAAGCAAGATCCTTAACGGCAAGGTAAGTTGCTAGTCGGTGATCTCTTTCCACGCCGAATATAACATTACCGGTGTCCACACGCACTCAAGTTGCTAGTCGGTGATCTCTTTCCACGCCGAATATAACATTACCGGTGTCCACACGCACTCAAGTTGCGGGTCTACGTCCCGATGAAAGCCTCTTAAGGGACAGATCGTCTCTCCCATAGCATTCCGCGAAACTCTCTGGCCGTGCAACGATTTGCACCGACTCGTGACCTATGGTTCAGACAGCCAACAAGCCAGATTTACACGTACTTGCGGGCATTGGTCGGAAGTGCGGGTCATTGATACATGGGCTGACGATCTCAGATCCTCGACCACTACGTGCGAGAGTACAGTCGCCACGGTATCCACGGCCCTGGTCAGTCGCCACAGCCTTCATCGGACCTACTTCAACAACTGACGAGCATTAGTGAACTGGTATCGCACGCGCAAAGTCAACTGGGAGCATGACCAGGCGTGAGTCGTCAGATACTGATTCTCGATATAACATCGCTGACATCTTCGAAAGCCTCCTTGACAAGAAGAAGATTGAGCAACCACTGCTCTTTATTCAGGCTACCAACGACAACGTCCTTCGGCCAGAGATGTCGAAAGGCATGGAAAAGTTCATTCCCAACCTGACCCGAGGCGAAGTGGAAGCGTCGCACTGGGCACTTACTCAGACACCAGAAAAGGTAAACGCAATCATTGCAAGCTGGATCGGCAAGCAAAGCTTAGGAAGCCGGAGCTCTTTGTAAGCTCTGACAGCGAGCTTATCGTATCGAGGACGGGAACGGCGGGATGGTAGTGGGGCTCCATCTAGTGCGACAGGGTCTCCTTACATGTGGTGTGTACGAGGTGCGTGCGTGCCCGCGTTCTCGGTCACTCCAGCGGGAAGTATCTCTACTTCCTAGGGCCGTTATACAAGTGCGATATCGGCCAGCACGTTAGCGGAGGTAGACAGCGCACGACTCAGCGCAAACGCTGGTGAGGCAGCATCGTTGTCGTGCACTTCCCTCAGCAATTTCAAATCATTTACCCGCTTCGAAGAGCAAGTGCACTAAGTTTTTACCTCGAGCAACTCACTCTGCTCGCCGAAAGCACATGTACTGGTACATGGCTGTGAGCAAGCATTAGTCCGGTGGGCTAACCACAATCGCCATTATACCGAAATGTGCGCCACATGTGTATTCACTTGCATGGTGGCTTTCGCTACGTGAACCTGAAGCCAGGTATTCCACATCGCCAAAGACTTGGCACCGGAGCCGTCGCAGCGTCTCAACGAGTGCAGTCGCGAGCGGTTGGGACGTTGACGGTCCGATGCATTTGGCACGGGAGGAGCGGAGGTTCATCTCCCGGCATGCTTTCGCCTAATGTCAATGTAAGGCGTGCGAGGAGTCAACTGATAGCTCACTCCTAGCTCTCGTTTAGGGCACGTTCCGCGATCCATCATGGTGCGCGTTTCTCCATCAACCATGGCCTTGTTCAAAGGCTTGGACGCTGTTGGCTTGCGACGTGATACTGACGCAGACCGCACTGTAGCCGTTATCTGGTTTGCGATACGGTCTTATTCTGTCACCATCGCGAACTACAGAAGACGGGCAGTGGTCCCATCTGATGGCTTTTACATCGAATACCGTATACTCTCGTACCAGCGACTAGAATTCAAGACCTTGCAAGGTACGAACCTCGGCGATACCGCTTCGAGCAGTGCGTGCAGGGCTTGGCTTGGTCTCGCTCTTTCGCTACCTGTCCTGGATGCCCAGGGTCTCCCGTCATGCAGTTATAATACTTGCGATATCGTATGTGACGTCTAGTGCAGATCTAGCATGGTAGACATGCGGCTTTGCAATTTAAATTTCTGGACAATCGCAACGTGCCTTATCAGTTGGTTGCGAAGCTGGCGATTATTCGATTGCATTTGCATCACGCCAGCTACACGATTCAACTGGCTGGAGGACCTGATTTGAGCGGCGCATAGCGCACATATTAAGGCGTGCTCAGAATAGCCAGCGTTCTCTCGTATACGAGATGAAGAAAGGAGTCGCGGTGGCCCGCCGTCCGATATGTCCAGTGCACGCAGCTCTTTTTTCCGGTCCGCGTCTTCCTCCGAGGCATGTCATGATTGTGTCGCGAGGAAAATTGAAGCTGCTCCCAGCAATCGCAACGTGCCAAAGGGTGGATCGTTCTGTACCACAAATCCTATCGCCGGTAGCATATGGATCCCGACTGGTCACTTTTTGGCACGACCACCACATTGATTCACCGACTGGATTAGCGATCCGCACCATCGTCGTCGATTCGCACAGCTGTCCCGCTTTCTCGCGCACGCTCTTGCACGGTTGGGCGATGGAGCGGACTTGAGCTGATTACCGGTGCATGGGTTGCACGACCTCACTCTTGAGGAGAAACTATTTCCCCGCCTACGCCCACATGCCAGATGGCCATCTTGCGGTCTGTACCCGCTCGTACCTCGGCGTACCGTGCGTGGCCCTGCTCTGGTATGGCTGACGGCTGTACAGTACAGTACCTTGGATGCGCAGCTCGGTCGTCAGAAAATGTCACGGCGAGTAGACACGATTGAGAGAACGATAAGCTCACCCTGCACCTCTGTCCCAGGCATCCGGTAATGCCACTCGATATTTCGTCAATTGTCTCGGTAGAGTGCCGCCATGCATGGTCAGGGCGTGGCCCACTCGACTAACCGGCCGCTCTGCAGAAGGCACATCCTGGTCGCGGGGCAAGGCCATGGGCGAGAGGTACGTACCGCACGCACTACCGCTTCGTCGATGCGGTCTACCGGCGTCGCACCCTTTCTTGAGGCGAGCCGTCCAACGGCAACTTGCCCCTGAATATACTCGCATATATTATGCTTTGGCATTTGGCCGGATCGAGGTGTGCTCGCACGCAATACCAAACCGAGAACTCTCCATTCGCACACGATCGCGTTCGGGACATAAGAGAGCGCGGTCGAGTCAGATAATGGAGCCTAATGCATTTTCTTACAAGCTAGAGCAGGCGGCATCACCTCTGGGAATGGTGCAGAGAAGTACGGCCTGGTGGAGCAGGTCATACCTGAGTCGCAGCAATTGCGCGGTCGATGGAAGGAGCTCTACGTGCGACCGTCTCGGCCAGCCCGCATATCAGCCTGAACGGTCGTCCTGCGCTATGTCTGTCCAGGGAAAATTCGCCCGCTGCAGCTACCGGTAGCCATGCTTACCGTCCGATAGACTGTAGACTGCAGCCAGATACCGCGTACTGCACTCCACTGAACCTTGCCGTCCATGCAGCCGACATAACCAAGATCCAGCGCCAACGCCAATACTGCCTTATCGCAGTTGCACAACGCCGATTTGCTGTCAGAAAGCTCCCAACAGGCTCTGCATTGCGGCGCCAGGAGCTCTCAAGGTGCTGATCCGGTAGAAATACCGTCGAACGAGGTGCATGTTTAGCTCTGGTGGCCCAAGCGACTCATGCCATCGCATGCTTGCTCCACCTGGCCCGAGCACATCTCATTACAGCAACAGATCTGGCTTCATCCATGGATCTTATATAACAACTCAACGGGGCTAAAGAAAGGAGGCTACGCGATGCAGCAGCCATCCCGACAAGTGCTTGCTCTGCGCATCCCTAACCATGTACTACCCGCCCAATTGACCCGCCGAGCAAATGACGTGGATGCTCTGCTTCTTTCTTCTACCACTACTATCTCGCGCCGACGCACCAAGCTGAAGGAGCCTGGCTTAGCTTGCCGTCATTGCGGGTAGTTTCCAACATGTATATCAGCCTCCACGCCTCCCGTGGGGTGGTCTACCCAGCTATCTCCTCATTCCTCTTCTCTCCCGTGCCTACCCATCAAAGTCTTTCGTAATGGCTCCCTCCGCTTTAGCAGATATCTATCCTATCCCTGCGCGGCACTACTCTAAGCCTTCTACTGTAGTTGCGTCCGTCCTGTATGGGCCCAGGGACTTACGACTCGTAAGCGTTCCCTGTTCCGTCCACTACATCCCACACTCCCACTGTTCGTGGGGGTGGTTCGTGTCGTACACAGAGACTAACGGCACTAAACAGGAAACTCGACATATCTCAGACCCGGGACCCCATGAATTGCAAGTCGCTATCAAGGCTACTGGTGTATGCGGGAGCGATGTCTCTTACTACAACAAGTTCCGCAACGGCGATCTCCAGGCCGTGCAGCCGCTATCTTTAGGCCACGAGTCTGCTGGGGTCGTAGTGGCTATTGGCGAGGCTGTCACTGGCTTCCAAATTGGCGAGCGCGTAGCGCTCGAGGTCGGTGTACCGTGCGACAACTGTCGGTCATGTCAGCGAGGTCGTTATAACCTTTGCCCGGGCATGAGGTTCCGGAGTAGCGCCAAATCTGTGCCTCATTTTCAGGGTACGCTCCAGGAACGCATCAATCACCCCGCTAAGTGGTGCCACAAGTATGTCTTGCATGAGCCGTTCCGCTGCAAAAAGCAAAATCCTAACGTTCCGCGCTAGGATCCCCCAGCATGTGTCCATGGAATCTGCGGCCTTGCTCGAGCCCCTCTCTGTTGCCATCCATGCTACCCGCAGGGCGTCAATAGAGCAGGGTGATACAGTGACCGTTTTTGGTGCCGGCACCGTGGGCTTGCTGACGGCAGCTATGGCTAAGCTGTCAGGTGCTACGACAGTAGTCATTGCCGACATTGACAGCGGGCGTGTCAACTACGCTCTGGCTAATGGCTTCGCACACAAGGGCTACATTGTCCATCCGCGGAGACACCTGTCTGAGACGGCGGAGAAGCTGGCCGCTGCAAAAGAGCTCGCTGAAGACGTGATGCAAATCGCCTCGCTGAACGATCTGGATTTTGAAGGTGCCGACGTGACGTTCGACTGTACAGGAAAAGAGATTTGCATGCAAGCCGGCCTCTATGTAAGTCTTCACCATCACCACAACACAGGATTTAATGCTAACCCTCATCAAGTCTACCAGACCCGGCGGCAAGCTCATCATGGTCGGCATGGGGACCCCCATCCAGACCCTTCCCATGTCAGCTTCGCATCTGAAAGAAGTTGATATCATCGGCATCTTCCGGTACGCAAACACATACCCTACTGGTATCAAAATCCTCTCCTCCGGCGCACTGCCCAGTCTTGACAACATGGTCACCCACCGGTTTCGCGGGCTCGCAGCTGCTAAGGAAGCTTTTGAGCTTGCGGGGAAAACGACAGACAAGGACGGCCGGTTAGTAATTAAGATCCTGGTGGAGAACTGAACGAGTTGAAGGGAACGGAAATGACTTTGGTTAACGTATACATACCCCTTTTTGTAATGACAGCTTGGCTTCAGCGACGTTCTTTCATTATGGTTTGGTTTGGTCGGTTTGCGAGATCAAGAGTTAGATATAGAGGGTCTGGAAGAGGTATGCGGCTTCTGGCGTTGGAATTACGAACGCGTGCGTTTTGCTTTCTCACTTTCGCTGGAAACAGGTGTAGATACCAGGATTTTTTCCCTCTCGGGCTCAGTCGCTATGGATATTGGGAGTGGGATAAGTGGGCAGAGAAGCGGTATAGAGAGGAATTTGCAAAGGCCGTGTGACGGGAGAGGTAAGAGGTAATGAGACATACTAGACTGCAGTGGGCAAATACATCACGTCAAGCGATGGATGTGCTGTGTTGATGAGTTGTATCCGCGTGATACTTCAACGACACTAATTTTGCCCTCCGTGGGCCTCAAACTCGGTCTGGTCCACGGTATCAGCAGACCAAACATCACGACTCCCTACTACATGCATATTCGCCACCCTTCAGTTCACCAGTGTCTCGCGTCAGGTCTCTATCTCCTCACGCAATGCGGAAAATAACCCAGCAAACCACATCCAAGCCGCTGACCACAAGGATGGGCTCACGCTGTCAACTTGAGACGTCTAGACGGGCATACCCAGGACCAAGGTAAGATCTACTGCGTGCCTCCGCACGGCGCCGTCGGCCCGACATGATGCGCGAGGATGCGAGGGGTAAGCTTGGACGGATGGGAGTTATGGGATGGCAATGGATGTGAGTACAGAAGGGGCAGTGATTCCACTTGCTCCCGTCGTCTATTGGTCGGGACGGTAGCTTGATTCAAGGACAAGGGTGTGCCCGTCAGAGCTCCAATTGGTTGGCTGTCACGGCTTGCTGTGTGTACTGTTGCTGCTAGCTGTGGCGAGATCACGCCGCCAACTCGACATGTAGCAGGGCGAAAGGCAAGCGAGACGCGTGATCACGTGCCGCGGAATATGGATAGGCCGGGCTCCGCCGGTAGTGGCTGTTGCCCGCGTTGGTCGGAGCTGCCTAGTCTAATCGACAAGCTCCCCGCGCTCGCCTGTGTAACTAAGAGCGACACCACCCTTTCAGCCTCTCTGACGCGGAACCATATTTCGACACGCAACTCCTCACAATTACACGTAACCCCAACCATGGCGGGCGATTCTCAAAATCCCCTTGTGTCCAACACGCGCGCTTCGGACACAAGCCCCACGGTGCAGCTGCACCCGCTGGTGCTTCTCACAATAACCGACTGCATTACGCGACATACACTTCGACAACAAGAAGGACCTTTAGTCGGAGCGATTCTCGGTCAGCAGAATGGCCACGAGGTCACAATGGAAGTTGCGTTCCAGGCAAAGCTGATGTCGAACCATCACGGCGACGTGGTTCTCGATGACGAGTGGTTCATGAAGCGGTTGGACGACTGTACGTCTGCTTTTTCCAAGCGCTGAAGCTCTCACAGCTTTTTACGCACAACATCGTGCTAACTGTATAAAAGACAAAGACGTTCACAAGCAACCGCAGCTCGACATTGTTGCCTGGTTCACGCTCGCCCCGCCCACAGGTCCAACGCCCGAGATACTACCCATCCACAACCGCATATCAGAGCTCACTGACTCACCGATTCTGTGCTTGTTCCATCCCTCCGATGCCTACTCGGAAGCCACGACCGCCGGAAAGCTGCCACTCACGCTGTATGAGACCGTTCACGAGAATGCAGCTGGCGGACCCAACGACAAAGCGATGGACATCGATGGCGCTGTACAGAACAAAGCGCTGAAATTTAGGGAGCTTGTATACACAGTCGAGACGGGCGAGGCAGAAATGATTGCCGTGGACTTCGTGGCTCGCGGAGGTGGCAACGCTACTGCCGTCGAAGGCTCATCTGCTGCATCAAAGGGCAAGGACGGCAAGGCTGCAGAGGAAAAGGATAGGAAGGCTAAAGGAAAGCAGAAAGAGACGCCAAAAGAAGAGACCATTGATGAGTCGGCCGCATTGACTGCTGAAGACGAGGAGCTGTTGTCAACACTGACCGCAAAGATGAACGCCATCCGCATGCTGAGCCGCCGCATCTCGCTCCTCCGCACCTACCTCGCCTCTCTCCCGCCATCCTACCTCTCCGATCCTTCCCTCCCACTAGACCCAACCCCATCCAACGACCACCCTCTCCCGCTCAATCACTCCATCCTCCGCAGTGTCTCCGCCATGCTCGCCCGTATCAACATTCTTGCACCGCCCGATGTCGAAGCTTTCACACTCGAGTCTCAACAAGAGGCTTCAGATGTCCAGCTCGTCCAATTGCTTTCATCCATTACAAACTCGGTGTCTGCAGCGAGGGATCTGGGCAAGAAGAGCCAGATTGTTGAGACTGGTAAGAGCCAATCTCGGAGAGGAGCGGGCGGAATGGGCTCAATGATGGGCGGGGGATACGAGGGCGGTGGACAGTACTTCGACACGATCATGGGAGGGGGAACGTCACGGCAGTTTAGGGCGGACCAATGGAGCTGAGCTGAGCTCAGTCTTCAAATCTTGAGTTCTGCAGTCTGCTAACGAGCGGTGTAGAGCGTCGGGTCGGCGGCAAGTCGTCGCTGTCACTTTTGTCCTCGTCGTTGTCCTCCCAATTGGTGCTCCCGAGAGTACCGGATCGCGCACTTCGCTGTAGGTCGTCGGAGCCTGGGAACGAGCTTGGAAATGACGCCGAGGACTGGGATGTGAAGTTTTGAGCGAGTAGATGGATGGCGAATGGGTGTCGGGAGACAGCGCATCAGGAACACCCCTGGTACATAGACTTATGAATTACGAAAGCGTTTGCTTGATGGCTGGCGATGTGAAATTGCACAGGGTGTGCGATTGATGGACTTGTTGAACACTGCTCAATGAGATTTTTCGGTGTTGTCCATTTGTTGATGCTCTGGGTGACTGGCTAACTCCAACCACTCGACATCGTCGCAGCATAGGAATTACAAATGAGGAAACTCTACTACCAATCCTGGACATTATTCTTGCATTAATTCGTACACCGCATCTCGGGCGGCACCCACTCCAGTCCCAGCCCCTCAAACACTCTCCGCTCCGCCTCTTCCGCCGTCCCACTCACCCCCTCTTCCCCCTCCAACATCACCACCTCGCCCGTCTCCCGACTCCGCACTCCACTGCTGTCGAACTTCCACCCCCGCTTGTACTTCGCGTACCGCCGTAGGTCCCGCTGGAACGTCGTTCCCCCGCTCCAGCCCATCACCGCGCACCCAACCGTGCGCCACGGCGCGACGATGATGTCGACTCTGCGGTGGATGTTTGGGTTCTTTGCGCGGGGGTTGGTGGCGAGGTCGGCGGCGCGCGTTGGCCAGACGGGGTCCTGCCAGACGACGAGGGCCTTGTCGAGGGTGTCGAAGCCGGCGCCTGCGGACGTCTTGGTTGCGCGGAAGGGCAGCGTGGTCTGCCCGCGGGACGTGTTGTGCAGACTCAGCGTGAGCGTGTGCGTGATCCACTCGTCGGTCTCGAGGGAGGTGACGATGTCGCGGACGAGGTGGGCGGTGGCAGCGAGGTCCGGGTGGGACACGATCATGTCGACGTCGCCGGAGGCGGGTTTGCCGCGGCGGTAGCCGCCGACGATGGTGACGCTGATGCGGGAGTCGCGCAGGCGGACGGCGTGTTGCCGGACGACGGATGCGATGGACTCGACTTCGGCGCGGGGGATGCCGGATAGGAACTCGTCGTAGAACTTTACGCCGATCTGCTGGACGCGGTCAAGCTCATTCCAGCCGTACTCGATGATGTCGTCGAGATCGAGCCAGCCCTTGTTATAGTAGAAATTGCGTGCTGTCTTTGCGCCCACGCCCCAGATGTCGTAGAAGGCGCGCAGGACTTTCATGGCTTCGTCGTTCTCGTAGTCTTCGACGGCCTGGATTTTCCCCGTGTTCTTCCACTCGACAAAGAGCGCGGCCGTCTTTTCGTCGCAACTCGGGAGGCGGGCAAGCTCACGCGGATGCCGCAGTTTATGGGGGTATGCGGCGATGGAGGCGATGATGGAGGAGTAGGCGCGGACGCCGATGGCGTCGTCGATAAGGGTGCGTGCAGTGCGGATCTTCTTGAGCTGCTCGATGAAGTCTTGGTTGGGTGGGTTGGCTGGGGTGAAGCGCTGGCAGGCGTACTTAACGCCGTTAACGACCCAGTCCGGAGGCGGGGGGAGGTCGCTGTCCTCGCTTTCGTAGTCGCTTGTTGTTTGCTGGAGGAGTTGTGCGGTCCGGTTGGCGAACGTGGGTTTGGTCGCGCTAGAGGCGTATGATTTGCCTTCGAATCTGCGGGAGCCGTGGCCGTCGTTGTTCTGGTGGTTGTAGCGTCGTTTCGGCGTTGTGGTTGTAGCATCTTCCTTTGCTCGGTCTAGAATGTGCGGAGCTGCCCGTCGACGCGTTACCAAGTGGGTCTGAGACGTCGATTTGGGAGGGCCCGTGAAGTTGGCTTTGATGGAGGTGTAGCCCGTGTCCAGCGGTGCTGGGGGGCGCTTCTTGATCTTGCACATGTAGACTAAATTCGCTCCGAGCGGAACCAGGCGGCCTGCGGAAAGACATTCGTCAAGCCAATCTACTTTGATCACCCAAAGGGTGTCATCGCTGGACACGTTGTTGAAGATGGGAGGCAATGCAGCGGGATGCTCATCCGGTATCACTGGCGAAGTCATTGGGGTATCTCGGGTCCTCGCTGGCCCTTCGTCCTCAGTCTCAGAGCCTTCCCCAGCCTCCTCTTCTGTAGTCGACCCTTCATTGTGAATAATAATAGGCTTGCTTGTTGCACACGAGACTCTTGCTCTTTTCCGTGGAGTGTTTTGCTGCTCGGGGCTCGCCGACCGCTTCTTCTCAACCGCGATCTTCACCTCCTCTACCTCAAACTTTCGAGACCGCAATTCAAACTCTGCCCTCCGCCGCGCACCGACCTTGCCAATAAGAATTTTAACCTTCGAGACATCAGCGGTCAGCTGCGCACCGTGACGGCGCAACGTTGCTTTGACCTTGTCTTCCTCGTCGCCCTTGAAGTGCGCACTGAGAGTGCCAATGGGCGGGATGCTGCTCAGATCAAGACCTGTTACGGTGAGGTGTCCTTCGTTCGAGGAAAAGGACCCAAGGTTTGGGACACGAGCTTCCATATTGTATTGAAGGTAACGTGATGGACCAATGGTTCGTGAGCAAGGGCAGAACTAGGGTGGGCCTAGATAGCGGCTGCGCGGTCTTCGCGTTCGAAAAATCATGTCAACGGATCGAGCAGTCATGACCCAACGAATACAAGCAATGCAACGCGATCTAGTACACGCTATGGGAAGGACGTGAAGACGTTGGCACTGCTGTTCCGAGTGATGACGACAGGGCGAGGTTGGTGGACGCTAGACCGTAGCATCGTCGTGCTTGGCGCCGAGGTGACTAAGATCGACACGGCGCGCAATTCTCCGCCTCCATGCGCAACCCTGTCCTCCAACCGCTCTCGCTGATGCAATCCCGCCGCTACGTTTCAACTACATTGAAACATATCAATCCGTTTCCAACACGCGGCCACGCCTGTTGTTGGCCACGATCGGGCGACGATCGTTCAGGCATTGTAATGAACTGTCCACTCCTGCCATTGACCACTGCAACGCATGAAGCCCAAGTATAGTCAGGATATCATTTCCCAAATTGCGTTACAGCGCGCGTGTCTTATCGAACGAATGACCCGAACAAGACAAGCCACCAGGCTGTTGAAAATGAAACAACCGTAGCCATCGAACCACGCGCGGGCGCTGGCCTCGACCCTTGCGTGCCATCCCTCTGAACCACTCTCACGCGTCCTCGGTGCGCGCCCCAAGCATTCTGAGCCCGCCGCGGCTCATGCGCCTTGCCATGGAATTCTGCGCTCGCCTGCGCTTCAGGCAAAGCGAACCGTGTAATCCTGCCAGCCCGCCCCGCCAGGGTCTTTCCTTACTGCAGATCCTGTCCCGTTCAATTGCTGGCTTGCCTGTTCGGGCGTGGCCCAAGGGAGTACGGGCATGACGGCCGTCCGGGATATAAGAGGACGAGTGTACTCGAGCAGACACGGGCAGGCGAGCCTGGGCTTTCGTACTCACACTCTTTGCTCTTCATATAGACGGTCCTGCAAGGCGGGTATTTGCCGTGTCTTCTCGCTGTGCGCGTTTACGTTCCCTCTTCTTTTCTCGACCCTCCTTCCGTCCGTCCTGTCTTTCTTGACGAAAGTCGTGCGCTCTTAACACACCTACCTTGAGAAGCAATTGCTTGCTCGAAGAGACAAAGTCCATACCGTGACTCTACAAACTCGACCGCCTACAATGCGCTTCTTCACACCACTCGCCTTCCTGGCCTTCGCCATGTCCATCACCGCAGTGCCCATCACCCCATCTGCGCCCTCCCTCCAACGCCGCGCCGAGCAATTCCGCCTCCAAGGCCTGCAAGAAGTACGTACCCGCCCCACCTTCCCACACACCACATCCATCCCTCCCATATTAACATCACCACCCCAGCACGAGATAGCCGAGAAGCTCACACTCGTCTCCACTCCATCTGCCGAGGACGACTCCCCCCTGCCCACCTCCCTCTTCTCCTCTCTCAGCACAAAACTGCACTCCTTACTGCGCCCGTGCTCCGAGGAGGACCATGACGACTACGACGACATCTCCGGCGACATTGCACCGGGGTCGCTGGAGGCGCCGCAGATGCTGCCAAGGCCGGTGGCGACGCTGGGGAAGCCGTCTGCGTTGGGACGGATCATCGCTGTGCTGAGGAAGGGCGATGAGGGTGGCAACTTTGCGTATGAGGGGAAGGAGTTGGAGTTGCGGCGGCCGACGGGGATGAGGCATTGGGGGGCGGCGGATAAGTGGAGGTTGTTCTAAATGCTCTTTTTGGAGGTCGGATTCCATCACACCGGTAGATGTTCAACAAGTTCAATATATGTATCAGCGCTTGACATGCACATGTGCATCACCACATCAAAAATCTTTTTTCAACGGCCGTCACTGTGCGTGTTGTGCCATAGCAGCAGACACGGAGTATCTGCTTGATTGCACGCCTTCCTTGCATGCGCTTGACGGGGAGGCGCTCGCAAGCCATGGGCCTGCGCGAGCTTGCATGTCCGCTGGCTGTCGGAACTCATGTCGCGTGTCGCACCACTCGGCTCTCCAGGGCTGTATCCTCGCAAGCTCGCTATCGAATGCTGAAACACACTACACATCGAGCACGCGCGCCACCAGTCCGAAAGAGACCATCGATGCAACGACGGCACAAAACGGGCCTGACAGCGCACATCTGCAATCCGCGCGAGTGGATGCCTCACGCGCGCGTACATTCCTTCTCACGCCAAAGCAGGAGTGCACCCCTTCACGAATGGTGGTGAGAAGCCAATGGATAGTTGCGGAGCGCCTGAAACGGGGGTATGCGTTGAGAGAAGTCAGATCATAACATGACCTGACCAAACATGTCTGTATCGGCTCTACTATGCGCAGCTGCGAAGAAAACATCGTCTACAGTGTGACAAACCCCCATTCCGGGGGACCAACGGGGCCGCCCATCTCCGCCTTTCCATCTGGCAGCTCACCAGCGGCTTTGCGTCGCTTGTACACCCGCAACCACACTGCATCTGCATTCCGCTTGTCCAGCGCAACTTTGACCTGAGGATTGGTAATGACAGGCTCAAGCATATCCAGCACATCCTCGAACGCCTCGCCGCTGATCGGGATATGCGCGGAGATGGAGCACAGGAGACGCACGAGCGCATCCCAGATCATGCGCGCGGGCGTGTCGATGTAGATGACTGTGTTCATCTCGTTCGAGGAGGGCGCAAGATCCGTCTTCTTCCCAGCTATCTTGCCCAAGTCTTCGCGCTTCATGCTCCTCATCTTGCCTGTTCCTGACGCCCCACCCATCTTCCCTCCAGTGCGGCGGTGAAGCTTCTTGAACACGGGAAACGCGTTGTCGATCCGACTCCGCATGAATCCGCCCGCGTACTCACACAGCAGCCCTACGACGTCAAGCGCGGAAGCGACGATGTACGCCTCGGTATCCTCTAGTCTTGGGAGGAGGATAGGCCAGAGGGTATTTATCAGTGGCAGAAAGGAATTTTCGTGACGCGACAGGGCGGGAATAGTCGTTTGTAGGAGGGAGAGGAGGGAGGTCCGGAGCGGAGCGGACGAGGAAGTGAGGTAGTGTTGCGTCAGCTCTGAGATTTTGAGGAGGAGGGAGTACGTGAGGGGCGCAGGTGGGGCCGGGTCTTCGGGTTCTGGTTTGGGAGACTCGTGGTCTCCGGGTGAGTCGTCTTCGGGTGCGGAGGGATCCTTGAGCGTTTCTGGATCGAGGTCTTTCCAAGGTTGTTGGGGGAAGGCGCCCCGGGGGAGGGAGGAAAGGTCCCGGGCTTGTTCGCGGGTGCGGTGTTCTAAGGCTTTGAGCTGGGTGAGGATGTCTGGGGTTGGAGAGTCCTCTGGCGCGTGGGGGGCGGAGGAGGTGATGGCTAGCTGCGGCGTTTTTGCGCCTTCTTCGGCCATGCCTTTGAGCACCGAGAAGAGCAGCTCGACGAGACTTGGGTAGCCGTGGTATCGCTCTAAAGCGCCGAATATGCTCCCCACGAGATCATCTAGGTAAGGTAGTAACGACGGGCCGCAGAGACGCATCATCATGAGGAGGACCTGCGGTGCTTGTGGTGAGACGTCGCCGTAGCTCAGACGAAGGCCCACCGCGTTGACTATGTAGTCCACATTCGAGATCACCAGCTCGCTGGCGCTGCCGTACCCGCATGATTCGGCGATGATGTTGAGACAGGTGATTGCGTGGTTTCGAAGCCCGGGGTTGGAGCTTCCTAGGCAGTGCAGCACAGGATACAACGTCTCCGTCAGTTCGGCTCGGAACTCAGTCTTGTAGCGGGCTGCTTGCATGGCGAAGACCTCCAATGCAAGAGCTGGGGCGTGCCAGTTAGGGCTTGGGGAGGTGTCGTGCGGACTAAGAACGGTTAATGCGTGCGAGTAAAGATCATCGAGAAGCTCCTCCTGCGGGTTGGAGCCACCAAGGTCCAGAAAGTCGTCAAAACAAGGTTTCAACCGCATGGTATCTCTCAGTAAGTTGACCGAAACCCAAAAGGTCGCTAAGCGGCTTTCCTGCGTTCCAACGTCCAGACCGTTGACGAGGTCTTGGGTTATGGTGATTGCGGAGTTGGACTGGGCGAGTTCGCGCAACAGTACTCTGAACTCCTTCACTGTGTCATCCTGCCCTTTCAGACGAAATTGAAGAGGTGCGAAAGACGCTGACGTGGTCGTCCCAGGTATCAACTGCTGATCAAATAGGATGGGTGGTGCTGCTTCGACGATTGATTCGGCAGTTTTCGAATCGTTGAACACGGCCGATACACCGTCCCGAAGATTGTCTGCAAGCAGGTCGTTGACGAGGATCTGATCTTCATCGAATAGACGTAGCGTAGTGGAGATTTGATGGATGACTTGGCGTCGACCGGCATCGTCTTTGGACTGCATCAGCCTGGGTAAGGATATGATCCACCCATGCAAACTCTCTTTGAGAAGATCAGCGAGTTTTGCGTCTGTGGAGAGCATGATTCTCAAGTCGCTCTCATTTGCGTTGTTTGCATCGCCGCGCCCCGCTAGTATGACCATAGTCTCTACGACCATACCTGAACAGTCGGCTAGAGAGTTCCGACACTCTTGTACGATTGTTGTGCAAAGGCGGAGGAGAGCCTGGCGCACTTCCGATTTGTCGTGGTTTCGCAGCTTCAACACGTTTCCTAAGGCAACCTTGATCTGTGAGGCCGTTGCTTGCAGCCACGAGACGGATCGTACGGTCTTGCTGCCGTCTCGTGAAGATTCTGGGGATAATTTTGGAAGATCCTTGGTAGCCTGTTCACCCAGTAGACGAAGGAAGAGAAGGGACATGACATCGAGGCAACGCTCAAGCACGCGAAAGGCTGTGCGGTTAGAGCTACTGGGAGTCAAGACTTTTGTAAGTGAAGACACTATTCTAGGAAGGAAGCTGGCCAGTGCGTCCAGGTCGTCTATGGCGGAGACTAATTTTGATGTTGCAGCGACGGCCTGCAGCCTGATGGTGTTCGAGTTGCTATCAGCGAGGCAGTCTAGAATAACTAGGATCGATTCCCCTAGGGCCGGAATGTTGGCCGTTGCGGTGAGCTGTTGCTTTCCCTGTGTGCTCTTAGATGACTGGGCAAACAACTCTGTTATACATTTCAGGGCCAATGTTTGTAGCTCTTCAGAGGATCCGGCGACGCCGTTCTCGTTCGAGGATGGTTTAGCCATGAAGGTGAACAGGATGAGCAGCTGTCCTGACAGTTCGGGTGCCAGAGAGCCTCCCCATCCTGTTCGAAGGAGAATCGAGATGCACTCAAGGCAAAGCTCCAGAGCGCGGACAGGTACTGTGCGAGAGATCCTCAGGACTTGGGAAATGGGCACGAAGACATATTCGGCCAGCCTTGAATCGACCGCATCGGGCTTGGAGCTCACTGCTTGGAGGGCGTTGAGCAGTTTCGATAGAGCATCGACCAGGTCCTTCCGCCCGTTAGGCCTCTGGGCGAGCGTGGCTGTAATTTGCAACAGTTGGATGCACGGCTGCTTCAGCTGTGGAGTATCAGTCGAGCTCTGCGTACTGTTCGATGCTCTCTTACCTGGGCGAAGATGTGCTGCCGCTCCATGGTACGAGAGCAGAGCGGCGTCGGATCGATGAAGATGTATCATGTGACAGCACAGGGTAGGTTACCGGATGGGGTTTAGAGCGGACTTGCAAAAGGTGAAGGCGAAGGCGGGTGTCCGCATGGTATGCTCGCTGGTTTGCGCGGGGAGACGTGCGCAGGCAGCTTTCACCTGCCGGTCAGCGAGCTTGCTGCTCCAGGCTGGGTTGACGTGTGCACGGCGATGGCCAACATGGGTCGAGCAGGTGAGAGAGCTGTGCATGGTAGAGAGGGCTTGGCGACGCGCGCAGCCTGTGGAAGCTTTTCGGTACGCGTTGGCCTTAGCGCGTAGTGCAGGTGCATGGTAGCTCCTCTTGAAGGCTGCCCACGCCGTCATCACCACCCTCAGCGCGTCCTCACAGCAACCCGCGCCCACGCGTCGCCGACCCTCACGCCCGCCGCCCGGCACACGCACACGCGTCGTCGCGACAACCCATCCCGGACTCTCACAGCCGCTGCGACTCGGCGCATCTGCCGCGCAGCCACGCGACATGGCTTCCCGCAGCCGGCGCAGCGCCGCGCACGAGGTGGTCGAGGAAGAGCAGGCGGAGCTCGAGGGCGTCAAGAAGCTCCGGTTCAGCCAGACGCTCGTGGGCAAGCCGGGCAAGCAGCTCGGCGTGACGGAACTGCTGGCGCGGCTCAAGGCGCTGTGCGACGAGCTGCGGGACATTGACCAGGAGGAGGCCGACACCGAGTCGCTCACGCGCTCTGCAAAGGAATTGGCCAGCCCCAGCCTCATACACCACAAAGACGCCGGCGTGCGCGCGTGGACGGCATGCTGCATCGTCGAGATGTTCCGCCTGTTCGCGCCCAACGCGCCGTACACGGCCTCGCAGCTCAAGGTGCGCCTCCCCGCCGCTGCTGAACGCGAGCTTGACTGACCGGCTGCAGGACATATTCGCCTTGATAGTCACCAAGATCCTGCCTCTCCTCGGCAACCCCTCGCACCCCTACAACAGCCAGCACATGTACATGCTCAAGTCGCTGGCCGAATTCAAAAGCATCGTCATCGTCACCGACATCCCCGGCTCCGCCACCCTCACCCAGTCCATATTCACCACCTGCTTCGACGTCCTGTCTGGGCCATCCAAAGGCTCAAATGGCGAGGAATTGAGCAAGAACGTGGAACACAACATGACGGAGATCCTGCGCATCTTGGTAGACGAGAGCGCCGCAATTGCGACCGAGGTCGTCGATGTCATTGTAGCGCAGTTTCTATGGGCCGACCCGCAGATGCTGGCCGCTTCCAGGGGCAAAAAGAATGTCACCCTCGACGCAAAACAATCCACCCTACGGCGTAAGGAAGCGCCTCCGGCATACAACATGGCAAAAAACATCTGCAACATGTACCCAGATAAGATGGCGCGCCTCTTCGGCACCTACTTTGGCTCCATTATCGTCGACTTCACTTCGGGAAAGAGTGCGCGCGCAGATGAGTCCGACGATGAGGGAGACAAAGGCCCTTCGGAAGAAGACATCAACGAAGCGAGCAAAGCCCACCGATTGCTCCGCGAGCTGTGGCGAAGCGCGCCAGGATGTCTGAAAGAGATAGTACCCCATCTCCAGGACGAGCTGGCCACCGAGAATGTGCAGCTGCGCCAGCTGGCCACGGAGACGATTGGAGACATGATTTCTGGCATCGGAGCTGCCGGCCCTCCTCCGCTTCCGGACCTGGATCCTGCTGCGTACCCCTCGCAAAGTCTCGCATCTTCTTCCGTCCACGCCTACAACTACCTCACTACTCCAGCGTCTCTCAACTCGTTTATCCTTCATCACTCGTCCGCTTACCACGTTTTCATAACACGCAAGAATGACAAATCGCCAATCGTGCGCGCATCTTGGGCCACAGCGATTGCCCGAATCTTGATGACGTCGGCTGGTAACGTGGGTTTAGATCCCGAGGAGGAGCGTACGTTGTTGAAACACTTCGCCGATAGTCTCATTGACGGCGATGATCGGGTCCGACTTGCTGCTGTGAAGGCAGTGGAACATTTTGAGTTCAACGACATCGTGCGGAAGCTTGGAGTCAACGGTGGTGCAGCTCAATCAGGTTCTATCCTATCCAACCTTGCCGATCGTGTCAAGGACAGAAAGCCCCCCGTTCGAACTGCAGCTATAAAGCTCCTTGCGAAGATTTGGGGAGTAGCCGCCGGTGCCATTGCCGAGGGGAGCGTAACCGTCTCAGATCTGCTAGGACCTATTCCTTCTCGAATTCTGGACGCCTACTATGTCAGAGACCCAGATCTCACTGTTCAGGTCGAATTGGCAACATACGATTCACTTCTGCCGCTCAGTTTTCCGCCAATCAAGCCCAAAGCTGCTGTGAACGGTGGATCCCAAGTCGTTAAGGACAGCCAACCGAATGGCGAACAAAGTTACAGCGAAGCAGACCTTGATAAGATCCGAGCCGAGCGACAGCTTGTCCTCGTACGCGGATTGGACGAACGGGCAAAGAAAGTATTCTATGCCAACCAGGGAAACCAGACTGCACACGCCACCTACATGGAGCACTTCCTGAAACTATGTGAAGAGTACAATGGTGGTGTCATGGAGGGTTCCGAGAAGGACACCAAAAGAAAATTGGACGGTCTGATTGCCTATTACGCCAAAACACTGCCGGATGTCGCGCGGGCGGCTGACGATCTTACAAAGTTCGCCAAGGCACATGACCGCCGAAGCTACCAGCTCATTCGGTTCTGCATGGCGCCCGAGAGCGACTATCGAAAGATCTTCAAGTCTGTTGTAAGTAAGCATCAAGATTGTGTTGAATCACACTAATTCGCCTCTAGAAAGAGCTTCGCAAGAGGATCGAGGAGAACCCACCCAGTCCTACGCTACTAGAGACCTTGACACCCCTTCTGTACCGGGTCAGCCTGCTTTGTTTCAACAAGAGCCACGTTCCTGCAATTATCGAGTTCACTCGTACGGACGAAAAGGGCCTCGCTGCTACAGCCCATGAGGTTCTCAAAGAAATCTCCACGCAGCACCCCAAGGTCTTCTCTACGCATGTGAAGGAGCTGTGCAAAACGCTCGAGAGCGAAGCACCAACACAAAGCGCCACGAACCCTCCTGGCGCTGTCGATGATCTGAAAGCCTTGGCAAGTTTTGCGAAGAAGTTCCCTAAGGAAATACCATTGAATGCCAAAGATGGTCAGAAACTGGTCCGCGGTTTACTCAACTTCACCTTATATGGCACGCCTCCAAAATCTGCTAAGCATGCTATAACCATCCTCATGAACAGCGACAACAGCAAAAAGAGGCACGCAAAGGAGATCCTCCAAAAGAGCATCAAGAACTTCGATTATGAGTGCGAACATTGGCTGACAAAGCTCGCGGCTCTCAGCCAACTCGTCCTTCTCGCACCCGATGAATGCGACGCGGACATTGATGCAGTCTTCACCATCGCAGTCGAAAATGTGCTGCTGAAGCAACATCTAGAATCTGACGAGGCCGAAGAAGAATGGATGGACATTCCAGACGACGACATTACTGCGCGGACTTGGGCACTCAAAATTCTTGTCAACCGTCTACTGGCATACACGGGCGACGAAGAGCGTACAGATGCCTCCGATCAGGTGCTCAAACTGCTCAACCGACTCGTTAAGGAGAACGGGGAGGCTTCTAAGAAGAACCCAACTCCATTGGCACACCGAAACCGACAGCGACTTCTGGCGGCAAACTTTCTGCTCAAGCTAGCAACCGTGCGGCGACTCGATAATCAAATCACCTCTGCTGACTTCAACCAACTCGCTCTCGTCACGCATGACAGTTGTTTACAGGTTCGTAAAGGCTTCGCGCTAAAGCTGATGAAGTATCTCGGACAAAATCGACTCCCTACACGTTTCTACAGCATCCTCTTCATGTTTGCCCATGAGCCAGATGCCAGTCTTCGGAATATCTTGACAACATGGATTCGCTCCCGACGGGCTATATTCGCCTCTCGCAAGGAGACGGTTCTGGAAACTTCTGTCTTTGCCAGACTGCTCAGTCTGCTCGCTCATCATCCCGACTTGGCGGATGATGAGAGCTCGCTAACGGAGATTGTCAAATACATACTGTTCTACCTCAAGACGGTTGCGACCGAGGACAATCTTGCACTCATATACCACATGGCTGGACGTGTAAAGACGGTCAAGGACGGTGTTGATCCTTCTGCCGCGAGCGACGATAAGCTCTACATCATGTCCGACCTCGCACAAGCGGCGATATTGTCGTGGGAAGAAAACAACGGCTGGAGCATGCAAATGTTCCCCGGCAAGCAAAAGCTGCCTGCTGGTATCTTCAAGCCGCTCGAGAGCCACGAACGCGGGCAGGAGATCGCGTCAAAGCAGTACATTCCTTCGGACTTTACCGACCTTCTCGACCCGCTCGTACGCAGGACTATCAAGAACAAAAAGAGAAAGGCTGGAGATGGCGCTGAGAAGCCGCGTAAGAAGGCAAAGGCTGAGAACGGGGTCAAGAAAGAGAGGACCAAGTCTGAACGGCCGATCAAGACCCCGCGCAAGAAGAGGACAGGGGATGCCAGCGGCGATGAAGATCTCGACAGTGCGGTTGCGCCGTCTTCTGGCCCGAGGAGAAAGAGTGGTCGCAAGAGCAACGTAAGCAAGAGTTACGTCGAGGTCTCAAGCGACGAGGAGGATACCCAGGCTGGCGCCGAGCAGGACGAGTCAATGTCTGATGCCGAGAGCGAGCAGGCGGAGGAGGATGTCGCAATGGAAGATAAAAATACAGACGAGGCAGTTGAGTCTGAAGCTGAAGCCGAGCCTGAAGCCGCTGCAGAAGAGTCGGAAATAGAAGCAGGACCAGAGCTAGAACCCGAACCAGAACCCCAGCAGGAACCTGAACCCGAGCCGCCACGCAAGACCCGCAGCCGCCCTACAAGAATTTCCGACGCTCCATCCTCACCCGAAGCTCCAAAACGCAGAGCTGCTCGGCCAGCTAAGGCAGCTACTCCAGCCAAAGTCTCCGCATCTGCCAAGGCAGCGAAAGAGGTCAAGGCCCCCACACCCGCGAAATCAACCCCCGCAAAGGAAACCAAGAAGGCTACGCCGAAGGGCAAGGCCAAAGCCAAGGAAAAGGAAGTGGCAGTCGAGCCCGTCGCCAACGGTACCGGCATTGTTAGGCGCAGTGGACGGACCAGAGGGTAAACTCCTCTTTCTCCGTGATGTGAGGTGGGGTTGAATTATGTATGATACATTATAGTGTCGCTTTTCCGGGGCTCGCCCTCTCCAAGTGCTTTGCGGGCGAAACAGGGCAGAGCAAGAACCGGAACATGCGCTATTGTTTTGTCACTTTCGAAGCGATCGATGGATAGATGGGGTGGCGCGTGGTGTGGCATGACTAATGAGCGTGCTGTATCTTATTCTCCCGATTACGTGTGATACCTTTTTCCATGTCTTATGTCTGTCTTGAGAGTGTGTGGAGGGGATTTGGGCGGATGCGAGAGCTTTTCGAGTATGCGGAAGGCGAGGCTGGGAATGTGGATGGATGTAGGTAGGGTAGGGTACATGGGAAATGCACCCAGAGATTCAGTGGCGAATGCGGATGACGAGTTTGTGCAGTGTACTGCGGTGCATCGCCATGTTTCAGCAAGTTGCAAGCCCTAGTATATGTTGAACTATCGAAGCCTAGTGGGCTGCACGGGTAGCTTTTTCCCTGTGTCATATAACTCTAGGAACAGCGTGCGGTTCTCTCAGGGTTAGATGTCACGGTAGCAGGAAGCTATGAAGGACTGTATTGATTCCTATGAGAGCTGATACATGAGATGGTTTTTATGCTCAAGCTTATCGGCCCGAGAGGCTTGTACCCCTCAGCAGCTGGCGTACACCCAATCAATCTCAAACAACTCTAGTTCCGTCACATTAGATGTGTGAGCGTGAGATGGAAGACCCCATTCGGCGACTGTGAGGCTACAGGTCCACTTATGTCTTGTTGTTCAGAATCGCTAGAAAGCCTTACTCGACTTGAAGAAGAAGAAGAAGATCTGCGGCGTCGAAAAGAGCTGACCCTGGGCTTGGCCGCCGTATCATATGGGATGGCCAACCTCGCCAGCATATCCCTAGGGTCTCTCATGGACTCATCAAGCGAATGTTCATGGTCGGACGCCTTCTGGTCCTGGGATCGATCAGGAGTGACCTCGTTGATAAGATCGAGAGGGTCATTTTTGTTCCTGTCCGTCATCCTCCCTTGTGATGGAATCGCCCATTCGTCCTTGTCCGTCGTCTTACCCAACGATGAAACTGTCCGTTCGTCCTTCCATGCGTCCTTCCCAAGCGCCTCAGGTTCTCCAAGGGCATTTGCTTCGTAAGCCTCGGGTTTCTTGACACTCTTGCTAATGGGAGGTCGCGGCGTATTACGATGCTTGGAGCGGACGACGATAGTGGCATCCTTCTGACCCCTTTTCTTTTTCTTCGGGTCTGATGAAGAGAATAATCTTGCTGCTTGCAAGAATCTCGACGTTCGGGAAATTTCATTTTGTTGCTTGGTATGGGAACTTACTCTCCCCTGGTTGGATTTTCTTGTCGGCCTATCCTGTCGTAGTGGCGATGTTCCTGCTCGCCTCTCTTCGGCGTCTCTTCTCAATTTCGTTGCTGCCTTTCTTGGCTCTGTCTCATAGACTCCGTTCTCAACCCTGCGATTATATTCAGCTCTCATTCGTGTCCGCTCGTGAAGTGGTACATCCAGCTGTGGACTCGGCATGCTCGGCATGCATAGATCTCCGGAGTCGTCTAGCGGATACGGGAGTCTGGCATATGATGGCTCTTCCAGGTGCTCCGAGCCAGATCGATCAGACCAGTCTTCTGACTTGTCTCGCGGATATGGGAGTGCGATATGAAAGGTTCTTTCCTTCCGTTCTTCTGACTTTCCGCGCGGATACGGGAGTGCGATATAGGGTGTCTTTTTCTTCCGTTCTTCTGACTTGCCTCGCGGATACGGGAGTGCGATATAGGGTGTCTTTTCCTTCCGCTCCGAGGCAGAGCGACCAAGCAAGCCTCGATGATGTGTCCCAACTTCAGGTTGCTCCTCATTAGCATTCGCGCCCATGCCAGGCAGTAGTGTTGTGGCGGTGATTTCGCCTGACGAGAATGGAGTCGTTGGGTAGGCAGAGCTGGGAGGGTACCATGGCACTCGAAAAAGTGCTGCAGAAAGCTCAATTCCAGGGTCTGGTGTCACGTTCACCCTGTCACCTGTCTTTTGTGTCGCAGGCAACGCTTGCTCGTCATCCACGCAAGCCGATTTCGGCTCCGGCTCTAGCTTTGCGGACGGTATATTGGCTGCTTCGGGTTGGGTGGCGCTTTGTGGGGAAAGTATGGCAGGCTGTATCTCAGGAGTAATATTCTGCTCATCGTCACTTGGCAGGCCGACAATGATAATGAAGGCTTCATCAGAGCTTGGCGTCTCTTTTTTGTCGATTGCTTGGATGGAGTCCATATCCGTTGCAGTCTCGCGGTCGATTTGCTCATTCAATGGTGACGTACTGCCGGTATGAAACGGGAAAGGCTTGCCCCCTGTTGGTCGTAGGGTAAGCGTCACATCAAGATCTGTCCAAGGGACCGACTCTGAGGCATCGACAATAGAAGTTCCAGACGTCCCAACACGAAACGTAGGGGAATTCAAGTCTGACAGTATCTCATAGTTCTCAACAACACTAGCATGGTCAACAGTAGATCCGTACAGTGATAGGAAACTGGCGTACCTTTCGAGTTCACCAGAAGATTGGGAGGAGCCATCTCGAAATTCATCAAACCAGACGTGAGCTAGAGCATCGGAGGCCGTCAACCGATCTCGTGGAAAGGGCTTCATCAGTCCTTGAACGAGTTGAATACCTTTAGCGGTCATCATTGAATCCTGCAATTTGCTTGTCGGAAATTCTGATCTTGCGTTTGCATAAGCGGCAAGGTCCGTAAGGAATGGCTGAGATCCACACATCATTCTGCATGCGATTTCTCCAAGAGCCCAGATGTCGACTGCAAACGTGTACTCGCGCTCGTTCATCAGCATTTTTGAAATTGCGGCTTCCTCGAGGAACAATGATCCTTTCTTTAGAAGAACCTCTGGAGCCAAGAACCCTTCAGTGCCAGCGATTGTTCGCAAGGCAGTCATTCCTTCCTCCGCTCTTTTGGATATGCCAAAGTCGCCGATCTTCACCCACCAGCCTTCTTCATGATCCTTGGTTCGTCGTACTAGCACATTGGAGGGCTTTAGATCGCGATGAGCGAATCCATTGTCATGCATCTGGTACAGGCCCTCTAGTATTTGGTATGTTATCGAACGGGCATCATCTTCAGACATTCTCCCTGCTGTGTTCATGTATTCTTGCAGATCACCATGTTCAAAGTATTCCATGGTAATGAACACATGATCTCGAGATTCGAACCATCCGTAGCTCTCCACGAAAAAAGATTTGTACTGCGAATCGATCAGTCCATACAACAGTGCAAGCCATGTATAGATACGGAGGGGAATCTCATATATCAAAAGCTTGGAGATCGATTGTCCTGCGCACGGTTCGCCTTGCGCCGTCTCTCGTGTCTACGAAGGGCGAGAATTACCTTACCACGTGAGAACTTAGCGATAGTCTCAAGCTCTCGACTATAGTCCACGAAAGTGGAGGTCCCAGTGCGCTTTCGAATCCTTTTCACAGCTCGGTCTTTAACGTCACTTTCTTGGCCTCCGACGAGCACCTCTTTCCAGACAGTGCCAAAAGCGCCCTCGCCTAGAATACCGCCAACGCGCTGCCATCGTTGCTCTCTTTTGATCTTTCTGTGACCGTTACGACGGTCTGATGTTAAAATCGTATGTTGCGTAATGCCATCTCGATACTCTGTTTTGAGTTTTGAGTCCTTCACAAGGTCTGTAGTAGGGCGCATGGCTCAATACTGGATAGGCGATCGGACCGATGATTCGCACTAGCGGGAGCTAGAGTTTGAGGGCTATGGTCGCTAAACGACGCCAATAAAAGAAGAGAGCGACGATAACAACATCGAGTCATGTGCCCTTGGCATTAAAGGCGTGGACAGAGAGCAGCGCGACGGAGGTTGATCGCTCAGCCTGGTGGTGCTGACCTCGGGAGGACGACAACATTTGAATTGTGCGCCCGGGGTCTAGTCCGGGGTCCCGAAATCCCGGTCCAGTCAGCCCCACGCCACGTGACGAGCAGTGGGCCAGCACAGCCTTGTGTAGCCATGTGCATGTGCGAAAGGCACCTGCACATCGCATACGTCCCAGGCTTCTCTTACGGCAGTTCATCTAAACTACTCTGCGACCAATTTCCTGCTGTCAACTGTATGACCACACAAGCGCTCAAGATCACCAAAGTTTGGTGCGTGTACTCGTGAAATCATAGCATCCTACTACCTTCGGCTCGGAGGGAATTACAGCACTTCTGTGTTAGATATGGCAGAAGTAGGGTTGGCAGCTGTAGCTACAGTAGATCTCGCCCTAAAGTTCGTCAGTGCACCATATCGCTCATCGTCTACTAACCTTCCATAGATACGGAAAACAACTGGTACAATTATGCTCAGACTTCCAGCATGCTGACGAAGAAGTACGAGAAAGAAAGAAGAAGATCAAATCGACATGGGTCCGGACAGAAAAGCAGATCGACTTCCTAGGCAAAATTTGGAACAGCTTAGATGTGGAACTTCAAAATCACCAAAGCGAGTTATTAGATGAACTGGTCTCCAAACTCGATGCAGCTACGAAGCAAATTATGCGCGTACGGCGGAAGACTGTGGATGATGAAGGAGCAGCAAAGGTTAACAGGATGAAATACGCAGCAATAAAGGGAAGCATTGACAAAGCTATCGATGAGCTGAAGGAATGGCAACGGGACTTCGATCCAGGGTGGTTTCTAACCATGAAGATCGCCCAACCGGTCATTGATCGTGAACTAGCGGAGGCGTCCAACTCAGATTCAGCGACACCAATAAAAGAGAACAAAAGCGCAATGGACACCATATCGACCGCCCGAAATGTGCGCAAGTATATGAGCAGTAATGTCGAAGAAAAGTTAGAGATCTTCCGAAAACACGACAACGCAACGGAACTAGAGCCGATCCCGTATTCCGCTGCAAGAACATTGCAGAGAACTGGCAAGGGAGGTTCGCGAAGCTACATTGTCGATACGGTGCCTTGCTTGGAAGGCGTTAATGTGGACATCCTTACTAAAGATGTTCGCGAACTTGCTCGAAAACTTTCTGTCGCCGACCCCTTCACTTTTGGCCTACTCCAATGCCGTGGTGTGGTCAAAATCTACGGCACCGAAGGTCGAAAACCAACTGCATTTGACTTCATCTTTCAAATTCCGTCGGAACTCCACAGTCCGCGAAGCTTGCGGGCCACTTTATTGAATTCCGGCACGGACGCCTCGCTGACGAGTAGGGTACAAATCGCACGCAAGTTGGCCCAATCCGTAAGCTACGTCCACACATACGGCTTCGTGCATAAAAACATCCGTCCAGACACGATACTTGTACTGCAAGATACATCGACCGAATTGGCAGCGTCCTTCCTGCTCGGGTTCGAGCGCTTTCGAAATGTGGATAGAAGGACGTTGATGATGGGTGATTCGGTCTGGAATAAGGACTTGTATCGACACCCACAGCGACAGGGTCTGAATCCGGAAGAAGAATATGTAATGCAGCACGATATATACAGCCTCGGAGTCTGCCTTCTCGAGATCGGACTCTGGCAGTCTTTTTTCTTAATCATGCAGACCGAGGAAGCCACTCCCACAGGCTGGCTGCCAAAGAACATTCTTGAAGATAGCCTTGACAAAGCTGCTTGTGTGAAGGAGCACTTTGTAGAGCTAGCGCAAGATAGGCTGCCAGCAAAAATGGGCGAAATATACACTAGAGTTGTGGTAACATGCCTTACATGCCTGGACAAAGACAACGTGGATTTTGGAGATGCCGAGGAGCTCGAGGATGAAGACGGTGTGCTAGTCGGAGTCAGATTCATCGAGAAGGTAAAAGTGATCTCATCGTTGAGAAGCTACATTCTAACGAAGTCAGATTCTGCGACATCTAAATAGTATCTCTGTATGAGCAAGCAACACGTGCAACTAAAGTGCTGCCATTCTCGCAAACTGGTAGTCGCAAATTGGCAGCGCGATGCGTCTTCACTCCAAGGTTCAAATCCTCCCTTTTAGAAACTCATGTCCAGGTCGAAAGTCAGTTCTTTCTGTAAGACAACCATCTCAAAGCTCGTCAAACATCCCCAAGTCCCCGGACCGCATGTATCTCTTCGAACCTCGCGATATCCTCTTTTTCGCCAATACGCTCCGTTGATGCACTCCGCTGCCAAGATCCAAAGTGAGACATGCCCAGTTATTGTACTTCCTACATCTTTCGTCGTCAAGAGTTTTTTCCTTTCTTTATGAACAAGACACTGCTCCGAGGATGTGTATAGCTGCACAGCAAGACCGCGATGTAAGTATTTTGCATTACCGTGTACCGCGACCGCCTTGATTTCCCATCCGTCTTCAACATCAGCACCCTCCTTCTTCCAGCCACCTTTCCAAGGTACTGCAGCCGCGACAGCAACGATCTTGCTGTCATCGAATATAGCAGTTACAACGCCTTCGTCACCCAGCATTTCGAGATATGTTTCATGATTTGGAAATCGTTTGCGATGTGCGCCTTCCCATTTTTCTGGTTCTGAGAGTTTTGACCTTGTGAAAGCATCGTTTATTAGGCCCGTAATATCATCGAGTAATGCTGGTCTGGACTCCAGATCCTCAGGTGTGAAGAGGGTCGGTCGCGAAAGGTCTAGAGAAGCCATCGTCACGGCCGGAAAAGGAGTACGAATTTCACGAAAGGTGCTTTCAATCGTTAATTAATGTCATCCACCAGGGTTGTGTGATTTGGTGTTCCAATTGCGATGCTGTTCGCATCATTGAGTCATCTCCTCGTGTGCCTGTCAAGCGAATTGAACTGGACGCTAAGGTCGGGAACACCTGCCGCTTTTCGCCTAAGTGGTATTTTCTATTATCGTACACTCAGTGTTCCTCCTGCACCTCGCGACGATATGGAGGCTATTCACTCGCACGTAAAAGCTGAATAGCGGGCGATATTTCGATCTTATGAAGACCTAAATATGTACGCAGACATCAGTCCGAATGACCTATAATCATGATACGTCAACAATTGCGTTCACTTCCGAAGGACAGGAGCAGCAACACAGAAGTTTTAGCTGTGAGCTTATCTTTCAAATCTTCGAATGCCCTCTTGCGTTTATCACCATCCTTGTGAATCATGAAGAATATCATGCCGCTGTTGTCCACGTGCCTGAAGGTCGAAAAAGCTCCCGGGATCTGAGCGATAAACTGGCAGGCGATGCTCGTGGCTGCCGGCTGAATTTTACGCGCAGCAATCAACGCACCCTGGGGATTACCTGAATAGGCATGTTGATTCAATCTTACATTCCGCGGGGTAAGATGGAATCGTACGCCAAGAGATGCCAAAGATCGCCGCGATCGATGACGCTCCGATAAATGCCGCATGTGGAAGTTTGAATCTCGAATGGTTTCGCTCGGCAGGGGTATCGCGGATGTATCCGCGGCGGAACCCGTGCGCCGTGATGGACACTGTTCGTCCTCCTTCCTAAATAGGCAAGTTGGATGCGGCAACGGAGACGGAGACGGAAGAGGCCTCTCCGCAGTGATCGATGAGGTTCGATACTTGCCTGATCTGTTGTTACAGTAGGAGTGATAGCTGATGTTCTATACGAGCATTCACGTGCAAATTCAGGAGGCGCTTTGTTGTACATTCAGTACATTTTATTTATTATTAGTAGTGTCATATCTATCTTCACAATGCAAAAAGCCGCTCGAACGCTAACATCAAAACACTTTCGATTGCATCCAAGGCCATTACAGTGATATCGCCAACGTGTTCTTATCCTATGTGGGGGAATACTTCGACATCTTCCTGATCTTCGCTCCATAAAAGTAGAACAAGATGGGGACAGGAATCATTGCCGTGGTGATGAAACCCAGCAGACTCGTCGCCCAACTCACACCAAGCGTGTGATACATAGCGGTCGCGAACAAAGGGAAGCCGGCTCCAAAACCGCTCCTTAGGAAGGTATTTGCAGCAATCGCACTGTTGGCGTACATGAGGTAACAATCGATGATATAGTTCAGCCTGGAAAATGTCAGTGTGATAAACTTCGCGTCATAACAACTCAACTCACCCTTGCAAGAAGATCATAAGCACACCGGCACCGATGAAGATGCCAGAGAGCACCTGAGGTACCCAGGTGATGTTTGGCGACGAGGTCCAAGCGAACCAGAACATGCCTGCAGGAAACAAGAAGCCGCCAATGATCATGGGGATTAGACGTTCCTCGGGAACTACAACACCGTTGTTCTCCTTGAACTTCCTGGCAAAGCGCGTCTTGGTGGTGAAGATGATGATGCCTCCGCCCAGCACGACACCGATGGTAATCGAAAGGAAAGGTAGGGCCCCGACGCCAGAGTTCCAGCCGCGCTCTTCTTGAAATGAGATCGGGTATGCTTCGAATAATAGGTACAGGATACCATAGATGATAGCCATATAGAGAGTGACGAGGTCAAGGATCGGTTCCTTCAGCAGCATGGCGAAAGGTCTGAGAAGGTACTTCTCCGCGATGTTCTTGAGATCGACTTGCTGCTCATCGCGCTTGGCGTGGATGGCCCAGTTCTTCGTCGCGAAGCGGATCTTGCTCGCGCGCCGGGAAAGTAAAACAGGCGCAAAGGTTTCTGGTACTGTGAGGAAACCTACTGTACCAAAGAAGAAAGCCATGATAGCAGTTATGTACTCGGTCCATCTCCAACCAAGGTGACTGTTCACAATGAAACCACCAACGATGGGACCAGCAACAGGGCCAATAAAAGTTGCACCTGCGAAAGTGACCATTGCGACGCCGCGATCGAGAGGACCCCAGAAATCCGTGAGTTGGCCTCCGACAATACCGAGCGGCGCAGATCCGAACACACCGCCAAAGAAGCGGCAAAGCATGACTGTCTGAAGATTCTGCGCCACAGCCACCGGAATCTGGAATATTGCGAAGATGAAGAAGCCGATGAACAACGGATACTTCCTGCCGTAGAGCTCAGATAGAGGACCCCAGATAGGTGGCCCAACAGCGAAACCAAGAACGAACAGCGAAGTTCCAAGAATCATGACTTCGTTCGATACATTGAAGTGTTGGGCAGTGGCCAGTGTCGCTGTACTGAACACACTGCTGGCGAATGTGATCACGAACGTAACCGTGCCGAGTATGGTTGTGATGAACCACTTGTATCCTTTGCCCCAGTTTTGAGGATTTTCGGCGTCCTCAGGACCATCCCATCCTATGAGGTTGGGATCCTTCTCCGACTCGCCCTGGTCGTCCTGCGTCTTTTGCTTTTCAACATCTTCCATCGCATCGCCTTGCCCATTGTGGGAGTGCGGTCGTTCAGACAGGTGTGATCGTGTTCCATGCAATCGACTCGCAGAACGGCTAACAGGAGGTTCTGGCTCGGTCGCGATTGTGCTGCTGCTTGTAGAACGCAGTCCTTCACCTTGTGGAGAACCCAGATCCGACTTACTGTCGTCGAGACTAAGCGTTTCGTGTTTCTCCGGCTTGGAGTCGACTGAAGACCTAGGCGGCGGAACGGGTTGTCTGGTGTGGGTGTTCATAGAGGATGATAGTCCATCGGGGTAGTATGTCGTGGTTCCAGTGTCCGTTCTGGAGGATCCTTGGTCCACTCGTTCTCCGGCCATGCTTTCTCTTTAAAACACTCGTGGAGAAACGATGTAGCTACCCAAAATATCGAAAACGTGACAAGGGGATACATGCACTTAGGTCGTCACTGACTGAGTAGCTTATGTAAAGCAAGGGTGCAAGCGCTGTAGGGTATGCAGGTAACGAGCACCAAAACAAGGGTCCGATGTAAGACTGCAGGTGCATAAATTTAAACGCAAAGCCAAGGAAGGGGCTGGTCGTCCCGATCTATATAGACCATACATCATCTTTTTCGTCGGTACGGTATTATCAATTATACACAGAATATCGCTGAAAACTTCCCCGCGTTCGGTCAACGGTCATCGCGGCGAGGTTGGCGTCATATTTCCTCGCGATCGCGCTTTTGCTCGGCCGAAGGACCCACGCCTGAGAAGCTTCCCGCATCTGTTCAAGAGCCCTGCGTAGCTGCGATGAGCACCCAATAATAATGTGGAGGCGACGACGCTTTTAGGTCTAACAGCCCTACACGTGGTCCAGAACCAGGGCAATGGGATTGTTGTCGCTATTGTGGGTCCAGGGTTTCAAGCGATGACGACGGGGGTCGGAGGAAACCTCACCCTCCGACACTCCGAGCGCCCGAGCAAACACTCTCAACGGAGAAAAAAATGCACCGATCTGTCTACGCTGGATAGATAACATCCATTTGTGGGACTCTTTCAATGCCCTGTGGGTCGTGAAATCTCACAAACGGGCCATACATGGCATTTTGGAAGCCCGAAGAGCTTACGCTGAGGCAGATCACATAGTACGGACGAGACGCTCCCGCATTATTGCTCAACGCCGGGATTTGCAGGCTCCGATGTCTTCACAGGGCCTCGGTGTCGTGTACCTGCGAATCTTAACACAGCTTGTAGTGGGTAGGGGTGCTACCCGCACATAGTAGTGCCCAGTCTAGGAGGACGTGGAAATTGCGGGGCAGATACGCCTTTCTACATAGCCTCCGTTCTTCATCTTCCGTGGCACTCGTACGAAGCTATCGGCTCGAACTATCCCATACCTCGCATTTACGTCGAGGCTTCAGTCCAGCACAGTTGCAGGAGACCCGTAGTAGTCACATGATGTCGAATCATGGATTACTGGATTCCCCAGCCTGCGGTGTGCCGCAGATCAGTTGAAAAGGGTCGATGAATACAGAATCCTCACATCGCGCCTACGCTCCCACAGCTTGCTCCCTGCCCAAATCAGCCGCCACATTTTCCATAACAAAAGTGCGGCGCTTGCCTCAACCTGTTACAAACAGTCCTGCACAGGCCGCAGCGAACGCTCCTATGGCATGGATAGAAAGTAAGGTGGGCGATGCGCCGCCACCCGTAGACGCCGTTGCTATTACTGATTCAATGACCGTCGGTTTCGTGAACAACAAGCTCCGAGAACCCGAGGTCGTTTCCACCTCAGTGTGCGAATCCGTCGGCAATGCATCGGTAGCTGTGAAAGTTGTTGATGGAGATGCGCTTATCGTGAGACCAAGGCTCGTAAGCCTCACTGGATCCAAATCGCTGTACGGTGCCGCCTCGATGGAAAAATTGGGTATGAGCAAGTCCTGGCACCATGGAGGGTCACCAGGTATACACTTCTGTGCAGCGATGCAGCACCAGCCATTTCCACAGTCAACTGGCGAGAAACCACAGGTTTGTCCTATTGAGCGTTTCGCAGTATAGAGAGTCGCAGTTGCAGTACTAACGACGAGAAAGAGCAGAAGCATTGTGAAAATAGTTCAAGATTTGAAATGCACTCAAGGTGATGTTGAAAGCTTTCTTGACGATCTGCTCGCGGACTTTTTATTCCAGCAGAACGTAGTCACGGCTCACCGGTGCTGATGAAATTCGGCGACAGCCTTTACTTCGAGTTGCAGCCACGGAACAGTCACAAGATCAAGACAGAAATCTACCGTTATCAAGAAAACGTAGCTATATTTACCAGCCAACAGCATCGTCTCCATCGGCGAGAAGTCGGGGAAATTGCTTCCCGAACCGTTCGTTCCAATACCAGACGTGGCTGTTGTGGCGCTGACAGCTGAGAGCGACCAGGGTCTTGGTTCGTGTGTTGAGCGCAGGGCTAGACGAGTTCGAGCGCTTCAACAAGCTTCGAGCGTCGATGTTGTGGGCAGCGCCTCGCATTGTTTTTGAGACTTTGATATATGATGGCTAAGTTCCGAAGTGTTAAGGCTATGCACAAAGCCAAACTGCAGTTATGAACGGACCGCTTCAGAACCTACCCTCGCCGCATGCTCACACCAACGGGTGTACTCTCCACTACCCACCAGTCACTAATGGAAATGCTAGTTCTTCACAGAATCAGCCTGACCCATCAGAAAGGCATCCATTCCTGCACATACTCACCAACTTCACTCGCATCGCAAGCTCCTTTCTCAGACATCTCTGGAAAAGTGTGGGGTACTGGTCTAGACCCGCTGTATCCCTCATTGTATACGGTCTAACTGTATACACTGCGTGGACAGCACCGAACCAGCACACGCTCCTTGGGCGCGTGTCTCCATCCCTCGGCACATGGATCCTCGCCATCTTCGCCAAGGCTGGCGACATCTGTTTCGCCTTTGCGATTGAAGACACATTTGACGCGCTCGCATGGCGCAAGCTAGGCTCGAGGCACCGAAGATACGACGTGGTGCCGCTGGAATGGTTCTTAAGCATGACATCGAGCACTGGCATCGAAGGGCTGACCAGACTTCTGTGGAGGCGGTCGAGGCTCAGAAGATGGACAGTGCGATACTTTGGGAGACTTTGGAGGGCTGAACAAGTCGTCCAAACGAGCGAGGGTGAAGGCGAAGTCGCTTCCTGGGAGAGAAGATGGAGAGATTGGTGGAAGGGTGGGAGATACTTCAGATGGCCGTTTGCGCGGCTGTTGTTCGTTGCTGTAATGATTCCTGGTCCCGGTATCATCCTTCTGGGTATGGTAGTACCAGCTCCCTTCTACAAGCTCATGCTGACTGTGAATAGCAAACATCGACCAGGCGACCGTATTCTTCGATGTACGGTCAATGAACGTATCCGCCGGACTCGCTACGTATGATCCGACTATAGCGAACGCAACACGCAACGTCGTCGCTCCCATAATCTCTCGATACATGCACGCCTTGCTTCAAGATCGCTCATTGACATGGCCTGTGGATCCGATTGATCCATTGTGCAGCACTGGCAAGAATTGTAACGCGTCTCTCATAGCCGGGCCTTACTCAACAGTCTCTCCATGGCCCTTCCCGAGGGCGAATGAGAGTGTGGGAATAGACGGGTTCCGCATCAACAACGCCCCATTCTACCAAGTAGACATGTGGGATTGGGAACCTGGTACAGTGACTTTCTCAGAAAGTCGAAATTGCGTGGTATACGGGGGTCTCGACGCATTCAATGAGTTTTCAACATCGCTTTGTATCTCTCAGCAAGATTCGGAAGGTGTACTTGCGGCAGGTAAGTTGTCACACAATCTCGAGACGTCCCTATAGGCACTGAAAATCATCCCTATAGGATGGGCCTCCTGCCAGCTTGGCTATTCCCCAACAAATTATAGCTGTCTTGCGCGAGGAGGCCGAGAGGAATGGGGTACCTTCTTTCGCTTCTACCGCCGCAACGCAACGCTAGTCTTTTCCCGCTCTGACCTACAAATTCTTTCGGTGACTGACCTCTCACCTCCGCAACCCCAGAACATCACACCAGCCGCGCTCTTCACCGTGTTGGACACTATACTCTACCGGCCCGATCGTGCAGACAGCGCATTAAAATTCTACGACGTCCGGTCGGCGGAGTACCTTCTAACGCAGATGATCGGTGTGCAGCTTTGGTACTCGTTGTACAATAATTCGGCTGGGCTCCCCGTTGGCAGAGATTGGCTGAAGAACCTTGTATCGCTGCCAGTGTACGTTTTTCAGCCCACGTCTATAGAGCTCGTTCCCTATCTCCCAGCACTGGCTGCAGACAATGGTACGAGGCCGCAACCTAACCTCCCACGCGAGAACTATGTTGAAGGTGCATACTGTGTCATCGACAAGCGTTCTATTCCCGGTCTGGGGACGGTCTACGCATATATCGTCGTCGCAGGGCTCTTGCTAGCATTTGTCATCATCGCCAAGGGTAGGGCGCTGTTGTGGGATGACGTTGCTACGAGCGATTTCGCCATATTTGATTACCATATTTTGACGAGAATAGTGGACATGAGTGTACAGAAGAGGGAGGTTTCACCGGATCAAATATTGCAGACTGCTGGCGGAGAGTATAGTACGAGTCAGATGCTTGACCAGATTCCCAATCTACGCATTGGATTGAGGTAATTGATAAGCACATTTAGTGAGCTTTTAGGGATGAGACTTAGTACTGTCATTGTTCGCTTCCGGAATTTGAGCAAAAGCGGCCCACGCTGGTCAAATAACAGGAGCAAGGACTCCGAACATACATTGTGAACATACCTAAGCCGGTATACACAGATAATCTTGAATTTCAGGCCTAGTTCTTAGGAGCGTTCGTCAAGTCCCACGTGGCGAAGAAATCTAGCACGCGTGGTGTAAAATCCAGCGAATGATCTCCACAGTAGGAGCGGGAGCCATCCGAGTTATCGCCAGTGGAGGACGGCCAACAGTGCCCCAAGTCATTGATCTTGTAGTGCTTGACAACAGCCCTCAGCCCTTCGCACGCGAAAGTCGTCGTCTCGTACCCGTCGTGCTGCGTAGTTCTTCCCTCATCCGCCGCGCACCCATCGCGCTGTCCCCACCAAGTAACCCATTCATCAATATTCGGAACGGCGCCTCCAGTCTTCGTAGGATTCTCACCATTGTAAAGAATAGTCGTGTCGTTCCCGCCATGCGCCTCGAGGATAGCGCGCTTCTTGTCGCAGCGATCCTTGCTATTGTCATCGTACAACGCCGCAGCTGCCATCGCAAAAGCCGCAAACTCATCGCCCTCATCGGAACAAGCTAATGTGTCAACGAAACCTCCACCGTTGCTCTTGCCAGATGCGTAAATGTGATCGTCGTCGATGCAGTATTGTTCGCGCATGCGCGCAAGCAAGTCCTTCACGAACAAGACATCATCTACGCCTTTCGCAGCGTACGGCGCACCCTGCCACGCTTCGTCGATGCCTGCGGGGTAAACGGCAAGATACTCCTTTCCTGCGTCATACTTGTCGTATTGTGAATTATTGTACTGATTTTCTGGACTCCCGTTGCGGCCGTGGAAGTCGAAGATCACCTTACGGGGTTTGTTGGGGTCGTCGTTGTACCCATCCGGGACGCGAACTGCGTACGTTCGGTCGCGTCCGCCGGAGGTGATTGTGTGGCTATCGGGATTCGAATTGAAGCCGGAGTTGTGAGGCTTGCCGCAGCCTGAGCTACCAGCTTTCGACCGAGTATTGAGGTTGAGAGGGTTGGCTGAGGCTGCAGCGATGAAGCCGATGGCTATGGCAGCGGTTGTCTTCATACTCGTGAATGTGGATGTATTTTGGAAGTGCGATGCTTCCAGATGAGGGGAATGAACCGTTTACTTGTAGCTATGCTAGTGCGATGCTCATTACCGCAAGGGTGCAGGACGGAGTTTATACCATAGGTAGACCCACACATGATTCAGCTGAACATTGCCTACTGACTAGACATTCGGAGCCTCAAGCACGCTGAGAACATCCATCTAACCATATAAATCCTCACAGTCATCTCCATGACCTCTTGCGATGACCCAATTAAGGTGCACTGGCAGTTACACCCAGGGAGGTATCTGCGTAGAGTAAACTGACGTATGCTCTGCGGCTGTTCGGGAGCTGGACGGTAGTCTGGATTGTACCTCCATTCTCTAACGTGTTCCGGTGTATCTCCTGTTCAAAATTAACCGATCCGGACTTGGGATCGACAGGTGCGGGACTAGTGGGCCATCGTCCGAGGCTGTGCTAACATCGGAGCCACGCTATCTACTGTGAAGCATTCCTCGTTCAGCATTATTCTGAATCGATGAATAACATGGTTAAGCTGAAGCTGTTAGCGATCGCTACCAGCGACCATAGATGCTAAATAGGCCACTGGGTCGCACACTCGGGGGTATCCGCTTTTAGTAATCCGGTGTTTCGCATAAGCCTCAAGCGAATGTCATTTGGCTTTCAACGATGGCGCCAGCATAGACTCCACCCCTGTTTACCATGCGCAACGCTTGGTAATGCACTGTGGGTCACTGTATGGGTGCATAGCGCGAAGTGATGACGCATGCTAAAGTACTAGACATACGCCGCTGGAATTGAAAGCTAACAAGAGAGCGAACTGGACGATTAAAGGGGATCGAAGTTGCACAGAAGATTACTCAAGGCTTCCTGTAATGGACGATCGAGAGATGCCCAGGTCACTGCGTATAAGAACAACACGAAGTCAATATTCTTTCTGGTATATCTCAGCCTTTTCATCACAAACATCGAGACCCCCTTCTTGCAAAGTAGTTTCCTGTCTGAATATCGAAGTTACCGCTACTGAATGCGGTAATGAGTGCCTCACGAAAGAATACGCAAGGCCGAGCTTCACGCTTAGCCTGCCTTGCACCTCCACATACATGTTGTCCTAGCTCCAAAACCAGTTTCATAACCAGCGAGCAACCTGTCGATTTTTTTAATAAGCGTGAAAAAATCCGTGACGTTCAAACCTAGGCGTTTCATCCCTGTTGCTTCTAGGAACTTCTACTAGTATGAGTCCATGGGCCCCGCAACCGACGCCCTCTGATATAAAATCTACAAAATCTGGATGGAAACGGGCAATTATAACCAGCACTGGCGAGGCGAGTAGCGCTTTGTCGCTGTGTTGCTCCGAATTGTCCAGCTGGATGGCCATGATGCCATGTTCATGGTAAGGAATTTTCGTGTCCATCAGGTACTCCTCCTGCGCAGAATTCTTCTTCACGCGATAACGGCGAGCCAAGGTTTTGCCTCCTAGCACCGCTTCATGAACTCCATCATAAGGTGCAGTCATGTTGACGAGCGTCCGATGCACTATCTTCATTTCCCGTATACGCTGCGATTGTGTCAACTCCTCTTGTTCTGTTTCGTACGAAGTCACGGTCCCGCGTGCGGCGCATCTTACTGTTCCGCTCATTCTCGTCCATGCCCACGACGGGCCGAGCCAATTTGTATCTGAGTGCGTTGCATTGTATCCTCGATCGAGCTCTTTGCCGCCAGCAAACCACAGTAGATCATACGAGGTTCCCCCTAGCCAATGGCCCGCAATATACGTTTCCTTGCTACGGTACTTTTGGAGCTTAGTTGCAATTCCAGATGTTGCCAGCACTCTGTCTTTCGGGTGCGTGAGCTCTCGATTGCTGTAGGTTCTGACAATTGTGTCCCAACAACGCCCGTCGGTAGATACAAGCTCGTGTGAAAGTAAGGGCAGGGTGACGGCTTCAAGAATGCTCGAGAAATACATGCTTTTTGTCCAAACATCCGTGTAAGTATAACCACTACTTGACGTCCTATTTGATGCAGCACATATAAAGCTAAGCTGACGGGTGTTATATTCAAGTATCCGGGTTGAGAGTCTATGCTCTTGAAGCGCCCTGCTCCGGATATCAGTATTGACTACAGAGTGAAGATGAGAGAAATTCACGTGTTGGTATTGTGACTAGAGATAATACACGTCTTTTGCTTGAATTAAATTGAGATGTAGCCACATCTGAGACCAAGAAGCTACAGGCTGAAGTAGCTGCTTCTACATCAGGATGGCCGCCCGGAATCTCGAGGTTCTTCCAAAAAGTGCTCGATATCAAGAAGTGATGACTGGCAGGCACCGACTTGATATGCGGCTGGGGCGTACTAACCATGAACGTTTGTTGAGAGGTAACTGCTCTTCTTCTCTCTGGTTTTCCGCAAACTTTAGGATGCCCATTCTTCGAATATCTCTGTCATAACACTCCACTTGCACCTGCATGTGTATGTTTGAACCACAATTCCGATTTTTGAGAAACCCATCATCTGCAGATGCTGCAGTTGAAGCGGCAATTGTGATCACTGCTCCGCTATATATATCAGGCATTCGAGCAATCTCTGAACTTACTTCTTCCTCGTCAGTGGGGTCCAAATTCATCGGGTGTTTGCTAGGGAACCAACTATAGGCTCTTGGTGCTGCTCTAAGGTCGATTGCGGGTCCCTGCATTCCTTCCTCATCGAGTAGCTTATAAATGTCGAAAATCATGTCCTTGGACATCTTGGAGCGACGCGGCCGCAGACATGCATGCATCAACCATCTGCTAAGATAATCCCACGTGTAGTCAACGACATAATCAGATTGCGAACTTCTCCTTTAGGTCTTGAGCGCTCAATATCTCTACTTGATAGTGTTTGAGAAGTTCAAGGACCAAGAGACAGCCACTGGACGTAGCTTGTGTGACTTGTAGCTGGGTCAACACTGCAGGTATTTGGATATGCGATTGCCCGGATTGGTCAAAAGCACTCGTATCATCCGACGGTGGAAACAAGAGATGCACATGGCCATCTCAAGGCATCTAGATGTGGCAATCAGTGAAGGAGGACCTCGAGGACAAGAAATGTGCCAATAATACTGATTCGTTGGCGTTGTATACAGGATAGAGTGGTGAAGAGACAATGCTGGGCTAAGGGGAAAAGACATGGTCTACACACGCGTGTGCGGGTGGGTGTGATATAGTGGGGGGTTCTGGTAGGCGGTCGACTTGCAGACGCGACACCGGAACAAAAATCGGAGGATCAGCTAAAGAATTCGGGACAGGAAAGAAGCGCTTAGAGAAGTGTCGTACGCGCTGAAAACGGCGAGAAGACTAGAGTCTATGTCAAGCGTCCAAGCAGTAAGTGTAAGGTGCGAGCTTTGGTGCGAAAGGGGTATAGGCATGCTCGACTTCTGTGCAAAAAGGCGTCTCCATCACGCTGGTGCTATGCATCGACTCCTCCCTCCTTCTCTCCTTCATCCTCGACCCTCTCTTCTTCCTCAGGTCAACCTCCGCATCTCGCCTACTGCTGCACCCACACATTTCTTTCCAGGCGTAATGCGTGCATCAGGCCTTTTTGTTCAGATAATTCACCAAATCCACCATCTCGGCATGGCTCATAGCGGAGCTCATAGCAGCGTACCCCTCGTACAAGATCCACACGGGAAACACGACCCACAGGCCATTGAAGGTGAAGAGGTAGAGCCAGCTGGGTGTCACACGTCAGCGTTTTCTCCCTACCAGCGACCATAGAGGTAGTTGGCCAAACATAGACCAGAACGTGACTGGAGGAGACGGGCATCAAAAGTGCCAGCGAGCATCATCCAGCGTACAGGTTGACTAGAGTACGAGAAGAAAAAGATGCGCATCGGGGTGCCATCGGGGACCTGCATGACGGGCCGTGGGGCGGCAACGCAGGGTCTGCCGCGCGGGGACGCATGTAACAGGGTGGCTAGAGGGTACGATGGAGTTGTTGTGGAACGCTGCGTTTTGGGTTGCCGAGAGCGCGCCGAGCGACAGGCAACACAACAACAGCACGAGTCCCCTCTCTATGCCCTCGCATAGACTATGAAAGGAAAGAGAAAATGCGAGAGAAAGCGTGCAGACTCACAGATACATCCAATTGCTCGTGTCCAGATTTGGACTCCCCGTAAACCACTCGGGCGCAAAAGTCATCCAGCCTAAGGCGGTGAACCACGTGTCAGCGCAACATCCACCGCAACACGCCTCCTAACCGGAACGAGACGAACACGTCGGACGGGACCCACATGCCGCCTCACACCTCGAGATGAGTCGGCAAAGGGCAAAACATAGCATGCGTGGTGGTACATAGAGTAGGGGGCCTGCGTTACTCACCTCCGTAGAGCTCGGCGGTTGCGAGCATGATCATCCAGAACCAGCGCTTGAGCGCACCTTTGCGCTCTTCGCGTCGGAGGAGCCAGCAGATCCACACTGAAGGGCGTGTTAGTATGTGCTCTGGTGTTTGCTAAGGCATGCCCTCGTCGTTCACTTGACACCTGGGCTGAATGGAGGGGTCACTTACAGGCCAACGGAGCGCCCACGAATACAGTCAACACCTCGAGACTCACGACGCCCAGATCCGTCCCACCCCACCGCCTGTCCGCCTTTGCGTACTCTTGCCACAGCTTCGAAAAGAGGCCCTCGCCATAGCTCGCGCCATATATCCTGTCCTCCCGTCCCAGCCAGTACACGTCCGGCGGCGTCAACAGCTTGATCCGGGGGTGCTTCTTGGCCGCAGCATTGAAGCTTGTGGGCAGACTGTAGCTCACGAAGAAGCAGTTCCACAGGAAGGAGCCTTCGAAGAAGAGGTGGATGAGCGCATCGAACAGGTGCCAGACGAAAAGCACGCGGGTCTTCTTGGTGGAAGTGGACGGGAGGAGGCGGACCGAGCCGGCGTAGGCAGCCCCGAGGAGCGACACGAAGAAGAGGAGGGAGACGATGGTCGTGGCGTCTATCTGGGGCGAGGAAGGGTGGACGGGCGGCGGCGGCGGTGGTGGAGGAGCAGCTTTGGAGCCCCAGAAGCCCGAGGCCATGCTGCGTGTGCTGCGTTACAGCCGAAGTAGGCCGCGGTGCGTCGTGCCGTCGCGTGTCGGTGTAGTGCCGTCCGAGCGTCAGTCACACGGAAGCACACGAGCCAGTTCGGATGACAATAATCCAAGATCTGGCAACGGCGCGTCGAAGGAAGAGGTGCAAGTCCAATTGTCGTGTGGGGTACCAGTGGCTCCGTTACTCGTTGCGGTAAGGCGGCCCGCTGGACCCTGCCTTGGCGTGACCGGACCATGGTCATGCGGACGCGAAAGTTCACGATCCAGGCCTATTGGCTTCAAATCTGAGAAATTGCGGCTTCGTGGCCGCCACGGACTTCGGCCTCTACTACCCCACATCCTCTGTCAAGTCCAGTCGAACCGCTCCTCTTCCTCTCCCACGCTCCACGACACCTCTCCCCTCGACCTCACGAAAACGTACACGGCCACGCATGGTTATGCACTTCGTTGCATTTGATATAGGTATGTACTGATGTCCACAGCAGCCCGACCTCGACTCCTAACGCCCAGCCAAGATATAATGGACCTGCCACGAACCTCACAAACCACAACACGACACTGGTGTTAACAATTTGACCCACAGACACACGCTGGTTGCTGTTGCAGCACACTCGTATTCTCCTCCTCCCCGACCGTTACTTATGTACGAAAACGACCGCAGCGCAAGGATAATTGCACGATCTTGAAATGCAGACAAAACACTTTTGCTTCCGGTCGGGACTTCCCGAACGAGAGCACCCGAGAACAATACGCCTGAACCGAAGAGTGGAGTCGCTCAGCCGGAAAAGCACGACAACCAACCCATGGCCGGAGAGATCGAGCAGTGATATGTCGAGCAACTCCTACCGAACCCATTGAAACGCCGTTTGCAGAAAGGACATGCACGAAGAGGAAACCGCCCAGAAAATGCAGCAAAACAGCCATCTGGACATATGCTGAGAGGCGGCCCGACACTGCGTCGGCGCCAGCGAGACGCAAAAAAGAAAGAAAAATGGGAAAGCAGAGCAGAAGTACAGGGCTAGTCGACTCGTTTCGTGTCGATTTGAAAGAGACTCGTGAGCGTCGGTAACCAGTTTTCACGGACGTCCGCTCCACTCGTCTGCAATCAAGTCGACTCGTCAGTATCGTCTTCGTGGCCAAGAAAATTCGTTAAGAGATGCATCGCCTCCAAGTCAGAGGGACGGATCCGCAAGTTGCATTTACACACAAGCTTGAGGGGTATGATTCTGCTCGGGAAAAATTCCACGGTGCATGGAATACCCGTATTGCAAAGATGAGACCATGTGGTCTTCAGGAGTGGAGCCTGTTACCGGACCCGGAGAGGTGGACCTGGACAAGAAAGGGCTGCGAGATGCAGACCTGAAATCACCATCGCTGGCTCCATCCATCAGAACTGGTAGGGCAGGAGAGGGCGGGCTGTTCGTTGCAGACGAGGTGTTGCTACCAGAGCCTGGCTGAGCGTTGAGAATGTACTCGGTTGCTCCATCGGTGTGAGAGTTCTTCGTTGCAGGAGTGCCTGTATTGGGAGAGCCTTTCGAGGGGGTGCCAAACTGAGAAGACGATTAGTACTAGTCTTCGGCCAGTCCGGAGGGGCGGGAACGTACGAAACAAAACTTCTGGATCAACTCGTTATATTCTGCTGACTGAAGGTCCGGCTTCTCAGATGATAGACCGCCAGGCCGAGTACCAGGAACAGTTGGTACCTTTGGAGCAGTATCCTTGGCGAAGTAGTCCTTGGAGCTCTTGTTAGTACCATTGGGGGTGAGGCCACTGCGATCTCCGAGGGCAGTTTGAGCATTCGACAGAGCAGCCGAAAGCGAGGCACTGAAGTCGTAGCGGGTGGAGAAAGCCTGGCTGGCAGGCTTGGCTGTCTGATCCGGGAAGAGATTGCTTCGCTTCCTAGGCTTCAAGCGGATTGTTGCACTGGACGGCTCCCGGAGCTGAGGCCGGCTAGGGCCGAACGCGAACTTGGAGCCAAACTCAGGAGTCCCAAAGTCGTCGTCGAAAGAGCCAGCAGGCATAGAACGGGGACGAGGCCCTGTAGGCGAGTGTCGGCTGCGAGGGATGGCGCCGCGAAGAGGACCAGAGCTACCCTTTCTGGGCGACGGCTGGGCCTTCTTCGTGAAGTCAACTTGGTAGTTCATCGAGTTGTTGCTGTCCCAGAACTCTTGACCATTGACTTGGTATCGAACGCAGAGCAGCAACGTCTTTGATTCAAGATTAGCTTGATCAGCCAACTTGATGTTGAAATTGAATCGATCGTAGCCATCGTCCTTCTGCTTCTTGCGCACATCGTGGTTGTATTCAGCGACAACTTCAGACGTTGTCTTCCAGTAGTCGAGAGTGAAGCGAGCAATGACAACTTTGTGGAAAGAGATGTTAGCACAGGCCACAGTGCCGACCAACGTCTTGTTGTCAGACGCGAGAAAGATCCTCTCAACACGCACAGGCATCGTTTGGCGCTCGTACGTATCGACGGAGGGGAAGTTGGCAAGCTTAATTTCCCACTCTGGTTCTTTGTTCTTGCGATCCTCGAAGAAAGGATACTCGCTCTCGCTGTCGTAGGTCTCGACAGGCGAAGACCCAGCACTCACAGCAATAGGACGGTCCACTTGCAGGAAGTGGCGCACCTGCTCAATTTCCTCGTTGAAGTGCACCGCCTTGGAATATGTAGGCGTGCCAGGCATGCTGGAGGGTCGTCGACGAGAAGCAGGACGAAGAGCGGGCTTCACCAACTCACCCGACTTCTTGCGAAGAAGCGGCGGCTTTATCCGCAGTTCGTCGTCTTCTGCGTCGCTGCCCTCGGAAGAGCTAATGACGACACTTGTGTCGGTGTTGAGCGTTACATGCTTGGAGAGCATGATCTCGCTCGACGAGCGCGAGTGAGAAATCTTACGGGCATCTGCAGAGAGCGGTCGGACCGCCGTGTTGGACACGGCCGGGCTAACCTGTGCATTCTCAATGCTAGCGCGATTCGGTGAACTCTGTCGTTTTACGGGAATGTGCTGAAGTGCCTCTTGTAGCTCCCTAAGACTGCCAATGTTCCGGCCACGGTCCTCATCGTCATCCGAAGAGTCAGGTGGTGTGGTGATGGCACCTGACGGAATCAGAGAATTGTTTACAGGAGGAGGGGACTGGCGGAGGCTACCATGTGGAGAGGAGCCATGTGTGCGGGACGCATCCGATGAGGATGTTATGCTGTTCGCCTGGGCATTGGCAGCAGCGTTGTTTGCATTGGAAGATGCCGACGAACGGCGGTGCTTGACCAGATATGAGGCCGAATGCGAGCGAGGCAGCGCAGGTCTTTGCACGCTGGCAGGCGAGTGCGGGAACTGGTCGGTGTAGGAATGGTTGCGACTGAGAATAGGGCTGTTGGGTTTGGAGGTTGCAGGCGACCGCGTCTGGGAGGGCGGCGTGTAAGGCATCCGGTCGACTTGGAGGGACCGAGCGGTGGGAGTAGTGGAGAGGGCCGCTGGAGGATTACGAGAGGCAAGCAAGCATTACAAAGAGAGGTATTAAACGGAAATTCTGGGAGCACAGTCAGTGTCGTGTTTGTGGTTGGGTGGGTGTGCGATGGCGGAATGGGGCTGACAAAGGATGTCTTGAATGGGGCGGGGACAATGGTGAAACCGCGCGTGCCCGCCGGGGGAGGTTGAGATTGACGGGAAGCTACTCACAGAAGATACGTGAAGGAGCGGCTCGGGTGGGAGCTCGCGGGCCGGCGTAGGAGAGGGATCGCGACGCTGGCGGGCTTCACAGCTAGTCAAAGCTGCGAGGGCGAGGTCGTCGATTGCGGCGCCGTCTCAGGCGAGATGGTGCGATGTGTGCGTGCAGTGCCTCTGGGACGTCTGCAGTCGCGATGCCGGCGGCTTCCGTTTGCTGTCGGCGGACTGGCTGGTGCACACCGGGGGGGCAGGTGCGCTCGGGGCCGTGGTGTGGAGGTGGAGAGAGGCGGGTGAGGTCGGTGTCGAAGCCAAATCCAACGCTGCAGGGTCGGGCGGGTTAGATAAAGGCTGGCAATGGCCTGGAGATGTGGAGAGGAGGAGGAGTGTTGGGAGACCGGTAGCGCAGGCCGCGACTATTGGGGACGGCACACACGGTATGCTTTTGGCATCGCGCAGCCGGGATCAATGGCGAGAGATTCGAGGTCTGGCCTGGCTCGCGCACTGGCCGCGCGCCGCTGCGGAAGCGACCTAGTGGGCTTGTTCAACAGACCGGGGGGGTCAACCAAGGATCAGGGATCAGCCTGCAGCAGCGCCAACAGCCAAGCGCATGCGGCACCGACCGGCTTTGCGACTGGTGTCTGGGAGGCGGGCGGAAGACGACGACCTGCGGTGCCCGGCGTACGCTTGCGCTTGCGCGGCGTCGGGGCGAGTGCAGCGACCTGCGGCGAGGTATCGCAACCTGTCACGCTCGGCGGCGACTTCGAGGAGTCGTTTGTCAGGCCCCCGCTGAGCCAGCGCGGACGGCGCGATGCGAAACAGTGGGACAAAGGCGCGCCATGCTCCATGCCTCGCACTCCGCCGGGGACGCAGCGCTCCAGGTTCCGTGAACGGCCACAGCCTCTATCAAAGTCTGCGCTGACACCACTTTACCATTGTCAACCATCATCTAGACTACCATTACCTGCTGTGTACAGCTGCGCAGCGAGTGTGGCCACCTTGATGACCCAAGCATTTGCCACGCCACGGTAGACGCGCTGCCAACTTCGAACGCTTCTCTCACGCCGTCCTCGCTGACGTCGCCGGCTCCACGGCGATGACATGCGGCTGCGACGTCTTGTTCACTGCCTTGGTCAGCCGTCGTGGCCGTGGACGTGGGCGGGCGTGGGCACTCCCACTGAGCCTCCACAACCCACTCTCCACGCTGGAGCCACTCTGGAGGCCAGCACGCTTGGGCCCACGCCGCGCTGTGACGTTCGTGCCCTGTGCTCTCGCTACGACACATGATGTCATTCTCGCCAGATGCTCGAGCCAGGACCGCACTTCCATTCTGTCACCTTTTCCTGCGAGCGCGGTGGTGTGAACATTATCGTGAATCTACGGCTGAGGATGCCGGCACGGTGGTGCGGCGGATGATTTTCACTGCATCGCGGTACCTGAGGGCGCCAGCGATAAGGGTGCCGCGCTGCCGTCCCTTTGTTGTCGCCGCCGCCCTCTGAAATTTTCCCCTCCTTCTCTTTTCCTTGATGCGCGCCGATCGTTACTGTTCCGAAAGAGCGGTCGCCTTCTCTGCCAATCAGTCACCCTCTCACGCCACGCTAAGAGCTGCCCCCGGCCTAGATCCCTGTCTTTCGCTCATGGCCCATGCTCTATGTCAACAACAACTCCACCCGCCCATCTTTGGTTCGACCATCTTCACGCTTGCCCCCGCTCTAGTATCCCTCATTTTTCACCCGCAGTCACATCAGCAATCGGTCCTCTTCTTGCTGCCACTGTGAAAATCGCTGCAGCGCGGAGCTGGAAGCATGTATGGCGCAGTGCCCATCTCCGCCAGTCAATATGCTGCAAGGCGGGCTCCGCTTGGCGAGATGAAACCTTTATCGTCCGTGCTGCACCAACGCTTACGATACCGTGAGCACCCCAGCCTCGCGTCCGTATCATGTCTTCGCTCCCGCTTGCAGACGTCCCATGTCAAGGTCGACTTGAAGACGCGTCGAGCCTCACGAGCGGACTGTTCGTTACAGCGCGACAGGAGGCTTCCCCGCATCACCCAGGACCCAACCCCATGCATGCCAGCATCTCATGCAGCTAGCAGTTCTCGGACGGATCTTGAGACCACCGAGCTGACCGACGTTACGGCGGACTGTGTTTTCCGTTGTGGTTCGCTCGCTGCTCCGAGTCTGTGCTGTATTACTGTCGGCGTTCCTACTTCACGACACTCGCTACAATCAAGGAACTCGTGATTCCTATACGAGCTTATTCTTGCAAGGCGTCCCAAGTACTTGATCGCTGGCATCAGGACTGCGGCAGGCGTCGATCAGACAATCGGTCCACCCGCATCGGAGCAGTCGAAACGCGCGGCAGCATACTTCCTGGGATGCAAGGGCACTAGCAGGGAAATTCCACTCTGCGATACCACGGAGAGTCATATGCATTTGTGAGCGAGTCAACACAATCGCACTGTCCAGCTATCAAACTGGCATGTTTTACTTGATGGTCTGAGGGGCTTGTCCCGCGCAGTCCCACTTCGCGCGTGCGGTTAGAGAAATTAGAAACGGCAGAACCCTGCAGGCGACCACTGATACGCGGCGGTCAGAGCTGCGCCCTCACCGCCTACCGAGAACAGGAAAGCGTTTGCATTGCCATCATCGATCAGCTCCAGAACGTCGATCTCAAGAACGGTATCTGCCAAGCACTAAGCCACTTTGCGCCTCATGCCGAAATGCCTTGCGGTATGGGAAAAGCAGGATCGCTCTCAGCAGTCTTACAGACAGAGCCGCACAGCCGTACCTGTTTCACAGCTACTCTCGTAAAATGTCCCCAAATTGACCTTCGACTTTTCCTTGGTCCTGAGATTGCATCCGCGTAATATTTCCGCGGAAGCGAAGCCATATCGCGATTGCGACCGGAGTTGGACTTGGTACCCAGCCAGGCCCGGTCCATGTCGTGACTTCATCACATTGTTGGACTTCTGGTCACGCGCAACCAAACCTGCTCAGCCGGTGTAATTCGAAATGCATCCTCATGACGTTGTGAATACAAAAGGCAAGAGAAGGATTGGGGGCGATATTGACCTCGGTCGGCTACTGTCGAAGAACACTGTATGGCACTCAGCAGATTGCTAGCAATGTCTGCCACACGGCCTCTGTATCTGTCACGCAATTACTGCAGCTGGAGAGCCCGTTTGCGACCGTTCCACGCAGGAAACCTCAACCTGTGTGACCTTCGACGAGAACACGTTCGGCTGTCGGTCGAATCACAGCTGGTGCGTGGACAGAATCCCTGTTCAGCTGGGGCTAGCTTCAGCACGTGCCATGGCAACGCAGAGGCCAACGTTCGCTGCAGATTGTGGGGAAATGCATTGCCAAGAATAGCACTTCCTCTAACACAACATCAGATGGCTAGTGTGTGTGTGGTTGTATCGTGCGTTCTGCAACCTACTTGATCATTCAGAATGTCTAGCGGCATTACCATTCGAAAATTTGTGCAACTTCAATCTGGGGAGCTTTCGATAGCTTGGCTCTGGATAACTCCGCAAGACCCGTGCGAGACCATCTGCGACAAGCATGCATACCTTCAGATTGCGGCCCTGCTACCATGGTGATTTAGGTATGCATTTTAGGCGTCCTTGCAGACTTCGAATTCTTCTTGCAGCTGCCGATATAGCTGTTAATATATTCGCTTGGGAAATCGACGATGCGCAATCGACGCCAGCCTTCAAATAGGAAACGTTATCGAGCTACCTACCTGATTCCGAAGCGAAATCTCTGCTACCCCTGCGTATCTAGGTACCGGTCAATTGATGAGGCCGAGTGTGAATTCTTCACCGCTCATCCATCGTCAGATCGGTCGTAACCACATGTTGCTTACGGAGCGAAAAAGTTCCTAGGTCAAGGTCAGCATCAGCGGCGGAACTTCACACAGCCGTTGCCCCGCTCCGCCCGCACAACACATTGTCCACCGAAACGGCAATACACCAACACGAGCAGCGCACGGTTCGGTCTTGATTCAAATTTTATCGTTCGCGACTCCAGACCATCTGACCCGAAATTCAGTGTTGGTGTTTTGTGCACCTGACAGACCGGAACCAGGTCACTGTACATTCTCGCCTACGCCAGATTTTGTACCTTCCCTAGTACACGATCCCGTCGTGTTGGTATTCCACTCGAAGAACCGTGGCTGGAAGAGCCGCAGGAAGCGCTGGCACGCGTTGGTGCTGCAGGCCTACCACGGATTAGTGTATTCAGTGTCTCGCTCGAGAGGTTCACATGTCGCAGCGTGCAGGACCCTTATCGAATTTCTCCGTTGAAGATTTCCATGCCAGGTCTGCGATAACACATCGAGACGCATCAAATTCAGGATAGGACCTAGATCACTACGGTTCGGCACTGTCACGGTCACTGCTTCTGTGACACCCAGGCCCAGCTTCTTGCGCACAACATACTTCGTCCCGAAAATGCTGCAAGTATTTGTACAAGTCTTCAGGCCAGAGCGACTCTACCCATCAACGCAACAGGATTAACGATGGTTCCGCGAACATGAACTTCTGTGGTCGATTACTTCCTTCTAGCCACCTCATCTATAGAGCCCCGACCTCCCGGATCGTAGGTGTCCGGTGCAAGTGGTACGGTGTTCGTCGTTCGCTTGAGCTCTAGAATTTACCGACACAACCGAGCTGCCAATCTCAATACGAGAGCCATCAATGAGTCGCAACATTGCACCCTTGCGGACCCGGCCCGTCATAGTGACCGAACGGAACAACGCTTGCTCTGAAGTTTGCCCTGCATGCATACCCTCGCCCACTGAGACCCTGAATTCTAACTTGCACAGAAGGTGGCAAGTACCCTTGCACATTTCCTCAACTCCGTGTTGACCCATGCTCTGGCATCCTATACAACGTTACGAATACGACGGCAAAGCGTGCCGATTACATCAATATTGGTCAACAGTCTGCAGTCAGTCCTGCTGTGAAACCATCCAGTTGCTACGCCTACGTCGCGCCAGCGATAAGACTGCGTGACAACGCAACCTCCGACTCGAGCACCAAATGTGGCAATGCTACGTTGAGCCTTTACAAACATGTTATTGCCAGGCGCTCTACGTAGGGCTGGTTACCCTGAGGTGCTTCACGAGCACACTAGCAGCGTTGTTCTCTTGTATAGGCGTACAGCAGATGGTACAGGAGCTGGCTTGTAATGGCGCGAGCCTGTTACCCACTTGGCACACAAACGTTATCGGGAAGTGATTCTTGACTGTCCCAAGAATGGTCTGGATGAGTGGCAATAGATGAATACGCAAGCACGCAACTTCGGGATACCATCTTGAGGCTTCTTATCAAATGGCAGCATCTCACGCAACGGCCGCCTCAAATCGCATGCATCTACTCAACCTCTACACCTGAGTGGCTGGGCCGATGCGCACTTCCAGACTGCATCATATGTACGCGCCGTGTAACATGACGGTGATCTACGAAACTACAGTGTTGTTCCACTGAAACCGCAGAAGCCAGACATGGCTTTCTCGTCTACAACGTGCGCGCCCAGGCGACTCGCGCACCCATGCACACACCCTGCACGTTCATGCAATCTTCCTCAACAGATTCTCCACCCGGCACACCCTCCTCACGAAGTATGTCGCTTCGGAAACTGGCTAATAGCAGCATGCACGTGCGATGGCAATTCGAAGCCCCAGGTGTCCGTATGTGGCTGTGTCACTTGATGACAGTTGTTGTTGGTCCCCACCAGAGAGTCACATCTGGGAGATGAGTAACCCCATGAGGAGCCATGACGAGTCAGAGATCCACCGAGGAGAGGCTGGGGGAGTGGAGCCCTCGCTCACGATACTTTGCGGCTCCCCGTCGATCGTGCAGCCGGAGAATGTCACGATGGCCTCGGTGTCCGACCTCCATCAGCCTCTACGATCCACCACTTGCACGCCTGCCACACGCCATGTGCGAACGGTGCGCGAAAGCGATTGCGGACCGTTTCTCATCATCGTCTACGGTAATTGCACCTTCCGGATCTCGCGACACGGACACCAGTTCAGCAGTCGCGATACCGGCGCAGCGTTTACCGCGGGAAGAGAATTTCTACCATGTTACACTTCTTGCAGAATGTTCTGTGTGCCGAAAGGCGTCAACGGCTGCCACCGTGCGTCGCAGGTGTCAGAACTGACTCTCGCTGATAGGCAATACGCGGTTGTGGCAAAGCCCCAACAGAATGCTCAGCGCGAACCGTCCCGCCTACAGCCTCGCCTATTCCCCATTCAAGCGAGATCCAGAGCAGAGTTTTTTCAGTGCAGCCTCAAGGTCGCATCCGTCGCTCGTCTATTCCCGGGGCGGACATTGAACCCTTTCCCACGGAGGGTTATCAGGTACCCGCGCTGTGGTGGTGCGACACACCACCAAGAAATTCGGACCCTGCCGTATAAAACTTTTGCGCAAGGCCAGACTCTCGGCCAGACCCTGGTTTCTCGCTTGGGCAGGAAGCGAGGGAACCAGTGGCGCTTAGTTTCGGCGTTAATGCACTAGCGACGTTGCGTTATCTGCATGTTCCACCACACTGCACTGCTTGGGGACGCGCCCCGGGCGAGGCGTTGCAGATGAGACGCGTTGGACACGATGTGGCGCTGATGCCTATCGCCGCCGGCGGAATGAAGTAATCAATTCTGTTCAACGCATACGCACCATCGCCTGTTCAAATGAGAATCGGACTTGCGTACATAGACGACAACGTCTCGTCGATATGTACAGGCTCCTGCATGCGCGTCAATGTCGGGGTGGCCCAGCATAATCCTTCATCGCCGTATCCAGCTGCCGCATAGCCGTTCAAGAATGGTGTCTTGAGACCTTGTCTTGAGGGTGGTGCAACTCCCTCTTCAATTCGCCCAGCACCCTGGCTGGTGTTGAGCGTTTTCTGTGGGTCGTCTGCGCAGGGCCTGCAGTCCATCTGCGGGCCGTCTTTGGCTTCTCCTTGGGGCCCCGAGAAGAGACTGTGGGCGAGACGCTTTCAGGAGTGCCTCGCAGCTCGCCTCTCCAGACTCTACTTGAGGTGGGTACTGTGGAGACTGGTTTCATTGGAATGTCACGGCAGTTCGACATTGATTCGATGTTGAATCAAACGATATCAAACTCTCGTATTACCGCCCTATTCTTACGTACGCGAATGCGTTCGTGCGGCGCAACTTGAGAAGAGGTGTTACGAGAGCGGAGAAGAGCGAAGCCGTTGGGCGGAGCTGTGGCGGAATAGTCTTCAACATCATCGTGCTCATGTTCATGCTCTTGCGCCATGGGCTGTTGCGTGCATGCTCGCAGCTATCTTAGCCGCATGCCCAGCGCCCCGCGGTGTGCAAAGATCTTAATTGGGTATCGAGCATATCGTGGGCGAGGGACAAACGCCACTGCTTAGGCACTGGCGATCAGGGTCTTCGGAAAGCTCGTTGTCTAGTCTAGCCAGCCTCACGGCGATCCTACGAAGGCGCGCAGCAGTGATGGGAGTAGTGACACTCGACACTGCTCTCGCGACCCAGAACAACCCTGCAGTGTCAACTGCTCTAGCATTATCATCATGTTCGAGCGGCCAGACCTAGACCATGGGGGCGGGTAAAGCATCTCCACCACTTAGCTCTCGGACAAGTGGGTCTGCGCAGCTCTCATCACAAACCTTCCTCCTCATCACCATATCCGACCTTTTCTGGTGACACATCCCCCCAGACCGCGGAGATGGCACGAGCACCGCGCCTGCAGACACCCAGCGCTTATTCTGTGGAGCGTTCACCAGTCTCCTCCACACCAGTCCGGAGCGCATATCCCCTCCACATAGTCCTCACCCTAGACTGCACCTCATTTTTCACCAAAACTCTCCCATGGCGATCCCGGCGACAGTCTCCACTGTAGCAGTGAACCTGGCGGAGCGGGAGGGACTCCCCAAACAGCCTAGCAGCGCAGTGTTTGCGAGGAGGCGCTCCGGCGCTTGGTGGTTGGCCGCGGAGGAGAGGCTCACCGCTTACGTGGTGTGCGGTAGTGTACCGTGAGGGGTTCAATGGCGCTATGGCTAATCTGCGACGGATGAGACCCTGATATGCACGGAGCGGGAGGTTATGAGGACGATCTTGAGACGGCTCTGGTTGGGACGGAGAGCTACTTGTGATGGGCGAGGCTGTTGAGGGGGGTGAGCGAGATCTTCGACGGAGAATCCCGAGTACTGCAGGAGGTGGGGTCTTCGGTGTCTCTGCGGATGGTGAGCTTCGGACCGAATGGGGTTGGTGGGTGAATGAGTACGAGGTCAGTGAGGTGAGGGTGCGAGACGTGACTGACGAACCGTGCGACGGGAAGTGCACAGTGAAGAACTCACTGCCAACGAGCACACGGTCAGCCTCCAGCTCTGAGCCAATCGTGCACGTGTGCGTGTGACCACACGCGCGTATATGAAGACACAGCCAAGGTAGCATCGCAGCGCCGTCACGTCACATCACGCGCTGGACTCGGCGTCACATTACCACTCCACTGGTCTCGATCTCACCACAACTTCAATATATGCATCTCCTACACTGCTCTACTCTACCCCCCTCACCCCCTACCTTCCTCAGTTCACTTCCTGACACCATAATACTCTGGACTCCACGCCATATCCTGCCACCTCCCAAGCGGTGTCGCCGCCGCCCTGGCCCCCACCGCCGCGGTCGCAGTCTCAGTCGGCACAAACGTCACATAGGACGTCTCGGTGATATATACCGTCGTGTCTTGCGGGGGCTCGAGGCCGCCTGTGTTTTGGCCGAGGTCGCAGGGGTGTTTGCCAGTCAGGGGGGTGGGGGAGTAGAGGGCGTCGCACTGGGGGATAGGGTCAGTATGAGTTCTCCAGAAGGAAAGGGGCAAGTTACCTGGCGTGTGGGCGTGGGACAGCCGCGGGCGGCGGAGGTCCAGCACACGAAGGAGTGGAGTTCTTCGAAGTTGCAGCGCTGGGGTGAGTGTCAGTTTTTGCTCTCTTCTGCCCGTTCTTTCTTTTTCCTGTCCATCTTCAAACGTCTCTCCCACTGGCCTCGCAACTCCTCACATTGCTTCGCCTCGCGCTACACGTCCTTACCCCCCTAACCCTTGGCCCCGGCGGGAAACTCACCTGCAAAGCATCCGTCGCCCAGCACGGATACGCCACCGTCGCCAGCGCGGGACAGTTGCACGCGCTGCTGAAAATCGGAATCGGCTCCCAGTGGCTAAAGTGGTGGCGCGTGCTCCTGCTGCTGCTGAGGTTCCCGGGCACCGAGAGCGTGGGCAGCAGTGTGGGCAACGTGGTGGGCACGTTCAGGGACGTGGACAGCGGGACTGAGACGGTGGGATCTGCGGGGATCGACAGCGTGGGGAGGGGGATGGGGGCCACGGTGGAGGGGGCATCCTGCGGGTGGGCGTAAGGGAAGGCGGAGGTGAGGGTGAGGCTGGTGAGCGCGAGGAGGGTTACGGTGAGCTGCATGGTGGAGGCACTGGATGGCAGGCTGACAGCGCGAACGGGACGGGTTGCAAGAGCGCGTAGTATCGTGGAGGCACAGTGCGGTGCGGTACGGTGTGGTATCGCAGATGGCTTCCAAGCCGTTTTGATGACGGACGACGGGCGGGTTGCATCGTCTGCGTACTTTACTGCGTGCTCCCGCCGGTGTCTTCCGTCCCCCCCTCTCCCACGCGTTGCGAATCTACCGCGCTGTGCTCGTCACTTCCATCCCTCAGATGCCTGGGCGGATATTGCTTCGGCATCGCGGGCTGCCAGGAACAGGTTAGAGCTGGTCAATGTCAAACAAGAGGCACAGCAGTGTCAAGGGATGTTGTGCTATTTTGGGTGCCTCTTGCGTGTTGCGATATTTGCAGTAGAGGAGGGCGCGCTGCGCATGCTATGGCTTGATTGATGGTCGTGGTTGCGCGGGCGGTGATTGGTTGGTGGCTCGAGTGTCCAATCTGGGTATTTTGCACGATGGATATTGCGCGTCGTTGAGAAGAGCCGTTCGATTGAGGTGAGGAGAATCGACCGCTGAAGGGAGAAGAGTCCATGTCTTGAAGCTGGGTGGAGCTTCATCGAGCAGAATGTTTCCTCATGCGGCTCTTGCTGCTGACACGATGCTGATCGTTCCTACGGCGCTCTTCGCGAAAGCCACCATACGAGTGTTACACAAGTCTACCTGGGTCCATAGTTCTAGACATCTGCTTGTTTATCGTCACGTGGATGGTCCTGCACCTTGAGCACGTAAAAACACTCGTTTGGAACTCGTCTTCCGGATGTTGCACGTGAACGAGGCTGCCCAGGTTCGTGTCCACCCCTTGGCAACATACCCAAGGACAGACAGGATTCCAGAGCACCCCCGTACTTCTCGGCGCCCCAAGACTATGGAGAAGGTCAGTCACGATAGGCACTAAGCATAAAACGTGATGGCGCAATGTGGGAGGCGAGGCTCGACCCCGCGACTCCCAGAAGAGGCATCTCCACCCGCCACCGCGTCACCCCAGGTTTCCATGTGAATGCGTACGATCCTAGGACAAATCCTGGGATTCAGGGTCCAGCAGTTCTCCGCCACGATAAGGGTCCCGACGGTATCCGTATGGGATTCTCGCCAAGAGCAAATCACATCAGGCAAGACTTGCGCATCTGATGCTCGTCCGCCTGGATACTCTTTCTGGAACTGTTGAGCATGTGCGGTGATATCAGACTCCCAGGCGCTATGTGGCATAATATCAGATTAGAGCAGGTCGAAACGCTGCGTGTGTGAGGGGAAGTGGAGTTGCTGGCGGGGGTTGTGTAGTGGATGGGTGGCTGCGGACATTGAACGGTCGGGCCGGCAAGATGGCGAGCGTTGGCGGCGGCAAAATGAGGTCGCTGATAAGGGCCGGAGCAGTCAGACTCGAGGGTACGAGGCTCGGAGTACAGGTACATGCGCAGGATGCGCTGCCGAGCTCATGCAACCCCAGACTTTGTGAGCGCTGGCGTGATGCCGACCTCTTAGCGGCGCAGTAGGGCATGCGGGAGGTCGTGCAAGAAGGTTTGTTGAGGTTTTGCTGCTCACCGAGTGAGAGGCAAACATGAGTGATGATTCAGAAGTGTTATTCACTATCAGGCGACGAAGGGATAGTCGCTGCGGCCGAGTTTCGGGATGGACATGAGATTGATAGCTGAGGACTGTGAGAGTGAGTAAGCATGTCATGTGACCAGGCGGATGCGCTTGGGCCCATGACGAAACCTTCGTGTCGTGAACGAATGTTCGCGCCGTCATCGTGGACCGTTGACAGTCACCGTGTTGCATAGTTGCTGATAGTATCGAGTAAGGTCCCCTAGTCTTGTCCCTTGCTCTTGCCTACTGTAATCTACGCAAGCTTGCTAACGACCCCGCAGCATTCACAATGGCCCCATCAAGAGCTCTCCTTGTCGTCGCCCACCTTCGCCCATCTCCGCGCCTCCTCCCGGCCGCTCGTCGCACCCTCAGCAATTGCGCCGAAGCACACCGATCGCGCCTTTCGCCAGCCCTACGCTCAGGCCCAACGCGTGCCTTCCCCGCGCTGTCGAGGAGAGGCTATGCAACGGCAGCACCCGAACCGCCGGATTACCTCAATGAGGCTGAGCTCCACATCTTCAACAAGATTAAGGCCGAGCTGCAGCCCGTAAAACTCGAGGTACGTTCTGTACCACGTCGGTAGTGCATATTCGCGGACGAAGGCGCCGGTCAGATGATGCGACGTCGTTTGACCGATTGCTGCACAGCGAGCATGCACGTCATGCGAGCGTCGCTGCGATTCGTGGAAGCAAACGTGTGGTAGGGGGTAAAGAGGGATTGTGCAGGCTGACATGGCGGCGTGCTAGGTGCAAGATATCAGCGGGGGGTGTGGCTCAATGTATGCGCTGCAGATTGAGAGCGAGAAGTTCAAGGGCTTGAGCGTCATCAAGCAGCACAAGATGGTCAATGAGGTGCTCAAGGAGGAGATTGCCAGCTGGCATGGTGTGCAATTGAGGACCAAGGCTGTATAAGCGACAATGCATGGCAATGTTGTATATTTGCTGTAGGATACACGTGTACGATGCGTATGTACAGATATAGTGTGCGTGGCCAACGTTTGGATTTGTTCTGAGGCATGACTAAGATCATCATAATCGACTGTTGACTCTTCGCGAGCTTTTGCACGCCACAGCAAGACGCAGCACGGAAATCTGTGGGCTACCAGATATACGAAGAGCATCGTAATCTCCACCGCGGTTAATATGCGCTTTGAGAATACATTGTCTGTGCAAGAACAGCTCGCTAGTCTCACCAGCAAGGTGTTATGTACCAATCGTGAACCTCCATAGAAGATGACTCGATTCAGGGTCAAGTTGAAACATTCGCGGAAGGTCGAGCTTCACTCCACCCAGTGGTCACCTTCCCTCGAAGTAATCACACTGAAAGGACAAAAGGTAGCTATCCAGTACGGAGATGACGAAGCCGTACAAAAGGAACAAACGACCTATACAACAAGGGCACCTCAATGTCAAGAGTATATACCCATGCGTTATCTACGCATTCAGTTCTTCAAACCACTTCTCCCCGGCTTCGTACTTCTCCAACGCCTCTTTCACCGTTTACATCAGCTGCTGCACCAATAATCGATATTCTCATCACTTATGCCCTTTCGTCACAGTTTCTCTCCCTCCTTCAACTTCCTGCTCCCCTCCATCCGTGTTCACGTCATCGGTATAGGTCTACTTTTGAACACTCAGTTAAGAGAGACACCTTCTTGTGACTTCTTTCCCGTAAGCTTTACCTTTATGCTAGAATAATCACATCCACCCGTAAGCCGAATCTTGTTTAGGTCCCAACCACTATTTGCGATCCTCTCCATCCTATCTGCAATTGCTTTCGAGTTCGTAATGCCCATACCTCCAGGATGATCGCAGATCCAGTGCATGTATGGATCGTTCGTCGTTGTAGACATGTTCTTGGGGTGTCGCTAATATTGCGTGTGGGTGTTTCGTGAAATACAGATTCTGTAAATTGTGGCTCGCATGGTAGAGCTGTAAGCGGCATCCTTAACCCATCTTGGACACTATTAAGAACGATGTAGCCATGCTATGAGCCTGAAATGTGGCATGATGTGTCACTTTGTCGGTTGAGGCTCCCATCACTGGTCATGAGTGTCTCTCTTCATTTGTAGTCATATCGCACCCAACAGATGCACACTTGGTACTTTCTTAGATCTGTTTGCTCAAAAAGTTTTTTTTTTTGAAGGTTTCTTGGGACCTGGGAATCTAGATCGAGTGTGCACGAGCCGATTTTTTTTTTATGGGTTCGGATATGCGTGAGTGAAGTCCAAGTGGTGATGCGAGCGTTTACCATTAAGTCAATAGTGGACTGGCTCTATTGAAGTTCAACAGTACACAGTAGCTGATACTGAACCTCGCTCCATGGTCATTAACCCCTTTCAGAAACTATCCGCTTGCGCGGCACAACAATGTATTCGTTCGAAATTTACCTACCATAAAGTCCAAAACGCCTTGTAATCAGTGCATACACTGTTCTTTGACTCGGGACTTCAGCATTCCAACCGATCCATCACATGGTAAAATAAAGTACGCATGATAAGATTATTGTGACACGCAAAAGTTTTTGTACCACTTTTCCATGGGTCAGAGGCACTTCTCTATAGACTTCTAGCAATTCATGACTCGTAGATTGTTTATTCATCGCTCCTTATAGGTTAATTCACCATGCTCGCTTATTTTGACACTTTCGTGCCCTGTATAGGCTGGAATAGAACCTAAAAAGATTAAAACAGGCGTACCACAGTGAACTGACCTATAGGGAGCGATGTATCGACAATCCACGAGTCATGAAGGAGAGAAGCTCTATATTTCCATGCTAAAGTGGTACAATTACTTTTGCAACGGACCGATAGTACCGATCTAGTATATACTTGAGTTTCAAATCTGAGACTATTCCCAAGTGAACAGCCCCTAAGCTACGGCAACCGTGTTTCTCGCAATGTGTGTTTGAGACAGTCATCCCTTAGGATCTTGCGCACAGAATAAAAGCAATCTCCGATGAGTGTCCTGGTCTATAGTTAGGCCGCCACTCCTAAACGATTTAGATACATATGTTGAGCGGCAATGTAAAGTGGTATGTTCCACTCATGTACTTAGAAACTACGTCTTCAAGTACAAGCTAGAGGTTTTCTGATAGGTGCCCCAGGAGGCATAGATTGAGAGATCGATGCAGTGTTTTTGCAATAGTTACAGAGTCAGCGCGTGCTGTGACTATCGTTCTACCAAGCTCTATATGTGTTCCATTGCTACCGTCAGGATAGACTAGAGTGAAGTATTTGAAAAAGCCGCCCAAGACGGGTTACTGTGATACACGGGAATAAGTGTCCGCCTCTAATGGTGATAATCCATTTACTGTCACTGTATCCGTGTGGGGCCGAGAAGCGTTGTCAACGTTCAGCTAATTCACTCGATCTTGCAGCAAACTGAATGGTTCCATAAATTGAATTGCAGCTAGTGCTCAATGCTTCCTTTAGTTTTGGTGGGATCATAGGGAACATGGAGAGAGACATCCAATCTGATACTGAAAACATACACTATCGGGCATAGCACATATGAAGAATGAAGCAAAATGCTGGTGCCGAATTAAATAGCCTTAAACCTTTCCAGCAACGAAGGCGCCAGCAGTTCCAACGTCATTCTGGTAGTTGAGGTGCGCAGGCGTAATGCTGGCTCCTCCCTCGCAGATGTTATCGCCGGAATGGCAGATGGTGAGGACCTTCGAAGATGCAATGGATCCGAGAGACTGGCCCTTCTTAGGGTCCCCGAAAACGACGACTGGTCAGATTAGTTGACTGCATCAGATAGTTCATCAATCAAAACCCACCAGCTGCAACCTTCGCCGCATTAGCAGCGGAAGTCTTCTGGGCGGCGTTGTGCACGAGCTGTGCACCCTGCGAGTAACCGGAGAGAACAATCTTGGTGTTGGGGCACCTAGAGGCAGTCTGAGAGATCAAGTTCGTCATCGTGGTCGTGCCCGCAGAATCACCTCCGGCGAGGAATCCTGCAATGCTTGCGGAGTATGTGACACCCTGGATAGCGAGCTGGCTCGTTCCGCCAACCCTAGATGCGAGGTTGTTGAAGAAGAGCGGGCCGACAGCTTGAGAGTCACCGACATTGCCTTGCTGTCCGGTCCCGCGGGCGTAGATGACAGAAATGGGGCGGCATGCCGTGCCGTCAGTCAGTTGGTTGTAGGTGCTTGATGAGTACTGGCGTTTCTCGATGGCCGGGGCGGCAGAGGTAACGCTGAGGGCCGCAGCCAGAACTGTGATGAAAGAGATCTTCATTTCGATGGATGATTGATCGGAAAGAAGTGGTATTGCAAGAGCGAGTGTCTAGTAGTGAATGTTGGAAGACCTGAAAGGCACAGTTTCTCTTCCACTGCACGTCAAGCCATTATTTATATCATTTTTCTTCAGAGCAAGAGCGGCTCTCTCAATGCTACTCATTAGCCACCTGACATACACTGGGGTTCATCAGATAGTCTCCTGCCATGTGTAGCGAGCTCATCCGTCTGTACAGCTTGGCCAAGTCCCCTTGGTTTGTCTTGTAGAGTGTGTTATAGTCAGGTCCATCTCAAAAGGGCAATTTGCGCGACCAGACGTGTGTTTGTGGTTTCACAAGACCCTAGCCACCTACCTTAAATTGACTTTGTACGTGGATCGGGCCGAGGCACAGAGCGACTCTGCGCAATTTGCTCTAATGTGGTAATTATCGCGTGGAAACTGAAGAATCAATAATAGGAGCAGCCTTGTGGGAGTCTTGAGAACGCAATTGCTGTTTCAAACCGCGTTTGTTCCAGCATCCTCTCGATCAAGATGATGAGTTCATGCTGCTAGACATTGTGCTTCCTGTCTGGTTGATTGAAGCGACTGCCTTCCTATCCAGGTTAGGCTGTTGCCCAGTGCGTGAACTTCTCGAACATCCACAGTTATGCGGGGTGGGAGACCAGGGGTCGAGCTGGACTGCCGTTAACGAGCCATCTACTACATCATCAGAATGTCACATGTGGGTATCATAACATAACAGAAGTCGTATTAGGGGTCCAGTGTAAGCATGGCTATACATTCTGAGTCACGTTGTTATTGTTCATATTGATTGCGGGACCCGCTTGGCCTGGGTTCTCCTGCCCTCCTCGCCTGCTCCAGCAAAACATCCACGCCGCGAAAATGAAGCCTGCACCTATACTAGCTGCCTTCACAGTAACACCAGCTGTCTCGGCGGCTCAAGCCACTTGTCACGACTATGTGATTATATCCATCCGAGGAACGTACGAGCCTCAAGGTCGAAGCATCGCGTTCACAACTATGATCAACCAGACCTTCGCAGCAATCCCAGGTGGAATTGAGTACGACGCCGTCTATCCGGCCGCCGCAGACCAGACGGCATACCTTGGCGCCGATGATGTCACTCGCTTCCTCGATAACGGCTTGCAGGAATGTCCTCGGCAGCAATACGCCATTTTGGGATATAGCCAAGGAGCATCGGCAACAATGCTCACCCTTAACAACATTACGGACACTTCTTCAGCAGCATATAAAGCTATCAAAGCAGTTCTCGTCACGGGCAACCCATACCATGTTCCCAATGCGTCTGCAAACGTCGACGAAAACGGCGGCGACGCGAGCAAAAACTACCCAGGCGCACTTTACAACGCGAACAGTGCTAGCAGTAGAGGCATCCCACAAACTTACTACGACAGCGGAGCGCTGCTTGACATATGCCATCAAGATGATTCGGTCTGCGCACCTAAAGCTCCAAATGCGAGTTTCATTCCTGGACATCTACATTATGGGGATCAAAACGTGCAAGATCTTGGTGCGAAGTTCCTCATCTCACGATTTAGTGCAAACGACAACAACTCGTCACCGACTTCAACGGCGGCAGCAAGCAGTAGCTCGTCCTTAGGGTTGCCCACTGGCTCACCCACTGGCTCGGAGCCTTCGCAGAATACTGGTGGTGCAAACATGGTATCCATGAGTTTCGTGGCAGCTCTGGGTGGAGTCTTTGCGCTATTATTGCAAGGCTGTTGACCTAGGCACGCATACTCAAAGCAAGCAACCCAGGAGCGCAGGGGAAGAGTTTCGGGTCTGGGAAAAACTTGTTCGTTTTGCCACAAGCACCGTCCACCTTATCAGTACGCGCTTCTGAGGAGCCGGTCTCTGACTTCCATTGCCGCATCATACCATGTGTTCTTTATATGGTCCACGCATTTTCTCTCATCGCTATAATGGTTGGCTTTCAATTCACGATGGACTAGTCTTACCCAATGAAGTTCTAATATAACAGGAGGGGCAGAAGCAAGAGATTTACACTTTAATACAATGTTTTTCACATCATTAGGAACAACATACTGTTGCGGACTCCTCATATGTAAGCTTTGGCCTATACTCATATTTCTATCGTCTTCAGTAGACATACGGACTTTCTGAGGCAGTGAGATGATTTATTACATGTTAACCACAGTGCGCTCAGACGGTCCGCTTGGTCTTCAGCGCGCATGAATGGCCTCCCGCAGCTTCAAGTCTGACTTCTTCCCAGGTGGTGAATTGTGCCCTAATCCTGTTCTCACTTCTCGGGTTGACGCTTGTCGTGTTTCTTGGAGGCACATCTTTCACTGACAGTGCCAGTGCAGCAGCAGCTCTTGCGGCTGCTTTCGTGTTCACTTCAAGCGCCTCCCAGCTGATGTTGTCGTATGTATCGCATGCCAGATGGTAACAAGGGTCTGCCGGGTCACCACCGCCCGTGTGAATGCCAGAGCTGGGAATGCCGAGTTCCAAAAACCCTACGTAATCGGAGCCGGTTCCAAACGAGCCAAAGTACGCCGGCTTCCCTTTTGCAACCAGGTAGTCGAGGAGAAGCTGCGCGCCGGCCTTGTCGCCCGGATTGTCCCCTGCGTATATTCCATATACCGGGACAGGAGAGCCAATCATATCGTAGTTGTAATAGAATCGGATTTTGTCCGCCTCGGATGGTGTCAGATGTTCGGTATAGTAAAGTGAGCCGACAAGGCCAGGTTCTTCAGCGCCCCAGAAGGCAAGACGTATTTTGTTTTTGATTCCACGGAAGCCTCGCAAAGCTTTGATGATCTCGATCTGTGCAGTGACACCAGAACCATCGTCGTTGATACCTGGTCCAGCCTGTACGGAGTCCAGGTGTGCTCCCAGCATGATGACGTTATCTGGATCACCCTCGCGAGTTTCAGCAAACACGTTCCAAGACTTTCGTGGCTCGAATATAGAATCGACAAGCAGGGTCACAGTGAGCGTCTCGTTAGCCGATATGCGTGCTAGCCATGCTTCTCCGACAGCAAGCGAAACAAGACCGACCGGGGCTAGAAGACCGATATTCTCGGCACCTAGGGTGGCTGCATTGGGAGTAGCGTTCGTGTTGTGGAAGAGGATAACTCCCAAAGCACCCAACTTTTTGGCGATCTTGAGTTTGTCCGATATACTGCAGGTGCCACGCTTGACGAGAGCTAATTTACCAGTCACGTTCAGCCCCGCCCACTGATCCTCGACACACCCTGAGCCTGCAATGAGATTCAGCACCGATATCCTTGCAAAATCTTGAAAAAACGTGAACATACCAAGAGCATCATCCACTGGAACTGCAACCAGTTCACCTGTTACACCATTGGGGAGTGGAGTTGCGTTGTTGTACATGAGGCTAAGAACGTCGACATCTTCGCCATTGGGACCAGTTACTGATATGGCCCGTGTCTCCTCGTAAGTATGATTGAAGTACTGTTTCCATGTTTTGAACTCCTTATCATGCTTGCTAGTAATCTGTGACAGTACGTAGTCAGAAGATTTAGCGAAACCTGTTGTTCCGAAGGCACGGTTGCCGCCATTTTGCTTTCCAATCTCGTCAAGGGCGCGTAGGTTTTGTTTGAGCCTAGATCATTGAAGAAGGTACTGTCAATCACGAGTTCAATGTTTGTAACCTGAATAAAAGAAGAGTTGGCATACCCTTTCTGCCCAATCGCGGCCTCCAGCTTCTCCGGGGTTAGCTTCGCCTTGTACCCGGTAGCTGCAGCGCCCTGCAGAACAAACAGCAGTGCTGTTACGACCGAAATAGCGTGTTTCATGATACACAATTTGTAAGTGCAGGAAGGTCCGACTTGAGCACCTTGTTATGTTCACACCAACGAGACAGGAATTGATATCAATATACTCTGTTGATAGGGTGGCAACATCGCGCCATCGTGTGCCCTCTCACAACTATCGCCAAGTTGTGGAATTAGCCTGAACGGGCAGGAATCGGGTGCGACCTTCCTATTGGACCAAGCGCGCCCAGTATACCAAGACTGCATCTCGATAACGCGAGTGGGGAAGACGGCAGGAACAGTCAGCATTCAATCAACGATTCCTCATCGCATGCTCTTGTTTTCGCTCAGATATTAGTGTGCATGTAGTGATCATGCCGATATCTTGTTTTGCAATACAAATGAATTATTTGCATACATCAACAGTTATTGGCCCCCATGTATACGTGCGGCTACTATGTGTATCTACTAACTGTGATAAATGTATCTTAGGTTAATTTTTACACCCTGCCACGTGAGGGAAATCAACAAACATAAGTTACCTTCGATAATTTACGCACTCAACAATCTTGTTGATCTTCTAGCGCACTTTGCTGCTATAGTTTCTCGCTTTTTTTTATGTCGTGTTCTGGCGGTCTGGGTGTGCTGAATGTCTTGGATGAATCTGAAGCTAAGAGAGGTATGGTCTAAGTAGAATGTACAATCCGGCTATGGTCCAAGGATTCTCTTATAGCCCTGGAGCTTAAGGCATATATAGTATTGATTCTGGAATTGATACTCGTCAGAATATATCCGTGATCGCTTGTGAATAGTCTAGACTCTTTGTTCGCTTGGTATGCGTACCTGGTCTTTGGTACCACGTGATAATGTTTGTTTCAACAGACTCTAGTGTGTCTGCCTAGTATCCCTGGAGGATCACTTGTAATACATCGCTGTGTATAGATTTTAGAAGGATGACCGTAGTTTGGTGCTTGCTCCTCTCCAAGATCGAAGAAAGTATTCCCGACTTATCGTAGGTTAGTGTTATGGTTATGCCTGTGTTTCTGGGAGCGTAGTGCGGAAGAATTTTGTATCAATACAAAACTCCTTTCTAAGTCTGACCCCTCTTCCCTTAACTCGGCAATGCGTATGGATTGATCTCACAGGTGGCTTGCACTGTATTGGACGGACCAGTACTATGGCCTAGGACTTCTAAATAAGTGCTTTGATCTATATTGATAGTCTTGCGCACGAACACATCAATGGTTCTACATTCTTGCTTGTTTCTATTTGCATTCCACCGGTACTGCCTTCAGTACAACTGTAACACGCTAAATTCTACGATAATAGGTGAGACATCCACGAATGAGCTGTCCCTTCTCTAAAGTAAAATGACGCGGCTACAGACTGTAGGAGCCTTCTTGGGTCGAGATTTGTCTAAAGGAGGCTCATATATACACAAACACCTCAATGCCAAGTCACAGCTCACCTACACCCGGGTGGTGGTATGAACCACCGGAAATATTGCTGCATCGCCACTCCACCACAACTCAGAATTCTACTTACGGTGCAAATATCTGCAGGCTACCCGAGTTTTTCGAAGGAGTGCGTGCAATTCGCGTTGCAGACCAACAGCAACCTCATGGTTTTCCTCGTATGCGCCCGAATGCTGTAAATATTGGCCTTGCAGTTCCTCGGCATTAGCATCGATTGGAATGCTGTCGAGATCGTTAAACCAAAAGTATCTTTTGGAGCAGCTGCCGTGGTTCTAATTCTTGCTAATGATAACATCATCGTGTCCACAAAGATAATCCAACTACTTAGGTTTGGAAGGTTCTGCGTTGCCGGACTGGTCCCGTTGCTTACATAGTACGTAAACATATAAGAAATGTTTTGTGAACAAATCTTCTAAACACATTCTACCGCCTGTCAACGAGCAGAAAAGGTATGTAACTAACTCGTGCACACCACCGAGTGCTAATTAAGGAACTCCGTTTATTCCTATCATCTACGAGCGCTCGGTACTCGACTTCGAACTTTTTCTCCGTTACAAAATCTGACCTCGTAGCAGCTACAATGGCGGAGAAGCAGGACGAGTCACTTCACCGAGCGGCGTGGGACATCTTGAGTCTCTACTTGAGATCAAACCTGACACCCGCGGCTTCCCTATCCCGCCAAACCGCAAAGCCAGTGTGAGTGGACGCCTCGCAGTCTTCGACAGAACCTAATACAAACGTAGGTTGATGTCTTCTCTACGACCGAGCAGGCTCACAAAGCTGTGACCTATATCAACAGCCTCCCACTGAAAGCCGCTATGCTCCTCTATACAATAGCCTTTGCCGTCCCGAAGAGCATAGCCGATGCCACCGAAGGAAAGGTTCGTGTGCTCCTCAACAAGCACGAGATCCTCAAGCGCGAACCACGAAATACCAGTATGGCCTATGACACCCTCCCCGTGAATCAGTTGAAAAGTCCAGCAGCATCACCGCGTGGCTTCTCAAGTGTCATATTTGTGTGGCATGGGACGGCTTAAGGTCCTACACAAAGCTGTCATCATGAGCTGATCATCGAATAACTCAGAATATGCTGACATGTTTGACAGTCTGGGCGTGGAAGGACCGTAGAAGCTCGAAGACGACACTGCAAATCTCCAGCATCAATCGAGAGACAATCTCGACCCTCAAATCTGCTGTCAGTGCAATCTGGGGAGATCGTTTCTTACGAGACGGAAGATAAACATCGCAGGGATGCCTGGCATTCTCGCCTCTTTACACCGGAGGGCAAGCACTGGCTCCAACATTTCTCGCTGGAGCATGGGTTTCTTGCTTCTGCTGATCAAATGCATCGTCGAATCCGTCTTTACCAAACGGAGGACGTATCAGTCACGATGCCGAAATCACGCGCGAGACAAGTCAGGAGAAAGGCGCAGGCAATCTTACACTTGATCGGCAGAAAGGTGAGTTACAGTACCTTCAGAATGCTTGCTGTAGTGTTTATTCCTTTTCCAAGCCTCTTAGCGGTCACCAGCTGACCCGCAGCAAAGGTAGTAGAGGAGGGCCCGTTGTGCGAAACATATATCTTTACGCACAATAGGAGCTCCCTCCCAAAGCTTCCAAGCTCCGCAGACATATCGAAGTATCGTAGTGAAGCTCTACATGAGCAAGGGTCGGCGACCGTGACCACCGACACTTTGCACGGCACCCGGGAAAAGGTCACCAAAGCCTCGCAATCGCTCAACGTCCCAGCTCCAACGGTACCATATGACCTCTGTTCGGTCTGGCGGGAACGCATTCCGAATCCCCAGATCTCCTTCTCTTGCAATCACACATATTGCAAAGACTGCTTTGATCTTCGGGTCGGAACCGTTTTGGCTTTACGAATCAAACCCCCGCTACTCTGCGCTCACCCGGGCTGCAAGGAGCTCATTGACCTTTCGATTATCCAAAAACATGTCTGGACCCGAACTTGACGTGCTGTTGAAAATCTCGTTCAACCACTACATTGGCAAGGCTGCGGAATACAAGCCTTGTGACACTCCAGACTGCGACTTCAGCTACCTCGACCCACAAGCTCAGAACAACATCGACGGCGATCCCGACAGCGGAATCGATGGTGATGCGCGTGTCATGACTTGTCCGGAGTGTTTGAGGCAGATCTGTACAGGGTGCCACGCCGAGCCTCGTGTACGCATCTCTTGCGCCGATAATGGGGATGAAGGCGTGAGGAATAAGCTTCTGACGGAAGCATACTGGGGCATGGCGAATACAAAGGCCTGCCCGAAATGCAATGCGCCGATGGAGAAGGTAAGTGGAAAATCATCGCTCCCATATGTGGTGGACTTCCTCGCATCTTCCATCTCTCTCTGCAGTTATTGGCTCAGTACTCACCAGCTTTCTAGGACGAGGACTGCAACCACGTGCAATACCCCGTCTGTGAGGAACACATGTGCTGGAAATGCATGAAGATTGTCAAGGACTCCCAAGACTGCTATCGCCACATGATGGAGGTACATGCCAGTTTGTATGTCTAGGCATCTGCGCCAGCATCCGTTGCCTAGTGCCTGGGAAATATCGAACGAGCGGCATACACTTAGCTGGAGTGGGAGATGGGGACTTGGTACGCCTGTATTCATTTAGAATGCAGGCAAGAATGAGTTATCTTCTCTATGTCACTGAATATGGCGCTGCGTCAACAGTAAGTGCATCATACCTGAATGGCATGTAACCTTTTCGGGCCGAACTGCACGACGACACCTGTACAAGAGTTGCCCAGGTAATGCTGCTCATCTCGAGACGTAGCAAAAGTTGCTGCGCCTTGGGCCAACAACGCATAAACCATACCCAAAAAGAATAAGCAATGAATTTCAGCTCTATGAAGTGTGAACCATATTCACTTTTTTTTGGGCAATGTTGTTATCTACATGCGGCCGGGTAGATGCTTTCCGGTGGAGCCTCAGCCGACCAATCACAACGGCGCAACAATAAAGAAAGCTTACAAACACCGGCGACAGCCAGTGGGGCATCCGGAGTCCTGAGCTTCCGAGATCCCGTGCACATGCACGATTATCAAGCCTACAGTGTAGTCTACGAGCGCAAGGCTGATTTTAGAATAACAGTGCCGGGTCGCAATACCACTAAGCCAATCGAAGCGAAAAGATATTTCTCAAAGCTCGTCCGATTGTGGGTTATGCGACGTCGCAGCAATAATTCGTCCGGCGGTGGCGTGCTGTGTCGTGTGCATTATCAGTCTGGGATCGAAGAGGGATGTATAAAGCAGTGGACAGTACAGCAGCGACGGGACAGCATTGTGCCCTGCGAGGCCACCATATCTTGATTTGTTCTTTTTAATATTACCCTGAGGTTCTCTATCAGGATCTTTCACCATGGTTGAGGTCCGCAACATCGTCGTTGTCGGCGCGTCAAGCTCTGGCCTCCAAGTCGCGCACTACATCGCCAAATACCTGCTACCTGTCTTAAAAAACAAAGACCGGAGCGTAAAATACCACCTCTATATCATCAACCCAAGCTCAGACTGGTTCTTCCGCATCGCATCGCCACGCGTTGCTACATCCACCTCTCTCATATCGACCGAGAAGGTATTCGTCCCGCTCGCCGACGTCTTTGGCAAGTACAGCAAAGACGAAGTCACATGGATCCAAGCAGCCGCTACTGGTCTCAATCATTCCGCTCGCTTAGTCGAGTACAAACGAGTGGGCGAAAAAGAGGAGGAGCATCTGCAGTACCATGCACTGATCGTAGCGACCGGAAGCAGAACTTACTACCCAGCGTTCTCAACATGGAGTGACAAAGAAACAACCCTCGAAGCACTCAAGTACACCGAGACCGCTGCCGCAGCTGCAAAATCTATTATCATCGCTGGCGGCGGCGCCACGGGCGTTGAAGCCGCCGGCGAACTGGGCGACTTCTTGAACGGCCGTCCAGGCTGGTTCTCCACGCCGCAGCGCAAAGTCGCCATCACGCTGCTCACATCCGCACAGCAGCTCCTCCCCACAGTGCGGAAAGCCATTGGCGACGAGGCAGAGCGCAAGCTTAAAGGCCTCGGCGTCGACGTCCGATACAACATACGCGTAACAGATGCGCGCAAAGAGCAGGACGGCAAGACCACACTGACGCTTTCGAACGGCGAAACAATCACAACAGACTTGTATATCCCCGCGCACGGCGTGCAGCCCAATTCCCAGTGGCTCCCACCGGATCTCCTAACTGAGAATAAGTACCTCAACACCAACGCGCGAACGTTGCGTGTGGACCTCGCTGGTCCGCGCGTGTACGCTATCGGCGACGTGTCTAGTTACTCGCGCAATACTGTCATAGACATTATGGATGGACTGCCTGTCCTCGTAATCAACCTTAAGCGCGACTTGCTTGCGTACGATGCGAAACACCCGGAGCGTGCAACGCCGGGCAAGGATCGCGTGTTTAAGCCGAATACGAAGGAGACTATGGTCGTGCCGATAGGGACGGCGACTGGTGTGGGTGTTCTTTTTGGATTCAGAGTGCCGGGGTTCTTGGTATGGTTGCTCAAGGGACGGGATTATTTTATTGGTATGTCTATGATGGGGACGGCTACGGGGTCAAAGGTTAATGAGGTGAAGTGGACAAAGGAGGAGGAGGTTTCCTTATAGGATGAAGTGGGTCTGTAATTTTCCCATGCTCTTTTCTTTCTGCTAAGCTTGTCGGAGTGTACTTTGTCGGTAGGAGTTACCCGAAGCGTCGTCTCCTTAGACATACAATCTAATCTTGTATCCGCTTCAATTCCTTAGCCCGGAGGGCCCAGCTGCATCGGTCGTCTCCACAGGATCAATGCTGACATTGAATGTCTTTGGATTGTTCTTCGTCGTCCAGTTCGGCGCGTCTGTACCTACTTCTTCCTCGATTTTTTCATCAGCTTGCGCGTCCACGGGTTCGAAGGTCGTGTTCCTCAAGCGTTTCCGGTCGATGCGCCTTCGCCAGGGCTTGTACAGCAACACGCTCAATCCACCAAAGACCACGAAGGCCCCACAGATAGCGCCACCTACTCATTATTAGCTCTCGTTCACCCAGCGAGCACGTGTGACGTACCGACAATATCCCAGCTCTCTCCTAGCCTTTCCACACCATCCCAAAACCTCCCCTCCGGCTCCGCCACATTCAACGCCAAATTAAGAAACTGTACTACCCCGATAACCGTCGCCACAATGACCGTGATCACAGTAAGCACGATACTGTAGTAGCAGATCGCAATCGGGTCCCTCGCCAGTTGTGTACTCGTATACAAGCTCATCATCAGCGCACCATCCGTAGTATCGAGCAAACACATGCCGGCGGTGAACAGTAACGGGAATAGCAGAATCAGCCACATTGTCGTCCCCTTCGCCGCCTGAATACTTGATATTCCTAGAATCGCAATCTCAGATGAGGTGTCGAAGCCGAGCCCAAACATGACACCCAGCGGGTACATTTTCCAGGGGCGGTCGATGAGCTTGAAGAGCCGCTGCAAGATAGGGAAGAGACACCCGCCACCCTGAATTTTGAATTCCTTGTGCTCAGTTCCTGGTGTGGAGGCGATGAGCTTCTTCATCTGCACGATGAGCTTGTACAGGATGTACACATTCATGATCCCGAGCAGGAGCAGGAAAGTAGCGGAGACAGATGTCCCAATGATACCGCCGACATGGGAGAAGTTGTCGAATTTGGAAGAAACGGCCGCGGCGGTGCCAGCAACGACGAGAGATGTGATAATGACGATGGTGGAGTGACCCAGGCTGAAGTACATGCCGACGGTGACAGGGCGCTGGCCGGATGCGATCAGCCGCCGCGTCATGAGGTCGATGGCGGAGATGTGGTCTGCGTCGAGGGCATGGCGGAGACCCAGTGTCCAAGAAAGAATTGCGGTGGATATTAGGGGCGTGTGGAAGTGCTTGCATGGTTAGTTGGGGCTGATGTGTAGGGAGTAGGGCCTACCAAGACGATGCCCACTGCTACCCACACGAAGATGTTGATAGCGACTAGGGTGACGATGATAGCTATCGCGTTGAAAGGAAGCTTGTTTAGATACGGAACACGCGAATGGTACGCGGAAGCCTTGTTTGACCAGCTCTTGAACCTTGACATCTCGACATCCTCGCTTTCGTGAGGGGATACTGGCTGGTTCTCCATGGTGACACTAACCCTCGCAATGCAATGGACTACGCGAAACGAATTCAAATAGATACAATCGGCCACGACTCCTTTTCGAGTTCGAGATGACAAGGCATTTGGAGTGGTACGAAGCTTTAAGGAGTACCAAGCTGTCGCGTAGTGGGGTTAAGATGTTTTCCACGCGCTAAAAACGTGCTCATGTTTATCGGCGGGGTAAATTCATGATGCGCCTATGACAGCGGCGAATTACCGAGCTATACTGCGTCTAGCACGCGATCATTTTAAGAGATTTGACGAAATCGGTCAACCTACAAATTCCACTATACATCTTACATCTTCGCGAAGCATAGCGACGCATTGGTGCCTCCAAAGCCGAAGCTGTTGGAGAGTGCAACTCTTACGTCGCGCTGCTGCGCCGTGTGCGCTACGTAATTACAATCGAAGTCTTCTGGGGGGTCGCCGGGTGTGTATAGATTCAGAGTTGGGGGAAGGGTATTCTGCGCTCTTCAGCATATGCATACTGGAGGATTGCGGAATAGAGACTTACATTGTGGAGCGCCAGGACGGTGAAAATCGCCTCCACGCTTCCAGACGCACCTAAGAGATGACCAATTGCGCCTTTAGTGCTACTGATGTTGATGTCTGAGGCTTTGGACTTCCCATGTTCGCCGAGCAGCAACTCTTTGATCGCTCTGTTCTCAGCTGCGTCTCCAAGAGGCGTGCTAGTAGCGTGTGCATTCACGTAGTCGACGGAGTCTGGTCTGAACCCCGCATGCCGAAGGGCATGCTTCATGGCGTTGCGGGGACCTTGGCCATCTTCGCGCGGTGCGGTCATATGATGCGCGTCGCTGGATAAGCCGTAACCCGCGAGTTGGGCATATATTTTCGCCCCTCTTCGCTTTGCGTGCTCGAGTTCCTACCCTCGTTAGCATTATTGTACCAAATACGCAATCACAAACTCCTGCAGATGAAGTAGTACCTCCAAAACAACCACGCCGGCGCCTTCGCCTATGACAAACCCAGCCCTGTCTTTGTCAAATGGCCGGCTTGCCTCAGTCGGGTTATCGTTCCAGTCTGTGGCCAGACTCCTCGCTCGTGCGAAGCCTGAGATAGCGAGAGGATGTATACAAGACTCAGCGCCACCGGCGACCATCACATCTGCGTCCCCAAACTGGATGAGTCGGGCAGCGTCGCCTATGCTGTGGGCACCTGTTGTGCATGCGGTTGTTGCAGCATGATTAGGTCCCTGTAAAACTCAGCTCAGGGCTCTGAAATAGAGCTGAACATCATACCTTGAAACCATACCGCATAGAAATATGCCCAGCTGCAAGATTAATCAGCAGGCGAGGTACGAAAAGAGGCGAGACTTTGCGATATCCCTAGACCTGTCAGAAATAGTCGCCTCCTTTACAACGAGGCCACAACTCACGCCCTTCTCGTAAGCAATAGTAGTCTCGTACACATCGTCCAAGCTACCAATCCCCGATCCCATATAAACCCCCTGTAACCCATTAGCACGTGACCTCTCAGTCGCAAAAATAACACACCGTAGCTTCGAGCTCCTCCTCCGTCTTAGGCGCCCAGCCAGCATCGTTCAGCGCCTCTTCGGACGCGACCATAGCATATTGCGCAAATCGCGCCATTCTGCGCTCATCAGACGCGCTCATCCAATCCTTCACGCTCCAATTTCCATCTTCTCTCTTGCCCTCAGGCACAAGGCCCGCGATCTGGCTCGGCAGCGCAGCAAACTGCGGACTCCTATCCTTGATGGAAACAATGCCGCAATGACCATCCAAAAGTCGCGACCATGTTCGACGCACGCCTGCACAGAATCAGGAAATGGAGTCGCGAGTGGTGAAGAGAGGGAAGTACGAACCTAAACCTAAGGGGGTCACTAGCCCGAGACCAGTTACTACTACCTTTCGCATTGCATATTTTGATGGACTGAGATGGTTGCGAAGCAGGGTGGTCACAATTAGAGAAGGGCACCAAGCTTGCACCATGCGCTAGCCCTTTTTGGGACACCGGCTCACGTGCCTACTGGATCTCCAGCTCCAGAGCTCCAGGGTCTCCACACCATGCCACTGCTCACACATCTTTTCCCTTCTACGACAGACAAAATTCGTCCTCTGGGGTTGCGGTCCTCAAAACGCTCAGGTCTGGTGGACATAAGCATGTTGACCTCCAACAAGACACTCGGGCGTATGGATGCTTGCGGAACATGTGACGTTGCCAACCACTGGCCGTCAAAGATGCATCTGAGGCTTGGTTGATGGGTTAAGAAGCAGGAAGATAGTGGCTCGCGAGTATTTTTTGCCTGCGTGAACACGCAGGCTCTTGTATGGGATGTTGTTTTGGTCGCTGTTGGAGGACGAGTTATCTTAGACATTGTTATCGCAGCCACGTGCTACTCAGGCAGTCCAGTTCCGAATCGCTATTGTGTTGCCTCTATGAGCAGCCAGACTCTCGCATACAATGTTATCCGGGTACTGCAATTGTAGGTAGTCAACTCAGGCTTCGTTCTTATTGCCCCATGTTAGTCGGCAAACCAGGCTTCAGTCTCGTAGATCCACACTTCTTTACCCACTCTCATAAAGGCACCATCTTTATGAAATCTCTTAAACTCATGCACGGAGCGGAGGGAATGAGGATTCGTTGGTGCCGCCGAGGATCGTTCGCGCCCGTGGATGGTCTGGTTGAAAAGATTCCTTCGCGAGGAAATGAGTAGACGTCGCCACTGTTGCTATCCGAGCATTCAACTCATTTCGGGCGCCGGTATTGAAACTCTTCACTACATTGCCAATGTTACTGTAAACAAATATTGAAAAGACCCCACTGCATCGGCGCTGCTTCAATCGCCTGACCATCGTTGGAGTCGGCCTCATCATCTCTGCGATGCATACATTAAGCTGGGGTTTCATAATTCAAGACGTGCCGCTCTTCAATGTTTCGCTGATATGACATTGATTCATAGTCAAGTTTGGACATTTACTTCGATACTGACATTCTTATGTCGGCTCCGCCACGACAGCTCGACCACATCCAACTAGTCTGATTATATCAATGGACTCCGCGCCTCTCTTCTAACCTGATTTTCTGCGCTAGCCGAGCATTTCCATATTTCACAAATCAGCACTCTTGATAATAACATCAGTATTCATCTGTCAATACTCCCCGCTCACCCGTCATTATCCCGCTTGCCTCTGCAAAAGTAAGCATCGCAGCTTTTATGATATCTTGTGGCTCATTTTCTACCTCAAAGACACAAAGGATGCATGCGATGCTAATGTGTTGGCTAGATACGTCATAGGAAACGTGCACTTTGGTCACATACTGCGATACGATGGGGTCTAGTGATCGGTCATTGTCTCTGCCTTGCCAGGACTGGCCTTTCGGGGCTCACTGAGATGATATCGAACGAAAACTTCTAGAGTATAGTCTACGGGTATCTTTCTTCTCTGCACGGGCTTGAGCGCGAAGTATGCAAGAAGCAATCTATCTCAATCACTAACAGCGGGCCAGCGACTGCCCGCACGTCCTTCGCGAGGTTTCGGGCTGTAGTGCAGAGCTCGTTAGGAGCCACGCGAGCTGGCCCTGTCAAATTGGAGCTGAACATACGTAGGTGCTGAACTCAGTTAGGTAGTTCACTGGGGCGGTGGAGGTGCGCACCCGGGCTGACTGTCATCTGGCGATCTAGTGCTCACGTGCTCGCCTGCCCTCCAGTACTTCAGGGCTCTAATGCTAACCTCGTCTCCCTCTCCCAACATGGACACTGTCGCGCGCCCTTGAAATCCTTCGCACATTGATTCGCTATTACGGATTGACATCATCCTGCATCTCATCTGCACTCCACAACTGCACTTGCAACGCGCATGCAGGGGATGTCCAGGATTGATGCGGGCACGCGGAGCATAGAGGTCCGTTCACCGCATGTCTGCGCGCAGCTGCATGAGGAAATAGCCCGAAGTTTTAATGTCGACGTGCATGCTAACGCTCTCTTCCTATCACGCTTTAGCAGCTCGTACTGTGGCGGCCGAGATGTCACATGCACTAGCAGTGGGCTTCGGATGGAGACGAAGTAGCTGTTCACAGTCCATTCATGAGCTTTAGTTGAAGACGAGGAAGGCATCGTGAGCAGCGCAGTCGAGATACCATCCGGGCTTAGTAGCTGCGTCTAGGATAGTTGCCGAGCAGAAGTAAGCCTTCGTCTTAAATGAGCTTCTCAAGTGCAACACGAAATTAGCCGGGAAGCTTTTTGCTTTCGTGCATTAGAAGTTGGTCAACGAGGTTTACGAGATCCAGAGACTCGTGACCAAACCCACTGCGCCAGGGTGGATATCAAAGGAGTGACTTAGCAGAACCATGGAAAAGACCGATACCGATGCAAAGGAAGCCTATACCAAGTCGCCTCCCACCCAAACACCCAGACTCCGGTTCGGGACCATCCGATGCAACCCCGCGTTATCATACGCACCACATATATCCGCATCAAACAGGAAGCTTTGGCGTGGGATTGTATGCGCCGGGAAAATAGATCTGGTCGTCGCTGCCATGGCTGCTCCACTCGCTGTCGCCCTTGCTTGCTTTCCTAGCGGCCTCGGGATTTGTCAGGTCCACGCTGCCCATGTCGAAACTCTCGAGATTTTTCGACCCTCCACTCGCGCTGTTACCGGGGTCTTTTGCCCCGCTTCGCCCACTGCTGTGGTACTTGTACGTGCCGGCTGAGCGCGAGGCCTGGGTGGCGGCGCGGCGGCGAATGAGGATGATCCTGAGCGAGGGGATCGATGCGCACCAGATGCCAATGTTGACTTCGACCATCGACCAGAGGTTGATGGGAACCGAGTCGTAAAAGGGGTCGGTGGACTCTGTGTAGATGCGGATCGCGTGCAGGCGTACAATGGAGGCAATCGTCGAAAATACACCGAGACCGAAGACGAAGATAAGACCGAGCTTTTCGCGGTTGGGCCGCTGGATCTTAAGCAGTGTTCGTACTGGTAGGACGATTATCCATATATCAGTGATGATATTTATCGAGCTCGTAGCTTCACGAGTTAGCAACATGTGTATGAAGATACGGTGCGTAACGTACTGTAGAACAGTGCAGTAGTGTTTACACATGTTCCTAATGGTACGCTTGTAAAGTTCCACATCTGACGGAGGGGAATGCATTGGGTCAGGCAGACGATCACACAAATGACGCAGAAGGTGGCCAGAAAGTAGATGGTCCCTTTGACCAGGCGAGCGAAGTACTTGTCCGCAGCTAGCACTCTTGTCAGTGACGGATTTGACGAAGTTCGACCACAACATACCTATGCGCAAGTAGCAAAAGCAGATTGAAATCTTGACACATGCGATGAGGAGATAGTAGAGAATCTGAATTGCCAGTGTTGTTTGGATAAGGGTAGTCATCTGGTCGAGCTTCAACACCTTGCCGCTGTAGCCCATTCCGTTGTCGCGCATGATCCAGATGCATACTAGATATCCGAGTGTAAAGACCTAACTTGTCAGCGGTCCATTTCTGACGAGGAAAGCATAGTAGAGCTTACAACAGCACCAACCATAAAGGCATCATCTTTACCAAAGTTTCGCACTATTCGTGAGCGAACGTAAGTGCGGAGACCAACAATTAGAACTACATGAGATTAGCCAAGGTCAGTGAATAGTCAAAAAAAAACCCCCCAAAAAGTGACCTACATGAGGTGATGGTAAATGCGGTTGCGACGCCTGTGCAAGCGTCCTGTTGCGCCTGCCCTCGCCCGCTCGGCAGCACCATGTTGACCGGGTCTTATCAGTACGGTGAAATCGATAGTGAGAGTCGTGATACCAGTTGACGGCGACTGGCGAGAATTATGGACCCTCAAGAGTGCAGATCATAGGGTCTTAAGAATGAATTCAAACCTTAATTGACAAGCTTTCACGGATCATTCATGAGACGCTGACAGGAAGTATCCTACCTCTGATCCCTCACGGATGAAGCCTGACGTCTCTTGGCTTGGGTTGTCGGAAGAAAGCAACGGGCAGCCTGGTCCCTCGCCACAGTCTGCACAAAGGCAAGCCGTCCACTCGTAAGAGTTGCATGAAGCGAAAGTTTGGTACAAACGACCAGACTGAGTATCGGCGATCAATTCCAGAAGGCGTTTAGTCAGGGCTACGGGGACACGGTAGATGCGGGTGATGGCGTGTTTAGAACAGGGGCGTGCTGCAGGAGTTCGGTTCTCTCAAGCTCCGCATATTTTAACAAATTGGGTTGGTACGTGACCAACCTCAACTTCAGAAGTGACGCCGATCCGGTTTTGCAGCATAAGGTCGTTCGTGAGTGCGCCCTTGGAGTGGCTTGCTCTGGGCTGAACAACGGTTCGGTTAAAAGATGTGACAGGCTAAACACTGCGCAGTGTTCTGCGACAGCTCCGCATGAAGGCCTGGGCAGGAACAGTCTTAGTGACCGTGAGGTCCTGAAGCTAGATGTGGGGCAGCTTAAGGCTACCAACGCTCTGGTTTCCACGGGTATGAATTGGTCGAGACCAGCCTGATAACTTCCGCAAACATTCGCACCAGAGATGTTGACGGGCGTGTTACACCTCGGGAATACCATCTGAAATAGGTTCTGTTCAATGGCAATGGTCACGACTGCGCGATGTTTGCAGTGCCAAACAGTACGAAGCGCACCATTTTGGAAGTTCGGGTTCCAGCATGGCAACAGACGGCGCGGAGGCCCCGCAAGCGCGAAGCCCGGCTCATTATCTACAAGCAGCAAGCACAAAACCTTGTTAGCGATGTGTGGCGCGTAGATGGAATGGAGGAACAAAGTTTCGCTACACTGTCGTCAGATGGCGGTCGTGCTGTGTTGGGGTGGATTGTACTGTGGGGACAGGGCCGGAAGATAGCGGATCGCCGCTTGCTGTTTCCTGAAGCATGCTAAAACGTTTGAAAGCCCTCGCTTGCACCTGTGTTCTTCCCCGTCTACATCCTGCAAGTATTTCTACCGGCATACTGTGGTATAAGGCAATGGCACGCGAGCAAGCGAATGGGGTGAATCGTTTCGTGGTTCAGCTATAGCTGGAGGAAGATACGACCACCCGTCCGGACAGCTGGCACTCTTAGCTGATGCTTCGAATGTCGTACATTGAGATCACATCAATGCAGGAGTATGTACTGCCGGCGGAGGGTGCTCCGTAGGCTACGCAGGGACCCGCTGTACCAAGATTCTTGGGGTACTTCCCATCTCCAACGCTTACTCACTCAGGCGTTCCTTTTGCCGACCCCAGGCTCGGGGCTGTTCACGAGTCAGCGGCAGAGCCAAACACGTGCTGAGTGGGCAACATCACGCGATCGAGATCTCTCTTTCCCATGAAACGTGAATCATGGAAAACAGACGGCTCCACTCCCCATCGCCACGCACTCCGTCACTACTAACAGGCTTCGTTCGCATAGACCGGATAGTTTTCCCGTGACCCACACACAAGCACTCCATCGATCCGTGCTTTACGAAACTCGGCTGGGGAAGCAGCCTGAAATAGCAAGAGTCGGTGTTGAGGCCGTATCGCGAGGCGTACGCCCAGACTGGTGTGGACCTTATACATTTTCCATCTCCTTGGGTCTCGTTAGTCCGCTCGAGAACACTTGGGATCGCGAAGGTGGTCTCGAGAGTCATGAAGAATCCAGGGCGAGCGGAGATCAACGCAGACCTAGGCCCTCGACGGCCACAGTTACGCAGATTCGCAATGCATCCCCTGAAACACTGTCACTGCCGTCAAAATCGCGTATGTATCTCCAAGACCCCGGGGGCTACAGTGCAAGCGATCCAAATATGCTTTCCTCGATCAAAGCCCACCTTATGCCACTCCAATCATGCTAGCATCCCGTCTGCACAGTTACTTTAAAAGCGCTTTCAAGCACCCTACATATGGACTTTTCACTTCAATCTAACGACAGCACAAATTACGTCCCGAAGGACTCTGTAAAGGCGCGGCTGTCCATCCCAATCCCGAGCGACTGCACACTCGTCCTTTCAGTGCTTCTTGTATTACCGTCAGCAACTTGCTCGACCATGAAAGCGCTCTCGCTATATCAAGTGCGCACACTGAACGACATTCATGTTTCTTCGTCGGAAGTTACCTTTCATATCCCATCTCACAGCTCAAGCACATTGTGTCCTCTCCCGGATAACATCACCCGCACCCACCCAGCCCAGTCCCCGGCCCCAAGACGCCCACTCCTCGCACGACAGCACGTCCTGCCTACTTCTTCGCCCAATCCCAGTTCCTCTCACCACACAGGAAAATCCACAACTCGCTGATCTCCTCCATTCGGCGCACGTGAACCTGAACATCTAAATGCACGTGAAAAAAGTGCTCCCGACATCCGCCCGAGCTACCCGCCGCTACTCCCCGGTCGGTCCTCCCAACCTACCTTAACGGGCAATTCGCATCCACCCGTCGAAAAGTGACATCTTGTGACACCGGCAGGGCGGGTGGTGATTGGTCTAGCATACAGAGACTGGGGGTCGACTAAGATGTGCTGTGACGGTGCAAAGGCCTGGGATGAGCTAGCGCGGAGTGGGGACGGTGACGGTTCAGCATGGGCATGGTGGAGTGTGGTGGGTAATTTTGAAAACCCATTCATGTCATTGAGACGCTCGCTATGGACGGGTATCTAGAGATGCTGGCATGGAAGCTTCGCTCGTGTGTGCTCGTCATGCTTAACAGTCCCATCAGGAACTTGTGCAACTGCAAGTTCCCACCTGCCGTCTATTCTTGCCTCAAAGCCTGTGCACATCGACGCACTGTGAGCGCATCGCTGCTGTTTTTTGCGCCGCTAGCTCTTACAGTATTCGGAGCGGGCCCTTGAAAGACCATGCGGATTAGGCGGTCGCGACCACGACGGCGAGCCTTGATCAACTTTACTAACCTTCTTATTCCAACTGCGAGCAAAGTCTCAGCTCTTGGTAACTGCATAGTTCCAACACACTTTGTGTCCGCGGTTCATATGACAGTAGCGTTGACGGTTCCATTTCTTGCTCCGTCTGAGATATAACTTGACATTCGTTTCCATGCAGTCCTCCTACATATTCGTCGATTATAGGTATGCTACAGCTCAGTCAGTATCAAGGTCATGACCCCATAGCGGGTGTAAAATGGGACCGGACTCGTTCGGGCGATGGATGTGGTAAAGGCGTTTGAGTTTATCTAGCATCCAGCACCCACTGTGCTCTTTGAAATATAGATACTCAACGAGCTCAGACATGGACTTACTGGCATCAATCTGTTTGATCTTTGGCAACGCCAGTCGCACCTTGTTCCGATAAAGGACGGGCTGCGACTTCTGTAGAGGGTTGCCTTCGAAATATACTGTCTCTAGCTCTTCCTTGTCGCCAAGCTGTTTTTCAACCTCGTTGAAGTCACTCAACTGGCAATTGCTCGCCCAGAACTCTTGCAAGTGCTTAAGGTTTTCCAAGCCTTGCAGGTGTTGTATCGGGTTGGAGCTGACATCGATAACGTGCAGATTGGTGTTCTCTTCGAGGTGCGAGATCTCCTTGATGGCATTGTAAGAGATGTACAGTTCTTCAAGGTTTTTCAGGCCGGAGAGGCCGGCGAGGGACGTCAGACGATTTGATTGGATCGACAGAATCTTGAGGTTGGTCAGGGTATCGAGCCCTTTGAGCTCGGTAATCTTGTTCTTGCCGAGCCATAGCTGCTCTAGCCCAGTGAGGGTCTCGAGATTCTGTATTTCCTGCCTGCCGTCAGCTCGCGCAAGCTGTATGCGCTGATCGTCTCACTTACCCGTATCCTGTTAGCACCCAGCTCGACTTGGCGGAGGTTGGTGAGCCCTTCCAAGCCCTCGATTGTACTGATCTTGTTCTGTACGAAGAACAAATCCTTGAGCTTGGTGAGGTGGTTTATGCGCTTTATGTGCTTGATCTTGTTGAAGGACAAGTCCAGCAGCACAAGCTCGGAGCAGGCGTCGAAGCCCTTGACATGCGAGATTAGGTTGTCATAGAAATCGAGGTCTTGCAGTTGCGGAGCGATATCGTCGGGTAACTCTACGCTGGTGATCTGGTTCTGGCGAAGACCGAGGCGCTGCGTAGCTTCTGTCAGCATTGTTCCATATAGCTCCCGGTTGCCCAACAGCCACACGATATACCTAGACCAGGGCCGAAACGCATACCACGTACCTTGAGCTTCTTGAACCTCTCCAACCGCAACGCAGCCATGTCGGATATCCTCAAGTGCACCAGCTCGATCTCCTCTTCGTCTTCTGGGTAGTCTTCCAGCAAATCCTCGTCAGCCGGCAGCTGCTCCGGCGGCGGCCCCTCGTCTTCAGACACATCTTCGGCGTCGCTGTCGGCGTCCTGGTCTCTTCCATTTACCAGTACGTTCTTTTCGACGCGCAGCTTTCCGTCCCAGCCTTTGCTATCGCGTGGCTTGTCCTTGTTTTCCGCGTCGTGCGTCTCCCCAGTGGCGTCGATGGCGGGGTCGATGCGCGGGTTTTTTTCCAGCGCGTCTGCCATGGTGGAAGAGTCTGGCGGCGAGTGTGGGTAGCGAACGATGCAGCTTTAATAGCTCTGATTTGTAGTATAGCGATGGTGCTGGTGCGCAGGTCGGGGGTGGAGTGACGCAGTATTTGTTGTTCCGAGCTGCAGCAAGCTGCGTTCGTCGCTCGGGAGCTTATTTTCGAGCAAGGGTCGCCGCTGCCACTGGCGGGGCGAGCTCGCGTCTTTCGTCATCGCCCGGGACCTCATCTCTCTCAACACCATGACTCCACATCACGAAGCCTTCGGACGCTTCTACCGAGGTCTTCATGGTACTCGGTGGCTATTTTAGCTTCTTTATTTCGCCAAGGGGTGAATGCTGATCTTTGCCTGCGCCGCCCGCGTATGTCGTACCTTCGTACAACATGGGAGCATCAACCACCAACCTCTGGATGACATGTACCTGACAAATGCACCCGACCTGGCCGTGGAAGAACAAGCCGCCGCGTCCGTCCAATCTTGCACCATTCATATCGTTCATGATGCTAGACTATCGCCCTCTCCACCAGGCACCTGCAGGTCCTTGGCGCCGCCAATCACTGGGCACGCGTAATCAATTTGGAACCCGCCAGCGATCTGCAGCTTCCTAGAATGGCCTATATAGAATGCAGTCCAAGGACTCCATTCGAGCGATTGCGTGTCCTTCCACCTGTTTCTCAACACCAATTCTAGATTGACAGAACTCGTCACTATGTTGCGATCTCTAGCAGTCTGCCTTGTAGGCCTGTCCTCCGCGTTCGCCTCCTCGGTCGCGCTTCCCAATGTGTTCGTGGCTCATGAGGGAGAGCCAAAGGGCTTCTTCAAGAACATTAGTGGAGGTGGGTCATCTGATTGTGCACGTTGTGATTCTTGGTTGACTCGGAATGTAGTAAACATCTACCACTCGTACCACAACCAAAACGTTACAACTGGTGGCAAAGCTGTATTATTTGTGTCTGATATCTACGGTGTTCCCCTACTGGAAAACAAGCTGTAAGAAGCCTCGATCCCGCGCCTTCTCATTTCGACGCAGTGCTTGTGTACTCTTCGAATGAATCGCTCCTTGATACACGTCCAGTGTTTAAAGCAGGGCCATACCAGAGCACTAACAGCCGGACAGCCTTGCAGACTCCATAGCTAGCGCAGGTTACACGGTCATATTTCCTGACCTCTTCAAGGGCGATGCTGTACCCTCCGACGACCGCGAAGGCCCAGCCCTCAACTTAACAGAATGGCGTACCCGCCACCCCACTGCCGAGATCGACACTATCCTTGGCCTGACGGTCGACTACATCCACAACGACCTGAACATCAGCAGAATCGGCGGCGTGGGATACTGTTTCGGAGGCAAATACGTGCCGCGGTTTTTGGCTGAGGGCAAGGGCATTGACGTGGGGTTTATCGCGCATCCAAGCGGGCTTGAGGCTGCGGAGATCCAGGGAATCAATGGGCCAATTACTATCGCAGGTATGTAGACGCTGAACTTGGAGGTCAATTTTGGGCTTACTGACTATATCCCAGCCGGTGAACTTGACAACGCCTTCAACTCTACCGGACGATACAACGCGGAGGCCATACTCACCGCCAAGAACGCAACTTACCAAACCAACTTCTATTCCGGGGCCCCGCACGGGTTCGCAGTCCGCCCAAACATCACCATTGCGCGCCAGAAGTATGCTAAGGAGGCGTCGTTCCTGCAGGCGGTCTTGTGGTTTGCTGCGTGGCTATGAAGTCAGCTCCTGTTACAATCCTTACAGGGACCTGTTACAAAATAAAGCACATGGCAAATCTCTCATTATCATGCTTCTCGCCAATGTGGATCTTCCCATGTGCAGGTGTGCAGGCGTGTCGCTCCAAACGTCGCCCCTTGTCAATGCGCATATGCATACGCCAGTCTAGCAACCTTGAGAACAAACACGTGGTAGCATGCTAACGCGGCGAAGCCACCTGATCGTTGGAGAACATCTTGTTCAAGACGCATTTCGTTCTTGCAGCGGTAGGAGCCATCTCTGTCCGGCTGGTGCACACCAGCCCTCCATACGCAGCTCCGCCCAGCCAAACAGTCCAAATATCTCACACCTCACTTCTTACTTTGCATCATGCGGAACGGGCGGTGGAGTGCGATGATTCACTCACCTCAAAGAAACTCAATATTTCCGGTAGGCGCCTTTTCAAGAGTTGGGCTTGAGAGCGCACGCCAGTGTTCTGTCGGCCTTTCCAACACTGATCCAGAGACCATATTTATGTATCCCTAAGTCGCAGTCGTCCTACCTATACTATCTCCAGCGCCGGCACCGCCTAGCGCAAGGCCTTAGGCGTCCGGTCAGCTCGGTAGAAATGCGGATGCTCGGCGGGGGCCAGGCGCCGACGACACGTTGCCATCATTGCAGCGCTCGTGTTGTTTGGGGTGGATGTGCAGTCACACCGGGTGGAAGGTGGGTTCAGTGTCGAGCTCAAGCTTACGCCAGCATGCTCACTCGCGTCGATACACGCATCGTATCCACCTGTACCCAAGAGTTGACGTTTCAATTGTTATTCGGTCCAAGCCAGCGGCAGATTCGTCCCACCCAATCAATACTCTTCTCACGCTCCATCTCTCGCCCACAATCACAGCACGCTCCACGACGCACTTTCCCAACCCAGGACCCCCCAGCCCCTGCATCGCCTTCCAAAACATCCAGCCCTGCTCCCGATGCACCGATCAGCGGCGCGCAATCCACTAGCTCCACAATGTGGAGGCTAGCGCTGGCGCTCGGCAGCCTTGCCGCAACTACTTCACTTGAGGCGCGGGAGGGGTAACATGGACCCTGGAAATATGTAAACATCGGATGTGAGTACGGCATGTAGGGACGGGGATTGTGAAGGAGAGAGGAGGCTTGAGAGACAAGGAGAGAGGATGCTGGAAGGGAGGTTCAGATTGAGCTGGGAGCTGATGACTGTGCAGTTGGACTGCTGTGCTACGCACCGATGGAACGGATCACCAGGGCAGCTCGCCTCGAAATGTATGCTTACAGTGGAGTACGTATCGGCCCGTATGGGATATGCCGTCTTGACCTGCCATGCCATTGTATCCTACGCTGGGGACGCATGCCCAAGGCCACTGTACCTGCATCATCCGCTTCGTCGCTTGCAACTATATAAGGACCGTTCGAAGACCTCGATTTCTGCCCTGGATCATCCTCTTTCGTTTGCTATAGCCTTGGCCAGTTCCCATACCCCTCCTTGCGGCACAGTGCATCGCCCCTCGTATCCACCGCCCCTCATATACACTGCCGCTTCCCAATGTCCTCGGGGATCACCTGCACCACCACCGTCTCAGTTACCACAATGTCTCTCCCCAGCACGCAAAAAGCCGCAGTAAAAGTGGGCACCGGCGACGCCTCGCGTACGGAGATTAGAGAATTGCCTGTTCCCGAGCCGTCGCCCGACCAGATTCTCGTGAAGATCAACTACAGCGGGCTCTGCGCCTCAGATAAGTCGCTTCTGCTGGACGAATGGGGATCTACAGGCATTCTGCAGCAGCCGTGTACGCAGGGTATCGCGGGCCACGAGGGTGCGGGGACAGTCGTTAAGGTGGGAAGCAACGGTATGTTCATCACTAACTCTCCAAAACTTCGCCAGCCTCCTCCTCAGTGGCTGACCGACCTTACCTGCAGTTCAAGATCTCTGGCAACCCGGCGACCGGGCGGGCATTAAATGGATCGCGTCCATCTGCCGCAAGTGCGAATTTTGCACCAACGGCGTCGACGAATGCCACTGTCCCAAGCAGCTCAACTCGGGCTTCAGCATCGCGGGGACCTTCCAGGAGTACTGCATTACCGACGCGCGGTACGCGACGAGGCTGCCGGATGGCGTCAGCGATGCGGAGGCGGGGCCGTTGCTGTGCGGGGGTGTAACCGCGTACACGGGCTGTAAGAGGAGTGGTGTGAGGCCGGGGCAGTGGATTGTTATACCAGGCGCGGGCGGTGGTGAGTGAACACGCGCTGTTTTCTCCCCTGTGTGGCCGGTGCCGACTGATGCTGAACAGGACTCGGCCACCTCGCAGTCCAATACGCCAACGCAATGGGCATGCGCGTCATCGCCATCGACGGCGGCGACGCAAAGCGCGACCTCTGCCTCAGCCTTGGAGCGGAGAAATTCATCGACTTCACCACGTGCAAAGACATTCCCGCCGAGGTCATGTCCATCACCAAGTACGGGGCCCACGGCGTGGTGGTCATCTCGGCGACGCGCCAGGGGTATGAGCAGGCGCCGCACATGCTGCGGCCGCAGGGCACCATGGTGTGCATTGGGCTACCCAAGGACGGGACGGTCATCGCGGGCGCGCCGCCGATCCTGATGGTGTTGAAGAAGCTGAATATTGTGGGAAGTGTGACGGGGACGTTGAAAGATGTTGAGGAGTGTTTGGACTTTACTGCGCGCGGGCTGGTGCGGCCGATCCTGACGCATGGGGATCTGGGCGATATCAATCGCTTCCTGGATGATATGGGGGCTGGGCGCTTGGCAGGCCGAGCGGTTATTAAGGTTGCTGCGTAGTGGTGAGTGTGTGCTAGACGTACATGAGTAACAAATAACATTTTGAGCGTTGTAGCTCTTGACTCGATTGAGGAGTTGAACCTCGACCCTTCCTAGCTCAAGGGTATATATCATACAGTGTACATCCAGCCTTCTTTCAAGCGTATGCCGAAGACAGGAATCCGATCCCAATTGAAACGCCTCGCTAAATCACAAATACCAAACTCGAATCCTACCAAGCGGTGATGTCCTCCACTTCGGCCTCGCCAAAAGTGCTGGTCTTGGTGGCATTCAGACCCGAATCGGCCAAGCCAGCGCTGTCAACGTTCGGGGTCCGGGTCATGATCTCGGGAAGGACCTCGTTGAGGAAGCCACATAGATGGCCGTTCACTTGTTCAAACTCCAGTAGGAAGGCATCATGTCCATCGGGCGAATCGATCGTCTTCAGTTTCGCGTTCGGAATGTGCGCGGCCAGCTCCTGTTGCTCCGCGAAGGTGAATAGGCCGTCCGACTGTATGCCGAGAACGAGAGTTGGCTGCTCGATCAGCGATAAAGCATGTTGCAACGCCAAAACTGGATCCAGTGTCTCCGTCTCAAAGCCTTCGGGGTAGCGGTGCCGTGAGACATCGTGGGTGTCCAGCTTCCGCGTAATGGCAATGTAACAGTTTGCATCGAACCTCTTAATGAACTTCTCGCCCTGGTATCGAAGATATGATTGTGCGGAGAAGTAGTGGGGTGTGCGAGACTTCTGGAATTGTGACACGCCGATCGGTTTTGCTTGGACCGGGGGAGATGGCGGGTTAGAAGCGTCTTTGAACTCAAGATCGGCTGTGTTAGCTGAAGTAGACAGACCGACAGTGCTGTTTGTCCGTGAAACGCGCGGAGATCCGGCGTTCTTGTGGCCGTGGTTGTGTATCGCCCAGTGCTCGTTCGCAGGGGTGCTCGGACGGGGCACAGCGTTGATGCTCTGTTTCTTAGACAGATCAGGTGTGTTGCGACCGAAGCGCGACTCGAACGAATCGCGGCTGCGATAGGTCAGGAGAGCTGACATACGGGCAGCGCCTAAGCCTGTGGAGGGAGGGTCTTCGCAGGTGTAGTACCCGTCTTCGTACTTGGGGTCGCTGTAGATGCTCTGGCGTTGGGCCTCACCCCAGCTAATGCCCCACGCACTGTATCGCGCCGACGTTGCAATGGGAATAATGCTCTTGACGTAATCTTTGCCGAAGTAGGCGAATTCCAGGACCAGCATGCCTCCCATGGAACCTCCAATGACGGCCGCAATCTGGCGCACGCCCAGATCGTCTAGGATAAGCTTGAAGATGCTGCACCTGTCAGCATTGCACACATGCGCAAATGGATGGCATAACCACTCACTTGACATCGTCCCTCACCGTTGTCAACGGGAACTCGGGCCCGTACTGGCCCAGTGAGGGATCGCCATCTTTTGCCGTGACGGGGCTGGCACTCCCGTACGGGCTGCCCAGGCTGTTGATGCACACCACGAAGAACCTCGATATGTCGAATGCCTTCCCCGGGCCTCCCAGCATCGGACCCCACCAATCACCCACGTCAGCGCTACCCGTCAGGGCGTGACATATCACCATGGCGTTGTCGCCGGTGGGCGAGAGCGTGCCATAAGTTTTATATGCGACGGGAACATTGCGGAGGACAGCACCGGATTCGAGGGTGACCTCCGGGATGATGGCGAATGTTTGGTCGGGAATCAGCTTCGCGAACGGGTTTTCCGGCTGTTCGGTCACTCGTTCTACGTATCACCGTGTTAGCATGGGCGCAAACTTTGTTCAGTGCAATTGTGCTTGCACTTGGATTGGGGTCGTACGGTATTTGTGCGTGCCGTTGGAGCTGGCGCCATCCGCTTGCGCTGTGCTCATGGTCGGGGGACGTCAGGGAGGGAATAACACGCCGAAATATTCGTCGCCTGGGGAGCGGTGGCGAGGAGGAATCATTTTGCGGGGAGTCATTGCCTTCGGATGCACAAACCAAAAGCTAGAGAAGTGGATTGTGATTGGCCTTGGCGATGACGCCATCTCCTTCGCCTTCCCATTGGTCCATTCTGACACCCCTGCAGGAACGCATACCTTTCATGATCCCACCGCGCACTCCTATCAAAACATCCCATCCTATCCCATGCATGATCAAGACAATGGCACCACCTGACTGCGTGTTTCACAGCATGCCATCGAGCGTCCCGCTGAGCACCCGGTTCCCGCGCCGTACTTTCGATGCAAGCTGTCAAGCGCCTTCATAGTCATCGCGTGGCCTTGCCAGGAACCCTTGCAAGCAACCACGCCCTATTTGCAAGGCATTTTGCGGAGTCATTTTCTACTCTGCCCTGCAATATCTTCCGAACAGTATCACAGCTGTCATTTGGATCGTAACATTAGAGTGACTCGCAAAGCACCTTTCGAGTTGAGATCCAGCGCTCTGCTCCTGGGCATCTTCTCACTCTAACATAAGCAAGGTTGTGTCCCTGACATGTTGCACGAGCTTGTCCGCTAAACAGGCAAACAATCTTGCTGGTCGCAAGTACGCGGCCCCAGGTGACCATAGCAGGTCACTATCCAATTGCTTTCCGCAAACTCAAGCTGACTGCCGAGCCAAGTTGCCAAAATGCCAAAGCCGTTTTGCCAAGTCCGGCATGCATCGACGTCCAGTATATAGACGGCAAGATGGTTTTGATATTCGAGATTTCACGTCCATTTGCCGTCTCCGGATGCTTGAGACATGGCTGCCTGCGAAGGTATTCGAATCCGCGGCTTCACGGGAAAACTGCATCTTCCGGCTACTTGCTCTGAAAGAGTATCATTCCTTGTCTCAACCCGTTTTAACCACGCCTTTGTATCTCATCGCTGTCATCCTAATGCCATGATATTACCTGATGACTCCAACACACTTGGATACCGCACTGAAACGCTTCACGGAAATGAGGATTCCAAGATCAAGCGTCCTCGTCTCGACTCTGGGGAAACTGGTACCGATGACGAAGTTGCGGACTGGGGTCACTGGGGCCACCGGCCGGCCGAATCTGCACACAGAGAAGACGCATCACCCATGTCTGTGCGGCGACAGCTGAGCCCTCTCGAACATCAGGGCTGCGACTTTTTCGAGTCTAGAGTTTTCAAAGGGGCAACTGCCTTCCCCTCCTCTCGCTCCCCAGACCACTTGCTGTACGTACCGTCAGAGTCATTGCTCAACCAACTCTGTTTCGACACGGTCACCGAAATTGAATCTGGAGGGTCGTGTTTCGATGTTTCTGACTGTGAAGCGGTTCCAGAGCTCGGATACGATCAGACGCCCAATCCGGTATATGAGGATGGACCTTTACTTGCTCGTCAGCACCTTGTTCCGCGGAGCGAACTGCCCTATACGTGTCTGGACATAGTTCTAAAATCCTCTCCTGACGAAATACTACCATTCCATCAGGAGGCAATGTGCGAGAGCCCAAATCGTCCAGATCCTGTCAATGTCAAGATTGTACAGCAAGTACCAACGACAAAGCTTACCCACAGAAGGGTGGCGCGATCTAGGCCAGAATGTTGCCGTGGCCGCTACCACCGGAATCCCAAAGCAAAAGCCCAATACTTGCGGGATCGTAACTTTCGTACCGCATCCATGCCTATTGAGGCACCCACTGCGCTAAGGGTGGACAACATTCCATTGCTCAACTCCGAGAGCTTTAAGCTAAAGCGGAAGCACTGCGCATTCGTGCAAGAGCAGGAGCTGAGGTGCCTCTTCGAGGATCGCGTGGGGACGCCACACCTTAGCGAGTTGCAGCCTGGTGACGATGTGAACGCCCAGCTCAACGTAGACGAACTTAGCGTGGGAGGAGAGGTTGCGGCTTTAAGCATAGTGGATGGGGCCACGCAAGGACTTTCTGAATTCGCGATTACGGACATTCCGTACAAGGGACTGGGTCCGAATTGACTAATGTGGTGTGGGATGAGTTGGTACCTGCGTGAGTGATTTGTGAGAGGGCTGACATTTTGGGATCGGCGCTTTTGTACGTATACGTTGTGCATGTTTATGCCTCACTAAGCTCATTCTTTGGACGGCATCCAGCATAAGAGACCTCTGATGTCTTGTTATAGCTTATGTTCTATGAGCCCTGCAAATGCCTCTACTAAATAGACCCCTCACATTGGGATCTGTAGTTCATTGCTTTTTACGTCGCGCCCAGATCGACCCATGGTTCCCCACACGCTCAACACACGCCCCCACGCACGTGGGCCCATCCACTACCAACATTGGCGAACATCCCAACACCCCTTCACCCACACATGCGTCGCACAGCGACTGTCGCGTGACTCCCGCATCAGCTCGACAAATCGCAGCCACCGAGTATGTAATCCCAACTAACACCTATTAGTTGCCAGCATAAAGCACGACTTATCCCCGTGCAGACGCGTCCCTGCGCGTCACCGTCGCGTGCTGCGGCTGGTCAGATAGACCGATCGGTAGCCTCATTCAGCCTTTCTTGGGACTTCACGAGTTTCATCCGTGCGTGAGAGCCTTCCGGACGACCCGTTGAGTGACCCCACGCGACCAGCGACTTTGCTGGGACTAGGCTGGCCTGGTGAGCTACCCGGTGCCCTGGACCGGGACTCTTCGTAGGTAAGAAATGGATTTCGAGGAGGCATAAATAGGGATAGGAACCCCGGGCTTTGGGCGGGTGCAGTAAGGCTGAGCAACGAGAATAAGAAGAGTGTTGCCTGACGGCGACATACCATAGACTTACGGATCGACATCCAAGGATCTTTGCCTCACTTCTCCCGGAACTCAGACTTCACGAACTACGAGACGCCCAGAAACCCAGGCTTTGTGCGACGAGGAAGCAACGAGGGTTCGACTGTTGCCTGGCCGGTGACTCGACACTTCACGAGGCCTACATTCAAGCGCAACGCCACGATCCCCCAAGGCAATAAGAAGCTGCGGAAATCTACCGCACACGCTTCCCAAACTAGTTGGAGCTCAGCGATACACCCCCGGGCAGCCGCCCTCTTCACAGCCTCACACGTACAACTCAGAACGTCATCATCCACGATGTTCCTCCTGCACCGTTCATCCTCCGCCTCAACACTCTCAATCCCCACCTCTGCACCTCCCTCTCCGGCTCCCAAAATGCTGGACATGGGCTCCGACGCCTACCTCTGGCGCATCAAAGACCAATTTCTCGGCGCCCGCTTCGCAGAATGCTACGCCGGGCCTGAGTTCTTCGCGCTGGGCGCCGGCGAGCAGAGACGGAGATTGGAACTCTATGAGAAGAGGAGGAACGATGAATATTGGTATCTTTGGAGGGCGTGGGGCAGGAGGGTTAGATGGGAGGTGCTTGTTTGGTTTGGATTGAGGCCGTACTAAGTATTCGAGGGAAGGCGGATGGATGGGTGGGAATGGAAATGTTGCATGGGTTTGGGCGTTTTGGATGATACCAATTTGTGCCTGTTTGGCTTTCTGCTTATGATGGGATGGTGCTAGGGCTCGGCTGGGGTGCTTCTGTGCGAGGAGAGGGTTCTGTACTGTAGTGTCAGATTGTACTTTGCATGTGTTCAAAAAGGTACGACAGCGCATATGCACCGTGAGAAATGACCGCCTTCTGCCAGCAATGAATTTACGTCCAATTGTCTGTACTAAAGTCTTATTTGCTGTTCAAACAAGGCTAAGCTGTCTTCTCCCGACCAAATTTGGCCCCATAGAAGTGCTCGAGCGTCGCAAGCCCAGTCGCTTCACCTGTTGCACCTCTCGCCTCTGCAGCCAACTTCTTCAGCCCAGCTGCGGTCTTGCCCTCTGTCTCGTCCCCAAAGTACCGGCCTCCGCTTATCTGACACATCCCCCACATCCCCTTGATCGTTTCCAGCGAGCGAATACCATAAACCTCGAGGTCGCGCCAATTGGTGATCTCCTCAAAGCGCGCTTTCTTACTAGTTGCTGAACTCGTTAGCGTCTTCTTCTCCTCAATAAGAAAGGTGCCATGTACATACCAGTCTCAAATGCTTGAACCATTCCATCGAAAGACCTGATATCGCTGACAGCCTGTACGAGCTTCCCGTTCCACCTCTCCGGGTCGAGGAGAATGCCATGTACGATGTCCCCGTAATCATCGTCAATAGAAATAAAAGGCACATCCTCCTTCCCGCCCCATTTCGGCGCGCGAAAAACTAGCGTCCCGTCCTCGCCTGGCACGAAAGGGAAACCCCCCAGTATCGGTGCGAGATCCTTCACGAGCGAGTTCTCAAAGTACCATCCCGGGCTCGCAGCAACAGCTATCTTGAACTTGCCACCGGATTTGGCGTACTCCCATATCGCATTCTTATCTGCATGTATACTCTCAGCCGTGTTCCGATAGGGACTATGATCCAGCAACTCCGAATATATATACCATCGAACGCCTCAACACCCAACTTCCCCCCGGTAATTTCCCTCGCGCTGTTAAACCCACTATACACAAATACCTCGACCCCTGCTTCCACCGCCGCATCCACAATGATTTTTCCCAGATCGACTTCCGTCCGCGTCTCGCTAGGATCCTCGAACACTTTGTCATCGGAATTTGTGTTCACGAAGACGGCCCAGCTGCCGCGGAAGGCGGAAATGAGAGAGTCCTTGTCCCAGCCATCCGCTTTCACGACCTCAACACCAGAGTCTGAGAGTTTCTTTGCAGCGTCTGAGGAGGGATTGCGGGTGATGCCGCGGAGGGCAAAGGGCTTTTGGGTGTTGGTCTGGAGGGAGTTGAGCACGGAGGAGCCTTGGGAGCCGGTGGCGCCGAAGACGGTGATGAGTTGTCGAGACATGACTTGGAGGTTCCGAATGGGTTGATGAGTTTGATGGGGCGTGGAACATCATGTTGCAGACATATATGATCTTATACTCGTGTGTCTCTGTTTCTAGGCACCAGTCAGCCGGTGCATCCATTCAATATCGTCGGAATCGTCTTGTTACCCCGACTCCGACGCACTAGGAAGTCTGGTCTTGCCGCAGGGGACTTTCTTTCATCTCTGACGCTGTGTAAGCCCACAGCGGAGTACCAACCAATTTTCCGTGTCCCGACTTGTAGTGTGGACTGACCAAGCACAAGTATCCCCTCACTCATCACGACCTGTATTAGTCACCAAAGGGTCGCATAGTTCGTATTGGTAGCGGATGGCAAATCACATGGCGTAAAGATCTTGACGGCGGTACTTGGCGGGCTTGGCCAGACGATGTGAGATTAGTGAACAGTGTAGGCGCATTGATGTTTCGAGACGGACGAGAGTTCGCGCATTGGACTGTACTGGATCTCGTTGCGGGAACCTCTAGCATTGCGATACGATTCTGTGGGCATTTGCCCAGTAGCCGAGAATTGGCTGCGCGTCATTTGGTGACACGGTTAACGTGTGGACATGCCCAATTGCGGAACTAACGTCTTACTGAGAATTTCACCTTATACATGCTTTCCATCTTTCCGAACGGCAGGCGAGTCCTGTTTCACGTTGTCGGTGTTGGCACTCGTGTGAGTTGGGATCAGGTAATAAGGATCCCCTTATGCTTTAGCGAAAGCCCGAGGGACGCGTTGCTTGAAGCTGGATTTATCCTGTGGACTGCGCGGATAAAGACTCGCGAGGATGGCCTTTGCGCGTATTCTATCCAGCTTTTCCCAACCTCAATCCTCGTGCAGCTGCGATCGTCGACAGCTTTCGTAGTCATGCAGGCCCCAGGGCAGACCAGGAAGATGATGTGTCGTTCCGAAGACGACGAGCACAAATGCCGTAGGTGTGGTACACGTCGGCGCGATCGTCGCAGTAGGTCCCGGCTCGGGAGGGCCTCGCGTACGTGTTTGACGAAGAATCATCTGCTTGGTTCATGGTTTTAAGCTTAGGTTCAAATCCTCTAGATTCGGATCAGGGCTGGGAGGGAACAGCTTGGAAATAAACTAATCATAGCACATCTTCTAATGCATGTCTTTCAACAGTAACATGTGTGGTTACTCGAACATCGTTTGCGCTTGCAGTTCGATGCGTGCTCAGACTGACTTTGCCTGAATCTTGAACGACCAATTCGACTTCATCCTCGCCGCTTTTGCTAGGCTCGCTAAATATCCTTGGAGTCCTGTGTTGCATGTAACCGGTGTTACTGTGCGCCGAAGTATTCGTAGGAGAAGCTCGTATGATCAAGGCTTTTAGCGCAGGGAGCGAGACGACTATGTTTGCTGTACACATTTCGGCTGTGCACCACAAGTCTACGACGTGTTAGCCCCTAGGACGATGATGAAATGACTGAGATAAATCCTAAGGTGTACTTACTACCAGTTGGGTCATCAAGTTCGAAATTGCCTGCGTAAGCGATAAAGCGAGCTAGACTGATTGCCAATGTGATGAGACCGAGAGAGAAGACCCCACACAAAGCGATTTTCTGTCGTTTGCGGAGCTTGATGCAATTGATGATGAAGAACGGAAGAACGAACACTGAAACATTAGCCCATGTTAAAACAATACGCGGTCGTTACATACATAATACATCTGAAGACCAATTCAGAACCCAGTTGATGATTAGACCATTGTACGAGTTCCAGGTGGAATATAGCTGATATTCAATCGACCTTTTTGAGGCGTCAGAGGGAAGGGCTTCCATAAGAGACATTGCATGACAGACTTACCAGTTGTACGAGATATTACCCGCGATAAGGGTGTCCGTTAATAGTGTTGCAAGAAAAGAGCAGGCTGTGTATCCAGTCGCGAGGTATACTGCTATCCGGAGGCGGCGAAATCCCGATGGGATGAGCCACCAATAGAAAGCTATTATAGAGAATTTGGGAAAGTACAGCCCGATATCGAAGCAGTAAGAGGCTACAAAGACTGTCTGTACGGAGGCTTAGTCATGACAAAATTCAGGAGCTTGGTGCCACTTACTCTGAGGTACTCAACAGAATCCGTTGTGAGATCTGGTTCTACCAGCGGATGTGTGAGCTGTATGTTCAGCGCTACAGCTGAGCACACGAACCACCCCAACGTGAAGAACCATCCACCCCATACAAGATAGTCGGGAAGTGTCAGACTCTTTCGACGCTCCACCCAAAGCCGAATCCAACAGCGCAACAACTGTATCACCAACGACAGGCTCAACAACACTGCTTGTGCAACCTGTCACTATTTTAGATTTACATTTATTATCATCACGACAGAGGACTTACAATGGATTCCACAATTCGCATCTTGCTGTCAGCTAGCAATCAAGCAGCTGTGACAGACGAGGGCACGATGTAGAGGGTTGAGAACAACTTGATTATCAAGCCCGTGCTAAGACGCACGAGAAGGGGCGCCGTCTGCGTTTTGTTCTAACGTAGGCAGCGAAGCTTAACACACCAAGCTTGCTGTGCATGCAGGTCCCCGTGGAGCAGGTACACCTCGCCGAGATGTCCGCGTCGCGTTTCCCGGAAACTGGTTGACGAAAATCCGCTACAAGCCGCATGCATGGCCCTGACTAGTTTAGTGCCACCTCTAGAGCTGCCGGTACAAGTATGTTATGGGATCCAGCCTCCACATTGCAGCCGAACCCTAAACCTTGTTGCTTTGACATCTCCGAGACCTCACTTTAGGTTTAGACATTTGCTCCTCGCATCATGTAGAGCATCGAGGATCATTTACAACTGGCCAAAGTGCAAATGTCAGTCTGAAAGGTATCTAGCTCAGCGGTGGTCTTGTCGAAGCGGTGCCTTTGTCATCATGAACCCGGAGCCATTGACCCGGAGCAAGAGGCAGATCTGATCTCCAGGGGTCCTTCCGCTGGGGACGCAGGCGGGCGGTGCCATCTCGGCTGACTTGCGCATCACATAACAGGGTCTTAGGCACTACGCAGCGCCTGCAAAGTTATCTGCCGTCTTTGGCAGGTGCGATGGAGGACACAAGCACAGCTTAACGCCGTCTCGGCTGCGCAGCATAAAAGCACAGTTATTCCAAAGCTAGGCATTCGCCTGTGTTCAAATGTTACTGCGCATATAAATCTGGAGCGGGCCATGCTCGATAGCATTGTAAAATCCTGAAGCAAGCCGTGTACGCCATGAAGACAAGTGCGGTAGACCAAAGCCTAGAATGATCGACAGCTGCTCTAACCTGATTTGGGTGCTAGCGGTCAATCTAGTTCATCCCGCCAACTTAGTGCCTATCACGGACCGACTCAGCTTCTTCCCCATTGTGTCCCAACTTCTTCCTCGGAGCTGGCATCCAATGAGCTCCTGCAATGCGCTTTGCCGCGGCACGCAAAAGCGTGTGAAGAGCCACCAAACAATCCCTCGGAGCAAGGAAACTCGTGTGGAAGGTAAGAGATGCGCCGGGATCTGTCAAAAGTCCCCATTTATTTCATGAGTGCACGACCGTGCTCAGCAAATCTTTCGGTATCCGGGTACCATACCCTTCGCTGGTCGGAGGCCCCTCGTTGTCTCAGTTGTCTTGGTCCACTTCATGTTCCCGAAGCTGCTCCGCTACGATTACCCAGCATGTTCTCGGAAAAGATGGGGGAATCGAAGAACCTCTTTCCTATTGTCCCTGACACGGGGCATGCACAACCTCGCTGTCGATCGGTTAAAACTCCCCTTGGAGACAGGGGACCACACGTTCGACGCGTAGCTCCACCACGGAGTCAGTTCCCAATTCGTCGAGTGTACCTAACGCAACACCTCCTCAGTCCGCACGGCCTCATATTGTCGTATTCCTTCAACTATCGTAGTCCCCTAGCAGGTATGCCAAAGTGTTGGGCGCTGCCATGTTTCCAATATTCCGGTAGCTTTTACAGACAGCTACTCAGAAGAGCCACAGTATACACAAGGCTTTGATCTCTGTACAAGCAAGCTCCTTACTTTGCATTCATGCTGGATGCATGCTTTTTGAAGTGCCGATACCGTGAGAACTCTGCCAAATTTCACGGCTTGTCCAGGTGCTTTGATACTAGAGAGCACCCTTGGCGACGGTCGAGGGATGAGATAGCATGTTCATGCAGCAAATTTGCGCGTTGCTTGCTGACAGGTACAGGAGAGTATTCGAACAGGAATGATCGATGTTCTTGCGAACATCAATGGCGTTTTACAGTTCCAGCCGTCCTCCGCGCTACAATATCGGCAACCAGCAACGGAGATTGAGAGAGGTTGCCGGCGCCACGTATCTTTACTTCAACCGCGCCCTACTGGTGCGGGGGAGTCTGTCAATCTACGTCAAACTTTAAGATCAATCTAACTTACTCCCTATATATGTCAACAAATTTGTGGTCATTTATACCATTACATTCACAGTTTGGCTCATCTGGTCATCACGCATCCTCCATGGTCGGGTAAGCAAATTAAGCTGAGAGTTACTGATTGAAGTTTCTTTGGTCTGAATAGGTCAAAACTTCTCGAACCTTACGCTATCCGTTCGCTTTTGCTTCTCACAGCGCACATACGCGCAAAGTTCTGCGGGGGCAACTAGCAGGTCTTGGAGTGCGACAGCTCTTGAGAATGATTTGCTGGACAACCCGGTCATGTGCATGTAGCGCTGCATTCGAGAGACCGTACAACTTCGCGAGTTACGATTCGGATGCATGCCCAGGTATTGTTTTATATGCCGAACAAACAAGTCCCGCATTCCTTCCTTCTTGATGTTGCTATCCACTGGCTTCGAGACAGTGACTGATTCATTTACACGCTAGACGTTGGCCTATCTCATTCCAAGCATGCAAGGTGTTCAAACACTATGATACAGAACCATGTCGCCCCACAAACACGACCTGATTGAGCTCGAAAATCTCCCGTCATTTGCTCTCTCGTTCAGCTCTGCATGTTCGTGCCCTTTGCTAGAACTTTTCCGCCAAAGGTACCACACGCATCTTCCTCCAGACACGCTTAGGCTAGGGTTGGTCCTCGCCAACATCTTCCTCAGATGCACTCAGAATTGTCACACCCTTTAGTCAAGGTCAGAAACTCCCAGTCATACCTGTTTTGGAGTGCATTGTGTGGGTTGGGGAAGGCATTCGTCTTCTTTTGCCCATTCCCGACTGCGGCACTAGCATAGCCGTTATCGCAATAGCTACCACCAGGGGCGGCGACAGCGATACAAGCCTTAGAAGTCGTTCTGGGTAGTATGTAAGCGCTATGTATGAGACATCGGGGCAGTCGATGGCGGACTTGAGTATGCCGTGCTACCACACGAGCAAGAATGCAATGCCCACGCTGGAGTAGATTCGAATGCGTACGGGCGCGTTTGGGTGCGAGACTAAACACCATCAGTAACGTTTACATGAGGAGACGTAAATGCGACAAAGGACCGGGAGGAAGGGTTGAGGAATCGCCCTCGGCGAAAGCGACGCAACTACTCTGGAAAATCTGAGATGTTAAAGAAGGAAAGCGTGTTCGAATCCAATCTGCATATACGTGTATTTAGTGGTGGCGGTCGATCGAGAGACGTCCAGCGGGGTGGACTGAAGCTGGCGAAGCGTGAGGCGCATCACGACACCAAACAAACAAGCGGTGCCTGCCAAATGTAAACCCATGAAAATTTCTCCTTAGCTATTTTATGCCTAGTCAATCATGCAGTTGAAAGCCCAGGCTCGGCGTTTAGATCCAGGCTCGTTGCCTAGCGGGCTTGCCAGTTAGGATAGTCATGAGATTGAAGGCTCAATATATTCGACATGCATTGCCACTCGGGGAAAAAACGAATATTGATAGCTATCAAAGTTTCAGCTCCAAAAAGCGGGTTAGGTGTAAATGAGATGAAGGTGATTGACTATGAGCGCTTATGATGACTTTGGTTGGGTTGTTCAAGGCATTGTCGTATCCTGCGAGCAGCAATGGGATCTTTGCGGCCAGTAGTGTTTGTATCACTGTTGCCTCAGGATGCATCATTTTCGTACCATGTCGAGGCACGCTGCTTGGTACATGAGTTGGTGTATGGTAAACAACAGAACTGCATCCGAGTTGTATTCGGCCAAGCAGAAAACGTGGCATGGCAACCGAATCAGAATGTATGATGCGAGATGGTCGAGACAATTGATTGCACGAGGGCCGAGTATCCAGTAAATGCAAGTGTTACATAGTGAAATAATGCTCGACGTGGGCCGAGAGATGGATGGTACCGGGGAACAGTGTGAGTCAGAACGATTGTGTTTCGGTATTCCGCAGGGCTGCCGCCGGGCATACGCACTGAACATGAAAAGGTTTTCATCGTGCCTATAGCGATAGAACAGGCGGTCAAAACCTAGGTTACCCCAAAAGTCTGGTGGAGTGACATGATACCGTTCTGACCGATCCTGGCCCAGCGAGCATGACGTACGCGAGCTCAGTGCCAATCAAAAAGCCGTGAATGACGCCGGTGCGGCCCCGACAACAACGATCCAACAGAAGTTCGGATGCCACAGAGACTCACACGTTGGTCATGCCTGCAAGAGCCGTGGGCGGGCCAGTGGTTTTTGGTGTTGCGGCGACGGTGTGCTGTCGCCCAGCCCAACACAGACGCCAAGGCGCATTGCGTCAACGGTGGCAGGAACGCCTCACTTGGGTGCTTGGTGGCAACTTCGCCGGCGGGCCCGCTCGTCGACGGACAGACTCAATCTGCAACAGACGGCCCCCGCAACTGTCGTGCCTGGACATTTGCCATCTTAGCGTCCGTCCCCGTATGCGGCTCGGCAGGCTTGTAGGCAACGTCGGTGCTTATCGATTACCCAGGCCCTATTTCCATCCGCCTAGCCCTAGCGCAGCGCCAGCGCCTGCTCGCATCCTCCGACTCCAGGCCTGCCTGCCAGACGCGACACCACCACCCACGGACTGGTGATCCCGCCCTCGACGCATCCCACGCCGCCGCCTGCGCTGCCATCGCGTCCAGCCCGCACCCCGCGCCCACGCACCGCAGCCCCCGACAGCCGCGCGCGCGCCCGCTGCGACGCCCCAGCCTCCTAATCGTCACCCACGCGCGACCCTTCACGCCGGCCCGAACGCACCCATCGCATCTCGCGGCGCCCCGAATCGTGCACTGCCTGCCTGCGCCGACGCTCGCGACCCGCGACCTCGCTCTGGGGGGTGTGTCGCCCCGTCCGGAGAGGTAGCAGGCTCCCGCTGCTACCTACTATGGCACTGGTAGCGCCACCTTCCAACGATCGCAAGCGCGTCAAGGTCTACGAGCTCAAGAACAATGACTGGTTCGATCGCGGGACGGGCTTCTGCAGGGGTGTCTTTGTGAATGTAGGTCCATACTCGTGCCACCACCGCCGGCAAATTCTGCGCCGTCACCGTCCCCTCATGCCCGCGCGCCTGTGCGAGCCAAGACTGACGTGTGTGACCACAGGACGAAGCGAAGATCCTCGTCGCGTCCGAAGACGACCCCTCGCGCCAGCTCCTCGAGACCAGAATATCCAAGGACGACGGCTACCAGAAGCAGCAAGGTTGGTGACTGTGCCACGCGACATCAGGATCCAGGCTAACCCGCCGCAGATACCCTCATTGTGTGGACCGAGCAGAATGGCACCGACATGGCCCTCAGTTTCCAGGAGCCGGAGGGCTGTGGAAGTATATGGTGGGTGGACCGCGTCGCGACTCTGACATCACGCGCTAACACATGGCAGGGAATTTGTGAACGACATGCAGGCGCGTTTGCAGGAGAGGGCCGCCCAGGGTATGTGTCGGCGAAGCCAGGTCACAAACACGTCAACTAATGCCGCGCAGATGATGGTCTCTCAGACGACATTGGCGAACACATGAGCCCGATCATGTTACCGCCGCCCGACTTGGGCAACTTGCACGAGATCGAAAACCATATGCGCGCCGCGAACAGTACCCCCGGCGGTCGTGAAGCTCTTGCCAAGTTCGTGCTCTCGCAGTTGTACATCCCGAAGCTCATCCCACTCGTGGAGATGGCAGAAGATCTAGAGAGCGCCTCGGACCTGCATCGCTTGTGCAGCATCATGAAGATGCTAATCTTGCTCAACGACACCGCCATCATCGAATACGTGGTTACCGACGACATTGTGCTTGGCGTGGTCGGTGCTTTGGAGTACGACCCGGACTTTCCGTTGCACAAGGCAAACCACCGACAATACCTCGCCGACGAATCAAAGTTCAAGGAGGTCGTCAAGATCCAAGACGAGAACATCAAACGGAAGATCCACTACACATATCGACTTCAGTACCTCAAGGACGTTGTTCTAGCGCGCATTCTGGATGATCCCACATTCTCCGTCTTGAACTCTCTCATCTTCTTTCACCAAGTCGATATCGTACAGCATTTGCAAGCGAACCAGCCGTTCCTCAAGGAGCTGTTTGGTATCTTTGGGCCAGCGGAACAAAACATGCAGAGGAAGAAAGATGCAGTGCTATTTATTCAGCAATGCACCTCAATCGCCAAGAGTCTACAGGCGCAGAATCGGGCGCAGCTTTACCAGAACTTCATAAACAACGGACTTCTGGATGTTATACAATATGCGCTCAAGCACCAAGATGCTTCGGTACGCGTGGCAGGCACCGATATTTTGGTCTCGCTCATCGACCACGATGCGCTGATGGTTCGAAGCTACATCTTCAAAGCGATACAAGAGAAGTCGAAACCGTTGACCGACACCCTCATTGAACTTCTCCTCATAGAGGTCGACCTTGGAGTCAAATCCCAGATGGCTGACGCTATCAAAATCTTGCTCGACCCCAACGCCAACTCGGCGTCAATCGAGGCGCTGGGCCGATCCAACAGTGATTTTCTCGCAAAGGTCCGAGGACAGCTCCCTCCGCTGCCACAGACAGACACCTTCATACAGAACTTCTACGATGAATCTGCTAGGAAGCTGTTCCAGCCGCTCAAGGATCTTGAAGGCCGAGAGTCCAGTATGTTCAATGTATCCTGCATCGAACCCGAACTAACAACTCGCAGTGGATAACCTCACGATACAGCAGATCAATCTGTATGTTCATTTGGTGGAAGTGCTGTGCTTTTTCATACGACAGCACTCGTTCCGAAGTAAATATTTCATTCTCTCGGAAGGCCTGGCAGCACGAGTAGCGCAGCTGATGGATTGTCCGGAAAAGCACCTGAAGCTGAGTATGTGCATGTTTCATCCTTTGAAAGCTGAATCTAACCTTCAACAGCTGCTCTGAAATATTTCCGCTCCTGTATCGGCCTGCATGACGAGACGCATAACCGACAGATCATTCAGCATCAACTTTTCGAGCCGATCCTGAAGATACTTTTCGACAACATGACAAGGGATAACCTCCTCAACTCTGCTTGCCTGGAATTGTTCGAATTCATCAAACGCGAAAACATCAAAATCCTCGTTCAGCACCTGGTCGAGACGTATCGCGAAAAGCTGCAAACGATTACTTATGTGGATACGTTCCAGAACCTTATCCTACGCTACGACCAAATGCACGAACCCGTGACCACCCAGGAACTCGAGGCATCTTTCACCAGCGTTGACAGCGATACACCTGCACGACAGCAGCTGAGCATGGTCAACGGCGGAAAGTGGGGCGTTGGTTTGAAAGAGGTCGACCCGGATGAGGAAGCATATTTCAATGGCTCCGATGAAGAGGATGACTTCGTACCGAACGTCGCGAAGCCAGTCAACGGCGCGTCTCCTGTTCGTCCCTTGGTCAACTACCAAGACGACGATGAAGGGGACGACGAAGTCGACGACCTTGCTGCGGCAGCACCTTCCGTACTACCGCAGAGCGTATCAACGACCAGCCCGAAGCAAGAAGCACCGGCCGCATCGAAGTCTCCACCCGAGCGGATATCTGAGAAACGTAGAAGAGAAGACGACGAAGAAGATGAGCTGCTCATCAGCCTATCGTCCAGTGGCACTGCGAAACGCCGCGCATCACTCAACAGTAATTCCAGCGCCGGTAGTCTCCGAAGCTTGCGTCGAAAGAGCCCCAACATCGCCTCGGCAAAAGACAGTGGAGGAGGGCCAAAGAAGATATCGTTATCCATCCCGCTCAAGTCTGGCGGGGAAGGCGGCAACGGTGAATAGAAGTCATTCCTGCGCCAGAACCCCTCAAATTAACATTTCTGCTGCTACCTTTTCACGAGATACCCCTGGAACGGGAATGAGTTGTATGACTGGGAACTTTTTGGGCGAGACTGCGGCATGGGCGGTGTCTTTACGGCGTTCTGTGGAGGGTTTGCATGACGGCGAGGGTGCGTTTATTGGATGGATCTTTGCGTCCGGTATCCCGTCGTACCATGTATGATATATCAGCGCGTGAGGGAAGTGAAGAAGTTTATATGCGAGATGGGGAGGAGGAAGTGTGAGCGAGGGCGAACCGAAATGGACAAAAGGGTGGCGTGTCTGCGTCAGGCTTCGAGTAGCATTGGACGTGTACCTTGGCTCTCGAAACGAGTATTCTAAAGCAATATCTCTACCCAAGTAATCATGATTTGCATGTGAGGAACGTACACGTGTTGTTGACACGTCCGATCACGTTGCCACGCGTGCCCGCCTAGCGCGTTTCCAGCCCCGCTGTCAGAGCATGGACATCGCGGCATGCCCTGCATAACACGCCCACGTCCGGCAGTGGAACCCTACGTCAACGTCAAACGTCCCCCACGCGCCCAACGACAAAAAGGAAATGTCTGATACCAGTACCGCTGAGCTCAACGCTTTCCACTCTGAAGTCAACGCAACGATGGGGAAGCAACCGCTCGCCCTCACGCTCATCCTCGCCGCGACGCCATCGCTCGGGATTGGCCGCGCGGGCGCGCTGCCCTGGCCCCAGCTCAGGAAGGAAATGGCGTATTTCCGGCGCGTGACGAGCCGTGTGCCTGGCTCTGCGTCTGCCAGCCGTGGCAACCAGAGGTGCAATGCCGTGGTCATGGGCCGCAAGACGTGGGACTCGATACCGCCGCGATTCAGGCCGCTCGAGGGGCGGGTGAATGTCGTTGTTACGCGCAGCCCTGGGGAATTTACCGCACGACTGGAGGAGGAGGGTAGCGGGAAGGAGGGACATGGGAAGGTGGAGGTGGCTGGGAGCGTGGGCGAGGCGCTGGAGGTGCTGCGGGCGTACAACGCCCCCTCTGCCTCGTCCGCCCCAGATGCAGAGGACAGACCCGAGATCGAAAGGGTGTTTGTTATTGGTGGCGCTACGATATATGATGCTGCGATGGAGTTGGCGCAGACGGAAAGGGTGTTGTTGACTAAGATCGAGGAGGAGTATGAGTGTGATACGTTTTTCTCGGTGGATTTGGCTGAGGATCAGGGGTGGAGAAAGTGTGAGAAAGGGGAAGTGGAGGAGTGGACCGGGGAGAAGATTGAGTCTGTCGAGGAGAAGGGGGTGAGGTTTGAGTTTGAGATGTATGAGAGGGTGGAGCGGTGATAGGCAGGCGCATGGTGTGACTAGGTGGTTACCAGGATAGCAGATGGGGATGGTGGCGGTTGGAGGAACTACATGAGAGCAGTGTGTTTCCCAAGGTCCTTGTCTTGACCGCTGTATTGGTACGAAATTGGAGGAGCCAAATCCATTACTCCATCATCTCGAGCTATATCAGACATACTCGGCTACCATGTCTATTCAATGCCGGTGCCCATTCTGTGCTTAGCTAATCCCTCCATCCGGAAAAAGAGCCTTTCTCGAAACCATGTCATGCGCAGATGTGAGTTCCTCCATGCCTGACCGCCTTCAATCACCGGCTTCATAATCCTCATGCTTAGCGACGACTTTTCAATCTGAGTACATCCTGGGATCCTTGCTCTCACCCGTTGCATGAGACATCGCTGTCTTAACGATAGACGCAATCTTGAGGCCCTTCATGGATGTAACACATCGCACGGCCTGCCAGTTGCCAGAACGCGGAAGTCTAATATGGACCTGGTGCAGAGATGGTGGTGTGGATTCGACGCCTGGAGTGACTTGAAGCGGGTTACAAGGGCGGGGGAGTTCATGGTGGTCTAATGGCGGAATACTTGGGAGCTAGCACCCTGTGAGTGTTCTGCTACTGGCTTGCCACTCCACCCCACTCCGATGTTTTATCTAACAGATCAGATTGCACAGCTACGAATGATGTGATGGAATCCTCCAATGACGATCCGGACTTGCTGGGTAACGTAGCTGAACTACAGCTAGGTAGAGCCTGGGGCATAATCGCATTTGAAGCCAGCTTTGACACAGAACAATTTTCCGTCATGTGGGTATGGAAAATTAATGAGCTCTTGGCCCCAAAAAACTCTTGATGGGTATCGAATCTATGATGTGCCTCTGTTAGCGTATAACCCAAAGTCTTGAGGTGTGGCCACCCAAGTGCAGTCGCTGGCATGGAGGTTGCGCGTGCCTACCACCTGGAAGTGGGGGTCTCCCAGCCTGGAGCAGCTTCAATTAATCGTGGTAGGCTTCGTTGGTCTATTTGATTGACAGCATTTCCCTCATTCTTAAATTATCCCTTCTTCTTCATCGCTGCTGTGCATATGGTTTGAGAGTCCGTGGCGGAACACTTGCCAGTCTTCTTCATTGCAGCCGAGCACGTGGTCTGGGCCTTGGTAGGAATCCTGGCGTTTGGCCGATCAGGTTTTGGTTTTTTTCTTGGCCCCACTGTGCTTGCGACTTGCGTTCCTCTTCTGGCGAGAGGGGCGAGTCTTTCTTCTTCGTTTCCGGGCTATCTATGGTTATAGAGACTGCAGAGACTCGTCATACACAAAAACTCCCTGGCATTGCTAGCTCTACAAGAATCAGACCTTTCTTGCACTTTTAGTACGGAAAGCAATAATCTCTTCGAGGCTGCGTCGACCAGCTCGCCAAATATACGTGACTGACGAATCTTGAGGAAGGTTCTTGTAGCCTGAAGACTGCTCCAATGCCCCGACGTGATGCCCGCAGCGGCAAGCGGCTACAAACGAATTCGGATTAAACGCTGAGAATGCACATAATACGCTTTTACCGCCCAATGCGCTTTCTGGGGATTAAATACTGGCAAATTCCGTTGACTTCGTCCTGTGGACAATTTTGGTGATAGCACGGGGAAGGTCTGTACGGGGCGTAACTGCCAAAAGCGCAAGCGTGCACATGCTGCGTGTAGACGTGGCCTCTTTGGATGTTGAGGGTCATATCAACTTGCTATTCAACCTTAATAAAGGCCCTCTCAATCGATCATGGAGATTCGCATCAGCTCAATACGAGATGTCCTACTTATCTGTATACCATAGTCAGGTAGCTGTATGGCAAGATCTATGGGCTGTCATCTCACTTGGAAACAGGTTCGGTCAAATTGCTGTTGATTATGATGGTACTTTACTCGCTGCTTAGGAATTCTCATTCGGTCGGCAGCCAAGCTAGCTTCATACGAGGGGATGCTACTAATAGAGATGGAATCACGTGGATGAAATGCTTAGAGAAGGGCTTAAAACCACGATCGTAGTCTCAAATGGCGCTGTCTTGCCGGTGTATAGTTTGGGGCTAGCCACTAGAACCTACGATCACCACGAGCTAGCGTTCTTGTGATATCCTTTCTATGACATTCGAATTTCGCAACCCTTAGATCGCAGAACAGAGCACGCAAGAAAAAATGCTCAGACTATGGGCCGAGAATTTACCCGGGTTATAAAAGGTACTAGCTAAATACATACTTGCTATCCATCGATCAACAACCGCCATTTGACGCAGGAAATGTGGCGTCACCAGTTGGCTTTCTGCACCTCAATCCGATCACTCGTCGCGAGGTTCCGGAATATTCGATATACCCAAGAAGAACACCTCGTCGACATCCGATGTGTTATTAGCTAGATATGCATCTGAATACTCCGCTGGAATATCTAAAGTAAAGATCGCAAGAAGCTCCTTCTCTGATGAGCCCGAGAAGCCCACTTTGAGAGTAAGCGATTTCTCGACTTCAAAATGTTTATATGTAGGGTCGGAAACTCCGTATTTTCCATCCTTTAATCCTTCGGCTACTATTAACTGTCCTGCTGTCGTCACAAGTGTTTGCCAGTTATCCTGAGAAAGGCCGTCGAGCTCATGTTGTGATAGTCCACTCTCCTTAAGGCTGTCCTCATCGGTGCCCCAGATGATGACCTTCTCCGTATTTTCATTCTTGAGGAAGACCTGGCACAGAAGATCGAAAGTTTGCTTCATGCCCATGGTTCCAGGGACGGTATTCCCGTCTGCTTCGAACAATTCCTCACATATCCGGTCTTGGGAATTTGGATCCAGTACAATCTTTGGGAAGCCGACTCTGTCAGGATTTGCGTCTCCTACGCCCTTTTCGGAATATTCATCCACCATTTCGAAGCACTTTTGCGCGAAACGCCTCCCTAACTTCCATTCATTTGAGAACCATTCTGGAGTCGTTGATGAAGGCACTTCGGACATTTTTTCGGGACAATCTGGAATACTGTTGGATGTAGTCTGCTATGAGGTGGTATGTATATCTTGAAACAAGACTAATGACGTCCAAAGTATAGTCGTACCGAGAGTATGATAGGAGCCAAGACAAAGGTCCACTAGATAGCACTTGAACGTTTTGTGTTTAGAGAAAGAAAGCAACCGTGATGCTCGACAATTGAGCACTGATTTATAGCTTGAGCCGTCCTGAGTCAACTGCCAGAATCTCTGACTGTGTCTAGGCACAGACCACCTGAAAGTTAGCACCTTCTATTGCTCACCAAGGGGCATCGAAGTTGGGCATCTTCTGTGACTAACCGAGAAGCATCGTGAATTCTACCTCAACCTTCAAAGTCAGCGCAGGGGCGTGCCGCCCAGTGTATTCACCTTGCCGCACCCTTCAAGTAAGCGGGAGACCGCTCGAATGACTTCAGCCGGACGCTCAACATAACTTACATAAGATAGTGTGGAACAGGCAGTGCTCTCATAGCTTTCATCTGACCTTTTTAACTTTTGCGACATGTATCACGACAAATTCGTGCTCCATTAGAAGGATTTCCAACTGCGTTAGCAACGCTTCTTGTGTAACTTACTACTAAATCCACGACGAAAACCATAACCATGACCACAATTACCTACGCTAGTAAACATGACTCACAGCGGGATTTGACCGTTGGATACTCCCCGCGATACCCTAAGTCGAGTCTGGGTGAGCAACTTGTGTCTCCCACTAGTACATGTCTCATTGGATCCCGCTACACTAAGGCGGATTCTTGATCAACCAATACACATCCATAGTACCCTTAGATTCATCCAGCCCTGTCCACACGGTTACTCTCTCAAGCCCTGCAGCAGTGACACCAAAGAGAGCGCAAAAGACACGCGAGTAGAAGCTAAAACAGGTATCCGGCTACATAGCGAGCGAGTAGTTGATAGTCGCTGTTCAGACAAAGTATTTGCAGTACTGTGCGCAGTTGAATGGGAGGGGTACTCATTACTCAGACAGTGCAGACAAAAGAAACTCCAACCAAATGGTGGTGCGCAGCCACCTCAGCCCGATACGCCTCAAAATTGATCTCACGCCAATCAGTCCTCCGGCCAGGGTTTCCATTGACTCCATTCCCCTTGCCATCAATTCCCATCAGAATCATACGGGGAAGACCCGTTGATAACGAGCTCGTTGGTAAACCAAATCATATGGTTGTAAGATCCGTCTTCGTCGCAATCGTAAATCCAATCGTATTCATCCTCAGGGCTGCGCCTAATGGTCATGCTGAAATTGACCATGATCGATGACGTATCGGTACTACCTTGCTCATTCACATACTGGATACGGACCGGAACTTCAACTATAACATGCTTATGAAGGCGATCGCGAGCGGCTTCCCGAGAGGTTCGTGGCATTTCGTTGCGCTCCCTACTTTCCACGACGCCTGGGATTGCAACGCCGTCGACCAGGAACCGGGGGCTATGATCGATCACATCCGCTGCTTGCCGAATGGCGAGTAGATTCGCTTCTACGATAGAGTGTGCCTCTTCACCAGAGATTTGGTCGACGATTTCGTGGCCACTGCGGGGAATGGTGACGTGGTGCACACCCTGATCGGTGCGGCGGAGATTGATCTCCGCTACCATAGTTCCTTGCGGGGATCTCAGGCCGTAGAAACGCTGGTTGGTATTCTGCTGCGAGAGCGTAATTGGGTCTTTGGGTCTTGCATCGAGTTGGTACTGATTGAGGAGGTTTATCATTGTAGTCCGTAGGCCGCGCGCCAGATAGGTTTCGCGCCCTTCTTCGCGTCTCGGATCGTCCTCTGGTAGCTCTAACGCTGGCGACATCGCGTTTACTGTACTAGAAATTTCCAAAAAATAGGGAATGTAAGTAAGTAGTCTGTGTTGTCGGAAATTCTCACAAGATATACTACTGCCAACAGCGCCGATAGAAAGGTTCAACGCATGGAACTTGAAGGCTGTCTCATATCATACAAAGGGACATTGCGATACAACTGGCGGTTCATTGTTATATACCTTTGCGCCGTAGTGAGTCAATCTATGATTTGTCTACAGACCTTGTTTCCAGCGAGATCTAGAGTACCACAAAGAGTCAAGGTGTGAAATTACTCACAGCGTGGCGTTGACAGTGAGTCTGGCGAAGTATTCATGGGCACTCACAGTATGGTGTCAAGAGTCAATTTGAAACCCTGCATAAAGAAGTAAGGCACAACAACCAGTAGATGTTCGTCATCAAACAGCAAGAAGAAAGCTTGGGCATTGTGAGCCGAAAGCCACCCGCGATGATTCAAGATTTCAATCTCATCATGGACCAACCTGAACAGCTGTCGGATTCGGAGGGTGTTCCCTGGAGCGATGCCGATTGCAGGGCACAGAAAGCACCACAAATGCAACTGCTGCGGATCAGTGACAAAAAAACCCCAAGATTGAACAGTAGGCGATATAGCCAAATATCCAGCTACGAATTCCAAGGATTTACAGCGTTCAATTGATGTAGATGGTGCAGAAGAATATTCCTGAGTCCATTTCAAGCTCCCCGATTCCGAGACTAGGGACAAACCTCCCCCCATCACCGACCTGCCCATTTACTCTACGCACTAGCACCCCGTAATAACTCTAAACCCCTGCACTGGATTAAAAGGCGGGTCCACACCTATAAAATCCCAGTAGTTGACCTCGTCGCCCCCGTCAATCGCCATGGCCATCTGCCACGTCAACGTCGCATTGCAAAACGTCGCCCCCACATCCACCAACCCCACCGACTGATTCCAAGCCGTCTCTTGGGCTGCCAGACTTCCGTTTATGGAACCAAACAATCGTGGTGCGGAAACACTCCCATTTGAGCTTGCGGCCAACGCGGGCTCGTAGGTAGACCACGATGCAGGCGATCCCGCCTCCCTTTCCACTTGATATACATCCACCACCGGCGCGGGACCTAGCACAGTCTGCATATCTTTGGCGGGTAGCTGGAATTGCAGGCGACAAGTGCTGCTGCTGTTCGGCGGCGCGACATCCCCCAGTCCATCGAACTGGACCTGCGTCGCGACCTGAAACGTATCCGCGCGCTGGCGGAGAAGCATGACGAAGTCTTGGTTGCCGTGAAGAGGTGTTTGGTCCCACGTGGGATAACGCGAGTTCATGATGCGGTAAGAGGTCGGGTAGAAGCTTTGGCAGGCTGGGGCAATCTCGGCGGTGGGGTTGGAAGTCGGCGAACTGCAGGCGGTCGGAACAGCGGCGGGAGTCGTGTTGTTGGGCCAAAGTGGAAGAGCGGTTGTAGGCGGTGCGAGAAGGAAGCTGGTGACGATTAGGTTGGCCAGCGTGTGGAGGCTGAGCATGGTGGTGGTGAGGTAAGTTTTGCCTTCTTCGGGGGCTGTTGAAGTGTTTATGCGGTGGAGATAGGTCGTAGGTTCCAAAGCGCCGATGTTGGATCTGTAGGAATGTGAAGAAATCTGAGGAACGGCGAATAAAGTCTTGTTGAAATTATGTCGCCAATTTGAGACGTGACGTTGGCGGTTTGCGTGCAGCTCTAGTCGCTCCTGCGGCCAAACTCTGCGTCTCCGTCGTGGCTTCCAGACTGATCGAAAGATGGGCAACAGGTTTCCACTATATCCTCCCGCCTTCCCAGTAGCTTCCAACCACCTTCTGGTATTATTTTGGGCCGAGTCCAATTCTAGGATCTGCTGTATGCACGTCCAGCTTCCAATAAACAAAACGAATAGAGACCACAGTTTCTGGATACCCAATCAGCCTGAGTCCGACTCGCCGAGGTATCGAGGCACGAATTTGCACGTGCTAAACAGAATATATTTGGGTATTCGCTCGACTGATGCACAACAAGCGTGCGTCTATGGCCGTCAAAGTCAAGTTGTCAATCCGCAGGTCTTCATGCGAGCTCCAACTCGATCAGCGAGTCCAGACTATGGGGGTGTCGCCAGATACCGGTTATCCTCAAACCCGCGCCTTCGTATAGCTTCGTATGTTCAGTCACTGTGCGATGTCTTGCTCCAAGAGACGCCATGAGCTCCCAATCGAGCGCAGTCTGCGGCCATGCCGCGCCCTGGTTTGGCACCACGAAGTCGTTGACCAGGACCTTGGAGTACCCTTTCTTCATGGCTGGGACAATCGCCTTCAAGATCTGCGTGTTTACGTCGTCGCTCCAGTCCTGGATAATCGAGTGGAAGTAGTACGCTCGAGCGCCTGCGCCTTGTCAACACAAACTCAAAAAACCGCCAAAAAAAAATGCGTACCTTTGACGGGCTGCTCAGTTAAGAAGTCGTGAGCCATCTTCTCCGCGCCCTCGCCTATCTGTGCGTGCTCGACAACCTCAGGTCTGTCCTGCAGCACGAGCTTACCCGGCAACGCGGAACCGAACGCCTCCCGTAATCCTTCAACATCATGGCCCACGCCGCCTCCTACGTCCACCAAAAACACGCCGTCACACTCCGCGCCTGCGATCAATTGTTCCTTGACGGGGTAAAACTCCGGCTCGAACCACCGCGGGCGGCCCTTGCTCCATGCGTCCATCATGCTGCCGAATCTCCGCCCCATCTCCTGGTCGAATTTCTGGAAGTACTCGAAGTAGTGGTAGCCCTTGCAGTTGAAGGCGTGCTGGAAAGGGCCGTCGGTCTGCGAGTTGGGCGTGGTGAAGCCGTGGGTTTGGAAGAAGCTGGGCATCTTCTGGTGGGCGGGCTGGAAGTTGTCGATGATGTAGAGGATCGTGTCTTGGTAAACGGGCTCGGCGAAGGATTTGGAGGTGGCGGTGGGTGCGAAGGTGTCGGGCGCGGTTTCGTTGACGGTGTTCATGGCTGCGAGATGGCGAAGCATGCGTCCTGGCTATGCGTTAGCTTTTCGCTGGATGAAGCTGGGTGGGATAGCGCACCCACGAGAACTGGATCTGTCTTGGGATCCGTCCTCGAGGCGATTTCAGCGGTCGTCTCGCCCACTGCATCGATGTCCTGCATGGCCTGGAAGAGCTTGATCTCGACGCCCATGCGGATGACGGAGAGATGCGCCGGTTGCGCCCACAGCAAGTGCAGCATGGTCTCGGAGGGGTGACTGAGCTCTGCGATGAGCTTCGAGCATGCGCCCAGCAGGCTCTCGCGCGCGCCCCGTTCGCCATTCTTCAAGCCTTCACCCAGCTTGGTGATGCTCTCGACAAGGGCGAGTGCACCCTGGGACGGCGGGGTATCGGCCATGGCGGAGGAATTTCAGTCGATCAGGGAGGAGCAGATTGTTACGGACGTACGTTCAGGACAAAGTCGCAATAGCACCGCGTCGGTGTGGGAGGAATGGACCCAAAACCCATGGCGGATGCAGCGTGCCGCCTTGCTATGCCCTGCTTTGCTTGTTGGCCAAAGGCGAGCCCCCGCTTTGCGTTGCTAAAGCGTGCGGTGCGGCTCGGCTCGGCTCCAAAATGCGGGAATTAGGCGACTTCGGCGGGAATCAGGGTAGAGGGGCCCGTCAAAGGGCCTCAGCATGCGCCGGCGCTCTTGGGAGCGCGCCATCACCTGACAGCAACTGTTCCGAGCTCCAAGGCGGCGTGTATCCAGACACCTCCACGCTGTCAGCGCCCGCATCCTGCGCATCACCCGCAGTACATTCCCTGGCGCCACCCGTATCTCGTGCGACAGCGGCCGCGGGGCCTCGTTGAGTGCGCGCAGCGTCGACTGCGGTCTCGCCAGTATGGATCAGCCTCGAGTAGACCCCAGTCCGGAAGTGGAGGCCCGCCCACATCCGCCAAACGACGCCCCAACACCAGGCTCCTCTGGCCGCGATGCTGGCTCCAGCCACGATGCGCCGGCATCCTCTGATGGCGCGCCTAAAGCAGAGGAGCATGCACACCAGGGCCCCGTTGACTCTGGCGTCGATGCGGGCTCTGCGTCCGAATACGACCAGGACAACAGCGGGGACCACCTGCTAGAGGCACACAGCGAAGACAACTTCAGTGATGAGGGGTACGCACAGCACACGTTTGACCGCGTCGTCTAGGATGGGCACTCACATTCCTCATAGGTACGATGGCTCCGATGCCTCTTCCTTCCTCTCGTCCATTCTATCCGAAGTGCGCCGCGGCGTCGAGATCGCGGGCCGCCAATATGCCAGCTATGGGAAGCACGAGTACGGCATGCCCATGGATGAGAAAGAGCTAGATCGCCAGGACCTGCAGCACCACAAGTACACGCTCCTCCTCAACGATCGGCTACACGTGACTCCCATCCCAGAAGAGCGTCTCCAGGACGCCGGCAGCCGCGTGCTCGATCTGGGCACTGGCACAGGCATCTGGGCAATGGATCTGGCAGATAAGTACCCCAACTGCGAAGTCATCGGCGTCGACATCGCGCCCACACAGCCGACCTTCGTTCCGCCAAATTGCATCTTCGAGATCGACGACGTGGAAGAGGACTGGCCGTATCGCGCAGCCCACTTCGACTTTATCCATGGGCGAGACCTCATGACCGCTGTGCGCGACTGGCCGCGCCTCATATCCCAAGCATACACTCATCTCAAGCCCGGCGGCTGGCTGCAGCTCGCTTCCACCATCCCCGGTGCGCTCTCCGACGACAACACGATTCCCCCAAACAGTGGGTACGTGGAGTCTGGACGCCTGTACTTCGAGATGGCGGAGAAGATGGGCGCACCTCTCGACGCACCACGGCAGTGGTCCTCCCAGATGACCGCCGCAGGTTTCACGAACGTACAAGACATCGTATACAAGCTGCCCATGGGCATGTGGCCGCGGTCGAAGCGATTACGCACAGTGGGCAAGCTGGAGCAGATTATGATCTTGGATGGCGGGTTTGAAGCATACATGTTGAGAGGCTATACGCAGATTCTAGGGGGCAGAGTGGAAGATTTGCAGATTGTCCTTGCGCTAGCAAGGAGGGAGATTAAGGATCCGGGAGTGCATACCTATGTGCAGTTTCATGTTACCTATGGGATGAAGCCGGAGTAGCATTGCAACACCACTGTGTGAAGACGTTCCATGATGTGGTGGGCACCAGGTACCTTTTGGATGGGCATCTGCTTTCAGCGCGGCTTGGTGGTGGCATTTGGGAGTCGAGGTTGGGCTGATTTTGGGCGGGCACAGCGCGTCGAACCATTCTTGTATATCTTGATTCCAACAAAAAGTATTTAACGCTTCGCCTCTGCCGGTTTTCGCGGTTTGGTATTCCAGTCCACAGCATTGCATACTTGTGTGTAAGGGACAGCGCTGTGGCTGTGTTGTATCCTTTGCAGGGCAAATGTAAAGTGGCGTGGCGCTTAGAAGGAGTTGACCAGAGTTGGTAGAAAGGGAGTGATGAGGATCCATTCTGCCATTTGCTTATGCTGCCCTTGTTCATAGCTGGTGTGGGTGGTATAAGAGGTACCAGTAACCTCTCGGCCACCTCATGGGAGATTGCCCTAAGAGCAAGTCCAACTCTATCCATCGAGCTTTTCTGGTGCTACTATCTTCCCTCACACCTTACGATCCCAGAATTTTGAATACATCTCATTATGAAACAAACAAGAGTATGGCTCCATCTCGAACGCCACCTTCTTCGGATTTAACTGCAGATGACGAAGAGGGTATTGATCTCACAACCCTAGAGAAACAGCAATTATCCCCTATCATCGAAAGCGCTCGCTGGAACCTTCTGCGTCACTATCGCTCAAAAGGCGAGGTTCTCAACCATGGTAATTCCGAGATGAAACTGCTCCCTGGCGACGGAAACAAGAAAGCTCTCCACGATTTCGAATTCGCGTGGAAAACCGCTGGGACAGTCCCGAAGATCCACCTTGTCAACGAAATTGATCACCCGATTACCATCTGTGGCACCAAGCTGGGTCCCCAGGACCGTGGTCCATCGGAGGCAAGGAATAACGCGTTGGTTGCTTTGGACTATAACGCAGAGGCGCTCAAGGAAGCCGTGTTTGGGTTGAAGCCCGCTAGGAATTTGCCGCTGTGGAAAGGCCGTTTTGGTGCTGAAAAGTACGACAGTTGGTACCACTATTTTGCCAGTCAGGGTCGGCCTTTCCACTGATGGGCAATGAGTTCAGGAGATAGGCACGATTTTCACCGTGGATATACCCATCCAGTATGTGCAAGGTCTACAGGATCTAAATGCAAAGAACAGCAAGGCGGATAGTCTGGCGGATGGACAGCCTGTGGATGGTGGCTCCAAAGTCAAAGCGGGTTAGGCAATTGTTGTCGATGTGGACAGAGCTTGCGGCGGAAATGCAGTGAGTGCTTAGATTTCATACACATACATGTACTTCTATTGAGCAGTTGCTTTATATTGGTCGTTCGCCCAGTAGTGATTTGAAACTTGTTTGCTCCCTGCAAATGTTTAGCACGCACCAGTCATTAAATGCCCTCTGTGCAGAAAAAGAGCCGATCTTCAATGATCTATGCACACACTGCCCTGATAATGGCCCCTAAGTATGCACCGGGCTGGGAAATTCGAGAACACGCAGAGCGCATTACAGGCCCATGGCATCTCCAGGATAAGACAGTATTCCGATCTGATGTGGACAGTGTCAGGTGGGACGATTCTTCCGAGCTCTGCACTATTTCGTTCAAAGAACGGCGTGGACCGTAGGGTTCGCCTGGAATCAGCCACCACGTTCGGGCGGAGTACGTATACCTGGCAGCGGGAATCCTCACCCGCCCACAAGTGCCACGAATACCTGGTCTGTCATCTTTTGCAGGACCCATGTTCCACACGACTCGATGGGACTATGAAGTCACGGCGGGCTCCCAGGTGAATCAGGTACTGTTGAGGCTTCGCGACAAGAGAGTAGCAGTCATTGGAACTGCAGCCACAGCGATTGGAGCTATACCAGAAATTGATAAATGTGCAAAAGAGCTGTTCGTGTTCCAGAGGGCACCTGCATACGTCAATCCTCGCAATCAAAGGGATACGAAACCCGAGGAATTCAAAGCCACTGTGGCACGAAATCGGGCTGGCAGTTCGATCGAGGGATCAATTAAAATAGCTTCCTGACTAAATCCATAAGACCAGAGCAGCCTAATATCGTCAGAGATGGCGAGTCCACGAGGTATTATTGGGCATTCACATACTGACAGCGCAGGGTGGAAGGATCAACCAGCTTACTGCGCCATGATGGGCTCCCCAAATCAAGCAGAACTAGATGCATCTTTCCCAGAAAGCATCGAGCGCCTTGTGACCAACTTCCACATCCTAGACCTTCCAAATATGGAAGCTGTTCGCTCGCGAGTTGATAAGTACGTTACAGAACCGAAGACGGCAGAGAGGCTGAAGCCATGGTACCCATTCTGGTGCAAAGGACCAACATTCAGCGACATCCGCGCTACTGGTGCCCGCTAGGGCTCTGGTGCCTTTTGGTGATTCAGGCACCTTTACTGGCGCTCTTAAAGGCTTCAACAGCCGCCTACGTTACATTATTTCTCGGTTCTGCGTACATATTCCAGCGCCTCTATCGACGCTAGTCGACTAGGATGGTCTTCTGCGAGCGCTTCTGCTTCTATCGCAACAACGCTCTCTAG